TTTGCTTTTTTTGGGCGCTCTACTTGATTGTGTTACAGGCTTTGGTTTTGATCCGGATTTTTACTTTTATAAGAAATAAAACACACATGTGGTTATAGTTGAAGTAACAACTCAACTAAGTCCCAATCGCATCACACTAATTTTCCATTACGGAACAGAGCCGCAAATCGTACCAAGATAATTGTTCTTGTTGATGAAATAACAATTTCGGTTTGGTATGTATCTTTGTACACAAGTAGCAAGTAACACACTGCAACGAAAATAATTATCAGAACAAGGAACAATTCGGAATCTAGAAACGCGGTTAACAATGGAACACATAAAAACTGAAGACCGGCGCCGCATGACAACAAAAGCTCTGAATATGCTAGATCAAGGATGATTTATTTTTCCTCATTTCCTCTGATGAAATCCAATCGGATTCTCAACATATTTCACAAATTTTCATATCGGCGTTGAACCACAATTGAGTAATATGCATCGCGTTCTGCTTGTTCCCTTTTAGAATCCAAATACAGCGCAAACCGGACCTTTTCCACTCTGGACATCCTGTTATAAGATAAAGGAAACTGCGTTAATTGAGAAAACATTAAGATGCCAACCACTTGCACCGTAAAACGCTCTGTCAAGCAGGCTGCGCCGTAATGTGTAGTCATTTTGAAGGTTACGAGAACTTGAAGAAATGCTTATATTGACCTGGAAGTATACTGGCGATAATAGCCATATTCTCGGGGCCCATTTTTCATAACGTCCTCGATGGCTTCTTCGAACGGAGTGGACTTCCTGGCTCGATTCATCCGTTCGGCAGCATTTTTCTAAACACAGTCAAACTAACCTAACCATTTCTGATAAGGCTAAAGCGTTACGTCAGCCCGACTCTGCCTCTAAAATTTTATGAACGGACAACCACAATAGACGAACGATCATATTATCTGAGTTAGCTTGACAGTGTACATTTTATTGATGTTAAGACATATGGACTGCCGGTAGTCAGCAATATAAAGGTCAATTCCCCTACAGATAAACTTAATGAAGATATATGATATCATTAGACAAATTGGCGAGCCATGAGTAATGATCCTACTGTTTTAACTTTTAAAGTTTAAGTAATAAAACTATTGATAATAGTAAATGAACGGGAGCATCAACTTTTGCAAGGATAAATCTGATGGTACTCCCAAAAATAATACACGATAAATCTGATAGTACTCGTATGATGGTACTCCCAATCAATGAAGCAACTGTACTGATATATTCTTCTTAAATATAATATAAGCGATAACAACCTAAACTTTCACCCGACCTCCAGCTCCACAAAACGAACTTCTGGTCCCAAAATATCTTCCACACTTGGCATCGGCTTCTGAGACTCCCGAGGATTTTCAATCCCGCTTCTTTCCCGCAGCGGACAAAGCGGCAGGGTCACCCGGTAAATGACCTTTTTCTCTGGTCGTTCTCGGACTGGAGCTAACCCGGAAAGCAGAAAAATAAGGTTGTATTAGTGTGATGACCGATGTTGGGTAGGCAGCTGTATAACACAATTGCCTACCGAATCGCAGATATACAACGCTACCGGTAATAATATATGCACCTGTCTTCTCGAACAACAAAATTAATCTTATCTGTAGAAGCGGGATAGCCAAAAACCATTGATAACAGTAAGTGAACGGCTGCGTTTTACCTATGTTTGCAAAAATTATATTATTTTGCATTCTTTTTATTCTTTTACTTAACATTAATATTGCGTTGTTGCAATGCTTACCTTGTCGCCGGTTTGGGCAGATTTGCAGGTGAATTTCTCGTTCTACGTCCAGTGCCGGATAAAAGTGGACTGGGTTGAACTCGCACGAATCCACCAGCTCTTTTTTGCTGCCTACATCGGGCACAGGCATGTGGAACATATCATCACTATGTTTTATGATTAACGTATCAAGACGATCAACCAGTATGACTCTGACGAAACTAAAAATTATGAAATAAGTACTGTAATGTAAAAGCGAAATCAAAGCGCTGCGCATCAATTTGGAACGAAAAAATTTTATGATTGCAAGCGATCAAAAACGGAAAGTTTGTATCAAACACTTCTCTAGTTTACCGCATCTGGACATGCCCGCAGGTGTTTCTGGAAGACTTCGAACGGAACTTGATGGCGAAAATTATAAGGGCACTAGAAGTATGAATGATAAATTAAAGATAACCTCACCATGGTCAGTAGAAAGATACACAGGCAGCAAGCGTTAGTGCAGTAGGTATTAGAAAACCTACATGCAAGATCTCTTTCGAATTTTTTTCGTTGACTTCCCGATACTTGAATGTCCCCTAAAACAGTCTTGTGTACCGTATAAACTACATGGATTAATAACAAAGTGCTGTATAGAAAATTAATCGGATTTGTTAGTAATAATTACCGAAGTATAAAGATCATGCGGGAACATGATCTTTTATTACTGTAATTATTCAATCAGCGTTACTGGAAAGGAATGCAATATTTTCACTCACGTTCACATGCCCTACGTAAAGAGGCATTTCTGATCTTAATGTTGCAGATCGAGACGCGAATTCACAGGTTGGCGAACCAAGGACAGCTGAAGATATCGGAAGGTATTTTGTCAGAGTGCCACCAGACAAAGTCACATTCCAGATAATTTTGCTCTCAAACAAGAATTTCTAGAAACACGAACAGGTGAAAGACTGAAAGTGCAGAATATGCCTCGCTGGAGACACTGGTATGCAAAAGCCATAAACTGTACACTAGCTTTCGCAGATTTTGCCAAAATCTGCTCAAAATAACAACTTTCACTTTTGATCATATGCAAGCAGTCCAGCTAACAATAAGGTAGCTAGCCAGATCGAACTATTCAATGAGCCTAATGGGCGGAGCTAAAACCGTTAAGGATGCTAATGCATGCTTCGTACTAAACCAGCAGCAAAGGCATTCGGTAATCGGATCCCGCTGCTTCGAAATACGCTTGCAGCTAACGAAATGCAGATGGATTTTTAATTTAAGAAACAATTTGAGTTTGGGCGGGGTTGTTTATAGGGGCAGCAAACAAAAAACGTACTGAATTATTATTCATACACGGGTCCTGTGGATGTATGCCAGCATGCGAATTCATTGTCACTTGCGAAGTTCCGGGTGTTCCATCAGGGCATGTATTTACTGACTGTATTCAAGCAAGGCGGACACATCGCCCGATTTACAGATAGCAACCGATGGGAATCAGCCAGAGCTGGCGACCTTTTTCAGGATGGATGCCGCTTCCGCGTAGGATTTCGAGGACAATGCTTGTAATTAGACAGCCCTTGCACTACATCGACACTCTAATACGCTGTTACTCTATTACAAAGGACGCTCCAAAAGTAACTTTCCCTATTTTGTCTCCCTGTCATTTGAAGTAACAGACATGTGATATATTTTTTGTTGTATAAGCAATTATGTAAACTAATTAGAGAAATAAGAATCAAAAGATTTAATGAAGAACTGGGAAAACGAAAAACAAATTAGCAATACTACTTATACATTCATTTCCACGAGTTTTTTCGAAGCTCGTTCTTTTTATTACCACTTCCGTCCCTGTTGTAATTTCGGCAGCAAATTTAAAGTACCAGCTACAAATACTGTTCTTAATATTACTGCAATAACAGAAGGCTTTGAAAAATTTACGGAGGAGAGCAAACATTTTTTTTCTCCACGACGCCGGAATCCCCCTTTTCAGCCTTCTTGCTGATATGAATCCGAAAGTTCTTAACATCAATAAAAAGGAAATTTCATGCGCAGTCATGAGGGTCTTGGACACAAATAACTTCAAGTTGTACCGAGAGCAATAATGTTTTACAAGAAATTTTCGATATTTTACCGTCTGGCACCTTGAGCAGCTCTGTGGTTTTTCCACCTAGTCATCGAGAGTTTCTACTTTTCTGGAAAAGCACTGCAAAGAAGTTATTTTGTTTCGTTCTTAGAATTAGGACAGAAAAGAATTCTTAATCTGATGATATTTGGTGCTTTCCGAAAACTGAGCAGGAAGACTGAGAAAAATAACAAAAACTGTCAGGGTAAAACCCGTGGCAAAGTGCCGAAAACCTTGGACGGCTTTCTCGGCAGTTCTTCTCCATTTGATTGTAGTTAGGTAGAGTTATATTTTATTTTGGTTCGTGAGTGAAGGACGTTTCTAAAAATATGGTTCATAAGAACTAAAAGCGTTCAAGCCGGGAGATACAAAATAGGGAAACTTACTTTTGGAGCGTCCTTTGTAGTTTGTTTTGCAGAAAATAAAAGAATTTTGACTCTCGCAGATAATTAATTAATTTTCGGTACTTTTGTTCAAAATTTGAAACCATGAAGTTTTTAAAAAAAGAAGTTTTAAATTACGTTAGTTGATGTACCTGTACGAGTAATACCTTTTCCTTTTATGATACAAACAGCATCTATGCGTATGTTGGATTACGCGCGTATTTATACCGCCATAGGCGCACGTGCAGAGCAAAATATTCACAAACAGTACCAGTATTTTGTTTACGGCGAGATAGGCGGGGACCTTTACAAATTGGAATAGGTCGAATAAATTACACGTTGGGTACTTAATGTAACTTGTAAGTACCTGTTGCGTGTGTACCGTAAATTCTAAATTTGCAGGATTAATTTGTATCCAATTGCAAGTAGCAATTAATTTTAATGCAGTATACAATCAACTATTGTATACAGTACTACAGTGTAAAATTATAGTGCTGTATACCGGGTATGTAAGTACTGCAGCAGGTTACGGTACTACCAGTCAGATACGATAATGCAGTACAATCACGTTGGCGCTCACTTTTGACTTGCGGTTACTAGGGTTCTGACGTGGAAGTGGCAAACGATCGACTGCCACAAGGCAAATTATGCGATGGCTTTGTAGGTCTTGTTTAAACAAAATACTTACGTTTTTTATTCTTACCTATGCCATGTCAGACCGCTTGACGCTTCTCACTATAGTGCTCTTATTGCTTCTTACCAGGTTAGTTTGCCGTGAACAGAAAAGCACACACACCAACAAAACTGATCCGCGCGGTATTAGCGGAATAACGTCGTCGATATTAAATACCTTATATTTCAGCAGTTTTGTATATTTGTTGAGATACATACTCCTGTTTGCATAAATATCCGCTTACGTCTTATCAATCGCGCATGTACGTAAAAATTTTATACTGACTTGCGAGGATCCCCAACTTGCAAGGCCATCAAACTGACTGGCGTATGCAGTACTATTTAAAATTGTGGCGGCAAAATTGGAATTGTCACATCTCTATCAACTGATTGTTTAGACCTTTGGTGTTAATATCGCCGTGTGTCTGTACGCGGTACTGTTGTACTAGCATCGCATTGATCGTTCTTATTGTTAAATATAATTTTCCTTGAAGACATAAGGTAAGTTCTCAATAAAGTACTCAACATGAAATTGATAAACTTCCTATATACATATTGCAGATAATTTTGGTTTAGCGCAGGTTAAATAGCTCTGTATTGAGGGCTATAGTACTTCAAAGAAACGTGCGCATGATAACCTAATTTACAAACTCTTTGGAAAGGATAGGATAAGACAGCTGATAACAGCTTTCCTTTCTCGATCGTTCGATAATTTTCATCATCCCTCCGGTTCAGTATTATTGCATAATATACCGTATTCAAGATAAGCTGATAGAAACCAGAATTATACAGATTACGAATAGGCGGCTGTTACTGTACTGTGTCAACGAGATGCAACAGCTGGTGCAACAAGACACTTTATACTTTATAGGCTACTCAATTAGTAGTCAGTCGTATTATAATCAAATCTACAGTATTGACGAAATTGTCTATTGTAAAGCTGCGTTTTGACTCGCGCACGCATATTAGCATTTCGTGCTAACCATGTCTGCTTCAGAATCCAGTACTATGGGGGAATTAATCGACCATCAAAAGCAGACGTCGCTGGACTCACTATCACAGGAGCTGCAAAAGTTACTGCAGACCTCACCCAGCGGAAAGGCTAGTGCTTTCGAGACTGATTTTGTGGGTTTTGAGCGCCTGTTCCGACGTTTTCTCCTCGAATCCGGCAACGCTATCCAGTGGACGAAAATCGACAAGCTTCCGGATAATGCCGTGATTGGCTATGATGACTTACGCAAGCCGGAGGATCTGAATGTGATTGCCGATATGCTCAACAAACTGGTAGTGGTTAAACTGAATGGTGGCCTGGGCACCAGTATGGGATGCACCGGACCGAAAAGTCTGATCCAAGTTCGCAATGATCTAACGTTCCTGGATTTGACCGTGCACCAGATTGAACAACTGAACTTGACTTATGGATCGGATGTGCCGCTGGTGTTGATGAATTCATTCAACACCAACGATGATACGGCCAAAGTGCTGCACAAATACAAATCACGGAAAGTGCGAATTCTGACATTCGAACAGAGCCGCTTTCCCCGGATCGACAGAGAAACCCACATGCCCGTTGCCAAAAATCTTAACTCTGCCGCCAATGATGTGTAAGCTAGCTTTTGTATAAAAATGAAATTCAGCACTGACAAGACACGTAAAAATTCAAGGGTGGAAAATGAAAAAGTAATGCGGACGAAGTTTAACAGACAGGAAAACATTTAAGGTAAAATAAGGTAATTATAGAGCATGTTGGTTATGACGCATTTATTCTTTGGCACATCAGTCTTTTACGGTATTCTTCCTAATTCCAAAGAGCAGACTGATTTTGCTACCCTTTGGTGAGCCCTGACCAGCACAATACCGATTGACCCGCAGTAAACACCGGTCAGTAAACATGAGAAACAAATGCGACTAAATAGCAGTAATTTGTTCAAGGTAAATTAAAATTACAGGCATGGCAAAATTTTTTTTATGAAAGACAATAATTTAATAAGAAGAGAAAATGTTATTTTGTTTATTTCAGGTGGTATCCTCCTGGTCATGGTGATTTTTACCAGGCAATTTATAATTCTGGATTACTGGACAAGTTTATTAGCGAAGGCCGCGAATATTGTTTCATGTCAAATATTGACAACTTGGGTGCAACTGTTGATTTGAGTGAGTTCCAATCAGGATCAACACGCACAAAAATGACAGTGAATATTTAGTCGGCAATTCATGTGAATTTTGCAGATATACTAAACTTCCTACTGCAGTCTTCCCAATCGGGCGGTACCCATGAGTTTGTCATGGAAGTGACTGATAAAACACGGGCCGACGTGAAGGGAGGCACTTTGATAATGTATGAAAAAAAGCTTCGTCTTCTGGAAATTGCTCAAGTACCAAAAGACCACGTAAGTAGAATTATGAGAGCATTGTGTGCTACGTAATCAAATATCAAAATACGTTATATCACAGCATTAATTTGTAAACATACCGCAGTTCCGATGCCAGCGTGAATAGGTCCAAGGTTGCCGAAGGGTTAACATAATTTTATAATTTCTGTTTTTCTATTAGGTGTGCATTTTCCGTTTTTCTATTTCCGTTATCTAATGATTCTTGTCTTTTTTGGGATGCAGGTGGATGAATTCAAGAGTATTTCTAAATTCAAGATATTCAACACCAACAATTTATGGGTGAACCTGAACGCCATTCATCGTCTAATCAAAAGCAAATCCATGCCGTTAGAAGTGATTGTCAATCATAAATCATTAGATAACGGCCACAATGTGATCCAACTGGAAACCGCGTGTGGTGATGCTGTACGGAATTTCAATGGTGCCATCGGCATCAACGTACCACGGCGTCGATTTTTGCCGGTTAAAAAATGTGACGATTTGTTACTGGTCATGAGCAACTTGTATAAAATTCATGATGGCACTTTGACCATGAATTCCTTGCGGCAGTTTCCTTCCGTGCCGTTGATCAAGTTGGGCGATCAGCATTTTAGTAAGGTGCGGGATTTCCTGCGGCGTTTCGCTTCCATTCCAGATATGATAGACTTGGACCACTTGACGGTGTCGGGAGATGTGACCTTTGGAAAAGGCGTAGTTTTAAAGGGCACCGTTATCATCATTGCTAACCACGGCGATCGCATCGATATTCCAGCCGGCTCACTCCTCGAAAACAAGATTGTGTCAGGCAACTTAAGAATTATGGACCATTAAACCCTGGGACAGCAGATAAAAAGCAATTGGCCGACATGTCTGTGTGTTCGTATAAATCGTAACTGCGCTGTTGTTGGAAATTGATGCAGTTTGATGCCACTAGATGTATTCCCGCTGCGCATGCGTGGAGTATCCATTTCTATTTATTTAAATGAATTCCTAGAGCAATATGTACACTAAAAATTTTGGGAACCAAATTGTTGCACTGGTCCTTTCTTTGGTGTATTAGTCGTTCTAGAATGTAAGCGATCGCGAGCACCGAGCAACTATAATTTTAACCTCCCGGGGCTACATCCTTCGAATATATACAGTAATTCGGTAGTTCGAACGAAAGTCACTTCCGGTTGCACGAACTACAAAATTGTGAGGAACTTTGTGACTTACAAGTTAAAGTGAACGAAATCGTATAAGGGTAATGTGCAGCATGGAGGCGCTTACAATAAAAGGAGGCGGAGTACGGAATAGTGTGCACTGTTTTCGAACCGGCACGCGCTGCCTTTGTGGCGATCCAGTGCTTAAAACTTCGAACTATGTATCGACTATCGATGTTTGCCTGCTGCAAATTTCTCATTAAAATGCGCGGTAGGTTTGTCCTCCACACTCGACAGTGGAGTAGGTACTGCGACTACCCGCAAACGTCACAGTTGAACTTCATTATTATTATAAAATATAACATCACCGCGAATTTTAGTCGAAAAATATCACGCCAGCGAGCTGGCTGGTTTTCTATTTCTAGCGTCATAAAGTATAAATAGCGCTTTAAAAACACAACCTATAATAATCATTGCGTGTAGATAATAATGTTATCTTTGCATATAGCCGTTTGAACGAAATAATTGTCAATTTCCTTCAGTTCTGTTCTCATGGTGTAGCGGCTATCACGTCTGCCTAACACGCAGAAGGTCGCCAGTTCGATCCTGGCTGAGAACACACTTTTTAAAATTTTTTTACCTGATTCAGCTTTAAGAATAAGCCGTGTAACTGCCGGTTTTGTTCTAGTAGTGAAGGATAACAAATTATTAGTTGACAATGAGAAAAGCATACGTACTTTTTGTTCTTAGCCATTAACGAATACGAGCCAATATTGGAACTCACAAGTCATACGAACGCCCATGGCTAACTCTTATGTTATTAAATTTTCGTTTCAGACTTTTTTATTTTATTCGGCAACAGCCAGTGCACACTGCACAGATCAATACATCTGTGCATATTTACACTAATTAAAAGACTTTGAATCCAGCCAGCGATACGTTCTTAGAACCACTTTTCACTGAAATTAAGAATTATAATACAATTTCTGATTTTGAATCTGATACACATCTAATACTAATTACGGAGATATAATGCCTCGTTTATACCACGGGTTTATTAGGTTGCGAAGTCCCATTTCGCCCACAGTGAGACTTATGCAAAGCCCCAATCACATAATATTGCACTGCAAACGAACGCTACGGTATTTGGTTAAAACAAGTCAAACAACAATCTATGAACAACAAACGGAGCAAGCAGTGCTATTTGAAATGCTTTATGCCGCTTTATTTGGCACAGAACGTTTCGACCTCTTCTCACTTTCGGCTTGCTTTTCGGCTTTGTCGATCGTCGCAAAAGCATCTTCCTCGTCTTCGTCCTCATCATCACCACCCATGGGATACAGATTGGGGTATTTCGCCATGCACTCAGTCATAGCGCGGAACTGCTCAATACAGTCACTGCCCTTGGCTTCCGCTGTACTGAAATGGAAGCAGGAAAAGGCCTGCCGAAACGGAAGCGCACACGGCCCATACGTAAGATTTCCGAGACATGGACAACCCCAGTTAATTTCCCCATTCGGAAGGACAACGCCTAATTGCGAAAAGCCATATTCAAGAATCAGAGCTACAATGTAACTAGCAGTCTTCGGCACATTATTATTTACCTCTGGGACCATCGTCATCCAGAACCCTTTTCAGAAAATCATTGGAAATTGAGTCCGGTGGCTTTTCCCAATCCCCACGCGACAGGAAAATCACTTTATCCTTGCCTATGAATATAATGTAGCTTGAAGACGAAATTTTTAAAAAAAGTGTAGAAAAATTAATATTACACAGAAAGCGCAGCATCCTGCTGGCCAAAGGTTGACTACAAGCCATGGTCAATCAAACTAGGTTCGTTATTTTTTAACAGTCCATTATCTTCTTGTGTTCTTATGAATCTTATCTTATGATGAGAATCTCATGCGAAAGCGAAAAGCTTACTTATAAAATAACTGACGCAAGAGCTGTTTACTGTTAACAGTGTTAAATCACACCGTCACACAAGCAACCTATGAGCTTCTTACCATACTCCTTGCAATAGGAACTCTGAATCTCGCGAACTTCTCTTAAAGGCGAAGTTTCCTGAGAGGTTACGTGATGATCGTGATCCTCAGTAGTAACAGCCTGGGAAGCTGTTGGAGGGGTGTCCGCGACGGGGCTCGAGGTGCTGGTACCCATGAGATACAAAGTCTTTAACCTCAAATTCAAAACACCGGAAGGACCCAAACAGTCTATCAATTATCTCGCAAACTTTCACAAATTTAATCCCAAGTCTTCACAAAAACAAGCCAGATTTCAGAAAAAAACACAAAAACAATGGTGTATGCAGTATGCACTTCGCAACTTTGCATGCTTTGCAGCCTTTGCAAAGCTTTCACCAGGCGCGTCTCGGTGAAACCGACTGACTGGTCTTTCACCCAGGGCCTTCAGGGGCGGTTGTCCACAGCTGTAGCAGTGTAATTACATGAGGGCTGTTACTTGACTATGGCTGTAGCGTGCTAAACGCTGTAACTAAAGGCTAAAGCTGAAACAAACCCACTGGAAGACGGTTTTTTACTGTTTTCGACGACTGTCGCTCGTCAGTTGTTTTCGTTCTTTCCAGTTTGTTTTGTACACAATTTACGATTAATAGGTGACATCGTGACAATAGTTTGTTTGTTCCTAGTGTTCTAGATTCCTTAAACAGTTTCTTCAAAGCACCTAAGAAGTAATTATTCTTGGTTGTGCAACGTACTCTAATTTGTTTTGGATAAGTTATTCGTTTTAACCATGTATCACAGTAGTACACAGCGAAAGTTTTGGACTTTCGCAAACGAAGAAGAACTTCAGTCTCATCGGAGAACAGCTCGCCGGCGCTTTGTGCAGGAGCGATTGGACCGCAAGGACTGTTCAGCTGTCAAGTCCCTCGCGAGCGATACTCGACCTCACACTCCGGATAACCCCGCTGTTGCATCCATGTTTCTTTCCATTGAAGAAGAAGCTGAATTATGTCGATTTTACCAAACGATGCTGCGAGATTTTTGTTCCAAATTTAAACCGGAACTGCCACGCTCCACGATTGCGACGGGATTTGCTCTTTTCCAGCGTTCTTACGTTAACGAAAGCGTCATGCGATTGCATCCTAAATATATGATGATAACTTGCATGTGGATTGCAGTGAAAGCTGATGAGTACCATATTACGATGGAACAGTTTGTGGCTCATCTGCGCGGTGATCGACAGAAGGCGATAGATATCATTTTAAATAACGAGCCGTACGTTATGAAGCGACTTCATTATCATTTAATGGTACATCTGCCGTACCGAGCTATGGAGGGTTTCCTGATCGACATTAAAACCCGCTTCGGGGAATTCTTTAAGAAGCCAGATCGAATGAGGCCTGGTGCTGACAAATTTCTGGAAGGATCTATGTTTTCCGATACTTTGTTATTATGGTCGCCGTCTCAAATCGCTTTGGCGGCACTGTTCCATGCTGCGGAAGAGCTGAAAGAGGATCTTACTGGTAGGCAAAGTTTTACCGATAGTAGGGCGGATTTCGGACTGTTTGTTTTAATATTTCAGTTTAATGCTAATTCCTTTTGTTTGCCGATTCGCTACGGTATCGTTTTCTTTATTTTGGAGGTGTATTATGCTTTTTAGGGTGTTAGACTGTTAGTATATTGTTGCATTTTATTTACCAGTTAGTTAACAGTAACATGGCTGTGATTGCACCAGTGCAGTAACTAGTTTTACAATTTTCTGCTTATTCTGTGCCTCCAGTTCCGTTGTTTTTTGGTATACCAGGTTGTTTGTTTTTCAGATTACGTTGAGAAAATTCTAGTGCAGAAGCCTATTGGTAAGCCATTTGCGGAGTCTGGGGATAGTATGGACAAAGCGGAAGAAGCCAAAGAACAAGACGATGCTGCCGCTGGGAGTCAAACAAGTATTCACCTTTTGGCAGTGATCGATGCTATCCGTCATCACGTAAAGGAATCGGCAAAATTAGTACCGAACAAAGACCGAATAAAGAAGATTGAAGCGAAATTAGAGGGTTGTCGGGATCCTGCATTTAATCCCGAGACAGAGGAGTATCAGAAGCGGATAAATGCCATGATGCAGTTACAGCTGGAGGCTGATACTGGATTTGACTGAATATTAGAGTGAATTAGGTTTCCTGTCTGGGATTTAAATTTTTGTACTCGTAATTAGTTCATAACTTCGTATTAATGACCATTTGCTTTCCGGTTGCTCATTTGGGCTGAAAATGTTTCTGAAGACGGATCACAAGAGAAATAACGATCTCGCTAATTATTCAATTTGGAGCCTATTATTATTGTTGGCGCTATCGCCTATCTGCTATTTGACAGATAGTATTATGATATTCTGAACCTCGTCGTGGGTTATACAATTTTGATGGGCTTTCTTTATTCTGCAGCCAACAACGCTCTTGAAAAACGGTTTTCTCTGCATCGAAAAAACATCAAGAAATAGTAACTCACTGATCGTAATAATATGTACTCATAGTGTAATAATATGTGTAATAATTTGTACTCACTGATCGATTATGACTTTACGATTCAAAAGTTGAGTACATTAACCTCCATACATCTTAGTACAGTATCTGATGGAAAAAATTACTGTACTCGTACTGTACATTGTTTAATAGGGAATTTTAGATTTCACATGGCTTAGGCTCCGTTCACTACTCGTATAGCTAGAAACTACCGCGTCAGATATACAGTACGACAGGCTGAGTACGTTAGCAGACTAAACGGCGTTTAAAATGCTTGTACGGATGCACACTAGCAGTGACGTACAGCTGGAAAAATAAATCGAATCGAGAGTGCCGAGAGCGTGACCACCCTTCTCGCGGGGAGGCGGTTAGAGCACACAAAAAAGATCCACAGGCAGCATACGCTGCCTTTTCGCTCAGTCATATGGCTGAGCCGTTGCACAGATCCACGTAAGGCCGATAGGCGATAATTTTTACGCGTCAGCCAACGACGTTGGGTTACGGCGCCTTACGTCGCGAACGGACGTAAATCAACCCGTAACGCAAACTTCTACCCGAAAGTGGAACTCGACGCAACTTGTTTTGTGAAATCTAAAATTCGCTAGTACCTAATACTCGTACGTACTGTAAGTACTTTATCACGGGACTGTGCAAAAGGCAAGAGTCAGAACCCTTGGCGGTCGTGCGTATCGCAGATCCTGCTAGGCGCTACCGCATAGGGTAGGCGACTAGGCGGTTCCGTGTCGATTTGGAGACACTTCTATTTCTACAAATTAAAATCAGTCCTGGGTCGCTGCGCTCAGTTTTGCTCTTTTTTCCATTACGTCTCCCTCTCCAGTGCGAGTTTTTTTGTTTGTAAATGTTATAATATTGTATCTTGGAGCTTTTGGTATGCAGAATGGAGGAGACTCATGCTTTATACAATGCGTGCGCGGAACAATTGCAATCTGAGTCCCGGAAAAAAGTTATGATCGTGCCAGGTACGACAGTTTATTTACATGTCTTTTATTTGCGAACTTTTCTGCTATTGGCATCGGCATTTGCTTGCACAGAGAACTTTCTGCGTGATTCCGCAAGTACCGACGCGTTTGGTATCAGAAGCAGTCAAGCTGAAGCAAGTGTGGGCAAATGTCAAGGTGTGCAGCTGCAGTTCCTGAAATTCCCCCACCCTGCAACAGGTAAAAGTGTATACTAATACCACTGCGAAGTCTGCGTTACTATCTTGCTGTTAAAGGCCTGCCAGATTACATGGTTGGTTACTGATGGGTATACGGTCACCGTATACCTAGGGTAGATATTATTGTACCAGTTTGTGCGTAATAGTATTTCTGTGTTTCGCAGATTGTGGTACTTTATGGGCATTTGATTCGCTAAACGGAGAAGTTTATCAGCTGTTTCAGCTACAAGAAAAGTGTTGCTCGTGGTTCGTCGGAAATTATGTCCTGGAAGGTAAACCTAGCGCGTTCGAAATTTTCAGCATGCGCAGGAGGAAAGCGTTTTTCGGATTTGAAACACTAATGCAACAGTCACTGCTATTCAACCTAAACAAAATTAACCACTCAGCGCATCAACGGATTTCCATTCCTGATTTTTTAGTTGTTAGGCTGTAGCGACGTTGCACTGGTTTTGTTGGTTCACTGATTGTGTTTTTTATTCTTTAGATGGATCTTTCTACAGCTTGGTTCCTGTTGATCCGCTTTTCCTTGTCATTCCGTTTTTGTTCAAATCTAAACAGGTGCGTACTGCTTAATCAGGTTCATATCGACATGCGCTGCATCATCAGCACGAACGTAGAAAAACGATTCACAAGATAATTAGAATGAGTCCATGATATGGTTACTGGATTTCAATTTGGAGTTGATATTCACTGCCGATAGCTTTATACGTGCAGGTGGCCGGTGGGGATATATTATTAGTGTTAACTCCAGATTGAAGTTTAGTGAAGTTTCGCCAAATGTATGATACCATCGCCATAACATTGACAGGGGAAATTTTTTTCAGAAACGGCTGTTCCAGCCCGTCGACCAAATGTTATCCGACTGTTTGGTGAATTCGCCAGAGTACAGGACAGCCGTCGAACTACTTTTACGCAATGATGCCGTATTTCTGAACGAAGTTGATTTGATCTGCACTATGAAAAGTAAGTGCAAAGCCAGTTCATTCGCGGTTGTAAAAAATTTCTTATCTCCTGCTTATTGAAATACCTATTGGTATGCTTTTCTAGACGTTCACGGAAATCGTTTCGTCAAACTGTGCAGACGGAAATTAGCGGCTTGGTTGAAAATCAAGGTGATACATCATTAGAGACTTGATGTTAAAAAATGCTCACGATCAGTGGGAAATTTTTGTGTTACTAGGATGTTCGCCTTTAATTGCAGTTTGGTTTGTGGTTTTCACTGTTGCTACTTTTTAGGTGCTATACCTTAGCGCATCTTTGCGTCGGGAGCATGTGGATGTTGGAACAAAAATTGTTACCGCTGGCCAGACTTCCATAACCACAGACATTCAATATTCGCAAGGTAAATGTTTCTTAAACTTTCTTTGTATCGATTGCGGAAGTACGTTTTGCCGAATCGAAGTAACATAGTGTAGATGTTACTTTTTGCAGAAATGTATGATAAATATGCAATGGGAATTCTGGGTGATTATCTTCCTTCGCTTTTGCGACTCGAGATGGCAAAGGCTCTGGGGTACGTACTCGTATACCAGTATGTAGTGTGTGTACAAGTAGGACATCGTTATCGATAGTGTTGTATGCATCTGCATTTTTAACGATCTTTAGTGCTAACAATAAACTTTGGTGTTATATTGTACAGTCTAGAGGAACACTTACCGTTCAAAGAAATACCCGCTGGGAACCAACAGGTCAGCTTTATATGCCTTCGCTCAATATTTAAAACTGCAAAACGGTTTCAGTTTTTGACAATCGTAATACAGAAAAGAAAAGTTGGGGAGATTTGCGACGCGGCCGAGGATTATTCGAAAAATGTTCCTGCGACCTCCAAGGCTCCAGCGACGGTACGTTATTCTGGTCTCGTTGGTAAATCCTAATTTCATAATTACAGCATTTACGTATTGTAACAGCTACTTCGCATAGTAATTTACAATACTTAAGTTATACGAAGAAGTCAGAGTATGAGAACTTAATTCATCATTCACTATTTCAGAAAAAGCTAACAACAGCCCAAAAACAGCTGCAAAAAGTGGACAAATCCGGGATGAAAACTCTTACAAACTACTTTACCAGATCGACAAACAAATAATAAAACCGAAAACAATTAAAAATTCGGGTCATAAAGTGTATCACAGATGGCACAACAAACGTCCATGGACACTGACCACGTGGACGCATTACTCGTCTGGACCAAACGTAATCTGACCACCTCCTCCTTTCTTCATCCATCTCCGATAGGCTTTGTACCTGGCATTCTGCGCAAGTTCGGTTTTCATCTTCTCATCCTTTTCCTGTTTCCATGTCTGCAGCGTAAAAATATCGAATTACAGAAGCTGGCTTTTGGCGCATTTTCTGCATGAGACTAAAGTTCGCCGATTATTACATGTTTTTAATTGCAGAATGTTTGTAAAAAAACATGATGGCATAATTCGGTAAATAAAACTATGAATCGCATCAAGAAGGCATACTTTGAAGTTTTGTGATATCCATAATTCACGATTGTACATCTCTTCTTTCTCTTTTTCCGGTACAGATTCAAATTGAGTTTGAGAATATCCTAGATATTTCCTCATCAGGTATGTTTTATCGTCCTCGGTGTATTCCATTTTATGGATTGTGTATCTCCATAACCAGCGAATTTGGAAATGAATGAACTGATAAACGGTCAGCGGCAGAAAAATCAATTTCAACCACAACACGTCTCGAATATTTGGTTTCGCGTATCCGCCTCTATAAATATCGTTAACATTTACACGTTTCCAAAATTCCAAACTAAAGAAGCTGTTACAGGTTCGGTTTATCTAAGCCAGAGTTCCGCTTACACTATGAGATTTTTGAAACCACTAAATATATGTACGTTATGTCGAAGCAAAACATCGCGTAATTTTCGCCACTGTTCACATGTGTTCTTTATTCGATGCGTGCGGTCGCTTACCTAATTTCCATCTTCGACTCCAGAATTTGCCGTACAATTGCATCTTCATCTTCTTTGATCTCCTCCTTACTCTTCTTCCCTCGCTTTTTATCCGGGCTCCAAATACCTGCATCTGTAGCTTCCTGCAAGGCTCGTGACCGGTACTTCGGCTCCCGCATTAAATACTTAATTGCTTCGTTGTAGCGCGTCCATAACACGAAGTACTGCACGGCGGAGACAACTGTAATGAACACCGCCACAACAATCCGCACATCCACTTTGGGCGTGACTCGGCGACCATAGTATCGCCAGTAATGTTGGTAGTGCAATTCCGGATTGTCCAACATAAAATTGTAATCGTTTCGCTGGTCCTCATCTCGGAGTGTCTGTGTTAAAAAATTTAAAATTCAGGAATATTGTCCACACAGCAAAAACCACTAGGGTAGAGTTATCATTTGTCAGTATTGTTCGTAATCATTTAAGACATAATCTTTACCAGCAGCCAAAATGCAACTTTTCAGCGGCGTGCATAATTACTAAATAATAACCAAAGTAAGGATATTTACCTCATAAGCCGTCGCTATCAGTCGAAATCGGATTTCCGCCGCTTTTTTATCAACCTGTTTTTTTGAAAAAAAAAACCTTTATCAGAATTATGTATCAATTTGTAAACAAGAAAACCATCACAAACCGGTTGCGTTCAGATAAACGCAAGCAGTAAGTGTTCGCTGCAAGAATTTACTATAAATTTCTATATGTGGGTTATATCAGCGTAGTTAACCGGCGGCTCAAACCTGCGTCTTGAATCGATCAGGATGATTCTGCTTCGCCAGCTGGCGATAGTTTTTGGAGATCTCTTCTTTCGTAGCATCGCGAGATACATTTAAAACTGCGAACAACAGAAGTTAAAATAGCCAACGGTAAAATGCGCTACGCAGCCATCTGTTTGTGACCAATGAGCCCAGTATCGTACGGATTCCTACCATCATAGCAATTAAGCTTTCCGCAGTACAAGTTCTCCACCAGTCCGTCGACTGCATCCAGCAAAAACCAGCACGACAGGAGATAGTAGTACGCTATCTGCATCGCGGTAGCCACCGAGGCACGTCGACGAATATCCGAGCAGATCCTCCAGAATTTACAAGCTCCAAAAGCTGCAAATTTGTTTTGCTAGCTCGCAGTTTGCAGAAATGTACTTACTTATCCAAAACTGCCACTCGTAGATGGAACACTGAAAATGTTTTTTCTGTGTACACTGTACACTCTACCGTACAGGCGAAAAGTCGGAAACGTCAGCTTGGATATTTTTGAGCTGGCAGTCGCCAAAACCTCCGTCCTGGGGGGTTGCCCATATCTCTATATATTGGTTGCAGTACATACTACATATGCGGCATATGTAAGGTATATGGTTAGGTAAGGGGCATATGATATGCCCCTTACCTAACCATAAGGGGTAAGGGGCATATGCATTATGCAGTACGTTGCTGATGTTCCCATATTAATTTTTACTCATACATAATCATTCTGTTTTGAAGTCTGGACACTGAACCCAACAACGCATCCAGGTGGTGCAGGTTAGAGTATCCTCTGCCAACCTACATTCTGTCAATGTCGATTATTTCTAAAGTATTTGCATCCACCAGTTTCTGGACAACATCTTTACTGGCGCTTCGGGCATCTAGCGGCTTCTGCGCACGCCACGTTACCGATTTGGGAAAGCTCTCTCCCGAAACGTGTCCAGCGAGTACGTTCCCATAATCCCATTAGTCTATTTATGCTTAATTTCGTGAATGTTTTCTCATTTCCTACCTTACGGCTTCTTGTTAGAACGCGCCGGTTGGAAAGTCGTACGCTTTACTTTTGGTTTGCAATAGTGGCAGTGATTATCGATAACCTTCGTTATTCTTTGTCAACATTTTTATTATTTTTCAAAAGAGTAAAACAGGGAAGACGCTGAAGAGTGCCTATTTTCACGTAGAATACTATTAGAGTGTAATATTATTTTATCATGGGCGCATTCGAAAAGGTACGGTCGAATAGCAGAAAAAAATTTGTTTGAATTAATTGTCTGTGAACTTGTGAAAGTTTGTGCTTTTGTCACACAGTTTTGTGGGCAATGTAATAATGAAAGTTATACGGAAATTTACGGTAAGTAGTCTGGTCTGGTCACTAGTGGACTGTGAATATTTCTAATTTCTAAATTTCTTTAGATATACATATATGTACATACATACACCTGTAAATGCTACAGTAGAATAATTTATCTGCCAATTAGTTCCAAAAATTCGCTTTTAGATATTTTTTAATAATTAGGTAATCGCGCACTCCCATCTGTTTGCACTCGTCCAGCATTCTCTACGTCTGCATTCACCTTGAATGTAAGTAAGGATTTTTTCATGTTTACTGACGATTTTAGCGGAGATGTGATTCTCTATAAAAAGTTTCCGGATTGTATAGAAAAAAACCATGGCTGACGCGTCTGAGTCTGACGAAGTGCAGAAAGCTCAAACGATGAAGTCGTCCAGTGCGCCTTCCATTTTCACGCGGATTATCAATAAGGAGATTCCCGGCAAATTTTTGTACGAAGACGACCAGTGTGTCGTGCTCGTGGACGTCAACCCTCAGGCACCGGTTCATTTTTTGGTATGCAAATATTAGGGGAACTGAGATTTATTCGGTTTACACCTGCCGGCGATATACACAGTCACGATTCAAGAGGGAATTGTGCCAGTATTAATGACAGTTCGGCATTTCAGTCAATCCTTTTGAGCGTTTTTTTTTAAAAAATATTTTATGATGCACCGTAGGTTGTTCCCCGTCGCCAATTGGAAGGTCTGAGCCATGCCACGGATGCGGATGAATTATTGCTTGGACATCTACTGAATGTGGCTCGTAAAGTTGCAGATCAGGAAAAACTGCATAGCGGATATCGTGTTGGTAAGGTCATAATTATTAGAGTTAAGTGGCTGGTTCGGAGAAACAAAGTTAAAGTTATGTTTTCATCGGTTTTTAAAGTTATGTTTTCACCAACGAGGTTTGATATCTCACTAGATTTTTATTCCCGCCGGAAGTCGGCTAGTGTTTCATATGTAGAGTATATTCAAGAACAATTTTGTTTTGCAGTAATAAATGACGGCAAACATGGGGCCCAAAGCGTTCCGCATCTACACATCCATGTTTTTGGGAAACGTCAAATGGGATGGCCACCTGGGTGAAAGTATCCACTTAGTGGCACTTACGCGGCAATATGATGTTACTTTTCGTCATTCGAACGGCTGGTTTAATAATTTTTTTCTTTCTATGGTTAGTTCGGGTTTTTCGCATTGCATTTGTATCGTTTTCCACTGACTTACGGGTAAATGATTAAAAAGCGTGTTTTCCGGCTCGCTTTTTAACTTTGGACTTGAGTATAGGTTTAGTGAAGGCACTTCATTCGGCTTCAGATTTATGCACTTCCTCTACCGCTTTTTACCTGCCGCATTTATCGTCGATATTTTGAAATGCGGTAAACTGGAAATCGACTAATTCAAATTTACTTTATGTACTGCATTTACTGCAACGAAAGCAAGATTTGGACTTGTATAATTTTGAAGCGAGGAGTACCCCTCTGCTATACAAGACAGGCAGATCTCAAAAATTCCCGAACTTTTGGGATTACTGTACTAGTGGAAGTTGAAGAAGACCAACGAGGTTTGATATCTCACACTAGATTTTCATTCCCGTCGGAAGTCAGCTACCTGCTTTCACTGGAATTAAATTACGGCATTGCAATATTAGCATTAAAATTAATGTGATACAATACTTACGATTACATGTAAGTTCATTGCTAAACACGAATAAAGTGTTAAATGATTAGGTTGCAAGCTTTTCCCATTGCTTCTTTTTAATAAAATACTAGTACTTTTGCTCGTTGGAAACCATGAAAACTAAATTCCGGAAAAGGTTCAAAAACATGATTCTGTTCTGGTGTAAGTTGAATTAGTGTGTTGTCATTCTGCTTGTATCCGGTAATGAAATTTTGCCGGCAATATCTGAAACCTACCGGGTATGTAAACAAACATAATCTGAGCTACCAAACGAGTACTTCTGCAGTAAATGTGATTTGTAAGTAACACTGCGGTGCACTTATACGACTACACGGTGTGAAACTTCCACAGTTCCACCAATGCAAATGCTTGTTGGATAGCGAGTTTAGTGCTATATCAACAAAACCGGTACACTGTTATCGGAGGTTTTGAATTTAATCGTTGCATGCCTGGTGTGGCTTAACTGCTACAGAAATCAGCTGTCGACGTTGTCGTCGTACACTCATTACGGCACTTCCTGTCTGCGCAGCAAAAATCGATGCGAGGATGGTGGATCGGATGTGTGCAGTTGAACGGCTGCCACTTCCTAGTGTAGCATGCTACAGAATAGAATTTGCGTTTTTGAAAGACGGTTTTCGTTTACCTGCTTACTTTAGCTTTTACGTTTCTGGTTCATGATTAATTTTGTTAGTCCGAACAATGACAAATATCAGCGGGTGTCTGTCGGTCGATAACTCCATGGATATTAGGCGGGTAGATGTAAGTGTTTATGAAAATGATCCGGTTCATCAGCTGGAAGAACTGTTTAAGATTTTCCGTCCGCAGCTGGCGGGTAGACCCGTACTTATCGAGGTAAGCGCCAATTAAATGTGCCATGCTTATATCTCTTCATTATATTACTGTCACTTTCCTTCGATGTATGATGCATAGCAAAACCCAAATTAAAAGGTATGATTTAAAATAAAGTAGAAATAATGCGCACGTGAGCAAATAAAATTGTGAATTTGTGTAAAACTTATGGAAAACTTTGAATAAATTGGACTAGACGATTTGGCACTAAAGAAATAAAATGAGTGCGCTTCCGGTTGCAACCAGAACCATGTACAGGTCACACATATCAGCGGTAGCGGCTACAGAGATAAGGTTGTTTAAGTGGGAGCAAATGAGCATAAACGAGACAGTTGATTTAATTTACTGTTCAGTACTGGTGTAAAATTTCCTATATACGTACTTTTAATTATTTTAAAGCTATTCTAAAATGCGGCATATGTTGACTCACAAGTCAGTTGACTTTATACCGTTAGTTTACTATGTGATTAAAATATCATCGGCACCAACCGAATTACATGCATGCACGATGCCCTTGATTTTAGTTTTATCTTACATGTATTTTGCTGTAGGAACTTACAGGAGGACTTATAAACATGATGTATAAACTGGTTGTGGAAGATGACGTCACCGTATTCCGCATATACAACGGTGACCTTACAGATATGTTTGATCGCAAGGAGGAATTACAGCGATTGATTTTTCTTCATGAGCACGGCCTGTATCAGAAAATATACGGTGTGTTCCGCAACGGAATCTGTTACCGCTATCAGAACGGTAGAAGCCTAACTGCGGAAGAATTACGCGACCCATCGATGTCTAAGTAAGCCAACCTCTTATATATCTGAATAAGTATCGAAATGCAAGTACAAACAAAGTACCAAAATGGATGAGGATGAGGCAGAAATTATTACGAAAGCATCATGATGAAAAGCTAAGTCAGTGACGTTCTGTAGTACTTCCCTCTTTCCTTGATCTTTTCATTATTTTCATTATTTTCGCCACCCATATAGGAACAGTTCAGTTTTCACATGAATAATGTCAGCCGAGAAATTTATTAAACGATCATTTTTCGATAAGATTTGAAGGTCATTAACATATGTTTACAGGCTGATCGCAAGAAAATTAGCCCTATTACATACCACGTCTTTACTTAAAGAAGAATGTCGCAGTGCAAAAGACGATGTGATAGCCACCGTTGTCAAAAATTTGGAATCCCTGCCGGAAATATATGAAAACGCTAGTCTGAACCAAATGGTCACTACTTGCTTCCCAGATCGGACACAACTACGTGCGGAGTTTGACGAACTGGTGCAAATGATTCTGCCGCTGCGAACTGCAGAAAAATGTGGTCATGTTGTGTTGTGTCATAATGATCTCGTGGCCAGCAACATAATTTTTGACGAATGCTGCAACGATGTACAATTTATCGATTTTGAATTCTCAGGATACGGCTTTCCTGCTGATGAAATCGGTGGATTATTTGCAGAATTTTTTGGTAAGCCCTTATGGTTAGAAGAACATACATACAAAACTTTTATGTTTGAAAAAATTTGCCGATATCTTTTTACAAATCTTGCCTACTACCGATTTTTGCAAATCCCGTATAACATCCGGCTACTGCATTAGAGGACATTTGCATACGAAATTTTCAGATTATTCGCAAGCAAAGCAAAATTACTTCTAAATTGTTTGTTTCTTGTACGTTGTATATTTAGCACATTTCAGGCGCCACGGAAAACGGTGTGAACAAATCAAAGGAAGCGGATCGCAGCGTCTTCCAAATGGAATTCATAAAATGTTACCTCGAGGCCAGAAAAGCGTTATCCGTTAAAGACGCTGACCAGAATAAAAATTATGTGAAATCGGTTTCTGAACAAGATGTATGGAATTTTTACGTGATTTCCAAAAGATTTGCTTTAGTAAGTGCTCACTGATTGCTGTTTAATGCTTATTGTTACACGTTTTATAGTTTCATTTATTCCTTTAGTTGCGACCGTGGTTTGCGGTAACTTGGATTTTGAATGCGGTAAACCGGATCCGTGATCCACAAGAAGCGCTGGATGATCTCTTGTACGTATCAAATTCTTACTTTGTGTACGAGTAATTAATTTATGATGTCCGGCATTCATTTCTGTTTAGGTTCGCTAAAAATGCGATGGAAATCTATAGGAAAACCAAAGACAGTGTGTTTGAGCTTCATTTAAGAAATGGGATGTGAACTTCCGGTTGGATCGAGACTAATGTTTGCCTTCAACTGCGCTTGTCCGCTGCGTAAAACTGTTGTATCAACGTAAAGTTGACATTTGCTCATTACATATACCGTGTTTCTGCGATTGCTTTTCCAAAAGCGCTTTCTGGTTCCTTAACCTGGTGTGATCGAGTGGTACTAGCGAAGTTATTTCAGATTTGTGATAAGAATCTTTATTTCTTGAGCGTTACTAACACAAGCTAATGGTTTTAATAGCGGTTTACTTGTCAAATTATAAAGATGCCTTATTTGTAATTAATAAACATCATCTGAAAAACGGTTCGTAAGATCAATGGTCATTCTATGAGCGCATAGTGGGTACGGCCGTTTAAGCTTGCGGAACAACCTGTAGATAAGCAGTATTAATTTAGAAAGTACAAAACTAGACGTAACTAACTGTAAGCACCACTTTTATATTTTTTTATTATGTAAAAGCGGTTTAAGAAATAATCAAGCACTGTCAACCTGAGTATCTGCATTTCGCAGTGAAAAAAATATTCAAACTTTTTGTGTGTTTGTACACGGGCACAACACCAAAACCCTCAAAGAACACACCAAATAAACACACCGAATATAACATAAATATTTCACACTTTCACTGTACACATAAATAAAACAAGTATCAGCAGACAGCAGTAACTGGTGATGCTACCGCCCGATCAGCAAAACTTATAAGTACAAAGTAACTACGCATTCGCGCTGTGCGAATCGGAGAGATCAACGGTAACAAGTGCACCGGACGTTCCAGGTTCCGCTGATGATCCGGGTGATTCATCAAGAGAGCGCGCTTTCAATTGTTCTTCCCACATGGCACGGTACTTTCCATCGTATTTCAACAGTTCGTCATGACTGCCGCGCTCCACAATTTCTCCCTCCTGCAGCACCAGAATTTGATCCGCATGGATAATGGTTGACAAACGATGCGCCACAATAATTGTTGTACGGTTAGCGCAAATCCGTGCCAGAGATGACTGGATCTGCCGTTCCGTCTGGGTGTCCAAGGCTGACTGCAATAAAGGACAATCTATAAACCCCTGAGATAGGTACATGTTGCACAATGCACATTATTCCTATGATTCTCCCGATTTATGCTTTGCAAGTGAATAAAGACGCTACCGTTGCTTCGTCCAAAAGCACCACCATGGGTGATTTCAATATGGTTCTGGCGATGGCCACCCGTTGCTTTTCTCCGCCGCTCAGCTTCAACCCTCGCTCACCGACCACCGTATCGTACTTGTCGGGAAAACTGAGTATTCGATCATGAATTTCCGCTGCTCGGGCTGCTTCTTCCACTTCCTCGTCTTCGGCTGTGTTGCGGCCGTATCGAATGTTGTAACGTATGGGAGCATTGAAGAGCACAGTATCCTGAGGTACAACGCCAATGGCGTACCGTAAAGTTTTCTGCTTCACCTATGTAAAAAGTTAATTTAAATGCGCGGCGCTTCAAAGCTAACATAACGATCAACAGGTTTCACCGCAACAGGGCAATACACCGTAACAATTTGATTTATTATTTAAAGGCATGTTTCGATTAGGAATATCATTCTGTTTCACTATTTCATTCCGCGTTAATCAGTTTTCATATAAACGTACCTTTGAAATATCCTGGCCATCAAACAAAATTGCTCCACGCTGGACATCATAAAAACGAAACATGAGGCGTATAACTGTGCTTTTACCGCTACCCGTGTGCCCGACCAGTGCCACGGTCTTTCCGGCAGGAACTTTGAATGAGATCCCTTTGAGAATAGGTCGTGCCGGCTCGTAGGCAAAATAAACGTCGCGAAACTCAATCTCGCCACCAACAGTGTTCAGCATAGGAGCACCAGGAAGATCTTTAACTTCCTCCTTTTCGTTCAATAGATCGAACATATTTTCCATGTCAACAAAAGCCGTTTGGATCATTCTAGAATACACCCGACGTATTGATAAAAAAAGTGCAGCTTTCACTAACACCTAACACACGCATTTTTCAAAAATGCACATTTTCGGATGAAATGATTGTTTATTTACTGAAACAACGAAAATAGTCTAGCATTCAATTAATTAAAAAAATGCACGATCAGAAATTCAGGTAAGATACTGAAATTATTAAGAAAACGAAACCCAATAACGAGAAGACTGCAAAACAAGATCAGGTTAAAAATGACTCACTTTACCTGTAGTATGTTCCAAACCAGTTCAGCGGGCCATATAGCTGAAATATGCAGAAATTACAAGTGAGATAACACAGTGCTAACAAAGGAGGACTCGTAATAAGCAAATAAGGTTCAAAAACGTCCGCGTTACCTGAATGATGTAAGTTCCCAGTAAAACAAAATCCCCAACATTCAAACTATCCTTTTTATAGACCATCCAAGCACACAACAGTGAACCAGCAAGAAATCCCAAGTTGATGGTAACGTTTTGAAAAAAGTTGAGGATACACAGTGAGGCATTGGAAGCCCACTCCATTTTTTGAAAATTCACGATAGCCTCACGATATCGACCAACTTCGTATTCTTCGGCATTGTAATATTTGACAGTCTCGAAGTTAATCAATGAATCCATCGCTTTCTGACGGCTTTCGTTTTCCAAAAGATTGCTAGTGCGGCGATATTTTGTACGCCACTCAGTGAGCCATATAGTTCCAGCTGCAAAGAAAACGGTACTGCAGCTGAAACGTGTTTTTACAATGCACAAGAAATTGCAAATCCAAATTTTACTGGTTTTTTAAATATTGAACCAGTCGAATATCAATGTATACGATGATAAACCATTTTCAGTATGTACAGACTCTGCGCAATACCATTTTGCCGCGTAACATGACAAAAAATCTGCTGACAAATACATGAGACGCACGGTCTAACATACCGAGATAGAGTGCCATGGTCACAAATACGATCAATCCGAACCATGCGTTAAACGCGCTGACGAAATACACAATAGCGATGATAATGTCAGCTACCGTTGGCAGGATTTGGAATACCACATAATTCAACAAATTATTAACGCTGTCTGTTCCACGGTCCATCACCCGCAAGACTTCGCCAGTTTTTCTACTCAAATGCCAACGCAAGGAGAGGGAATGAAGATGACCGAATAAACTGACTTCGATTTCACGCGTGGTATACTGCTGCACAGGAATCCACAGATACGACCGTAAATTGTTAAGAAATCCCATGGCACCTGTGGCGCAAGAACATTTCCGTATTTGTTGTCCTTATAGTGTAGAGAGTAACTGAGTAAGTAGTCTGTAATAATGTTTTACCTGTACCACCGCCTTGCAGGAACCGTACAAATACGAAGATGAGAATCAGATCATAACGAAAACTCACTGGATTTGTCAAGCTGTCAACTGTAAAATCGCAAAAAAATAAAATTAGGTCTATAACAAACCGTAAAGTTTTGTACTTCAAAATCGAACATGCTCCAATCACCGGCAAAAACTATAAAAATTCATTAATACCACATTACGAAACACTACTACAAAACTACTTAATTTTAATTCGAAAAGAGGAGTTAAATGCTTCACTCCTGTGTATTACTATACGAAGTACGCACGTACCAATACGCTTGTAATAAATTGGTGTTAAAAGATTCACTCCTCGTCCGGCCACTAACAATACGATCGATCCAAACACGCACAGCTGAACGCGAAGATCTCGCCGTGGCCAAACAAACGGCATCAACACCTTCATTTTTCCGTAGAGATTCTTGAAAGTTGACTTTTCATGTTGCCGAAATCCAGTGCGACTGCCCGTTCCAGCCTACTAATTAACGAAAAACTGCTGTATCACAACGAAAGAACTGTCATAAAATTCTTTAAAGAATATCCCTACCGAGCCTTCCGCATCTTCCGGCTTGGGCTCCTCATGCAACCAAGTGCTGAGGGTCCGATTGCTCGGCAGTCCCGGAGCCAAAATTCCCAAGAAAAACAGCGAAACGGTAAAAATGTATCGCGTAATGAACAAGCCCAGCTCCACTCTATCGTCATACCTATGGAAAATCGAGATTTAAAATATAAAATAAACATGTTAATTATCAATTTTTACTATGCATAAAAAGTGGATAAGCAGTTTAATTCAATTATTTTGCAACGTGTAAAATAGGTGCTTTGCAGATAATTACAAACTTGCAATCGATATACATTATACCTATACAAATGCAGATTTAAATGTAAAAAACACATTAATATAATGTCTGAATGTCATAAACTACGAAATACGTAAACATGAATTATTAGGCAAATGCACGAATGAATCAAAGAATAATAAAAAAATAAATTAATGTACAAAAGACATCGCCATATCAACAACCTGAGTAAAAAAAAAGGACTTACGTCTGGAGTTTCCACCACCACCACGGACTTTTGAACGAAACAAATGACAGCGTCTCAAATATCAACACCAAGGCCCAAAACCCCAGAATAACCAGTCCGTGTCCCCTGGTAGGAATTGTAGGCAGCATATAATTTCGTTCCATGAACACCAATGACACGGAAACGCCCAGCGCGATAATGTACGCGATACAGTATACAATCATGGATCCAGCGGGTTTATGGTTTTGTAGAACGGTAATTTGTACCGCTAGACGAAATAGGATTATTAGCGGCATTAGGACGAGAAAGAGAAGCTGCAAATGGAACAACCACGAGCGAGGTTTAACTCGCTCAGCTAACGTCGTCCCATGCTTTCGGTAAATCCGCAGTTGAATGGATCCGAAGACCAACATCAGTGCACAAAATATCGACGGCCCGACAGTTTCCAGAAAACATGGAGAGAAACCATGATACTGCCAGGCTGGCAGGAATGTTTCATTTCCCGAACAATACGGCAACATTTTTAGAAAACAGACAGATTTACGCTCAGACAATTAAAGTCAGGGACAGGGAAACGGAAAACCCTTTACAGCCACCAAGACCAGGAGAAGAAACGTGAAAGGCACGATCGGGAACCACGTGACAGAAAAACGTTTTCTCATGTTACGTACATATATTTAAAATGCGGAAGATACGATGAATATAACTTCTGAGTAACCCTTCAAGTATTCCAACATCGCTTTAAAGTTCGTTCGCAAATAAAAACATTTTCCGATTTTCGATTGTAATGTGTCTGGGGATAAACAAAATTTGTGAACGTCAGCTGTGACTCCGCATATTTCAAACTTCAAACAGTACAAATTTACGCCAAGTGCTCAGCCTAGGCGGTTGCACTATACCATGCTTCATAATTATATTATTGTCTATAAACACATTGTCTATAAACACTTTCATGATACAGTGAAGAATATGTACCATTAATGGAGAGTGTTGCAGTCCCAACTTTTTACAAAATCTTTTGAAAACGTGTTAATACCTACTTTACATTGTATCTGTACTGTGTGCAGTTTTTAATGTTTTTAGTGCTCGTCTGAGGACAGAAGTTATCGATGTGCCATGGATGTACCCGAGAAGGATTTATACCGGTCCATAGAGGAAGCCACCAAGCAGATGTCGCAAGATCTCGATCTGGTTGGACAAGGGAAGGGAACTTCGCAGCTGAAATCGGTTTTGAAGAAAGCATTTGTTAAAGATAAAGCTCGTTTCGAAGACTCGTGGAAAAAGGTGTGCACGCACAGCTGATAAAATAACCGTTCATTCAGTGCTGTATAGTGCAGACTGTAGTGCCGTTATAGGATGTCTGACTGTTTCTCGTTTCATGCCGTTAATTGCTATAGAGTTATCTTTTGCTGGATCCCAAGCGCAAATCCAAGAAATCGAAAAAGCCCCGACCACCACAAGGTCTCACGCATAAGGAGCGCAAAGAGCTGAAAGTGTTTGACATCCCGAAGGAGCAGCAAAAGTTCAGTATATTTGAACCTCTGCATGCTTTGTGGTGCGGATACATGGAGGAGGCATTCCGTTTATCCCATCTGCAGAGTTCTGGTGTGAACAATACACAGGAAGATCTGACCAAAGCGGATTATCATGGTGCCATGTTGAAAGTTGTAGAATCGAACAACCCCAGCCTGGTTGGTGTGGAAGGAATCGTAACACGCGAGACCAGGAATACGTTTCATCTCATTACGCGGGCAGACCAGCTGAAAATCATCCCGAAATCGGTTTGCACTTTTGAATATGCAGTCGGAAATGTGCGCGTGAAAATCTATGGAGTTAATTTCTGTTCTCGCCCGGCAGATAGGATAAAGAGGAAGCTGGGAAAGCGAAAACCAATTCGAGTGATTTGATCACATTGCCGTGCTTGTGAAATTCACATTTCACACCGTCTGTGACTGAAAACTGAGAAATTTTATGGTTTTTAATGGGGTTGTGCTACGAGTGGTACTTTTGGATATTACCGTTCGATGCGAAATTCACAAAACAGTCTGTCTGACATTCAGAATTTGACAATCATTGAATTGTCATTTATGTACAGTATAGTACCGAATATTTAACGGGTAATAACATAACATGCAACAATAAAACATTTAAAAGGAATGTTACCGTTCATGCAACAATAACATGACAAAACTTTTTAACAACACAAACAGAGCCCTAATAGGCGATACAAGACAAAAATACCAGAGATAACTACGACCAAATTCAGGAAGAATCCTTCCCAGGATCATGAACGGGGCTCATGAACGATCCCGTACTGGACTGTGGCAAGGTACGCATCCCAACACCCGCACTGCCCGGCGAGCTGGCTCTCATTCCCGTTGGAAATAAAGGAGGCCGCACGACCGGTGGCGACATCGCCGATGATGGCGACGTAATATGCGGATGAGTCGAAGTGGACGCCGGTGACGCAACGGGCATTCTGGTGGCCGGAGATCCCACTGTGCTGGACACACTGTTCTGTGGACTGAACATTCGCACCGATCCCGACACGGATGGCCGTTTGGCTGTGTCCTTTGCACGATCCTTTTGAAATTGGTCATACAAAAGAGGTCCAAACACTGTGCCGTACTCAATGCGGAAATCTTCTGGTTTATCGATGTGTGGACGGAGGGTGCGATGGTGCTCCGAAACTCGGCTCTAAGTTTGAATGTTCAGTCAGACAACTTTTATGATTAGTATCGCTAAAAACAGCGTCCAAACTTACGATTAATCGGTCGCGGATTTGATCAACCGCTTTCTTGTCGGCTGCGCTGCTATTGGGAGTCTGATAGTTTTTCAACAGTTCGGCCTCGTGTTTCATTCTTGGAACAACCATAAGGGATATCGTCTGCAAAAACGAAAACCGCATCTGATTGATGGCTGCATGCTAATCACTGTTCAACAAAATCAGACTGCTGCATATTTATAACTTTATGACAAACGTTACCGACTGTCTAATTTGCAATTAAAGCGAAAACCACGTAGCTTGCCATAATTGATAACTACTTTAAATACTGAACAACATAAATTCGATGAATAAATAATTACAAACCGTAAAATTTACAAACAAAATAATTATTAATTTACTAACATATACTAACACGTACTGCAGTAAAATGGTTTCTAAAGACAGAATACTCCACTTCGCTTCCGGTATTCATGTCAGTTTCACTTACTTCGTTTCCAAATTCCGTTAGAGCACAGTACGCTCCATATCTGGTAGCCAACGGAGATGCATCGTCATCCAGAGTTTCTTTAAAAATTTGAATCAATCTCTGCAACAACCGGCTGGTCGGAGAATCATAATTCCTGAAAACCGCAGATATTTTTAAAGATAATGCACTCCAACAGGTAGTTCGTTTCTACAATCACACCGGGATATCGAAGCAAGAATTTTCGCGGCGAATCCCCGCAGAGCCCAATGATTATCGACTTCCGGTCGCGAGCAGAGAACTTTGCTTACGCAGCAAGATGTCACTGCTGGGACAATGCGATCGAGATATTCGTGAAAATACAGGGACTGGTTATCCAGCAGTGCCTTCACCATCCTCATAATGTAGATCAAAAGAGCTAAATTCTGCTGGACAACATTCACTTTCACGCCCTCTGAAAAATAAGAAAACGAAAACTGTTAAGCCAACATGCCAAAGTAAAAGAAAATTATAAAAGAAACTAAAAAATACGTCTGCAGTTATTGTATGTATTGTAATACGGTGTCGGTAAGCAATGCCATTGCCATCATGTTGGGAATTGATGACGCTTTATACAACTCCTAAGTAAAACAAACTGATTCGTTAAAAAAAAATCAAAACGCCCGTAAAAAATCCTATGGCACCGACAAACTCGCTATGAGAAAGCCGTTAATTTCGCAAATTGCCTTTTGCTCGTACTAAAACTGCTACGTACAAACCAATCCAAACCTTCAGATGTACAAAAAACCCAAAGGAAAATCCATACCTGATATAAAAACAGCCAGACGAGGGACGAGAGCGTGCAGGCCTGGATCGTGTTCCAAACTGGAGAGTGCTTCCTTTCTCTTGTCCTCATTGCTGCCAATAACCGCTTCCGTGACATCCTTGTAATACTGCTGCTGTTCAGCGCTGAGATCTCCCGTCGCCAAATCCTTAATTCTCACCACCTGGCTCTTCTGCACCGCTTTCTCCGTAGCAACTTTTCGGGCCACCACGGGGTTCGTCGCTTTGGCTTTCTGATCATCCTTCGTTAAAGGCGCAGGATTCTCGGGAATCGTGGGTTGTTTGCCTTCAATGGCTAACCAGTGCTGACGCAGCGTCACCTCCGAAGGAAGAGAGCCGCCGTGTTTGCGCGCGATGGATTGCACTTCTTTCTCCTTGTCATCCACGACATACAGCGTCTTCCCTCCCACACCACTGACGCCGCGGATGGGAATGTAGTCCCCCGTGGAGATGTCCACGGTGGGATCGAGATTCAGCAGCTGCATGGCCGAATCTACATCGGATTTCAGCAGTTTCATACGATGCGAGCAGTTGGCGTTTTTATTGGCACGGTCCACGATAGTCTGCACAATCTGCGAGACGGAACCGCTGATGAACTCCGCAGCCTCCTCGGAGAGATTGTGCACGCCAAGAGTTTCTGCCCAGATTTTGACCTGATCACTGGACAAAGATTTGGATGATGCCATTTTGAGCTTCGAAGTCTCCCGTCTCGTGTTATGGTTCCAGTTTCCACCAGTTCGTCTTCAACACTTTAAATCCAGTCGGCAGTCATTGATCATACTTCCTCTTTTAGGGCAAAACTACTACATCTTTAACTGTGAGTATTTTAACTGTATTAAGTATTTAACTCTGCAATCTACAGTCTTTCATATTTTTACATTAATCATAAAAATAAAATGATAAAATTTAAGTACAGTAAATCAGTAAATCTAGAAATAGAACCCGTAAAAACGTTCCTGTAATACCACGCGCGGCTAACGGGAAAATTGCTCCTCGTAGCCCTAACGGTATAACGAGCCGCACCCACAGCCAATGAGCAGTATCTTAGCCAACGAATCGTAATTGCCCACAGAAACATTGCAAATACTACAGAACTTTAAATATCGTTAGCGGATACACAATAGGGGCTTTGCGTTGCAACTTGTATGTCATATAAGTTAGCATCCATCTACATAAGTAAGACTTCCGGTCGTCGGAATTGGTTTGTGCGTAAGGCTCAAAACGAGCTGGTGTGCGGCACGCGTGTAGCTGTGACCAGCTCGCTCATACACATACAAGTAGCCGACCTGACTGGCAGTCAATCCCCAAAACTTGCAGCACTCTTCTTTCGTTTTCCTTTCAACAGAACTTCCCAATCGATATGTCAAAAGATGGAGAATTAATTTTCAAACTTTTCGATACCTAACAAGTGGATATCTATAGCAAATCGAGAAAGTTATGGCTGTTTTGGCTTCTCGTAGACAAAGCATAGGCCCGTGCGAGGAGGCGTTGCTTGCATCCTATGCTAAGTCTACGAGAAACCAAAACAGCCATAACTTTCTTGATTTGCCATAGATATCCACTTGTTAGGTATCAAAAAGTTTGAAAATTAATTCTCTATCTTTTGATATTTCGATTGGGAAGTTCTGTTGAGAAGTAAACGAAAGATCAGTTTTTGAAATTTCGAGATCGACAGCAGTTGGAGCAGATTCGTGTATGTATGCATGCGAGGGGGTGGAGTTACATACATACGCGTAAGGCCTTTACGAGTATGCATTTTTAGCACCGCCCCACGCAAGCACACATCTAATTCGGGCGGCAGCGAATCGCCGCATTGTGGGTTCGGCTATGGTGTAACTTGTATTGATGGGTCGTTAGTTGTGTATCATACAAGTAGCAACGCAAAGCCCGGAATATGTGTATTATAGAACTTCTATTTAATCAAAGCGTCAGTTCTCTTTTTTATTTTATTTATGAAATAATTTTGACGTTTTGGTTTCTGCTGATTTAAATTTCATTGATATCGATGACTATCGGAAATATCGACGAAGTCGTGTCGTTATGAACTGATTGTTGTCACGCTTTTCACGTACATAAGATTTGCCCCACGGATTTTACAATTAAATTCCGGTGTACAAAAAACAACCAAAACATTAAACATTACAACAATAAAATGCATTTTTCGTTGCGGAAAATAAACTTGCCGCAAAAAAGGTGACAAAATACAGAAATTTCTAAGCTGCTTTTCATAGCCGCCTCATCAGGATGTACTATAAATTTTACATCAGGTTGTACTACAGGATGTACATCAAGGGTACTACAGGATGTACATCAAGGTGTACTACCGGACGTACATTAAGTTGTACAACAGAGTGTGCTACATAACGTTCATTTAATAACAAAATGATATTTAAATGTAATTATAACATGATAATACTGAAATTTTAAATAATAAATATTGTTATATCAATATTAATAAAAACACGACAAAAAAAATAACTGCAGATATGCAAAACTTCGGCAAAACGTTTTTAAGAAATGAAGTTATAACAAACGCCGACACGCACAGCTTTATAGTGCATTCTAATGTACGATGGCTAGCTAACCTTTTAACATGTAGTATGCCCGCTCTGCAATGTTATAAAACGACATCGTCATAAATTAAAGACACCACAAGTTTATTTACTGATTTCCCTAACAAACTTATTAGCAATTAGAATTTCTGAAACTTGTGTCCTAAGCAAAGTTTTCAGGAACAGATCTGTTCGCAAATACTCAGTAACTATACCGGTAGAGCCAAACTGTTTAGGTTGCGTTGAAGAAATAACTAAAACGCAATTTTTACAAACATAATTTGGACAAGGTAAAGTTGATATTTTGTTTGAAAAGAGAATTAACAATATAGAAACTAGCTGTTACGATAATAAAAACAAGCCATATTACATTTTTAAATATAATGATAATGCATATAATGTTAATGCACTTCGCACCAGGAACTTCGATCATGTTCTAAAAACGTGGTGCCGAAGTTTTTGAATAATGGTTTTTCATGTAAACTTTTATCTCGTGTTTCATTTACTTAATATAGATATGACAATATTTATTACTTCAAACTTTAATATTATTAGTTAAAATTACGTTAAAATATCATATTTATTAATAAAGGAACGCACTGTTGCACATCCTGTAATATACCCTAAGGTACACCCTGTAGTAAGACCTTGATGCACACTCTACAGTGCAACCTGATGTACATCCTGTAGTACAACCTGATGGTAAACCTGTAGTACGCCTTGATGTACAATCTGCAGTGCTACCTGTTGAGAGAGGCTACGAGGAAATAAATAGCTTCGAATTTTTCTATTTTGCCACTGTTTGCTTTTGTAAACCAGTTCTTTGTGACAAATTTGCAACTGTTTTTATTGTAATTAATAAAACTCTTTATTGGTTTTGTACATTAATGTTCTTTTTTGAAAGCACCGGGGTGAATTTGTGACCCAATAAAAGCTATCAGTACTAGTAACTTCTTATCTACAAGAAAGGCTCGACGACAACAAGCGAATAGTGAAATTCAGCAAAACCGTTATCCGCCGAAACAAAACGTAAAATTGATCGTAATCATTTTAATTTTCAAATCGCGACATTACAGTCATAGTTCCATTAACTACGGCCATCATTGCACAGTTAAAATTGATCTATCATGAAAGGAAAAGGAAAACTCTGACTTTGGGATTTTAAAAGTTTAATATCGTATGTATGGTAACTAATGATATGCCTTTGCAATTTGGATTTGAATCGGAGAAAATTTCTTGAAGTTCTCTGTGCAATTAGGATTCGTTGGCTAAACAGCTGCTCATTGGTTGTGGGTGGGGTTCGTTATAGCATAAGGTCTACGAGGAGCAATTTTCCCGTTAGTCGCGCGTCTGTAAAACCTAATACCTTAAAAGGGACGATTGCACTAATCAGCGTCGCGAGGTGGTTGCCAGTGCCACACGCCATAAACATACAGTAGATTGTTGTGCAGGTGCCACTGCACTACTGAGTACTGACCGTGAGTAGAAATACAAATTTTCGGAACTTCTCTTTGGCGGTGTTCCTGTTGTGAATGCCGCATCATCTACTTATATAGATATATACAGACATACAGGTAATGACTCGCTAATTTAAGCACCAAAAACACAATTTTATGGCTAGTCTCTACCTTCCTGCACTTTAGCAACTGCAGTAAACCTAACAAAAAGTTACATCGACAATACAGTGAATAAACAATTTAGTCAGCACTCTGTTAGGGCGGCAATGCGCAATTCCGCAGATTTAAACTATTCAACTGTAGAGTGTATTAACGTCTGAAAACAGCAAAACGTAATAATAGAATTGTTTTGTACTACTCTGTAACACAGCACAATGCACGATTTAACATTAACCGCGGCCTTTTTCAATCTAACCAGTTAATAGTCATCATATTATGTGACAAATCAAACGATACAAACTATTAGTTACTTACAATGGGCTCTACTGCCTTCAATTTATAGCTAGAACTTTGTATGTACATGTATTGAATGATCATATTATTGTGAAAGTAAACGTTGCTACGAGGTACGAACTAAGCTGTATTGATGAATGGTTAACAATGGAGTCACGGTGACGATTTAAATTTGAAATGTCAAAATTGTTTATTTAGTTTATAGGATATTTACATAAATTATAACATGAAACCATTATATATATGGATATTTCGAAGGTACGAGTATATCGTACAGCATCTGTCCAGTAATACTGCGAAGTGTGAATTCGACAGAACTGAGGGCTGGTGGACGCATGCGCGTTTCCGGTTTTTTTAATACGTAGCACATGAATGCTTACGTGGTCACTCGTAATCTTAAAATCGGGACTCTCATCTTCGGATACGCCCATGCCGGCCATGCAGTAGTACAGCCGCGTTGCCACTACTTCTATAGTATTTCATGGTACATACTTTTAAACAGGAAGCTAACTCCATCATACGCGGACGACTTATGTATCAGCGCTTCTGTGCGTCAGTAGCGATGGGGTTGAACGTGAGGCGTCGATGGATGGCGGGATAATGAGATCCAGATGAGAACTACGGAATACGCTAATTAGATCTATCAGGAATGTGCCAAGAACATAAGCTCATCACCATTCATATTTCATCAGTGCACACACTCGCCCTTCATCATCATTTGAGTCGTATAAATAACCTATTATTCTAGCAGATAGCAGGCGGCGGCGGCTGAGCGCTAATTTTGAGTTCGCACTGAGATTTTTAGCCATTGATCGTGCGACAAGTTATTAATTGCACGGAATTAAATCGCCAAATCTGAAATAGAATGTCTTGAACAAAACAACATCATACTTTTCTGGGCCGGTGTTCTTGTATAAGCGATTTTGTTTATGAATGTTTTTAACTTTGGTATGGTATACTCTTACAATAACTATCTGTATAAGATTTCACTAGCGGCCGAATACTATCATGGTCCTGCTATACTGCTGTCATTAATTTTGGTGTCGAGACTCGAAATGCTGTATGCTTTACTGTATTAGCCTACGGATTGGTGTACAATTTTAAAAACATTGTACGTTTATTTCCAAAGGTTTAATAAAATATGCTTTGTAATTACAATGTACAGTACTTAGATATAATTATTATATTGTAGGTTCAACGACTCGGTCGCGTTAAAAGTTAGGAATAATATTTTATCCCACTTTTGTTGCGCAATAAACATTAATTATCTATCTTATGCAAATGATGAGATTTATTACGGATTTAAACGACTTGTATTGTACTTATGCAAATATCACTTGGATGGCACACTTCACTATAAAAACCTTCAAAGTGCATAAGTAATACAACAAACTTTATAATTTACATAAAGGAAGCATTTTTATATACTATAATTATGTGTTGCACTGGCTGTGTTACGAGTATAAACTGCCATTTAAGTTTTGTATTTTGCTGACATTCTGATACTGTTGGGTATCCTGTATGCACAGTGGCGCACCCGGCCGCCGCCGCGGAACGTGTATGTGTGTAGTGTGTACCGCTGCTGATTGTGAGTGTGGTTATCTGCTGATGGCACAAAGTGTGGCTAAATAACATGTCATCAAGTGCTCTTCATTAGCGATTCAACAAATTGCTTTAATTGACCGCACTGAATGATTCCTTAGGGAATTAAATGTTACAAAGTGCTCTTTGAGGCAGTGCAGCAAATAACCGCATAAGCGACACTTTTCTCCCTTCAACTTCCGTTTCCTTCCGCACCATTAACCATAATCGCTGCATCCAGGGAGCTCTCGCAATCCGCCTTCAATTATTCGATTCTTCGTTTATTTGCATTGAACACAATCTGTCGTACACCACCATCAAGTTAAAGCAATATCTCCAGTTCGGCAAATAGTTTAATTATCTACTGTAGTTCTTTCTGCGCTCAACGAGTAGATTTGCGGCATTCTTACAGTCAGTGTTAATGCGTTATGCCAGTCTCCGATTTAATTTCTCCTCAGTGTATACACTTTTGTAGTGGATTCAAATTTTATAACGCGGCGAATAATCCTTTAGTATTTTGTAACCTTTTACGTAATTATCTACTTGTATGTCAGCCTGTGCACAACGCATTTACAACATCGTACAGAATTCTTCTAAAAATGGATATAACCTTGTTCTCGGGATAAATCGCATGGTTTTTTCAATAAAAATTACAGACTGCGCACGTGATATTTCATATTATCTCATAACAGCTGTCAGAATGTTTTGAACCGCTCGTTTCCGTAACATAGGATAGAACCGATAGAACTGAATGGATTATACATAGATATACTTTTTTGGATGGAAAGTGAGCAGGAATAGGTAGGTATGATCGATATCAGTATATTCGTACAAATTTTACAAGAAATGCAATAATTACAAAGCCATCTGGATTTCTTTTCAAGGAATAATGTGCATCCAGTGCTCAAATTCAGTACATAATTAGCAACTATGCTGCCAAAATTCCTTTTGACTGCACGTAGTTTAAGTCATAAGAAAACAAATTGTAGTTTACATCGAATAGATTATCATATGTGATAAACATGCTAGAAATTTTTCCATGTAAACATAACTATTTATCGAAATTGGAAAGCGGAAGGATTGGGTAAAAAGTAGGAAAGGGGAACACCAGGATACGGGAAGGGAAGCGCCGGGTGAGGAGGAAAACCAAAAATACCATTAGCGGTTGGAACTGGAGAGAATGCTGTTTGGGTGATGCCGGGTGATGATAAATCTGTTGGACTGTTGGCATCCATCCCGGGATTTTGCTTTTTCCATTTCGTGCGCCGATTTCTACAAAGCGTAATCGTTAGCTGTGTTCAATAAAACCAGGTATCAGCCAAATGTACTCAACGCAAACTCTGTAACCGACTGGATAAAAAATGTTGCTATCATGTTATTTTTATGACACGTCTCTTCAAAAGTATTTTCGAAATGAGTTTCTAGATTTCTCACTGATGCGGAAAATCGTAAGCAAATGTTGCAATAACGAACTGGCTACTGAAACCACCTGTGACCTTTGAAGTTGCAACCGTTCACAGAAAAGTTCTCAGTTAGTACGGCTAACAAAAGTCAAAATGAATAAAACCGAAGTTACTTTCAGATAATATTATTGAAGGAATGACTCAAGGTTAAAGAAGCTAAGTAATAAAGAAGCTGTTGAGTAATAATAATGGTTATTCGTGCTGCAACTCACTGAAACCATATTTTCACTTGCTGCTCCGAAAGTTGAAGGGACAACGCAAGGTTCAGGCGCTCGCATACGGAGAGATATCGCGTTGATTTGAATTTGTTCTCCAGGGCGACCAATTGTTCATAAGTGAAGGCCGTTCGCGCTCGCCTGGGTTTGCCGTGCTTTGCCCCGGATGTCGATTTGCCCTCTTTAAACTGTGCCGCATCACCGTCCTGGAGTCGCTTGGGCTTCTTCGATGAACTTTTATGAGCATCATCATCATTCTTTTGTTTCTTAATGACCCTTTTTAGTTCCTTATCTGGAAAAACGAGTGACCGCTTTGCAGACTCAAATACGTGTGATGCCGACAAATTTACTTAGGACACGTTACAGGAGCCGTACGCTGAAATGATCAAAATGAAATTATGCGTGTAAGAGCCACATGAAAGCATGCGGGCGTAACGGAAGGGATCGATGTCATTAGTGGGATCACCACGAGCCTAAAGCTGCTTTCAATCTGTTTATCTGAAGCGGAAAATTGTCTGCTTCAATCATCTTCATCAATTAAATTTATCGCCAACAAATGACTTTTCTACAGCCATCTGAGAACGTCCGATAAAGACTTCCTTTTCCGCGCGGGATAAGCTTGGCACATTTAACTGGGTGATTAAGAAATAATTGCGGCCCACGCAACCCTAATGCGGCACATAATAAAGCTATTCTCTTCGCAACATCTGAAAGGTCACTGTGTTACAAATAGGTTACGCATTGTGTGCAAACAGGCGACGTATGAAAGCCGACATCGCTGAACTAAATGCTGTGGTGAGAGACCCGTTTCAATCATCTTAAGAGGATACAAGCTGGAAAACAAGTAAAGGAAATAATGCATCTCACTTTTTCCGAAATTAAATTTTTCTCCACAATATAATCGAAACGGGAAAGAAATGCGGCAGAATTATGTATTCTTTATGGATGTACATAAGACGCCCGCGGCACGCACTTTGACAGCAACGAGAAATTATTGGTGAATTCACAGTCACACACTTGCACATCTGGCGAGGTCCCATAATTCAGCGTGTCAAAAGCGCTTTCGAGCCGGGGTTTTTACGATTAGCGTTTAGTTTAAACGATAAGCTTTAACAGCCACATGTTTCCGGCTGCGGACGATATTAAGATGCTCGCGCCAATTGCTGTATTTGGAAAGAACTTAAAACCAATTATAATGCTTAACACATTTGGAGCTGAACTGTAAAGTTTGCTGCTCAATTAAACCACTTGACGCAATTAAGTCTGTCAGCATGACAAAAAACTTGGTACGACGGAGATCTCCCGAGACTGTGCGCACTTATACAAAGACTCTTGTATATAAGTAGTAAGTACTGTAATACTTGTAATACTAAGTAGTAAGCAGTAAGTAATACATAAGTAGACTTCCAATAATGCTGCATTCGGGATCTGCTGAATAAATTTTATTGCACAATAATAAGTATCTAGCACACAACGACGCATTTCTTCTGATAATCTACCCTACGTAAAATAAAAGCATTATGCCGGCAGTTGACATAAAACGATAGCGGAAATGTAAAAACCGGATTTTTCAAAACTAGGATACCACAGATCATATTTGACAAGTCGCGAAGTGATTAACTGATTTTTGACAAATGTGAAAGAATAAATATACGTAACTTTGGTAGACGCCGTGTTATTGTCAATTTGTCACACATACATTCGTTAACAGGGCAAATCAGAGAAATTTTCCAGTTTCCAGGATTAGTTTTCTAAGTTATGTGATGATTTGGCTAAACATTACCTTCCAGTTTGCACTGCATGTTTTCGCCGACGGCAACTTTGGAATCCAGCTTTGTTGTTGGTACATCTCGTACCGGGTTGCCACCCAAAATATCCAAGACGGAAAAAGGAGTATGGCGAGATTTTTTCGTCGATTGAGCGGCAGCAGTGTCATTGAGCGGATGTGTTTCATCAATGACCTTTACGATTCGGCACGTCAGTTCTTCAGGATCGGTCTGACCATCCTGCAGATTTAGCGGCGTACTGGCTTCGGACTGGTCCGAGTGCGTACTGTCAATGTCACTAGCGCTATTACTGCTTTGATCATGCGAATCAAAATCTGCCGGGATTTCTTGTTTAACGGCAAACATTTTTGCAGAAAAAGACATAACCAGAAAAGCATAAACTTTCACCGCGGTTTAAATGTCGATATCCGGTACTGGCGCTTGGCGTAAACTGATTCGGAAGTTGAGGATGGAAGCTGCGATTAATAAGCTCTGTATTTAGCCAAATGGGACGGCAATCAGGCGACTAATGATGATACGAGTGCGGCCTATCAACGATCAGCCCCAAATGCTTACGCCTACTGGACAGCAACGCTGCGGCTGGGCTGTTCACTGTTGAGTTTTGTTAAACATGACAAACCGAGTATGCACCAATATTTTGCTGTTTATATTTTGGAACATTTCCCTAAATACTGGCGAAAATAGCCCGGCTGTGATTTGACTCTCTGTGTCGGAGAGTGCGCGCGCACACATAACTCATCGAGTCATTTGAGAGAGCGAAGAATGCGATTGGCTGCAAATGGTAAGGACCATCTGGGATTTAGTAAGGCAGAATACACAGCCAGCACTATCGCACACCACACACAGCAACAACTGCCGAGTGCAGCAGCTATAATCATCGTTAATATGCTCAACGAATGAAACGTTTTGAAAGCACTTTAACGTCTCTTAGTAAAAACACTGTGTCGATTGCCAGCGTGCGCGTGTCTAACGATTTGCCTGTGGGCCAACGGAGAATAAAAGCCCTGTTTTCGATTTAAATTGAATGTACTATCATGAGACCAAAAGCTTAGATTATCCATTTCTAATTTGCCCCTCTGCTGTGGTATTTGTGTTACATTATTGGCAATGTTGACCTAACGATACATATTACTCGCAGAAGCCGGCATATGTAGGACACTTAATTAATTACCTACGAAGCGTTCCTTTTTAGCTCTCCGTTTATAGTGGATAGTTTTTGTTTGATAGTATAAATTTCGGTTCGACCGGTTTAAGCTGAGCTGCCTGTTAAGTTGTTTCAACTTTTAATTAAACATGATTGTCATTATATGTAGTAGGCTTTCATTGCCAGCTTCTTCTACTTGTCTACTCTAGTTAATACTATTTGGTTAGATATACCGTAAATTTGATGGCCAGCTTTTTAAATAACCCCAGCCTTAGCGCTTATTTCGCTGCAGAGGACATCCTCGATTCAGTTTATAGAAAATCGAGGACTATGTTTTAATTACGCTTGTACGTCTTTTGTTGTGCAAAATGTTGCGCACACGCATCGGCATGGATAATTGCACACTCTGGCATGTGTGTCCTCACAATGCAATCAACATGTCCAGAGGAATTAACGCCGGTTCTTGTACCATTAAGCGTTCTTAGCCGGCTTGTAATAATGAATAAAACTGCGTAATCCCTAATAAATTGATTGGTTTCCGTATTAATATAAGTGCCTGCTAGAGGAGAATTGGCGAGTGCAGCAAGCTGGAACACACGGAAATAGCCGGTGGATTGTGGGATCGTTCACCAGCTGGGTTAGGTGCGTAAAAGCGTAATCCTTCTTTTAGCTTGTAGTGAATATGATGCATCCGCGTTTGTACAATATCTTGGCGTGCTAATTTGCTGTTTAATTGTTAATAAATGGTAGAACGAAAACAGGGATTGCTGTGGATAAATACTGCAACAATGCCATGCACCGTGTTCCGTTTGTTACTGTACAATACAACTTATAGTACTGTACATGTAAAAAATACGTGAACAACTATGTCAAACTGGGTTGCATTTCACAGTATCCACGTTAACATTTTAACTATTTGTATTATAATATAATAAATATAAACTTGTTACAAATAAAATTATCCAGGTGTTTACACGTGTAAACGGGGAAATAATATTAAGACCATTTCTTTATAAACTTTGTGGCATCTGATTAATATTATTGAGTAAGAATTTACCGAAAATCGGCTTATACTGCTTACGTCGCTGCTAAATGCCACTTATAAGAAAAAACCGAATTGGGTCAGTTCATGTTGCATAATTACTGGATGTACAAGTAGCTGTTGGCAACACTCACAGTTTCCCTTTGCGATCGCTCGTTCTTAAACGGCCGGCGTGAATACAGGCTATATTTTGGCTAATAAGTTTAGTGGTTAACGCAGACCCGAGGATAATTAAGAAACGGGTTAGCATAAGAGATGGGCATGTTACGCACAAGAGACATCATTTGATAGTTCAATCCAGCTCTGTGAAGCGATAAAGAGAAGCTCTTTGAAATGAAATGAAGCTATAATGGGCTTATTAGGAGTCATTTTTCATGGCAGACATGACAGACGGATTTGAGCAAATATAAACTACAGCGCACTTTGTAACCGCAAAGGTCCGTGCAATTTGCCGAGTAGACCAATTGCTCTCTTCACAAGTGTATCGACATTTCGATCATCAGTCGCTAGTCCGGGCAATATTCTAAATCAGAACATGTTGTCTATAGATGGTGTCTGTTAAAATGTCAATATAAATTCATCTTCCCCTGAGCTAGTGTCCAGTGTCGGCTTCGCTCGCATATATGCGGAGGAAATACGACATGCGCTACTAATTTGTTGTGCAACATCCGATCCTTTTCATAAGCGGATCTATACCATTTCACAAACACTACGCGCAGTACATTGACTGTAAAGATTTACATTGTACGCAGCTTGTGCTTTTACTTCCTCTACAAGAGCCAATAAGAAACCATTCATAAGCTCAAATAAATAATAAACATTTTTACCGCAATTCACATTGGCAGCAAACCTCTTTCCATTTAGGTCGAGCTTTCGGAATTAAACATACGTTCCCTAATAGGTTTTGTTTAGACATTTTTGATTACGGCTTATGAATAATGTGCAGCTGTGTTTACATTTTGACTATAAAGTAATATGTGCGCGTGTACTGTGTGCTATTTTGAAGGTTTTTTGCCTATTTAATTCAGCCATCACGACTATTTAATTCATTGATCGGCATGTCGCGCGTGCGAAGAAAGCGGTTCATTAATTAACAGAGTTTCATTTTTTAGGCACCAATTACAAAGTTTTACTTAGTATAAAATATGTTACATAGTATAATGACTTACTGTATATCAAAATTAAGATTTTGTGTCTGAAATTGTAAATCTGGACCTATACATAAGTAGTAATAACCAATAAAAACGATTGACCTGTAACAGAGGTCACAGCAAGCCTATTTGGCATTTGCCAGTGAAATGCAACACCGCACAGAATCTGCGTGGTGATGTTTGAGACTCACCAATTAACTTATGAAATGGCTACCGTTTGATTTATTAAGCACAATAAGATAATTAGGCGAAGACATTAAGTTAATGAATTGCAGCTCGCAAAGGACAAGGCAGGTTAATTGTCCCACTTGATCTGTATGGGAAAGGCACAATGAAGGTGACAACTGGCTTAGTGAGTGATAAACTGGAACAACGCAGTCAAACCGACACATAAGAGACTAACTTACAATTAGGTAATTAATTACAATTGCAGCGCATTGCACCCGTGTCTTTTCATTCGCAAATATCCACGATTTCAACAGAAGTAATACAAGTGCAATCCTGCTATTCAGACCAAAAAATGACACACAATGGGCGATCTGCAATTTTCATGGACGTAGCAGAGAACAACAAATTACTCTTCGGCATTCTCCTCTTCAATTTCGCCGGTTAATATAAAAGCACATAACGTCCATTAATGAAATAAAGCGTAACAAATAAAGATGCAAAGCTATACTCTTATAACAGACATAATATAAAACCATAAAATGAAAACACAAATGGAATGCCTTAAATTATACACGAATAAAATGCAAGGGCGCAAAGATATATCACCGAAAGCTGTCGCTTCTCCGATCACAATCTGCTGTTCATCAGGTAAGGCTATGCAATGGATCACAGATCCATGGACGAGGTATTAATCTCTGGTAAGGGAGAGCCTATTAACCCTCCCGGATCACGTCCAGTTAATCAGTGGCAATAACTAAAAACATGTTAAAATCATTGAAAACTTGAAACAGAGGTCAATATTTTATCTAGCAGGATTGATATTTCACACTGGCGGATGACAATTTTTTACTAAGCCAGTGAATATCGACGGTTAAACACACATACCCCAGCTGCGGTATCGATTGTTGGTTTCAGTCTCGAATCCTTCAAAAACTTCAATGGAAATTTCACTATATAGCCCCGAACGCCTTTCAAAAGCTCGGCTGCCCTTTCGGGATCGGTTTCCGATAACGTCTTGTCCTCCATGTAATCGTTCAGCTGGTGGAATGTGAAAACCTCATCCGTTGGCACAGGAGCAAATACCTGAAAAATTCATATGAGCACCATGCGATAATTACCAAAGTTCGCAAAGCCATAAAAAAGCAACACAAAGGCAAACAGAACGAACCAAAACAAGCAAGCAGCCAGACTCATCCAAAGAATAACACGAACTTGTTGGTAGATGGCGTCGTTATCCACGGCAGTCTTAATCCACAAACCACGGAAAAATTCTTCAGACACTGGGTCAACCACGAGCTTATCCGATTCTTCGGGAGACAGACCAGTATCCATATCCTCTGCCAAGCCCAAGTGAATTCTATGCATACATACATACATATTACCTACGCACAATTCCAGACTGTGGTCAGTGGAGAACATTCGCCCAAATAATCCCAAATAAAAAAGCCCAAATATTTCGCACCCAGTAAAGGCCCAAATATTTCGCGATCAAAGCAAATTTCACAATTTTGAATCATTTTATTGCAAATTCTTTGGACTATTGGTCATAATGACTATTAAGGGCGCTAATTAGTATGTAATAAGTAACCTAGATGATATACTTCATAAGGCGCTTCCGGAGGCGGCCGGAGAATTTCCCGGACATGTAAGGTTGCCCATCCATAACAGACGGATCGAATTCTTCGTCCTGTATTAGTATCCCAATTTCACTGTCCCGAGAACCCAGCATTGATCGGTCGTTGAGATTGGCTGAGCCGATAATGGTATACAGATCATCCACAATAATCATTTTGCTGTGGACATAAACAATCTCCGTTGCCTGTGAAAGCAAACTGTTGGGCAGCTATTGGCAATTTCCACGGCCACTTTTTATGGAACAGATTTTAAGTACCACATTATCTCCGATCATGCCAAATTGACGCAGTCCACAAAATGTGATGTATTTAGAAAAATCACAACCTGAAAAACTAAATCATTTAACACCTCCTTTAACTTTCAAGCATACGAGTACACGTACTCGTAAAGCATAGAGTACACGTTACCTAAAAGCTTCAGTTTCTCTAGGAGCGAATGTTCTCCACGAGAAATACTGTAAGAAAACATAGTTCAGCAAAGAAAACATACCTGAACAATCCGTAATATATTTTACAGTTAAGGGCTTAAACACGTATCAAATATAGTAAGTCACACGTATCTACATACCTTTGGTAGATAAAATGAGTGACAGCTTGAACAGCGGACCCTTCGCGGGTTCCATACTGACCGGCGATGGCTGGTTGCAACGGAATAATGACAAAAACGCGGAAATTTTCGTTGTTGCTACAAAATAAATTTGGATTCTCACCTCTACACACGCTGATATCACAAGGATCATTTAAAAAAGGAACGACATACTGAAAAGCACGCTGAATTCTGTTGAACAGAGCATCCCCGATTTTGTTCTCAACTACATTCTTGCCACGCCCAACGGCTGTTATGAAAAATTGACTCTGAAACACCAAAGCGCCTAAACAAAACATATTTACGAAATTAAAGCGTATCGTGCGTTAATTTAACCGGACTGGCAGTAATACGCCAACATACGTAAAGCAGTAATTAGCACGGAAGAACGTTACCTACCTCAATATACACAAAGTGTTTTGCATTCAGGATCAAGTCAATGTAGGACTGTTGAATGGAAGTCTCAACAATATCTGGAGCGAGTCCGCCTGACCATGAAGCGGTGCTGCGGATAGCTTGGATGGAACAGGAAACAGTTTCCCATGGCAAATTTTTGAGGAAATCAGCATCGCTATCTTCGAAGTATTTCTTAGGCATCAGAAACGGGCCTTGTTCATCAAAACGAAACTTTTGAAGCTGGAAAAGTTTTCAAAATTAGAACAGTGTCATATTTACTAAAAAAGTTATGGAGACATCGATATTCACAGTTCGAAGTCGTGTCCTATAATAATGCAAAAAATTCTCTCGTGGTTACCTTACAGACGTTCCATTTTTGAATAAAATGTCTGGCGATATCTTGGGCAGCCGCTCCACAGATTACAACGCCGGCATCGTGCCATGGTAAACGCGGTACAGCAAAACGATCTAACGCATCTGCGCCACAAATAACAGAAAGAAAATGATTACTCCAAGTACCACTAGAAAATATCCATTTCTAGGAAATTTTCACCTTCATACGGTTTTCCATCGTTCGGTTGGGTAAAAGCCATTTTCACTTCATTGCAATAGTCTTTCCCAAGCCACCAACACCCTAACAGACAACAGATTCAAAAAGCGAACAAGCTAAATCACAATCTCCGAGTTTAAGCGGATTTCTGACCATGCATGTTCGGAGGCGGATCGTCGGAGCCTTTTTGGGGAGGAATGGCTGCATTGTGGTTATCGCGTCTTCCAAATACACGCCTAAAAACCAACCACGAGCATGGAACGAGTATACGTATAAGGAATTTTTAGTCAGTAATACATTTACAAATTAGAGAAATTAACAATTTGGAAGGGAAAATAGCCATGATCACCAAATGGATTTGGGTTCATTACCTGTAAGCCCCAGAGGTGCGGCGTTTGAAATCTCGATTACGCATCTTCGAATTGTAACGCTACATCGCAAAAAAAAACTGTCGGTATCCGGAACTGTGAAGTGTCGCGGTAACTTTCACAGGGTACGGCGCAGGGTAGCAGTTTGGTACACAAAGAGCAATTTGGAAGTCATACCGTTCTGGACATTAATTTATGCTTGGGATGGTAGAATCTGGCCTTAGCAGATCGCCAAGGAATTGCGAGAACCAAACGCATCGTATTCAGACGTTGGTTATGCGATCGAATGGGAGCGTTCTTAAACTGTCCTGCTCTCGAACACATCAATCCACGATTCCGCTTTTCAGATTTTCCCTTTTTTGAGCTTTTGTTGTTATCATTTTCCTAAACAAAATTTCCTTCGGTAAAAGTCAGCTTCTGTTCAAATACCGCGTTAACCAATTCGCTCACTATAAACTTAACTGAAAACTGCACAAGATATTGTTGATCCTTGAAAGAGTCTTGCAAAACCTTTAACAACTATAAATAAACCAATTACCTGGACCATGGCTGGACTCAAATCACTCAGATGATGTAAATGCGTATCCCACCGTCCATAACACAGATCGATGCCTCCAAGAAATACTATTTTTTGGTCAATAGTAACTGTTTTTTCATGATGCGACCATAAAACAACATTTTTATCGGGATGCCGTTTCACCTATTAGCAAGACGACACAATGTTTTCGTAACCCGCATAAAGTGCTTAGTATGAGCAATAAAAATTTTATTCTTACAATGATGTTCGGACTGAGTTTCATCAATTTTTTCTTGCTGTACCAGCTGTTGATGCCCAATGCGATTCGACTTTCCTTATACACGAGGATGTAGATTTTCACTCCTTGATCCTGAAAATTTTATAAAAAGTTAATACAACAGTCGGCCTTATCGGCGTGAGACCTCACGATTCCGCTTTGGTCACAAATATTAAAATTAAATAACCGGCAGCAATGACCATACCGCTTTTCTTTTCAATATTCTGTCTAATCTCCATTCCTCGTTCTCTTCCCAGGGTCGTTTCAAAAACACTTCCGGACTAACCCACCATCCACCAATAAAGATTTCCTTTTCCGCACTTTCCAAAGCGTCCGCTACGGCAGACATATAGGTAGCACCGTTAATGAACCAGTGGCACGGTATCCCCTGCCGAACCTACTTCCAAAACAACGTATGAACTGGTAATTATTGCTTGTTTTTACGAACAATTTGTCTATTTACCAGATTTTGATGGTCGTTAATTAATACGAAAACATCGAAGACGAAAAAATCAATACTCGAATTACGTACCGGGGCAAACGCATCATGCGGTTGTTTCGATACGAATGGTAGGGCAGTAGTGCCCATGGTGCGCTCGAAATGTGCTAACCAATTCTCAAGTTCCGATGTGTTGTCAAATTTGAGGGTCAGATCCTTCATGGCATGTTTGATGATCAAACCCAAAGGTCGATGGTGCAGCCGCTCCGGTTTGGTACTTTTGTCAAACAGGAATAAGCACGACATGTCACCGGATTCATTTTTGAGATCAACATAAAAATAACAAGTTTCCAATACGACAATCCATCTACAGAATAAAAAAATCCATTACCAACTAGCACCTATACGAGACACGAGTATAATACAGTGCGTAAAAAAATCCGATGAAAGGGAGCACCTCATGTTCCAGTGAGAGAAGATGCTGCACGCGGCATTATCATGGTTGCAAGATATACCCAAATGATCTTTCAAGAAACAAACCAGCCTCTCCACACCAATTTCGCGAATCTTCTCCTCGTTAACAGCAATACTGTGGAAGCTGTATTTGCTGACTTCCAAAAAGCGCAACGAAGATGCATGTTCTCTCCGAAAAGAATCATTGAACAGTAAATTCAAGGAACGCTCCAGCAGTTCCTGTTAAGGCAACAATTGTTAAGGCTTTCGCATAAAAAAACCATTTAACACCACATAAAAATCAAATTTTGTTAACATATTTTTTATAAACAGCAAAGTTAAATAACTGAGGACGAAAGTTTAGCCCTGCCCTAATATCCCAGGACAGGGCTAAACTTTCGTTCTGTAAATGATAACGCGTCAGATCTCTAGGAAGACCGACCATCGGCATCATGACTTACAAAATGTACGGCTTCTGAGTCAGCTGTTGCATCTGTCCGCAGACGCGGGGGTAAAGCAGGAAAACCTTCTGGGATGTCCATTTCCCCAACACGCTGGTCACCACTAACAAATAAGCTCATCCATGTACTGTACTACACTTTTATACCAACATGCTTTCTCAAAATAATTTTCTAAATTGTCTCTTTAACAGACACAAAAATCAATCGCACTTAACGAAACAACGATTTGCGAGAAATGTAAGAGCTTACTGGGTCTTGATAAATAGTTCATATTTCAAACGCAACGCGATGTCAACGAAGTATAAATTCAGGAAAACGGCATGCAACTGTTCGTAGTTTCTGAAAATGGTCCAATAGTATCCAGCGTGGGCAATCTGAATTTTGTACCTACGAAAGTCCATTTATTTTTTCCCATTTGCTGTAAAACTTGCAACACAAACTCTCGTACCGACAAAGTGAATCAAAAAGCACAGACTTACGTAGTAAGTGTGGAATATTTTCTGCTTGAGATTGACCGCACCACACCGCGTATGCGGAACTGAATTGGATGATCAGGTACGAACTTTGCACTGGACCCGTGAACGGGATGCTTTGGCTCGTCTGTAATCAGCAGTAGAAATTATTAATCACTTCAACAATGTTAGTCAGATAAGTTTGTCAAACGTGGAAAAATCCGAAGTGTAAAATATCAACAGAAAGTATGAAACAATTTTGTCCGCTTAGAAATGCGCAATGAAGGGATACATATTATTACTGTCATACAAATATGCTTTGAAACACTTTCCAAAATGTTCAGCAAACTGCAAACAGGTAAATAAGTACCAGTACAGTAATAAAACACGAAATGTTTAACTGGCATCGTTGCCGGTTAAACCGAGCGCCATTTATGAAAATAATGTGTCATTAAAACTATTTTTAAAACTACAAATTATGAAATCGACAACAAAAGCAAAAACGAAAAATGCCAGTTTTACTTCTGTTGGTAGTGGAAACAGCAGACGTTTCCGGGCCATGAGCGCGTTCATCTGCTGTTTGAAACTGTACAGTAATCTGTCCATTCCCATCCGGATCGCCTTCGTGTCCTTCATTCGTATAGCAGTATCGCGGATTATCTTCGTACACGGATTCTTTCGATTCGACATTGTAGTGAGACATGGAATAAAACCAGAAAAAAATCTTCAGCGATAGTGATGATGTCGTAATCGGCAATTCCAAACACAACACGCGAATCTCAAACAGCACATTCAACAAATTTCGTACGCTGCCACATGATGGCCCAGATCGGTGCAGGTTTTAAAATCAACAACTGCAAATACAACCTAATAAGTACTTGTAATCTGTGGTGTAAACAGGTTGTAGAAGCAGATATCAACAACTAACAAGTCAACAACTACCACCTACGAACACGAAATCCACTTATCGCCAGCGGAAATTACTGCCAGCACAGCCTGCAGCGTATGCAGAAGCTACTTTATCACTTCTATGGCTCACAGAGTGCCTCACACACGCGTAAAACATCACTTTCTATCACTTTCATGATTTCATCACTCGTATTATAGGAAGCAAAACAGTATTCTGGTCTTCCTGTGCCATTACCGATCGGCAATAAATAAAATAAACGAACTGCGATCATATATCAGATATTAAACCTAACTCTTACTGAGTTAACACCTAATTCTTACGGCTATGTAGTATGTACTCACTGTACTTATCGCTCGCACATCGCAGTTCGTTGCTGGGCCAATTCTAAAAACTTGACAAACATTCTTTCCAAAAGTTTTTGGAGTGGGAACTCAACAATAGCAGTGCTTGATTTCTGACAGAAATACAGCAGATAAAGCAGAAGCCGAAACAAAAAGGTAAGGACAAACAAAAACTAACCATCCGAGAGGAGAATTCCCACGAGCAAGCAGTATAAGCTGAGACACACGCACGAAGCAAGCAGAACTGCAGGTACGTTGCTCAAGCAGCACAGTGGCTGCGAAAACCTGTTCCAGTCGGTGCGACCAGTGACCAAAATCAATTGAATTCGGGAAGACCTGATGACCACACTGAAGCAGTTACTGCTTCACAGCTCAGTGAGCTCACACCTGCAAAAGCTGCGTACCTCACAAGTGAGTACTTATTAATAACTATCAAAGTTATAACTAATAAAATATAAATCAGAACTACGTCTTAACTCTTATGGTTAGTGATGCAGCCATGCAGGAAAAAACAATCATATTAATGTTAGATAACGATGAAAAATTAATAAATTTAGTACACAGGGTACAGCATGTACAAAGTACAGTCATAGGCTGAATTCAATTTGGTACAACTTAAAGTTTTAACAAGCTATAACAAGAAAATTTCCTCTAATTTCTCATGATCCGGTATTGTGCCCATCACGCACATAGCGTTTCCTCTTTGAATCTGTATGGAGATCCGCTGCCGGAAAAATTCCTTCGCCCGTGGTTGCCCGGTAGTGGCCGCGACGAGGTGTCCGATTTTATCCACTAACATAGCTCCGCCGCCCAAAGGTCGTATGTTTCGAAGGCAGCGGCGACAAAATCGTACCTTGGCTGAAGCCACGCATGTTTGCGAGCTTTTTTGTTTCGGCTAGTTCCGCTGCCGCACCGACATTGACGGATGTACGGTCAACATAAGTTGCCAGAGTGTCAACACAGGTTACGTCTATTGCGAGTGGTTTACCACGTTCCATGGGATAAGCGTAACTACATCCGGTCTTTGTTACCCACTATGGCCAATCCTTTCGGTTCTACTCTGGCGGAAACCGCCCGTCGTTAACGCGCGAGCGAACTCCCTGCTGATGCCATCGTGTCTAGGTAGTCGTCCGGCTGATCGTTTGCACCGCATTCCATGTCTCCCGAACTCTCCACCCATTCGCCGCATTTACATTCATGAGGAGTTACGATAGGGCACCTAATCGTAGAGCGACGCTGGTCTGAAAATCAATATTTTCTAGCAGATTACCTAAGCAAGCAGCTGGTAATGCGTGAATCAGTAACCGGATTCTGGTGTTGACACCGCCTTCAAATGTGCGACTTCTGTGGCGGAGACACGGTACAGAAAGAAAGGTCAGAGAGGGCACGCAAGGTCGCAGAGTGTCCCATGCTTTTGGACGCTGTGAAGTTCAGCCATCATTAAACCTGTAAGCAACTTCCAGGCCAGTGTTGTAGTGTTACATCCGGTCGGTGGTAGTATCGGGCATAATTTAGAGATAAGCGGGCGCACAGAGAAATTTATTTAATTTACGGTAAATTGTAAATTTAAAATTAATACATACGCTCAAAATAGCGGCGTCAGCCAACCGTCCACAGGGTGCAGCCACCGGATGTGGAAGTACTTACTGTACCTCCATTTTCGAATTTCCACTTACCAGTCTCTGAGGAAATTTTTCGTTGACTTATGACCGTGATTATCAACTGGCATGACGCAGCTCCTTCCAGATAATTCTTAGTGCTTGCCAGTTCCCTTGGATTTCTGACCTGGGGATTCGTTTGTTGTGATTGTAGCGAAATCTAAAGCAGTAAGCCATTGATTTCATCTGTTTTCGGTTATACTGTACTGATCAGGCAGGGCTAATCTACGTTTGCGGAGTCTGCTTTGCTTACTGCTTTCGGAGACCTTCGACATATCAGCCACTTCTGCGAGACGTTAGAACCGAGTGCAGTCGATCGTCTTCGCACCATGCCTGATTCTGGGTACGTAAAGCGAATAGAAGATACCCTGTGAGGTTTCCGCAACCAGTGGTCTAATGTCTTGATATGCGATTCCAGGAAAGCCAACCAAAGCGCTCCGGCGGTTCCTCAGGTACTCTGGGCACAGCGCAAGGATATCGTGCTCTTGTCAATCATGATCAGCGATGTAAAGGATCAGGATGTCAAGATGACACCGGAAAAGGTTCATTTCAGGTAATGATCAACCAATTTCTGATGAAGAAAGTCAGCTGACATGATTTCATTTCTTTCTCAGTGGGACCGCCGGTCCAGACCAGAAGCCGTACGCACTCGACGTTGAACTGTATGCCGAAATTGACCCTGAGGTAAAAATGCTTGGTAATCTGCTACAAGCAATGGGTACTTAGTCCTGTCTGTTGTTTATGAATCAACTCAATGAAGTTTATGAAAGATCTGCTTTCGTCAGTATAATGAGGAGGACTTATTGATGCTCGGTCCTTTGTAGCTTTTTAATAACGATGTACGGTTCATGTACCTACGACTAATAATATAGTGTCTGGATTTTTCACAAAATGAATGCCCCAGAGTGTCATTTTTCAAGATTTTTCTCCATATGAAATGCTAATTGCGTTATCGTTTGGAAATTTTCCAGTTCAGATCTTCGGATTACAGAAGCAGATCGGAATACTGCTTCTGCTTCTGTGATCCGAATTTGGAATGTGTAGTTTTTTGTAGAAGCACCAATTTTCTTACAATTTAATATTCAAATAGTTATTTTGTCAAAAGTCCACATGAAGTGTTATTTGATGGATATTGCTGTTGTTACCTTTAACTTTTTTGTGAGGCGAACCTTACAGCTTACTGAAGTTTAATGGTTTCTTCGCAGAAGTCCCAGTACGTGGTGCGCGACCGACTTATTGACTTTAAATTACAAAAGAAAGATACATCCGGAAAATTCTGGCCTCGGCTTCTGAAGTCGACCGGCAAAGCCGGATGGCTCAAAACTGATTTTTCACGATGGAAGGATGAAGATGAAGAGGACGACGAGGAGCGCGGTGGAATGGGCGGAATGGGCGATTTTGGTGGTTTCGGTGGTGGTGGAGGCGATTTGGAAAGTGTACGTCACAAATGATGGCATAGTGATAACTAATAAGTATTTCATTAAAGTATCCTTTTAATATCAGCAAGCAATTAAATAAAGCAACATGAAAAGCTTGATTGCTTTTCTTATTAAAGTATCCCTTTAAAATCAGATTTTTACCCTTAACAGTTTGCGCCTGTCGTTTTCGGGGTAGATTGTAACATTGCTTTTCTTACTCGTACAGATGATGCAACAAATGGGTGGTGGCGGTATGAACATGGGTGGCATGGGCGATGAATCGGACGATGAGTCGCCACCGGATCTCGAAAAGAAGGAAGGCGAACACGATAGCGACGACGACATGCCCAAGCTGGAGTAAATAAAAGCGCATTGCCTGGTCTTCCACTCGGTCTGGTCTTTTTTAATATTTTGTGGAATGATGTCGCGGGTTAAATGACTGGTCGTCGTGCGTGGATAATTCTGGATATTATGTTCTTTTTCTGTTGATTATTCGGTCAAACAATTCCAAAATTATACATGATAGTTGCTAGAAATTGCGATGTGCTTTAGTGAGTTGCCGCTGTAGAACATGAGCATGGCGTGTGTTTTGACAGTTTTTTAACGCCTATAATACAGTGTTTAATAAAGTTCTGTTGTCTGGCGATTTTGAATATTGGAGGTTCTTTGGCAAGTTTGGAAATTTTTCAAATATAAACCTATAGAGTGAAGAGATTTATTAACAAAAGACTCAAGTGACAAAGTAGTAGTGAAAGACTGAAAATACTCGTATTTGATACAGAAGGACATCCAGCCAGAGGCTTACCAAAACCCAAAAACGCGAAAAGGGAAGCTTTAAGTTTTAAAGACCAGCAACCGCTCACAGGCGCATGTCTGCTCACATACAGTTATACCATGCAGCTGACAATGAGTTTGAGGGTTGCGTAAGTGGTAACTAAACCTAACTTATTAAATTTTTGCACACTTCCTTCTAAGTGTAATTGTTCGGTGTTCGCGATTAATAAAGCGATCACTTAATTACGATTACATATTTAGATGGTGCTTATATTCCTAAAATGGACGGGTTGAATTTATCGGATGCCAATAAGAAGAAGTTGGAACGTATGAATAACAAGCTTGCGAAATACAAAGCCTTCTTGGACCTCACGAAGTCCCGCGGTACGTGGACGGCAGTTCCTTCTTGTGTACAAAGTCACTAACGCCGAAATTTATTGTGTGCTGGTTAATAGGCGACGACAGGCATCAGAGGCATGGTGATCTATCACCGCACTTGGAGACCCGAGCCGAAAGCTCTCCTGATTCAGGCATCGATGTCGCCGCACCGAAGCCAACACACCGCGTTATGCCCGCCGAGGAACTCGAACATCTTCGAGCTCGTCTGCGGGCGCAACAAAAAGACAAACTGTCTCGGCCGCTCTTATTTCAGACCCATGTTCCGCCGTTAATACAGTGCGCCGGATGTGCGGCAGTTGTTGATGTACGCACTGGAAGGCGGCAATGCGCACGGTCTGAAACCGTCCTGGTGCACGCTGGTCCGATGGCAAAAGATTTCCCAGATTATCGTCGTCTCCGTGGAAAATATGACCATGGAACAGTTCAACGCCTTTTCGGAATCTGATCCCGCTTTACGCTTATTTTTGGATATTCGGGGGCCGCTAGTCGCCCAGGAATCCGGCCATTTGGCCCAGAATCTTCTGGAGTATCCTTTGAGTCAGAGAAGCCTGGAAACGATTCCGCATGCCAAGAAGCGACAAATGGTGTCCAACGGGGCTTTGAATGTGACATACGACAACAGTATTGTAACTGTTACGCGCACTATTGGCGGCGTCTTGGGCTTTTTAAGCCCAATTTCCCGATTGCACCTCTTGATGAGTGTCGAACGAATGGCGATGGAACGGTATCCAGTGCACAGTTTCAGTCGGGAGATGGATATCGGGCATTTTGTGCCGACAAAAGATACCTATCATCCTGTTTCAGAAGGTAGTCCGATGTTTGCTGTTGACTGTGAGATGTGTATGACTAGTGCGCAGAAATCAGAGTTGACGAGAATTTCCATCGTCAATGAACGTCTGCAGATTATCTACGATACTTACGTCAAACCGTACAATCCCATTACGAATTATCTAACGAGGTACAGTGGTATAACCAAGGCCATTTTGGATCCGGTGAAAACTAGACTGCCTCAAGTCCAGGTGAGTTTATCACTGCTGAAAATACCGCCACGCATGGCTTTTTTTCATCAGTTTACTACCTTGTTTATTATGAAATATGTAAATTCGGTGAAAGTCGTCAACATCAAAGTTTAAACAAATACTTGAACTGCAGGATGCTATCCGCAAAATTCTCCCTTCTGATGCGATTCTGTGTGGTCAGTCGTTGAACGGTGATCTTTCCGCTTTGGAGATGACTCATCCATATGTGATCGATACGAGCGTAATTTACAATCTGAAAGGGAATCCGCGGGCCAAGACTTCACTAAAAAATCTTTCCCAAATTTTTTTGTCGAAAAGCATTCAAGAGTCAGAGAAGAAAGGCCACGATTCGGTGGAAGACAGCCGCACTACTATGGAATTGGTGCTGCTCAAACTGAAGCATGGCCATACATTTGGCGATGTGACGCGGGGTTGGAACTTTTCGCAGCTGGAGCAAATATCGCAGACGGAAACGGTGGAAGATGAGAAAGCGCATCCAGAGACCAGTGCAGAATTCATTCCCATGATTCCACCGCCCGAAGAAATCCCCCTTCAGTTTCCTCAAAAAAGAAAAAACGAAGACACTTCTCCTGTTATTCCGCGGGATGTTAGCTTGTCGGCTTCTCTGTACACACAGAGTTTACTGGAATGCTGCAGGCGAGCGGAAAAGCGGCCATATATCGCTGGATGCAGTAGTTACGTCGAAGAGTTACAAGCTGTTAAGCCGGAAGTGCACCACTTCGCTGATTCTAAAGGTGTTTTGGGAACCACCCTGGAAAACGCGACAAATTTCGATCTGATATTTTGTGACGTAAGGGCAAAAACAAGCGACGATGTACGCAAGCAGGAAGTAAGTTTTGCAAAATTTCTAAGTTGTTTAGATGACATTTGTGTCTTTTATTAATGGAAAGCATCGCTTGCAGAAAAATAACGCGATTTTAATGCGAAGGATATCGCGTTTATTTGCGACGGCCCCTGATCGTTCCCTTTGCGTTTTGGTACTGGGTGGAAATTGCTCACAAGGAAAAGAGTTTTCTGGTCTGTGTTGTGCCGGAATCAAAGCGCCCAACTGTTCGTTGATGGACCAAAGCATGTCCGAGCCGGCTCCGGATCCAGATTAGGGTTAAAGCAGTGCACAGTGTTGAGAAAATGGGCACCCTGTGACTGTTCATCATTCGTTTCGTATTCTAATTTCTAAGCAGTTTATGCATTCGGAGATTCGGAGCCACGGTTATCCGTGTATTCTAGTGAGCATTTGCTACGTAATAGTTTTACAGTCCGAATTTAATTTTAAAATGGATACCGCAAAACTATAAAACGAAAAAGATATTAAAGTTCACCGTTAAGCTGACTAATAAAATCTGTGCACAAATAATCGTTTCATTTACTTCAGTAACACCCAAGTTAAAATCCTTAAAAAACAGATGAGCAAAAAAATTATTGCTGCTAAGGCATGATGGGTCACAGAATTATCAAAACCGGACATAAATAAATGAACATCAAAGCGAGAGACATCGCAGTACCAATGTACCATCACCCACTCCAAATTCACCCAGCTTTGAAGCGAACAGTAGTGGGGCGGGGAATTTGGAAAATGTACAGTAAGATGGTCAAATGAGATCCCAGGAGAGCAAGACTGCTCAATACCGTCGAAGGATACGTATTCCACGCCATCTCGATCAAACCTGCACACAATAGATAACAGTATCAAATTTTCACATTAATTTTAAACAAGAAAACTTTTACGTTTGAACCAGTACTGTGCTTTAGGAGTACAGACGCAAAGAATGAATGAATGAACTCATTCCTTCTTAGAGCACGATGCTGTTTGAAATGACCATTTTTCTGTGCATAATTCATCAAAAAAATGCTGTTGAAATTTTTGTGGTGCACACACTCCTTACCAAGCAGGAGAATTCTGGCAGGCGTAGCGGAATGGGTAATAGGCAACGACCACAGAAGAAAATGTAAGGTGTGGAAATACCAAACATAGAATTGGTAATGTAAAGAACGGCTGCACACAACACCCACAAAATTACTGCTGAATAAAATCAACATCTTAGCGCTGACGCCGACAGGGTCTTTCCGTGTAACATCTCTCCTGAAAATGCAATCAGATGAGTCAAGAAACAAGCAATTTAACAACGATTCATATCGTAACTATAACGGCTCACCGCATTGGACGCCACAGTTTCCAAGCCAAAAGTGCCAACAAAGCCAAATGCGCAGCCAGGAGAGCGACATGAAAGGTGCGATCAAGAAATAGTTCTTCTTCCAGGAAACGCCAATTAACGGTCCACTTGTAGAAAAATTGTCGACGGAGATCAAAAGAACGCTCGATATATGCCCATGGATTTGTACGCAGGAAGGGAACAGCCAAAAATAACTGTAGAATACAAAAAATCTGATGGACTAATTTTAACAGCCGATTATCAAAAGCCAGTCCGCACCTGTAACAGTCCGCAAACTGCCAAACCGCAAAATGTGGTAATTAAGCCTTGCTGACACAGGAGAAACAGTAGGCCGGGAGCAAACAAAAGAATATTCATCTTCACAGACACAGCCGCACTGCAATGAAATTGATTAAACGTTGACTACGGAAAATAAATTTCCACAAAGATTAAATCTGTATGTTCGCATTTTCCCATACAAACGAAAACGTCAAGCCAAAAATACCATTCTTTCAATCGTCATATCAATATGCATATATTAAGGATACCATTCGTTCGTATCACTGACCACTAATGAAAATTTTAAAAAGCAGCATTCACATCCTCATAGTTCACGGTTTACCTGAAAAGCAAGCAGCCAACCATCCACCAATTGTCGATGAATAAATTAACAGCTGCATACAGGAGAAACATGGCAATGCAATCGTTAAACAATCGCAGCACAAAAATGGAATGGATCCGATAGGACAACAGGCACATCAAGATCAGCACGTAGGGTGGTATCCTCACAGTTCTAGCGTACAAGCGGAATATCAACGCTAGCGTGCCCACATATAATGCGGCAAAAATGTACTGTGCCAGGCGAATGTCCTTTCCTTTATCCGTGATCTTGTAAAGGAGTGAATAAACATATACAAATCCTGCTGGATACACCAATGGACCCGTTCCTCCTTCCAGGCGGCTATAGTCCGTTGTGCCGTTCAAATATCCTTCCACTTCCGACATGTATGCTTCCCAATCAATTTCCGTGTATGAGATGCGGTGGATAATGAAGATGCAAAGAAGCGCTTCGAACAGTAGCAGCGGTCTGGCGAACATCCAACACTTCGGAGGAGACCAGAGAAACTGCCACAGCTTTCGCAGCCAGACGCGGACCAGTGCCACTAGGTCTTGCAGAGATTTTGGCTTTTTACGACGGGAGACCGCTGCCGGATGGTGCGATTGAGATGAAGTGTGATTGACCATTGTTTCTCCCGCCTATCATAAACACAGCACTACAAAATGCGAGGTTTTGGCACCGGTTCAAAAACCTTCCTGGAAGCAGAGGAAACTCAACAGATTAATCATTACTCGTACAGAGTACTGTCGTACAAATCGAAGAAGTAAAAAGCAAACATAAACTCAAACTCTGGCGCCAAACAGGCGCACAGGGCGGGTGCACCACGCTGCAGGCTTCGAAAGAGACAATCGCAATGGGATGGCTGCTGTAACTGCACCAACGCACAAAAATCTGTTGAAAAGTGATTGCAAAAATAAAAACCTACCGTGTAAAGTGTAAATTTACATTTTTTTAAACCAATTCATTTCAAACTCTCAAGCTGAAGAAGAAATTCGTTCGCTTTCGGCTTTCTGCAGCGATCGATATGGAGGACACTGCGAAAGAACCCTCTACATTTCGACCGGTAACCCATGTAATATTCGATCTCGATGGATTACTTCTGAATACGGAGATTTTTTACACCGAAGTTCTGGACGATCTCTGCGGCAAATATGGGAAAAAATTCACTTGGGAGCTGAAGCACCAGATGATGGGAAGAAAAGAACGAGATTCGGCTCAATTTGCTATTGATGCGCTGGGGTAATGTGCATGTTAAGTGTCATTATTTTCAGTTTGTGGTTGTTTGAAGCGCAGCACGAAAGCAGAGAAATCATCGCCGGAATTTCACGGTTGTGGTTTGTGATTCAACTGAACCTGATGGGCATGCATTTTGCTGTTGCAGGTTGCCGATTTCGGTGGATGAATATATCGCTCATGTTCGCGAAGAACTCAATCGATTGCTGCCCACTTCGCGATTTATGCCAGGAGCAGAAAAACTAGTGAAACATCTTTACGAGCATGGTGTGACAATGGCGATTGCTACAGGTACAGTACTGTTCTCGCGATTGCTACGTATACAGGTACATTTCTTAAGATGCGCAACTCACATTCGGTCATAATAGTAAGAATGTAATGCGCACATGCGCAGCGCCTTTTTTGTTTCGAAAAGGGAATTTCAATGTTTTTCACAGGATCCGATTCGTTCACATTCCGCAAAAAAACAACGAACCACGGTGATTTTTTGCAAATGTTTACGCATTACGTTCTCTCTGGTGATGATCCACAAGTTCGGAATGGCAAACCTTTTCCGGATATTTTCCTGGTTTGTGCAAGTCGGTTTCCAACGAAAGTTAATCCCGAGGATATTTTGGTGTTTGAGGACGCGTTGAATGGTGTTAAAGCTGCTGTTGCCGCCGGTATGCAAGTCGTTGCTGTTCCCGACGAACGCGCGGATTTGAGTGAATTTTCCGATGCCACTTTAATTTTGAAATCTTTACTTGATTTCCGACCGGAAGCATTTGGTTTGCCAGCTTTTGGTAGCTGACGGCGTTCTTAGATGCACGGCGCAGTACGGATGGTCAGTGTCATTTGAAGTTTTTCGAGTTTCCGTTTCAAAAATTCCGTAACCGGTTGCATGGGAAACAAAACGAATAAAATTACATCACACAATTACTTGCTTCGTTATTTGCAGAAGTTATATAAGTAAAGAGGGTGCTTTTGAATTCTTTTCTTGCTGTACCTTCGCAGCTTCTTTTAGAATCACTTTACATGTCTGTTATTTTAGTCACCTTTTTCAGACTTTGTCGGTTACCAAATATTTTTTAACACCTATTGACGTATTTAAAAAGTGTGAGGACTGCATGGCTAAATTTGTAAGTTGCTGTAAACATGCTCAGTATAATACTTACTATATTTTTATCCATATAAGTACGTACGTATGTATCGTAGCAGTAATCGATCGAAGGGATCGCCACCGCATCGGTGTTGATAATCAGTGACAAGTTGTTTCATGTACGAGAGTAACTCTGTACATACTGTAGTTGATTTTATTTACAGGACTTATGGTTAGCTATACGGACTCGACTGTATCGTATACCAAGCGGTAGTAGTGTCACAGCGGATAAATGCTGTGGTATAGTGTCACAATAAGGGTATTCGAAACTGAAGAAGCGACTGAATACGCGGCGAATGCATGGAGGCGCGAAAGCTGAGTGAGCGCGCTGGAGATAAGATAACGCGCGCATGTACGTGCCGTTGTATGAAGATTCACGCCATACGCGGCCAGAAAAGCTACTCCGGAGTAGCTATTCTGGCCGCGAATCACGAAACGGCGATTTCTCTCATACAGCGTCACGTACATGCGCGCGATTCCTCATTTCGAATACCACTAATATGTGGGCCGGAATTTTCTGTTTACGCCCATATAAACTCGCGGTTATAACCAAATCTGACGGGGCATGTGGAAATGATAAAAGTTTTTACGTACAATCAGGTGCAGGTGATAAGTACAGGTTTATAAAAATTGTGTTATCTTTAAACTGTCCTAACTTGTCGTGTTACGGCAGCTTTCGATCTTCTCACTGTAGGAAGAATAAAAGATCTTTCTTTTTCGCTGATGCAGTTTAATGGTACGAGTATTTGTGCGATGTACGGTTTCGCATACCTTGCAGGCTTGCAGCGATGCTAACAGTAAATTAATAAGTTACTGGATGCCTTTACCTTTGTAATTTGTCAGCTGTTTAATAGCGGGGAGTATCGTCTGACCGGTCCTGTATTCCTGGGAGCGTGTAATTATAAACCGCAGTCAAAGCAATCATGTCGTCGGTTATCCCTTCCTTAACAATTTTTCTGTTCGAGGGAGCAGAATTCTCATCCGAGGATATTAGTAATCCTTTTTGTGATTTTGCGCTTGGAAGCGAAGAGCACCGAACAAGTGCCGGGAGGATGTTGAATATGGGATATCCCGTATGGATGGAGGAATTCGATTTGTTTTTGCACGACGCCAGCTGGAAAAATTTACAAATTTCTGTTTGGAGTTCTCATATTGCAGGTACGATAATACAAAGTGAATTACAGATACATGATTACATCGTTGAACGTAATAAGTGGTTTCGCGGATCTGTACAAGTGTTCATTTTGTGATTAATGGTTATTGGTTAGGATAGTTAATTATTAGGTTAATTAGTAAATGCAGGACGTAACACAGTAAGAGGTACAGTGCGTATTAACTATAATGCCGTAAGAGCGTAAATACGGTACAAGTACACATTTCTATACAAAACAGTACACACATGATAATATCTATATAATATAATTGTTTTACTAATAATTATTGTATTGTGAACAGCGCGCACGTATAATGGTTACGTACAAAATTATATAGATATTTTTTTAAATTCTGCCAATAAATCATTGCAGTACTTTATGGCTGACCTTCGCATACTGTTTCAACGAAAATTTCGGCAACCGGGTTTTAGGTTTATATAATATTATATAAGAATATTTTCTTTACTTAAAATTTTTGACATTATATATACAGGCGCCAAGCGTGCAGTCCTCGGAACCGCACAAATATCTATCGCCCATCTACAAGTGGGCAAACCGGAAGATATTTGGTTGGACATGGAAAACGATGGGGAATTGTGTGGATGTCTACATGTTTCTGTGCTGATTGGCAAGCGCTGCCTGACCGTCGACCGGCTGGGCGATCCCATCATCGGCCAGCGTCGGTTAAGCTTTCTGGAGAAATTCCACATCCGCAACACTATGACATTATCACGAAATGACAATGTTGGTGTGTTGATTATAAAAGTATTCAAAGCGACTGGACTCAGTGAGGACATTCAGAAAAACAAACAGGGCGTCTTCTGCAGTGTGCGAATCATGGACACTCACCTAGAAACGCCGGTTAGCGTGTTGTCATTGGAACCGGAATGGAACTGTGTCTTCACCTTCCCGGTGATGGATGTGCATTCCTTTCTGGACGTTTCCATATTGCGCGTAAACGGTAAAGGACGGCGGCAGTGGAATTTACTGGGGAAGACGTTTATGCGACTGACGGATATTGAGAATGGGCGCGCGAAATGGCACATATTGAAGGATTTAAGTGAAAATGTGAAGGATCGAGGCGCCGTCTTTTTGGAAATGGAACTGATTTACAATCCGGTCAAAGCTGGACTGCGAACACTGCGGCCACGAGAAACCTGGACAGAAGAACCGGTATCTGCATTATCAGGAAAAGTATGTACTTTACTAAAGTAATCGTATTCCTGGGTTAGCAACATACATTCCGCACACAAAATAGCACAACTATAGCCGTTTTTATATGTTATTGGTGTGTTTATATTACCCTCAAACTGACTAGGCAAAAAAATATTCGCATTGGCATGGTGAGGACGTTGCTAAAGTTTCAGTTACATGATTTTACATCCGCCTACTGTTCAGTACGACGTGAGAGTTTCGCTTTTGCCCAAATATATAAAATATTCCTCTACGGTGTACGAGTACTGTACTGTAGTAAGCAGTTGCTTACCGATATCAGATCAACGCTTCCGCTAAAGCGAGATGTAAAATGTTTGGACAGAGTAAAGCATAGTGGATGATGTTTGTTTTGCCTTATTGTATTTTTAGGCTTTCGCCACTAATATTCATCGAGCTAAAACTGCCGTTGCCCCATTTACTGACTTTATGCTCTTCGTGCGGAAATTGCTGGACTGGGAATCACCACCGCTGACCATGGCGGCCTTTATTCTGTACATGACCTTTGTATGGTACTGCGAATTATGGATGATTCCCTTTGGATTTCTCGTCTGTATTTTGGCGAATCAGCGCGTAAATAACAAGCGACCAATTTCTCCACTGATTGTTAATCCTAACATCGAAGATCGGGAAGGTGACAAAGAGGATCAGATTGAGGAAAGGTTGCGTAATGGCGCGGAACCGGATGCCGGTTTTTTCCATAAAGTTTTTGTGGAAATTCCAGACGGTGTGCTGGCGGTTCAGAACGGTTTACAATTTACGATGGATCTCTACGAACGGGCGTGCAACATCCTGCTTTTCAATGAACAGTGGCTTTCATCCTTTTCCTGTGTACTGCTCTTTCTCGGAACAGTTGTCCTATACTTTGTTCCTCTTCGCACGATTTTTCTCGTTTATGGTCTGCATAAGTTTACCAAAAAGTTACGGAAACCGTTCACCATTGGTCACAATGACCTGTTATCCGTGTTGTCGCGGGCTCGTACAAATGCGGAATTGAAGACACTGGCTGATCTGGAAACGGTTTCACATGTACGCAATGTGACTGACGCTGCCAGCTATGCGGGAACCGGAAGTGATGAGGAGAGTGCGTCAAGTAGTACTGCGGCAAAGACAACCAGCAGGCCCGGTGCTTCGGCTCACAATATTGTCGGTGTCAACAAAATCTTGAAATTCTGAAATGATACGATGATGATCAGAGCTAGAACTGTCTATCTGTAGAATACATTTTAGTTCGCAATTTTTATACATTGTCGAAAGTCGACCAGGCAGATTTTCTGTGATAATTAAATGTAGTTTATGGATGCAGCCTATCTTCACACGTTGTTAGCGATGTTTTGACAAAAAATAAATTACTTTTTCTTGGATGAAGGAAATTACTTACGGTAATAAACTACAAGAGTAGAATATGAGTTTTACACCTTTTTTGATAGCCAAATTTAATTCCATAGTGTGCTGTGCAGTATTGTATTTTTTTGCAGCGGTTGAACTGGAAATCGTAAAACATCAGTGGTTTTGGCTCATGTTAGTTAGATTATGTATTTTGATTGCAGTAATTTTCCAGCCTCCAGTCAAAGTCATAGATAGACGGTCAAAAACGTGTGAAGTCTATTGAAATACTTTAGAGAGACGAAATCTTTTGAAAATTAATTGCATTCCGATTTTATCGCTTCGTTACCATACTTTACTTTTTACCTTGACCTCCTACGGGTCGGTGGTTAGCGAACAAACTTGTTTGGTTACGCCTCTAGTCATCTGTTCGTTGACTTGGTTCACACTTCGCAGCCTCGTGACGAAAACATGCAGAAACAACAACACAGGCAGAATAGTGATGCCCATGGGGTTTTCTTTCTGGTAATGACTGCAGAATATTTATATTTATTCGACAGAATTTTTGCTTCTTATGTTTTTCATCAAGGTCGTCACGTTGCACAATAGTTGGAACAAACGGTTTAGTAAAACGTTACAGTGCTAGCGGCTGATTTCAGATGGTACCAAGTATTCGGTGCTAATCGCATATGGATGCGTGAACGGTAAAAGCGTAGGTACCTGGATGCCTATCGTATGGCCAGATAAACCTGTGTTATTTTTTAATTATTGATTACTATCCATTTGCGGAGGATCGAATGTGTTAGAAACAGCATTTCACATTTTTTCTGAAACTCCTGACTATTCAGTTTGAAAATGGGGGGAGCCGTTTCGACTGGCGTGGACAACGATGATTTAATCGGTAAGTTTTTGTTGCAGCATTTTATCGTCATTTAAAAATATCCTGGTGGAGATTTTCTAATCCTTAATCGTCACGCTTTGCAGATAATTTGTTCGAGAATAATAATCTGAAAACGGATAAAGTTGTTAGAGTGTTCCGTTCTGTGGATCGTGCAATGTACTTTCTTCCCGACAGTAAATCTATCGCTTACCGTGACAGCGCTTGGAAGGAAGGCCATTTGCATATTTCAGCGCCGTGTATATATGCAGAAGTGCTTGTAAGTTGACTGATATTGAAGTGTGAGATCCGATCCAGATATTTATATATTCTATTGTTACGACAGGAAGCTCTTGATTTAGAGCGTGGCATGTCGTTTCTTAATATTGGAAGCGGAACGGGTTACCTTAGCACAATGGCGGGCTTGTTGTTAGGTTTGTGACTGTTTGTCTGCTTTTGCCTTATATTGCCTTAAAACGTAGTTTATGTTGAATGTTTGATAGCGCTACGCCAATAATTTTGTGTAAGTATTCTCTGTTCTGGTATGCATAAAACATTTTCGATGCTGTTGCGACTGGAAGTTTATACGGTCCTCAGTTGTATACGCTTACGCGCTTTAATTTGATTGTTGCAATTATACTCGTATATTAACAAAAAAATTTTCTTGAATAATAATTTTGTTAATATTTTTGAAAATCTCATAATACTGGATTTCAGTTGGAAAATGCAACACGTCAGAAAATATTACTCTTAAAATAAATAATCTTAACTGACACTTATAAGTACGTCGAAAATCAGAATCGTTATGGTTTGCCACTACGTAAGTCACCGTTTACAGTTTTCTGCAAAAGATATTCTGGACAGCTTGTTCTTTCTTGCAGGAACGCACGGCATTAATCACGGAGTGGAAGTTCACGAAAGCAATGTCAAATACGCTATGGAACGTTTACAGGAATTCATCAAGACATGCATTGCCCTGAGGTACTTCGATTTTTCGACGCCTCAATTTGTGGTGGGCAATGGACTGAAGTTGTGTGATGAATACTTCGGGCGCTATGATCGCATGTACGTCGGTTCGGCTTGTAACGAGGACGAACACGTTCAGTTCCTTACAAAGTTTCTTAAAGTGGGCGGTAAAATGATTGTTCCGGTTGAAGAGAAGGTAGTGTTGTGGTTTACACTTTACACTTAAATGCTTTTTCTTGTAATCGTTTATGTTTTGGATTTCTAGCTCGTCAAAATCACACGTCTCGATAAAGATGAACTGAAAAAGGAGAATCTCATGTCTTGTTCGTTTGCTAGCTTATTGGATCCGACACCGGAGGCAAAAGTCGTTGAACTACGTAAGTTTTTCAGTTGAAATAGTCTTTTGTACACCGGAGGTATAGTTTAACACCTTTCGTCTGCTAAAGAAACTGAAGTGTCATAATGTATTAGTTTAGGAATGGTTACTCATTTGCAGCGAAACCATCGCTAATGTCACTGAAACATGGGTGTCGCGCTGCCATTGTTCGTGCTGTGCGTAACCATATTTTGGCCGTGCATCCGGAAGTGTGGATGCCGCGAGCGAATCCGAGGCAGCCGGTTTCGGAGCTGCGTCGACGTCCGCAGCAGCGCCTGATAGTTCCTCTTGTCATTGCGCAGAATGATGGCGATGGCGAGCCACAAATCATGTTGGCTGATCCCTTCAACTTAGCGGAATCGAACGATAATGGCAACGATGCTCCGCAGCCGGGTGATTTTGAGGATGATCTGGACGACGATTCGCCTGCAGATGGCCACAGTGATGAAGAAGCAGAAAGTGGTAACGTTGCTGATGGACGCGAGTCTGGTGATGCTACCAGTAAACCTCCCGAAGAGAACGGTCGTGCTGCTGTTAGCGGCAATACAGATGGTAAATATTTCATACTCGTATAATTTGAATGTTGGTTTCTTTCTTACAATTAGTGGTTTAGTTCGGTTAATTCATAACAGTATTTACGGCATACGTGTTCGTATATGTATGTTCACTGTAAGCCCCGAATAACATATGTTTAAACACAGTAACAGATTTGACAGTAACAGATTTCATATTATGTGTGTTAAGATGGAAGGAAGCCAGAAAAAATTAACAACGGACACAAAAATGGTAACAACGAAGCGAACGCTCCAGATGATGAAGCTACTACATCAGCTGGACTTGAGAGCGTGAATGACACTCTTCAGCGGAAACGTCGCTTTTCGGCTCGCCAGTCATGTTCTGAAGGTCATGAAATGCAGGACAATAACGAACCACCGAAACGGTAACTGAATATTTTTGATTAACTATAAATGTAAATTTACCACGTTGCTTTACCTATAGTGTGCGCTGTGCATGCTATCGCATACTTCCAGTTGTGATTTTTGCAGACGGTCAGGTGAACAGAGTGATCATGACGATGATGGCGGATCATCATCTCCTGCTTCGCAGTCGTCTGGGTCTTCTACCAGGATGGCTAGTCCTGTGGGAAATGGTAGCGCTGCGGAAGCTAGCGAAGCAGAGCAGATTGTACAGCAGATTAATGCTGTCTCGGAACCGATGTTTCTTTCGCTTCACCAGCTGCGACGACGGCTCCTCTCGGGATTACGAGCCGTTCGGAATCCGCAGAGCGATAACAGCGCCCGCAGTACAGCTACTCAAGCGGCTAATGGGCAAGTGTCAAACGAGAGCAGCCCGAATAACGAGAACGATTGTTCGCCATCTGCTGTTCCCTTTATTTCACCGGTGTCGTTAATGGAGCAATATACAGTGGAAGCTCTGCAAGCCCTCCCATACCCAAAAAATTTTCAACGCTTTTTGAATTTTGATCGTCCGCTTGAATACCCGAAAAACTAAATTTGGTTATGTGGGGAGTATAGGTGCACCGCTTGCTGAAAACATGCGTGCTTCATTATTTGTGTGTAGTATTCTATAAAGCTCTTTTTGTTCATTCGCTTTTGCGATGCGTTTGATATTGTTGGAGTATGTTACAATTAAGCTGCAGTAAAGCTGGAATGCTTTCGTATTCCCTGTAGGTGTTTTGGTGATAATGATGGATATCTGTATGCTTTTGGTCGCTTAATTAAACGCCCGACTTATCACGAATTGTACACCCCGACAATTTACTTACAATATAGATTAATACAGTAATTATGACAGTGTTGAATTTTTGACAACACCCATTTTAAAGACGCAATGCAACGCAGATTTTGCGAAGTGAACTCATTGATCTTGACCTTCTATTAGTTTATTTGTGCTATACATGTGCGAGCCGGTTTGTTTATATGGGTTTCCGGTTCGTAATCACGTTTTCGATAAAATGAATCATTCATTTGAGTCGTTACTATTCTGCAAGTGCACATAAATGCATCAAGTTTAATCGCCGCTTCCAGCCGCTAGCGCTTGACATGGGGTTTGTTGCTGGTTCGACTTGTAGTACGAGTATTATGTCTAAAAAGCTAAAATCGTTAGAACCGATTAAGTACAAGCAATTAATTTCTATGTGTTAGCGATGCTATTTCGATAAGGTTTCAAAGATTCAAGCTGTACTCAGTCAAACACATCGAAAAGCCATACTTTCTGCCTTCTGCTGCTTTTTTAACCAAAAAATTTTGGTCGCTTTTCAAAACAGCTTTTATCTATCGTAAAAAGCTGCCAAGGAACTTGAAATTACCGCTACCTGACCGGCGAGTGACGATAACAATGATAATGGTTAAGCTGTAGAAAAATTCATCTGTTGTGTTGTATATACACGCAACACGAATATTGCGTAATGCTTTTCACTATCAATTACGTATAGGTAATTGTTATCTGATGCTGTGATTTAGCTAAATAACTCTGGAGTACACAATTGAAAACAGTTTATGTTAAGGGGGTTACCTAAGAAAAAAAAATTGAAGAAAAAAGTGTCTCGGAAGTCAGAATTTTGTCAAAGATGTTTTGCAGTTTAAAGGCTCACATCGAAAGTGAACTACGAGTACATATTATTACATGGGTGTATCGTCTCCGTAAGCCATCTTAAAGCCTGCTGTATAGTGAGTGACCCTTGTTTGTTAAAGATGATGTAATGACTGTACAACTACTCTAATAAGCCTGTGGTTAAAAATAATTTTACGACAAGCACGCCATCTAGTAACAAATTGTTTTTCCGTTCGGTGATTCGTTGTAGAATGTTTCTTGCGTATCAACAGGACGCCGCATAACATAGTCTATGTTCATGATCCTGAAAACAAGCAGTGGCAGACAGAAGCAAAACTGATTTCTTAACCTAATGCACACTTCTGCATATCAATGTGAGTGTAAAGGCAATGTCCATATCAAGTATATGCGCTCTCACGTTCCAATTTTCGCTATATCTCCATACTTTAGAGCTACGTCTACCGAACTCGTAATTGCAGTTCCAGTTACCACGACTTGTCATTTTTCACTTGCGGGTTGTCAGATTGTTATAAAGGAAAAATTATAATTGCCGCGCAAGGTAATTTAATCGTTCGCCTACGAAATGGTAAACAATTAATAACGCACCCATGTATAACGTTTTCTCGTGATCCAATGCAACAACAAGACAGTTTGCAAATGTTGCTGTTCATGACCCTTTAGTTGGGTAGACTTAACGGTATAACGCAACCTCGGCTTTTGCAGATGGAGCATCGATCAAGGAATAAGTACTGCGATATTTGCGGTAAGGTATATTCTGTAAATGATCTTAATCGTTAACTACTATTTGTCCAAGCGCTTTTGTAGAAAATTTTATGTGCAGTAAGTATTTCCCAGTCAAAAATCATTGAATGCCTTCGGCAAATATTGATGATGTATACCGTGGTTCGTTCCGGGACTGGCCATGGAATGCTTATTCTTGCCCTTCAGATTAAACATTTTTTGTGCATTTGGTACCCAAAGGTCAAGCTTTTACATTGGCTTCTTCCCTTTCACGGCATAAGGATGTGCACTCTTCATTGCGTCGATTTATCTGTGGAATGTGTGGGCGGTCCTACAAGCATTATGCCAGTATGCGAAAGCATCAAAACGTACATGCCGGAGAAATATTCAACTGCGAGATCTGTGGAAAAGGTAATTAATGAGTAATATAGAGTTACAGTAAAAACTGTCACGTGTACTAAAATACCACGCATACTCGTACCAAAATCGTCAGACATTAATATTTCATACTGTCTGTGCGAGACACGCTCGGAGCCTCGGATAACTGAAGCTATGTGATAATGTACACATATAGAATATACCGCGTATAAAATACATGTTGCCTTTATCAAAAAATATAAATTTGATCAAAACTTAGCTAATAGCTTCCTCATAATCTGCACTTTCTGGCTGACAATGAGTGCTTTATGTTGCTCTTGCATTAATATAAGTAACACACTGTTATTACGTATGCAGTACGACGTACGGCTTTTATTTTACAGAATTCAATCAAGCTTTGCATTTGAAAGCCCATGCAGAAGCCCATCATATGGCACGCCGACACATTTGCCAGTTCTGTGGAAAAACTTATACACAAGCGAGTAATTTAAAATCGTAAGTGCAAATTGATGACTTTACATAATCTTCTGCTAAAAATTTGGAAACACTGTAATTTCAAAGTGAATTTGCTAAAGTACTGTAAATCTGCTGATGTGGTCAGTATACGCTATATAGGCGATTATTGCGGTATAAACTTTAAATCAGTACGCTAAAAACCGGAAATGAGTATGCTCGTACCGTTATTTTCACTAGTATATTTGGTTGTCGTCAAAAATTAAAAACATATGTCCTTTTTCGATGCAAAAACGGTTGGAGCAACGGAAATACCGTATAATATCCACGGTTTTTCGACATGTAGGCATGAACGGAACGTTCACCAGTTTCCACAGTATTCGTGTCCAGTGTGCCGAAAACCATTTGAAACGATGATCGATTTACGGGAACATTTTGATTTAACTGTTCCATGCCAAACGTCCACTAAAATGGCAGAAGGCGATGTTCAAACCCAAATGATTCTGAAAACTCCGAAATTATCGCGTACTGTCAACTACAACGATGGCAGAAAGGCAGTGCAGTTAATCGATCATGGCGGAGTGGAAATTGTCCAAATTCGAGAGTTTCCGGCAGAACCAAGGAAGATCAGGATGTACTGAATTCTACCTGCCTCCCCCACTTCCGCGAGCCATTACTGAGACCTCGAGTTATGGCTTGACTCGTACCATAATGTCGGTGCATTTACCCGTCAATATGCGTCGGGAATCAGGGCATCCTATGCCGAAGTTTAGAAAGGATTTTCTTTCGTTTTCACAGTACTAACAAATTAACAAGGCGAGAGCGCGATGCAGAAATGTACTACCTGCAGACATTGAATTCCGAATATTTAGGCTACTTTCTTGCCTTTTCGCTTTTCTGTACGCTTCGCTTTGAATAAATTGTTATAGGTTTTTGTTTTTTAGCTTTACTGTATATTTTGTGTAATATGGCAGTGATGGTGCGGGCAAAGTAGTATGCCGTAAATTATTGCCGGTATGCGTTTTGTTTCGGTTCAATCGCTTTTGCAGCCAGCTGTTTTGTTTTGACTGGCATTTATTTTGTATGCTTTTTTGTGTAATGCACAAAAAGTTTCAAATTTCTGTGAATAATTGTTCGAAACGGACTTACGGTCAGTAACCACGAACACTATCAGTGTTTTGTCGAAAATTCGTATCATATACGAACAAGAACTTCATTTACTTAAATTTGCATGCGTTCACCAGCGCGACAATACATTTTCATCAATTTCTCCGCATCAGTTGGCAATTTTTACGCTTGCGTCAATTGTAAACTGTGAGACACAAGTCACTCCTATTGTATCGTATTATTGACTAAAAGGTTATCAACGGTATGTAAGTCCACACTGGACTGGAGAAATGATACTTGCAAGTTGCAGTTAGTCTTCTATGTCTACCTGCGCAGAATTACTACACAGTGGGTTCATTATGAACACATTGTGAATACGACGTAAAGAGTACTCGTACATAATTGAAATTACAGTAAACTTTTCATTTTCAATTCACGAAACTGAGCAATCAATAATGAATCATCATCCTCAATCATGTAGCACTTTGGCATCACAAGCAACAGAAGTATGGTACCCATATAAATCCATAAACGTAAATCGTAGAGTATGTATAAAATCGTTGTCAACAAGAAAACAGAATATAAGTACTGAATGAGAATTAAAAAATAGAAGAAAGAAATAAAGAAAAGTACTTAAGTTTATCTAAAAACGGAAGTTGTGCGAAAGTAAGACAATGCTGACCTCCATGGAACGCAATTCTCGCGCTGTTCGCAGATCATTTTATCAGCAGTCCCGCAATGCCCTTACAGTCAGCGCTCAGCGTATCCTGCTTAATGTTCCGTTTAATATTCGGGTTACTCTTCAGCATTTGCACCTTCCCCGCCAAATCCAGCACGTAAATATTCCCCGCAATCAGCGCTTCCAAGGAGCTTTTCCCATCCGCTACGGCCTGGTCGATCAGCTGTTCCGTCCGCTCATCATACCGCCACCATCCGTTTTTCCCCTCGTAAAACCAGACTAAGGTGTTTAGATTTGTCGTCCCCCATTATAACTGACTATACTGTCCGATTTGTCGGGCGCACTGGGCGAATCGCCGGAAGTGGAAGTTTGACTCTTGCGCCTCTTATTGCTGCTTTTGTCTTTTGCCTTTCTTTTCTTCCCTTTAACTTTCAGGTCCTTATCCAGAAGCTTGGGCTTATCAATCGCTGACTTCGGGATTTTCTTCCGACATAGGGGACAACTGTAATCGGTCGCGCAGACACCTTTTATGCACAGGAAACCTGTACGAAGAAACAGTTTCACGATCGTACCGAGTTTATATCAATAAAAACTGCTGCACTTGCAGCCAGGTCAATCATCACCCGAAGGCTGTAGTTAATAAGCAAGGTAAACTAACAACATAACTGCTTCCATATCTCTGCGAGAGTAAACACCAACCACATAAAATCTACTTACAGAAAACGTGCGAGCATGGCAACTTGACAGGATGAAGCGCTGGTTCGACGCAAATACAACATTCGATGTCCGGATCTTCCGGTTTTACAGACTGAGATTGGCTGCCGGATGGGACGGAATCTGTTACAACGGTGGTGGACGACGACAAAGAGTTCATGGTGTTACTGAATCCGCTTGCTGCCTTGCACGTTTCACTTCGGTGAACAACAAAACAAAGGCAACGCAAACAAACTCGTTAATCACGAGGCGATAGAGGCCAAGCGAGAAGGGATCACCCAAACCACCAAGCCTTTCGTGCGATAAAATAAACTTGGAAAGCAAGAAAAACACTGAAACTGAAAAAGTACAAATTAACGGTAAATTACCTTTAATTTATCCAACGGGAAAACGACCAACATCCGACACACACACATCCGATCCACCAACATACGACACACATTATTACTTATTACATTTTGCGAAACGATTATTGAACAGCCGCAAGGTATCTTGACAGCCGCAACACTTATGTGAAACGCAGCCGCGATGCGTAGTTTCAAACAACAAATGTAGCGCTTCTGCAGGTAAAAACACGATTTCAGTTTTTACAAGTTTTTTAAACGAACTACAGTAGCAGACAGACAGCCAAACCACACCCCCAATGACTAGGCTTGGCAGGCTTTCAACAGCAAAGTATGTACTGTATAGCGCCACCTTCTGGCAAATGGGCACGTGTGCGGTGTGATGTAAGTAAGTAATCACCGTTTCTGCTTCGTACATGCTTCGTCAAACGTTGTTTACAAGATGTTTTCACAAAATTGTGGGTACAGACGCACACACGGCTCAAATGTTTTCAGGTCTACAGTTGTCAGCTATCGTTCATGGAGTTAGCAAGAAACTGCGTACCTGCTTGTGAAACCTTTTCGAAACCTTGAAACCTCAAATGTTATTCTGGTGAAAAACATCTCACAAGGATGGCTCAGTTCAAAAAGAATTCTTTGAGGCAACTTCTTCCGTCGGTGTTGCGGACTACGTTTCAACAGAAGGAGCGCACAGTAATTTCGATAGTTCGGCCATTCAACGTCTTTCCAATGGAGGTATCCGAAGAATGGGTTACTTGAAAAAATTCAAGGTACGACTTAACCACGGATAACAGTTCTCAGTTCTGGTAGTTCTAGAATTGGAAACTCTTCCATTGCAATGATTTAACTTTTGGTGCTTAAACGTGCCACCATGCCAAAGTGAATTATACTACTGTAAGTCACAGTAAGTGCGCTCTTCTTGGTTTGCATTCATCATGCGGTATTTTATATGCAACGCCACTTTTATACGAGCACGAAAGAAACGACTTTTTTCCCAAAATTATTAAGCCAAACCGAAGTCTGTTCACTTCAGTCTTTGTGTTTGGATATAAATGCTATACTACACTATCAAATAAATTACATAAATATTAATTTGTGTGATATGCGTTACGCGTAGCGTGATTATTATTGTTCGAAGTTCATACAACCCGCTGGCATAAACATTAAACTGCTGTTATTGCTATTTGATAATGATGTGCTGTTTTTTCTTAGATGACAAAAAAACGGCCATTATTTGTGTTGCTGGATTCATCTGGCAAACGGACTGAAAAGAAGTTTTTCGTTCTGCGGGAATCATCCTCTGATAAACCGGCGATATTGGAATATCACGAAAGCGAAACAAAATTTCGTAATAATTGTCCTCCCAAGAGAAGTTTTGCCATAACGGCTTGTTTTGCCGTCAATTCAAAAGAGGATTGCAAAGAGAAACACGCCATATCCGTATTCACTCTCGGTGAAACATTATCTGTAGTGTGCAATTCCGAACGTGAGCAATCGGAATGGCTGCAGGATTTATTAGAACTGCAGAAAAGTGGCTTGGGGGAAGAACCGCTTCCGGAAAATTCACCTCCACTGACACCGCTTTACGGTAAGAGCGGAACTTGTTTTCAAGGTGATCTTTCCGCTTTCGTATATTTTAATTAATTCGCTTATTTTCAAAAATACCTCCCATGGTACCAAGAATGCAGCTTTGATCATTGACGCTTTGAAGTAAAAGATAGGATCTTCATTTAGTAATTGAGGCTATGAGGAATGACTTACGTCAAGAAAATTCATTACAAATCGCGCTCAACTGAGAAAATGCGATTAACTGTAGAGCTAATTTGATTCGCACGTCACTCTGTCCGCAATATTTTTACGATTAACAACATTTTCGGAAGCGCGTTATTTGTACTCAAGATCAGAATCGCTGCCACGAATTGTTTGACCCCACTTTTTTTTTTAAATGTTTGTTTGTGACATGATCTGGAATAGTGTCATCTGTTTTTAATAAATAACTTCTTCCTTTTTGTATCGCACAGCGTATCGCTGCGCGTAATTAAGATTTTGTTCTCAGCCAAGGAATGCCACTTCCAATCAGGAAGCCTGTGTGTGGATTTCCGAAGGGATTTGGCGTCCTGTACAAACAGTATTTAAACACTTGTCCCATTGATACTGAAGATGAATTTTCTCCTGTAGGGCAGTACGGGGCGATAAACAGGAAACGCTCTTCATGTTTGCGAATGATTAGGCAATGCGTGTTCCATTTGAGCCGGTCCCTGTGTTATTGCGAATTCAAGAGAAATCGATATATTTATGCCCGGTTTGTATTGCTGTACGTTTGCAGATTACGTATGGAATGTCGATATCCAACGGCAAGGGCTGGGCCAGACGAAGAATATCCTGGGACCGTATCGCCTGTGCTTAGTTGATCGGACACTGAAACTCGTTCCCTTGAATCATGCAATGGGAGAAAATACCTTAGTATTTCCGGTAATGCATGGAAATTGACACATATCGTGCTGGTTATAGTTAATAATCCATATTCCAGTTGGTGAAATTACGGAAGGTTGGGCATGTTTCCGATAAATCCTTTTTCTACATTGAACTCGGCCGGCAAGCATGCACGGGGCCCGGTGACTTCTGTATGGCAGCCGAGGATAAGGTGTCTGCGCAACACATCCATGAAATTATCTCAGAGTATGTTGTTTTGTTTTAACGATTTCGTAAACCATTAAAAAAAGCACTTGTGATGCGAATTTAAGTTTTTAAAAATCGGATATTTTATCAGGGTGCAATCATCGTTTTACGTCTGAGATGTCGAATTTTTAATTATTAAGACTTCGTTTTGCGGTGAAACCGTAAATATATATTTCGTAGAAATGAGGAACGTTCGACATCTTTTAATATTTTCATGACAATTTTAAATATTCTAGCGTGGAAGACCCCACGCTAGAATGCCAATGTTGCCGGATGTGAACTATCTGCTGCTTATGAATACAATAATGATAGCAATAATAATAGTAATAATTAACGATCTGTAAATGTGCAGGTATAACGCTTTATATCGAGCACTCATGCATTTGTATACGGTGTAGAGCCATGCGTAAAGGTGGACCACCGGAAGAAAATGCGCACGTGTCAACTTCTGGACATCGTCCACGCAGTAATACGCAAGACTCCAGTCGACCCAAACTTACGCCGGATAATCGACGTAATACATATGAGATAGCGAAAGACAAGGGGCAACTTGGTGGTTTTTCAGAAAGTTTTCGGTCATCTGGGCAAAACTTATCCGGAAGGTTAGTACTCACTGCGTACTCACTAAAAATTGTCATGACATATATATGATATATATCATGATATATATATCATGATATTATATATGTCATGATATATATATGACTATATTTGAATTATAACGTGGTGGAAACAGCTGACTTGTGATGTTTAAGTACTGTAATAACTTGGAAGTGATTGTAAACTGAACCGTTTGGATATTATTTGAGTTTAAACGCCTTAACCTTCATTGAAGTACAAATAATTAGAAATTTTTCGCGACGTTAAACGTTTATTTGTATTTTAGTAGTGCTTACGTTTATTACTTATCTTGTGTGTATTACGTATCAGTAACTATAAGTTGAATGTGAGCCTAATTTTCTGAAATAAGAAAACCGTCAAATGAACTAATCGGTGCATTGCCCTAGTTAAGAAAGGTTAACGTTGCAGTCGGGAGAAAACGGGCTCAGCGGAGCAAAAGCTGCCAGAGTACTTTGTGCCGGATTTTGCGAGGAGCACCTCCACTAATGAAGAAAATTACTTAGCGATCGATCGGGATGCGTCTTACTTACCTTGTGATTTCCCGTAAGTATGCTCCCACTGCTTACGGTGTAGAGGTGTATGTGGGTGTCCTTACCTTTGTGAGGGCAGTTCTTTTGTATAGCCGAAAAGCGGTTCCAAGCTAAACTCTCGTGTGGATGTAGGATGTGATTAATATTGTTTTTCTCGATCAGTAAGTTTCTTCCCTGTTATTTTCATCATTTCATTGGTTGCAGGCCAAAAATACCATCATCGCCGGAGGTTCCGATGTTGAATTATAGTTCAATTTCTCGACCCAGGGAGAATTTTTCGTATCCACAAGGATTGTCGCCAACCGGTGAGCAGCGTCCTCCTCTTAGTCTTTCCATACCCGAGGAACCGGGAGATTACATGACAATTACCATGCCAAATGCGTCTTCTCAAGGTAACTTTATATCAGAGTAAACCGAAATATGGTTGCAAATTCGCATACGGTATTGATCGTCTGGTTAATGATGGCAGGTACAGTATTTAAATGCACATATTGTACTACGTTTGATTGCTGTTGGATTTGCAGTTGTTCCTGTTTCTGGGGCAGCGGAACAACCTGGTAGTGCAGCTTCTTCCGGTGAATCTGGATATTTCGAGATGAATTTACCTCCCAAATTCCCTGATGTTCCCCACAAAACTCCTCCCACTGTGGTATCTCCGCCACCTCCAGAAAAGACCGACGAAGCCGGTGGATACATGATAATGGCACCCGGCTCGGCGACCTCCTCCGGTATTTGTGATTCCCGTCGCAGCACCATGTCAAATGCGTCGTACCAGTCGCATCCCTCCGATCGAGAAGAAAATATTGACCGACTAGGCGAGGTGACCTACGCAGTTATGGAGGGTCCCAGGAGTCGCAATCGTGATTCAGGGTGGGATAATTCCAGTTCGTCCTTGTCGTCGTCATTCGGCTGGGAGCGGATAAACTCGTTAAGTTCTCGAGCTGATTTCAAACTGGAAAAGGTTAAAGCTTTTATTAATGAGGATGGAGAAGATGCACAGTTACGAGAAGCACGGGCGTATTCTACCGGCTGCCAGTTGCCGAAGGCGTCGATTACGTCTTTCAAACCGGAGTCTCCGTCGGGTATGAATCCTGAAGCGTTTCGTATTCGAGCATTTTCACTCGGCAACCATTCGTCACCATCCTCCGCTCGCTCTGGACGGAAGGGCGTTGTGCATTCACCGAGCGCTGTTACGGTGATGAACAGTGGTTCGATTACAGCATCTCCACCGATGTCGTTGAATATCCGAACAGAAGCGCCTAGTACCAGTAAGGCTCTTCAAATTTCGCCAGAATCGGAGAGTAGTACGCATTCTGGAAAGCCTGTAGATGGTAAGAAAAGCAACGAGTCCCATGACAGAGATGATGATTTGATGGAGTTGACATTCCGTCAGCGATCTGGGTAAGTTATGGTTTTGTTCTGGCATATATTTTATTTTTTTATGTCAAGTGTTTTAATTCTAATGTGGATCTGTTTCTGGCTGCAGAACTTGAAATCAGGAAATCCGGTGGATTGTTTCAGTGGAGTATCAAGCACGTTAGATATTGCGTACAATGGTTTGAACGTTTTACTTCTGATTGGATGTTGAACAAATTGGCGTAACGGGCTTCTTCTGATGTCATTACGGCAACAAAGGCCAGAGTTGTGGCTCATTTTCTATTTTAAGTTGGAATCCATAGTTTGGGTAAAGTTTCCTGTCCAAGTGTTATGATACGGGTGGTTTTTCAGAATGTGTACGTTTTGAAGGTTTACATGTCCAGAATAAATTTACCAGAATCTGTACCAGCCGAACGAAGCTAATTGATTTCGTGAATATAGCACCAGTTCATTTAATATGGTATTACATTGTATGAGTTATGACTATGAACATAGATAGAATATTAGATGAAATACCGTAAGTATTTAGTGCAATTGCTGAACATTTACTACAAAATGTGAACCTATAAATTTTCCTACAGTCATACACAATTTTCCATTTCTCTCGATCTCAAAGGTTTTTTCAAAAGCCGTAAAACTAAAAAAAATGCATCATTTTGCGGTAGCCTGTAGGGCATCCTTCCTACCCAGGCCGGCGGTTGTTAGTTGACTGTAGTCGGCAAATGCATTTATCGTAAGTCCACGTCTAAGGATTTCAAGAAACTGGGGAAAATCTTTAATTCTTAACAATTTTTTGGTTTATGATCTGTGTTGTTATTCAGTTACTTCCATTTAGGAAAGTGCACTCTTGAAATTTGAGAACATCCCATCGTTTGGTAATTTTTGTACCCTTCGTTTGACGCTCTTTGCTCTGGCCATGGCGCAGTACGATCTGACACCCGTGTTATCAAAGTTCTTCGACCGTCATTTGGTCATTCCTTTGCTGGAATTTCTCAGCAGTCGTGAGGTGATTGCCAGGGATTTATGGAGACCACGAACATGTTAGTGGTAACGTTGTGGTATGTTGCAGATCTACGACGCGACAGATATGAGAGTCAGTCGTATTGAAATCATGAAGGACACGAACATGGTGGATTATGTGATATCTGAAGTCAGGGAACTCAATCAGTCCGAAGAGGTTCCCGAAGGTACTTCGATCCATTTCACTAGTGGTGCGACATCCTCAACGGTGAATTAAAATGTTTCAGACCTGGCTATCAAGCGACAGAAAGTGCTGGCCGGACTCGAAGAGAAACAGGTTGAATCCGAAGGAATTTTGAACTTCTTCCAGACAGAAGGTGTCAAGACAGCTGTCGAGGTTCGTCGTTCGCGTTATTGGATTATTCAGAGTTTTTTTTTGCATCTTCGAAAATTTGGTTATGGGGATTGCTGCATATTTTATATTTCAGACCATTAACGACAGTGACCAATTATATGAAGTTCTAGTGCGAGAACACGGCTTCCAACCGGAAATGCTGGATACGATATTCGATTACGCCAAGTTTAACTTCGAATGCGGTAATTACAAGGGAGCTACGGAGTTTTTGGATTTATTCCGTTCAGTGGTACGTTCCTTGTTGATACCAGAAAAGATGTTGCCTAATGTCACTCGTTCGGGAGAATTCTTTTACGGGACTGAGCAGATGGATTTTTGATTGACTGATTGTTAATGTTCAGTGTGAAATGTTTTCTTTAATCGCTTTTTCTTAGGCTCCGACGAATCATCCCAAGCAGAGACCAGCTAGATGGGGAAAGGCTGCTGGAGAAATCTTATTGCAGGATTGGGATACGGCATTGGCCGATCTCAACCAATTGAAAACCGACATCGATAGCGTCAGTGTAAGTTGTTTGTCAAATTGAGAACGGTTATTGTATATTAACGTGGCAATATGTAGTGCAAAAGATGTGTATGGAACTTTCAGATTTTCAGTTAATTTTTAGTGTTGCAATTAAATTTTTTGCATTAATTCAATGGCTTTTGCAGGACCGCGTAGCAATTGTGGAAACTTTAAACGATCGAGCTTGGCTTATTCATTGGTCATTGTATGTTTTTTCAACCATCCGAAAGGCAAAGATCTCATAGTCGATTGGTGTATGCAAGAGCCTGAGTAAGTACCTGAAATGAGAAATATTTGATACATGATGCCGATATTACTCTGAACTTGTTAATTAGGTAGTGGGGCAGACTGACGGCAGTTTCTTCTTTTATTTAACAACGGGAATTAATAAAAATACTTCGGTATCGTAGATATTTGAACGCAATCCAGACTCTCTGTCCTCATATTTTGCGCTACATCGTCGTGGCTATCTTGACTAATCGCCGCCGGAGGCAGCTCATCAAGGACGTTATCGAAGTTATCAAACAAGTAAGGTTGTGTAACATTGTTTCCCACAGAAGTTTTAGCTTTTCGTTGTTAGGAATCGCCTAATTATAAGGACCCTGTTACGGAATTCGTTACAAGCCTGTTTGTTGATTACGATTTTGAACGGGCACAGAAAATGCTTAAGGAATGTGAAACAGTTTTGGATAATGATTTTTTCCTGATTGGTTGTGTGGAGGACTTTATTGACAGCGCACGCCAGTACATCTTTGAGACGTACTGTCGCATTCATTCAAGGATAAGGTTGGCAATTCGCACTTTCGGAGAAATCGGTGTTCTCGGTTTGACTAATGTGTAGTAATTGAATTTCCACAGCATTCGGGATTTGGCGGAGACACTGAGTCTGGAATCGGACGAGGCCGAGAAATGGATTGCTAATGTCATCCGTAATGCGCGTCTGGATGCGAAAATTGATGCGGCTAAGGTGGGGTGTAGAAGTCTGAATGCACGCTGCCACAATTGTACTTATCGTTATTTGTGACAGGCAGTTAATTTTTCCTTACGCGAGAGCCCATGTGGTTTTGTTTAGCTGAGTAAAGGGATAGCGGGGGGCGTAATTTGGTTGTTTACAGAAAGGCTTTTTCTAACAGCTTTTATATTCGACCACTCAGTCGTGTATAAATTTAGCACTCGCTAATTGATCCCAGGGCGTTGATTCTCTAAAGGATGATGCGGAGGGCGGGGCTGATTGTACTCCCACGTTTACGTCCACTGATAATGATATTTTGGTAAAATTGTAAGTGTTTGAACAGGGCGAGGTCCTGATGGGAATTCCGGCTTTGTCATCTTATCAAATGCTGATCGAGAAAACGAAGACATTGTCGCTGCGCACTCAGCAGATGGTTAATCAGGTGGATAAGCGCGTAGGAGGCAGGACCGCTGGGACGTATCAAGAGGTGAGCTTTCTTGTTAGCAATTTCTGTTGGATTATTGTCTGAGTATTTATGTTACTTTTATGTTACTTTTATGTTTGAAGGTTTCTGATTCTTAAGTTATCTAACTAAAAGGTTATCTTGTAAATGCTGTTGTTGGTGATAATAATTGTAATCATTCGCTTGTTTTACTGTACGGATCAAGCTGTTTCATGTGGCTGTTTTTATTTTTAGCCCCAGTATGAAGTGGACCAGAAAGTGGGATATGGTTATTAGTTTTGGTTCGTTTTGGATTGAATGGTGTAGTTGTATTCATCCATTTTGTTCGCCGTACCCTTCATTGTAACTTTATTGTGCACGAGCTCGTTTTCACGACCTTTTGATGGTAAAAAAGAGTACAATAAAAAGCTAAGAAAGAAAAGTTAGAACTGCTTTGAACAAGCTCGTAAAGTGCATTAAGCTGGACGTTGGATGCTCCAGCTCATCATCCGATAAGTCGAAAGAAATTGTAATTTTGCGGTGGTTTCGTGTAGCTTGCTCCTGCCACCTTTGCTCCAGTGTCCCGTCTTGGCAGTTCTGGAAAACAACACATTTCAGATTTGCTTAACATGCCCTGACTCGTATCAAAAGACTGCACGTAAACTTGAAACAAATTGGGATTGATAGCACGGTACAGAAATTGTCAAAATTTGTTATACTATGCAAGCAAAACGGTTTATTGCCCCTTTGCTTTGCCAAATAAGGAATAAGGATGTTCACTCTTTTTCGATTAAAATTAGAATACACATGATCGGAAAACTGATTAATGAGTGGTTCGGAATCAACTGCAGCAAAAGAGGGACAAGACGTCAGTGTCTTGATTTAATGACTGACTATAGAATGCCTACAGTCTATAGCAATGACTATAGAAATGGCAGCCGGATCAAATGCGTGCCATTTACATTTAGCTAACGAATGGAGCTGACCTTTTGAGCTGTAGACGCTTCCTTTTTTGTTGCGGTTGCCGGTTGATAGATCTCTCGATGCGTCATCGCTGTCGTACGCGTCAACACTGCCGCTGATAACGGACGGGATAAACCATGTTTTGGGTAGGTAGTACGCTCCTGCCAAACCTTCCAAAGGAGATGCAGATCCGGAAGCGTAATGCGGTCGGCCCTCGTCCATAGCGCTTCGTGGATTCGCGTTAAGGGATCTCACGTTAACGGCTTTGGCAAGGTAATATCGAGGATCATTAGTGGAAGTGTCAGCCGCGTAGCCGCGAAATAAAACCGCGATCGCTATGTACATGGAAAACTAGAAAAATGTTGAAGTGAGTTGACAGCACAGGTGGCTGCAGATTTAACATATATTCGGATATTCGTATTTAAATCCCTTTTAATTTCTCATCTGTGTCAACGGCATCACTGATTGCTTAGTTTTTTTTAATCATATGCCAGTTTAATATTAGTAATATTGAAATGTTTTATAGATATTAAAAAAATAATATGCTGCTCTTACAGTGAAAAAATCACCGACTCGTGCAGCTTATTAATAATGTTTGCAGCATTAGATGTATGCTTATATTTTACTTATACGCTTACCGGTAAGGTCACAAACATGGGCAGCGTTTTAGTACCAGCAGTCGGTGTCATATTATTGACAATCTTGACACCAGATTACAAAAATACTAAGTAATGCTACGTTAGTGGAATCTGATGACCGAAGACGTCGAACATGTATTACTTTTACTCTGGCAATCTGAACAGGACTTTAACGCTGTTTATATAGTCTTGAATGGATGTATCCGAGCTACTGCAATTCGATACCCTACAAATCACTTCCTGCAAACACCTGAAATATTTTAGTCCCTTTTATTGGCCGCCTGATCCGGTGTGAGAATGGGAATTCATGACGTTATGGGCGTGTGGCTGACTTGCTCATGACCAGAGGAAGTCGTGAGTTGCGTTGACTGGAGCTGCACATCCGAAACGCATCTGTTGTACTTTATGGCTTTGAGCCGTATACATCACACAAACCCATTAGAAGAACAAACTAACCGCATCTTTAACAATGCATCGTAAAGCGTCCTAATGCGTTTTCGGGCTTACAAGGAGTACTGTTCTGTTGTCGCAAAATCGGCGTTGACGACAGACGAAGAGCATCGGCATTCACTAAATACGTTAAAATCATGTGACATAACCTTTAATTATAATCGAATCCGCAGCACTGCGGGGTTATTCGCATTTGGCACTAATTTTATCTTGTCGTATTAAATATTCTAATTTTAACGCTAGCATTATTAGCCCATGCAACGCATCATATTCTGAACATAGAGACAATACAACCATTCCTTGGATTTGTGTATCATGCGTACTCTTTGGATGTTTAATAAACTCAACATAGCAGTCAGGTGGTTACAGTCGTGTGCAGCTGCGCAATACATCCATGTTACTGCGATTTTAATGCTACTTTTTCCAAAAACTGTCCCAAAACCTGACAAATTGTTTGCAGTACAACTGATTCATATAATTATAACGCTTTACACAAGACGGATTTCAAATACAATTAACGCATTGTTTCTCAAATGCTACGAATCAGATCCAACGAGGATAGAAGAATCAGAATGCTGTATTACTAAAAAAATATACATGTATGACTTTTGCAACAAAATCAATATGGTTGATTGAGCAGCTCATATGAGATGCTTGGAAGCTGGTAGTGATTTCAGCTCTCTGGTTCCGCATGATTTTCAATCCATTCCACCACTTTTCGACAAACTTCGTCGCCTACACCATTGGGTTCATCGAAAACCCTGTGTAAAGCGTCTGGAACGATCTGCAAATAATCACAAGCAGATTTTCCTAGTATGTTTATCTGCCGTAACAACGCTACCATTAACTGAATGATCTAAAACTACTGCCGAAGTATTATTAATAAGTTTCCAGCGTGCACTACGCGCTGAAGTATGTACATATAATTAAATTTATTTGCGTGCCAGCTGCCAGCTATACAAACTTTTCCAAACAAATTTGGATGCGCTAAATCGCTTGTTCTAGGTACTCACAACAACAGTTTTGTCTGGGCTTTGGGCAGTGTTCATAAGTTTTTCGATTTCTAGTGCCGGTATCCAAGGGTCATTTCCAGCTTGAATGCAGAGAAACGGCCACTTCACGTCGGGTATGCCTTTGACAATTTCGTCTACTCCAAGTCGAAATGCGTTTAACCATTTAGCTTTTAAGCGTCCTTTGTAAATTAATGGATCTTTCATATATTTTTCGATCTAACAAAAGTTCAAATTATAGTTAAATAAACGTCGAGTCAGCACAGGAAAAGTTTTCGTACTATGGACGTGTCGGCCGTTATCGCTTCGGCTTCCAGCTGAATCAGGCCTGCTCCTGGTGCAATCCGTGCCAACGTTCTCCCCAGAAACCTCATTGCCGGTGTGTTAAATTTGCTGGCTACGGCCAAACCGGGACTAAGGAGTATCACACCGTCAAAGAGATTCGGATTCTGAATCGCTGTGCCGACTGCTATCACTCCACCCTACAGGAATTTCAATAAGTGATGCGTTGTGTTTTTCATAATATTAATTAGTGAATTATACTTGTCTAATGATACAAGGTAAGTACATACGATTTGTCGTAAAGGATATAAGCATGGCATTTAAGTACTAAAACAGGGTACTCCAAACAGTCTTTACTGTTTCGCAAAAGCCTAATTTACCAGCCTAATTTACGAACGCTGATGTTTCCAACCAAGTATGGCTTTCTCGAGGCATTATGATCAAAATTAAATTATGTAATATTTTTAACGCTTGTCGAACATCTAATACCTATAGTTGCCTTGAATAATGTAAATAAAATACTATTACAGAATATCTATGTTTTGGGTCAGTGCATCGACCACTACCGGGTATGATTGGCTAATCAAAAATTACCATGGAATGGCCAACAATAAATATAGGAATGTCTTTCAATTTGGCTTTCACGGAAGCTGCATGGCATTCGACGTCTTTGACATACTGCAGAGAATAACAATATACAATAAAGTTTCACTAAAATTTCTGATACCGGAAGCCCCCACTCAGCAGGGCAAAAAAGATCGAATTAACATTAGCCAAAGGTTGTGCTTAATACAGCTCTTACCTGGCTCACGTTGTCGATTTGTGCTCGTTTTCCTCCACTTCTTCCAAAACCGACTGAAAAAATTTTATCACGAAATGAAGAAATATGAACCAATAGAATGTGACAAGCGCAGCACCGTAAGAAGTTTGTCTATCCCTACTAAAGGTACAATTACCCAGAGAACCAAAATATTGCAAATATCAAAGTTCCAGAATTGATATTATTCGAATGAATTAATGGATTTGATAGAACTGTACAGAAATAAAGTGCATAAGAAAGAGATGGTTTACCATGGTCGTGTCCAAATGCAAGAAAATTAGCGTCCAGAAGCCGCTTGACTAGCCGATCATAGGTCACCAAATACTCCCCAAATCCATGGCTAATGAATACCATAGCTCTGTAACAGAAAGACAAAATCGAAATGTAAAAATTTTAAAAAAAAATTGCAATGTAAAATGAAAACTTGATCAGCATCATTTTATTAACAACTGTGTAGCATGTCTTAATTAATAGCACCGCTGTCGAAAACATGCCAAGAGGAGTACCTCAACGATAACGATACTTGTAGTACTATGCTACAGTTATTCCGATAAATGTGTCATCATCGATCGACGGGATGCCGCTTCAGTGACTTTCATTGATAAATAATGAACTTGCGTCATAAATCGAGCTAGGACTAGGTCACACACAGGATGAAGCGAATAACCACACATTTTTGATGCAATATCGTCGTACTAAGCCAGTTTAACTTTTCTGCCTTTAATTGGCTAAAACACACTGCATGTTTAAAAGAATTAAGTGCATATATATGTAAGTGCTTCAACAGAACGATCGCGAGAACCTCGTCTGGATCGAATCAGGAAAAAGCTTATGCAAAACTTAAATTTTGTGATGGTGGACGATCTTGGATAGAATAACACAAAACAGCGCGCCGTATTAAGATGCAGCTAAGAGTATACAAGGTGTATTCCAGATTGGGCAAGGTTGTTTTATTCTGACTAAACATATATAGAATCTATCACGCCTATCAATATTAGTGCAGTTTCATAACTATTTCTACCAACTACTGTCAGTTATACAAATCCAACATGAAGTACAGACACTGTACTGCCGAAAATTGATCAAAATTTATTTCCAGTATTTTCAAATAGAATATTTCTGCAAAGGCGATTGCGCGGACTTTCCAGTGGCTTTTCGCAGTTAAATTGATTTCACGCTTATTTCGAATTTGCCACACAATAATTTACCACTAAACAGCAGAAAAATGCTGCAATCTGCAAAATATATTCGTGCATTTAATAAACCCGAATTTGATCTAACAGAGACTCTTACAGAGGTAAATTACAGGTATTTACCAAACTTACCTAGGAAGCTGCTCTTTGTTTGGATACCAGTAGGAACAAAACAGCTCGTGTCCTGTGCAGCTCCGGATTTTCGCTTCCCTCGTAACATTGGCGCACATTTTGGTAGGAAAACTGCGCACGTATTTTCAGCAGAAAACTATTTTTTAATCAAAGTCAAAACTTCCGCCAAGCGGGGGTTGATTCACATCGTTTAGCGCAATCTGTAATAATAATTACCCTGTATTCATCCGCACAAGGAGGGTACCGTATACAATACAAATGTATACCACTGTGTGAAAAGTTGCTGCAATAGTCTAACCTCGTTGGTAATGCGTCACTACAAAATTTACGGTTAACCTGTGATTGAAGGGTTCCACACGAGGTTCAGTGCTGCAGAATGAGCAAACGCGCTCTTGGTCGAGTACGCGGATGTGCAACTTCGTCAGCCGGCATGCGTTTGTCTTTTCCATTTGTCGCAAATATTAGAACGCAATCACTTTATATCACCGTTTCAGTCATGTACATATGAATCAATCCAATTTATTGGTGACACATAACACGGTTTATGTTTACACAGTAAAGCCGCACTTTATAAAGTTGCATTCTATCGTGTACTTATGTACAGTATAACTGCCAATAGGCAAATATTAACGTTTTAAAGTTAATGAGAGTACGACGTAACACGCGAGTACCGCCCTACTGGGAATCCCGGGTAAGATTATTACATTTTATGCGTTTTTGTATAAACCCGTATAAATAAAAAAAAACAGAAGTGTTCTCTTTTGATCCTTTTAAACGACAACGTTTACCGAATGCAAAGTGGTAAAAGTTGTAAATTAAAATAACACAGTAACAGTACTAGAGTAGTATGCATGCCAGTACAGTCAGTGTACAATACAGCACAAACGCCCGCAATAAATAAAAAAACTTATGCATTAAATGACAAAAAAGCTCGAAAACCTGAAAGTTTGCGACAAAGTTTGTTCACATTAAACTGACCTTTGCCACTTCTGTAGCCTACATCACACCGCAGCATTCGTCAAAACAATCGTCGCATACTTGACGTATTTGGTTGCAATAATTCTGGCAACCACACAGCTTGCAGTTGCTGGATGTATATGAGTCCGGATCGCTAAGGGTTGCGTCACATACTCGGCGAACTTTCCGCTGTACTTCGGAAAGCCGTTCGTAGTACTGCAATGTTTTTTTCTCCGGTTTCAAAAGCTTGAAAATATCGTCCAATAGAATAAGGTTGTAGCCATAGCGGTTAAGCGCCGCTATAACATCCTCAGTGGTTTCCGTTAAATCGATAAGGTTATCGTGTAACAGCCGTTGCAGTATGTCCTCCGCGTTGTCCAGCGATGCCCACTGGGAAGCACGTTGCACTGTCGACCTCCAAAACGCCGCACGGCATAACGGGTCATTGTTATTGACTAGATGCAATCGTTCCGTTGATTCCAAATGCATGAGAAAGAACGTTTCCAGATTGATATCTACGTATATATGAAACAAGTAAAATATTATGTATACGAATACATATATATATAAATATTATGTATATTATGTATATTATGTATTACGGTTAATATTGCTACTGCGGTATTCGAGGTATACTGTACAGCGTGAAATACCGTACCAGCGGACATGCAGTACTATGGTTACTGGTCATTTTACCTGACGCTCGTGCAACTTTGCTCAGGTCTTTTTTGTAGTTTGCTTCTTTGTCACTAAGTTGCTGGAGAATTTCCTGCGCTGAATGATTACTCATGATTCCGTTTTTTGCGTAATGAGTAATATTAAAAATTTCCCGGCAAATTTCCCAATCGGGCCGTACTTGTGCGTAATCGGCCGTTAAAACCAGTAAAGATCCCAGATGACGGACCGGTCGCTTGAGCGACTCGGCTCGGGACTCCAACGCCGCGGCGGACGGACGCCGACAGGCCGGCCGATTGACCGAGGCGCAGCTGCTTTGTGTGCCATGCAGCTGTCGCGCTTCCTCGCGTTCCCGGTAGAAATAGCAGTTTTTTCTCTGGATATTGGGCAGTTCTCCTAAAGTACTGACCACGCTCTCCGCTTGGCTGCTTTCTGCTTCATCACGGTCATCCGACGGCAGCGCCGGTGATTGTTGCACTGCATCGTGATCGCCGGCATTCGGGCTATCGTCTTCATCAAAAGAGGCAATATTGACAAGTCCAGGAAAATCGGGATTGCAGAACAGCTCAAACATTTGAAATTCTGGTATTCGTTCGTACGAAATATCGATCGTAATTGACTCCACCGAAGGTGTTTTCGGTGTGGACCACGAAGAGGTTTTAGACAATACGGTTTGGTTTTTCGAACGCCGGTACATCCAGATCCAGGAAGACTGGAGGGATATCGGCGGTAAGGCTCAGACACAGCGCGCCGTGCGGCAATTTTAGTTAGGATTCGAACACGGTCGTCATTTGTCGAACTGGTTGAAGTTAGACACTGAATGGTTTCGTCGTTGGGATCATTATTACTAACAATATCACTGGCCATATTTGAATCGCACCGCACACATACATATAAGTTCAGTAGGTAAATAAATTTGAAATTTTACTGACCTTTGAAAGATCAAGCATGCGCCTAAGTAAAACAAAAACACGAAAGTCTTAAGGTCACGCGTTGATTTTGAAAGATGAAACAAAAATACTAATGAGTGCAACAACGTGTATCTGTGTCGAAGCAATCTTGATTCCTGCAAAGAAGCATGGATGCGTATGGACGCGGCTTTTTTACGGACAATAATAATTATGTTCCTTAAATGTGTAGTGTTTGCGTACAATATTTTGATTTATAATCGCAAAGCGAGATACAGTAGAATTAAAGGGGTGTCAGAGTAGAACCAGTACTAATTTAACCTGCAACTGTACCCATAAAGCTCCCGCTGTGTAAGCAAATTAGGATAACTTCCGCTGTACCGTGGTTTGTCTTGCGTTCGCCTCTGAAAACTATAAACATTCCCTTCCTGATTCTCGATCTGACTGTGTGGAGAGCAACTCGGCGACAAGAGCGTGTACATGTGCATCAGGTAATAATTCAAGATACCTGTTAACAGTATATGTAGTTACTGTATTGTTTCAAATCACAAGTCAAAATCGAAAACTTCCTCAATCTGGAAGGGAGAGACTAACTAGGTCGACCTGAAAAATCAGTGTGAATTTGGTTTTTTATACTAATTGTAAGCAGTGCATAACCATTTTATTTTTTGGCAAAATTTCAGCTAACAAAAGTTTTTGAGTTAGGCGATTCCAAAAATGTCGTAGAATATTTTGCACAACTGCATTCTACCAAGTTAAATGCCTGTCCGGGTATATAATGCAGAATTTTAATTATCGATTATCTGATTGAATGATTTCTGATTAGTGTAAATGTTCTAGATGAAAATATGTTACGTTTCCGAATTTTCTTATGTTTGACTAATGTAAAGGTGCGATTTGCCGGTTAAGACCTTATGGAATTAACTGAATATCTATGCCTGACTTTTTTAAGGTCATTTACGTCAAAACTTTAATATCTTTAACGTAGCAACAATAATTTCTTAGATACAGACATACTGCTCTTAAGTATGGATGTACTTTAACTTTACATAGCAGACCCGGCTTGTGGAGGTGATTTGTTTGGTCGCTTTTAGGTTTTATGCATTTTTTAAGAAAGCGAGCACTATCTGGCCGCGTTTTAGAACACGGGCTTTCCGATGATAGCAGTGGTCTGTGTTGATTCTGTCTGGGTACCGGCACTGGTGTATGCATTTTTTTGTTCGTAGTAATAAAGATCTAGAACTGGATACGTAATTGATAGTAATAACTAATAAGCATTACGTAACATCTATACTTCTATTCTTGTTGCGTGCATAACACTACAAATGACTTTTTCTACAGTTTAACCATTTTCATTGTTGCTGGCGTCACTCGCACGTCAAGTAGCGGTAATTTCACGTTTCTTGGCGGCTTTTTACGATAGATAACAGCAAGTAAACAGCTTTTTTGAAAAGCGACAAATTTTTTTGCTTAAAAACATAGCAGAAGGCAGAAAGTATGGCTTTTCAATGTGTTTGACTGAATACAACTTGAATCTTCGATATGTTATCGAATAGCATCGCTAACACGTAGAAATTAATTACTCGTATGTACTTAATCGCTTACAGACTTTGATTGTACTACTCTGTACAAGTCCACCCAGCAGCAAACCCCATGTCAAGCGCTAGCGGCGATTACAGTTGATGCATTTTCGTGCACTTGCAGTATCTGTATGTAACGCAATTGAATGATTCGTTTTATCGAAAACATGAATACGAACCAGAAACCTATGTAGTATAAACAAACCGGCTCGCACATGTACATGTACAGCACAAATAAACTAACAGAATGTCAAGATCAATGAGTAATTATTGTATTAATCTATATTGTAAGTAAATTGTCGGGGGCCTCGGGGCATTGTGTTCTCAAACCAAATCCGTCAAGTGCGTGTCCCACCGCACTGCGTCTTTAAAACGGGTGTTACTGCTGTCAAAAATCCAGCACTGTCATAATTATTGTATTAATCTATATTGTAAGTAAATTGTCGGGGCATCGTGTTCTCAAACCAAATCCGTCAAGTGCGTGTCCCAACCTTCGGCTACTGGCACCCAAATTGATGGCACCCAAATACACTTCGTACACGTTCAATTCGTGAAGTTTAATTAAGCGACCAAAAAGCATACGGATCCATCATTATCGCCGAAACACCTACAGGGAATACGAAAGCATACCAGCTTTACTGCAGCTTAATTGTATCACACTCCAACATATCAAACGCATCGCAAAAGCGAATGAACAAAAAGAGCCTTACACAATACTATACATAGGTAACGAAGCACGCATGTTTTCAGCGAGCGGTGCACCACATTTAGTTTTTCAGGTATTCAAGCGGACGATCAAAATTCAAAAAGCGTTGAAAATTTTTTGGGTATGAGAGGGCCTGCGAGCGTCCACTGTATATTGCTCCATTAACGACACCGGCGAAATAAAGGGAACATCAGATGGCGAACAATCGTTCTCGTTATTCGGGCTGCTCTCGTTTGGCACTTGCCCATTAGCCGCTTGAGTAGCTGTACTGCGGGCGCTGTTATCGCTCTGCGGATTCCGAACGGCTCGTAATCCCGAGAGGAGCCGTCGTCGCAGTTGGTGAAGCGAAGAAACATCGGTTCCGAGACAGCATTAATCTGCTGTACAATCTGCTTTGCTTCGCTAGCTCCATTTCCCACAGGACTAGCCATTCTCGTAGAAGACCCAGACGACTGCGAAGCCGGAGATGATGACCCGCCATCATCGTCATGATCACTCTGTTCACCTGACCGTCTGCAAAAATCACAATTGTAAGTATGCGATAGCACAGGACACATTAGTATCGTGCTGGGATGTAAAGCAACGCGGTAAATTTACATCTCTAGTTAATAAAAAATATTCAGTTACCGTTTCGGTGGCTCGTTATTGTCCTGCATTTCATGACCTTCAGAACATGACTGGCGAGCCGAAAAGCGACGTTTCCGCTGAAGAGTGTCATTCACGCTCTCAAGTCCAGCGGAAGTAGTTGCTTCGTCATCTGGAGCGTTCGCTTCGTTGTCACCATTTTTTGTCCGTTATTAATTTTTTCTGGCTTCCTTCCATCTGAACACACACAAAATCTGTTATTGTCAAACAATTTCATGTTTAAGCATATGTTATTCTGGCTTACAGTGAACACAAACATATGAACACGTAGGCCGCAAATACTATTATGAACTAACCGCACTAAACCAATAAGAAAGGAACCCACGTTTAAATTATACGAAATATTTACCATCAGTATTGCCGCTAACATCGCCATTCTTCGCAAGTCTAAGAAGCACACTGCAGAACCACTAGACCCTGAGTCTCAGAACAGACACTTTGTTACACAAGGCCTGCACGGAAACGACCATACTGCCCCTACGATGCCACCTGTGAGCGGTTGTGCTAACGAAACCTTCTCCAGTTTTGAACCTGTGTCATGTGACGTTGTCTCGTCTATTCTCCGCCAGATTTCTGTCAAAAAGAAAAGTACCGGACCAAACGGGTTGCCCAACCGATTGATACCACTGATGGTACCACTGATTTCCGGACCGTTAACAGAAATGGTTAACCTGTCGCTGGCGCATGGCATTTATCCGGAGATTTTTAAACAGGCGGATGTGACTGCTCTTCCAAAATCAAACAGCCCAACTACACCAGATGACTTCCGGCCGATTTCTTTGCTGAGCAATCTGTCAAAGGTGTTTGAAAAGGTTGTGCAATTACAGCTGGTGAAGATGGTCAAAGCGCACAATATGCTTTCCGAGCACCAGTCCGGATTCCGCAATGGCCATTCATGTGAAACGCATCTACTTAAAGTGACGGAAGACTGGCGTAAAACCATGGGCGCCGGTCGTGTCACAGCAGTCTGTTTTCTTGATCTTAAAAAAGCATTTGATTCCGTTTCGCACAAAAAACTGTTGGCCAAGCTTCTTGACTACGGCATAAAGGGAGCAGTGCTACAGTGGTTTTTTAGTTACTTAACCGGCCGCGTGCAGCGTGTACGTTCATCGACAAAAGTATCCACTTGGTTGCCATTACTATCTGGTGTGCCTCAGGGTACTGTTTTGGGGCCAATTTTATTTACCCTGTACATAAATGGCCTTTTGAACATTGATGTCGGCGATTGTAGCCTTGAATGTTTTGCGGACGATACCATTGCCTATGCGACTGGCAGAACGAAAACCGACGCTCGGGAGAAAATCGACCACGCGCTAGGTCGAATAACTTCCTAGTTCGAAGAAAATTTCTTGTGTTTGAACGAACGAAAGTGCAAATTAATGTACATTTGTTCAGAACAGCACAGAGATAAATCTCAACCGTCGGTGAAACTTAATGAACAGAAACTGGAAGTTGAAAAGTGCGTACGCTACCTTGGAGTAGACATTGAGCAGCACCTTAAATGGAGCAAGCACTTCGAGAGAGTCGAGAAGAATGCAAACTACGGGATATCCATGATTAATCGGGCAAAGGAAGGGCTGGGTCGGTCTCAACTTCGGAGCCTTTATCATGCCTGCGTCCAGTCACATTTGGACTATTGTTCGACTGTGTGGGCGCCGGCGTCTGCGGCACTGAAAGAAGACTACAGCGCAAACTACAGCGCAAAGCATTGCGAGCCATGACTGGATACAAAGGTCCTTTCAAGCGGACCTTGTACCAGGAACTGGGAATCACTCCCATCCTCCATCGATGGAAGCAGAGCGAAGCGGTGTGGCTTTTTAAAATCTGGAACAAAAGCAAATTTCCTGTGCCGGATTATCTGTCTCGACTCGTGAACTTCCGGGATATGAAACAACCAGTGTTGTATTTACTATTGCCCCAAAACCTTACTTACTTTTTACTTTTCGTCTGGCTGTTGACTTTACTATTTACTTTACTATTTACTTTTCATAATCTTTCTTCCTTACTTTTACTTACTTTTTACTTTTTTTATCGTAACCCTACTTACTTTTACTAACTTAGTAATTACTAGTAAAATAGTATTTACTATTCGGCTTTTGCGATAAATCGCCATACGCAACAAAATTTTTCAATTTTGCCATAAAGTATGCATTTCTTAAGCATATTACGTATCTAAAACAAAAATAACTGCTTGTAATTTGGGACAGTGTGCACACCGATTAATTTTAATTTGTGCTCAGAAATTTGTTTCAATGAAGCGATTTGGTTCTGTGTAAAATTACAGTACGTATTTTTTGACAAAAATTAGCAAAAGTCATTACACCGTATCCGGTGCCAAGGTAAGTACTGCAGCGAAGCAGCACTAGCTAATACGAGTTACGTGACCTGGCGGTCACGTAACTCGCCCTCCTAAGCGGTTGAAGCGTCTTCAGTGCAGCGAAATTTTAGCGATTCAGAAAACTTGTACTGCCAAACGTTACTGCTATGGAAAAAAGCATGTTCAGCAGAATTCTGATGATGCCCGTCACTTTTATCTGTTGCGGACGCTTAGTAAAAAGGCTGTTTTACTAATTAAACTATTCCCGTTTCGCGCCTCTTACTTTTACTTACTATTTACTTCTCAAGCCTCGACTGCTCTTACTTTTACTTTACTTTTACTTTTCCGTTTTGCTGCTTACTTGCTTTTTACTTAATTAGTAAAAGGCAAAAACGGCTTACTAAGTAAGGTTTACTATTTACTTTTACTAAGTAAAGCAACACTGGAAACAACACTACAACCTGCGGATTGGTAACCGTGTGGACACGAAAGTGAAAAAGAAGATCGGCGAGTCCACTTTCGCTGTACGACTGAAGCAGCTGCTTGGTCACGTGCAGAAGGTCTAATGCGGAAATTTTAAACTCGGAAACTGTTGGGTTTTTTAAGTTTGCTTTAAAGGTGTTGGACTTCGAAGTGCTAGTTGGATAGCCTGTTCTGATCATTCTTGTTTCTTTTTATTTTTGGTTTTCGACCAGGCAAAGCAATGTCATTTTAACACCTGTAATGTCATTGTCGAAGTCCCATGAATGGGTTGTCTGCTCCAGGAAGATAATAATAATAATAATGATAATAATAACAGCAGCACTGCCACCGTTCACGTCGGCAGGTTTACTGGTAGCATCACCAGACTCGTGTTCATCAGCAAAGTTACCACTTTCTGTTTCTCCATCACTGTGGCCATTTGCTGGCGAATCGCTGTCCAGATCATCCTCAAAATCACCCGGTTGCGGAGCATCGTTGCCATTATCGTTCGGTTCCGCTAAGTTGAATGGATCAGCCAACATAATCTGTGGCTCGCCATCGGCCCATCGCCATCATTCTGCGCAATGACAAGAGGAACTATCAGGCGCTGCTGCGGACGTCGACGCAGCTCCGAACCGGCTGTCTCGGATTCGCTCGCGGCATCCACACTTCCGGATGCACGGCTAAAATATGGTTACGCACAGCACGAACAATGGCAGCGCGACACCCATGTTTCAGTGACATTACCGATGGTTTCGCTGCAAATGAGTAACCATTCCTAAACTGATACATTATGACTCTTCAATTTTCTTTTGCAGACGACAGGTGCTAAACTACACCTCCGGTGTACGAAGACTTATTTTAACTGAAAAACTTACGTAGTTCAACGACTTTAGCCTCCGATGTCGGATCCAATAAGCTACCAAACGAACAAGACATGAATTTTCCTTTTTCAGTTCATCTTTGTCAAGATGTGTGATTTTGACGAGCTAGAAATCCAAAACACAAAGGATTACTTACAAGAAAAAGCATTCAAGTGTAAAGCGTAAACCACGACATTACCTTCTCTTCAACCGGAACAATCATTTTTCCGCCCACTTTAAGAAACTTTGAAACTTTGTACTGTGTATTATTCTGCATGTTACTATACATAAAAACTTAATGCAGGAATGAACAAAGTTGTAAGTAAATTTTAAAATATTTACGTTAAAAATGCCTGCGGCATGGGCCACCGCACGCGTGCTTCTGTTACGTTGTCACTTGACAACTGGAGGGTCCACCGATGGTGCATTGGCTGTAAAATCACGAATAAGATCAAGACTAAGACATAGTTCTGCACAATAACATAGTATGCACTCGTGAAATTTGGAATTACAAAATTGTGTGTTCGAAAACATGTCATCGATAATTGAATTGAGTGTATGCGCCAGGGCAACCGCACAGGGACGGCAGTTTGTGACAACCAGCCAGCTTCCGGAAGTCGCTGTTTCTGTCGCTAAGCAGATGTTCGAAACAGCGACTTCAAACACTGCTCATTCAGCCAATGATCTGTTAGCCGAACCAAGACCATAACTACAATGTGTAGAAAAATGTGCTCTACAGGGAAATGTTAGCTATCAAGTGGGAATCTATTACTGCAGTGACTTATTGCCGCCAGCGCTTTGCACCATGAAATTCGGTATTATGAATTCCGTTATACTGCGCACCTGTAGTTTGCCCTGTTAGCGCTATGCTGAATTCTCTGTCAGTTAGACCACTCAGGCAACGAATGAGCGTGTTTGCAGTTTGCACGGCACGGCCCCTCTACCGTATATACTACATACGGTACGTGCAGAGTACAGACAGTGAGTGCAGTACCGTACATGTAGGAGTTTTTATGGCACAGCACTTCCACCAGGCAAGGAGATTTTCCGAAGGACGTAGCGCTGCATACGTCCACGGGTATATTTATATATATATAAATATATGTATGTATATAATATATACCAAAAAAGGAAAAAGTAAAAAAAGGAAGAAGTGGAAAAAGTAGAAACCAACATAATCGCAAAAAACGGTCGGACTGACTTAGCAACATAAACATACACATCTCAAGGAGATCTTTCGAACAAAAAAAAGTCCCCTAAAATCGGACCATAAATAGCCACAGGACGCTAGTATGAAATTTCTTCCCCAAAGTAGTTTTTTAAAAAACCGAGAAAAACGATAAAACAAACTAAGAGATCAAGGATATTCATAATAAGAAATTCATAATTTTCTAAAATTATTTTTTGTTAAATTTCTTGTAAACAAAATTCACAATAATTACGTCGGAGATATGGTCAATCGGACGATGTGCGTCCATGTCCAGCATGTAGATGACCACCGGTCAGACATACAAAAAAACCCGTATTTTGCCATAAAATACGCGTAAAAAATCCTTTAATTGTTGTTTACATTCTTAGGGATGAACGCAGCTGTCCAGCATGTAGCGCAAGGCCAAGTGACCAGTGGCCAATTTCTTAAACCCAGTTATTGCATGACTGGAAATGCTAAAATAAAGGGAATTAAGCTCAGTTTTATTGTCAGCGAGCATAATTTGTCCATTCTTGCTAGGGGACCACTAACCAAAAAGAGTTTGCACAAGAAAAAATTCGAAAAGTAATGAAGAAAATTGAAAAAAAAATTCCAAAAAATTGGAGAATTTAAAAAAAATTATCCTAAACGCTTCAAAAATTCGCTTCGGTGATCCAGCAGCACGTGCGGTGAAATTTGCTTTTTCAAGTAGTCCCTTCTGTCGCTAGAGATTCCTTGTGTGGGCAATATTTTGAGAGGTGATACAATCATTTGGGCGGCCGGAACGTCTAAAATTAATAAAAAGCACTTAATTAGCAGTCTAAATAACGAAATAGCTAATTTGTCAATAACAGCACACAGAGCTTAAGGTTCTTTGCGTTATAGTATACTGTGTTAGTGGCGTTTCTTATAGGTATCAACAATAATTTTTGCAAAAATTATTTGTTATTATAAGTATATACATCACTCGCTAAATTAAAGTTAATTTCTACGGTGCGGAATGTACCATCTGAGGCCTGTGAAATGGAGGGAGGCTGCACAGCAGCCGGAGGTCCCTGTGTCATGGCTGGGGTTTCCTCCGCAGAGTCGCCTTCATCCAGCTCCAGACTGCTACTCAGGTCCCCGTCAAACAGGTTTGACATGCCATCCGTGTCGCAGATATCAGACACATCCAGATTCGTGCTGCTCTCAGTATAGGGCAAAAGCTCCTCTCGTTCATTCTCCTCGAAAATGTTTTGCAGCAGCTGACGCGCTGTGAATTTGGCCATTTGCCACCAATAATCAAGTAAAAACTAGTAACTAAAAGTGTTAGAACTTGTATAAATAGTATAAACAAATAAAACAAACCATTGCGCATGCAAACAAACGAGCCCTGCCGTCCGCAAAAATTTACAGCAAGTTTATATTCACACTGCTGTTGTTGCGCTGCACAAAGAAAAACAGGGTGATTGCGCAATTTTGGACACTGTACGGCCTACGGTTGACCAAACTGACCACCGACACCACAGGGTGGTAGAGCACTATTTTCTCTATAGTATAGCGTTGAAAAGTCGATTTGGCCCCCCCAGTCCCCCCGGACCATATTTTGCTCTGTACTGTAAAATGTGTTTTGCAGCGATTATGCTGGTTTCTACTTGTGTCGCTATTTATATACTAGTACCTGTAGGTATGGATCCATGTCGAATCATATTAGGTACTTTCAGTTCTGACTGCCTTATGATAATGCAGCCCAACGGCCTGTGCGTCATGCTCCTATGTGTCATTCAGAGATAACGCAAGCGTTGTGCATTGGTTTCTTGCAACAGTCAATGCCCACTTTAAGGCAACACTGCCTAACGGTAAATCTAGTCTCGACTAGATTTTCCGTTGGGCATCGTTGACTTATCCATGCATGTGCGTGTTACATGTTACGGTACACGTTGTACACGGTGAGTGCAATGCAACTGCACTGCATTGCACGTTAATGCTGTTAATACTGTAAGTCTGTACTCTGTACTGTGTTATCGACGCTGTGTAATAACAAATTTAGATTTAACATAATTACGAACGCAGAGGGATGCATATGCTACCGAGATGGCATTCATTACTAATTAGGTGGTAATTTCGCGCAATAATTATTAATTAATTAAACAATATTAAAGCTAACTAGATAGTCCTTCAAGACGGCAGTAATTAGCTTACCGATGTAATGGAGATAATTGGATATACAGTAACATTTTGCGCTCTTTTTTTGCGTGTGCGATGTGAAGATGCATAAAGTACATGCACTCGGTTGTTTATCGACAGGTTGACTTTTAGTGTAAGTTCGGTCATTCACTTATCGCGGCAGTGACAGTTGGTATGTTATCGCATTATTGGGTAGTTTTTTACGCGTCATTTGTTGTTACTCACAGCAGCTTGGCTTTCTGTAAGGCTGACTTGCGATAAGCCAACAGAAATGAATTTGTATATTGTAACTTGTAAGTTTGTAACACAGGATAGGGAAAAACTGAGCTTGTAACTGAGGACAGACAGAACGTTTACTGACAATAGAGAGAAATTTACTGTAAACTCAAGAGAGACAGAAATGCTGTAACTCAGGATGGGCAGAGATGCAGAGGCAGAGGTGGAGCATCTATGTGAACAGTGAAAGAACGCACTGAATGTCATCGTCAGTTGATCCAAAGTTTCAAGCACTAGTTTTTCGTTTACCTTTCCATAAAACTTCCTAACCAACATCTCAGAAGATAGAAAGAAAAATTTGACGCTTTTGATCTCTGATAAGTGTTTTTTTGTGGAACCAAGAAAGTTATGCTTGTTTTGGTTTCTCGTAGACATAGCATAGGGTGCAAGCAACGCCTCCATCGGACGGACCTATGCTAAGTCTACGAAACCAAACAAAACTTTCTTGGTTCTCCATAAAACCTACTTTCAAAATATCAAAAAATTCTAAAATTTTATTCTCTATTCTGAAACATTAACTGGGAAGGTTCGTTAAAGTGACAACGAAAAACTGATGCTGCAAGTTTTGGAGATAGTGGCAGTCGGAATCAGGTACCCAAAGTCGAGTAATACACGTATGCGCGTACGCGAGGTGGTTGCACTTGCCGCAGACTATTTCGCTAAAATAGCCGTCCAGCTTGCACTCAGGCAATCTTCCCAGTAAACAACTCCACAACAGAAGTTTTTTGCAGTTATTATGTAATAAAACCCGTCCTTCGGAACAGTCCCCACGGGGGACGCCCCGCTAGGGTTTCACAGTTGCCTGCACATTTACTTCCCGAGTGAGCAGAACGAGAAACCGTGGTGACCAAGGTTTTAACGCCGCGTGCCGGATAAAATCTATTTTTTGGTTGCTTATCATCAGAAGGCGCAAAAGGTTCTTTAGCAGCGGCAATTTGGAAATATATTGTTGTTTTTGCGGTTCCAGTTAGTTTCGGCCACATTGACAGGCTCTCTTGCACATAGATCCTCGAAAGTCACTGGCAATAGTAGCCGCATTTGATTTGGCATCATTTTGAAATCCATCGTTGACTTTTTCGGTGATATCTCTGGTGACTGTGCAACCTTTTCTCAAAATGAATTCAGGTAAGTTTGTTCTTGCCGCTTTGTAAATTGATTTCGGCACGGAAAGACGCCAACAGGAACAGCCGAGCGCTTGATCCCGCGTTGGTAACGTGGTGGTGCGTTTGCCTCTGTTCCCTGTCGCATGTATTACGGGGCGGTAGTGGGTCGTTCATTGACACAGGGATTCAGTCATTGATCTGCTGTTGTTATGATTCCAGTTCCGGTTAGGGAAAAATCCAGAATTCAATGATTTTTTTGCAGGGCAAGCATTTGTGACTTTGGCTACTAACGACTCGTACGGATTGGGCGCGCTTGTTCTTGGTCATTCTTTGCGCCGTACTGGGACGACTCGAAAATTGGCCATCCTCATTACTCCAGACGTGTCGAACCATATGCGGTAAAATTTTAGAATTATCATTTTTTATAAACGACTATTATTCTAAATTGCCTTTGTCGTTTACGTGCATTGAACTTCGCGATAACATATACGTAAGCAATATACGGATTACGGACCATTAACGGTATGTAGTAACTAGCTGCTTCACTTTCTTGGGTAATTTCCTGTGGTTTAGTCTGTAGAGTCATAGACCATAGTTAATTTTAGTATTCCTAAAGGTTACTGACAAAGTTCGACGTCATCGACGTACTTAACTGAAGTTAGCTCTGGTGAATTTATGCTAGCCAGTATTAAAATTATCAGGATATCAGGGATGTCATTAGCCGCAATATTTCTTTCCAAGATTTCAAATTGTGCTGGTGAAAATTCCGGTTTTAAAATGGTGCAGTAACTGCAGTTCAATGTGGAAATAAAATTTAGTAATTACTTATATGTTGCGGCTTTTTCATGCTGCTTTGCGTAACGGATGTTTTATTATGAAGCCGATGTATTTTAAGAATTTGTACTGGTTTAATCTGCAGATTAGGCGGTGAAGAATTTCATGGTTACGGAATCTTTGTAAACCTGTCAGCGCGACTGTTTATGTGAACATAGTGTTTCGAGGTATATGTAAATGTCAGTGACATAATTTGTTGAGAATTTTGAGAATTTAATATAATTATTACTGTACCAGTGTGTCGTTTTGTCTACGTCGCTTTAATAGTTAATTTAATGGTGAATCGCATTGAAAGTAGATGGCTTCATTGTCAATATCGATCTTGTGCCGCATACAATTCTTTTGCAGGAGTATGTTGCAGAAAGTTTATGACGTAATTCAAGAGGTCAATGTATTGGATTCAAAGGATGCAGCCAACTTGGCGCTGCTGGCTCGGCCGGAACTTGGTATCACTCTGACGAAACTCCATGCCTGGAATCTCACGCAATTTCAGGAAGCAGTATTCCTTGATGCGGACTGTTTGGTGAGCTTGAATTAACCGACTGCTTTAATAATCGAGGGCTTCCAGAAAAGTTGAAAAGAGCAGTGGTGATTAGTATTTTTTTCATTAACAGGTGGTGCAGAATGTGGACGATCTTTTTGACCACGAAGAATTATCCGCCGTGACCGATGTTGGCTGGCCGGATTGTTTTAATACTGGTGTTTTCGTCTTTCGTCCGAACACTAACACCTACACTCAGCTTAATCAGTTCGCATTGGAAAAGGGATCATTTGACGGTAAATTATGTTCTTGCATAAGTAAAAACCCGCTTCCATGTGGTAGTGTTTTTGCGTATCGATTTTGTTTGAAAATGTTGTTTCCAACAGGTGGGGATCAGGGTTTATTGAATCAATTTTTCCCGGACTGGAAACGACTATCTTATGTTTACAACGTGGCGGCCACGGCGATTGACTCGCATTCACCGGCATTTAGACAGTATGTTAAACAATTTTGGCATATTATATAATGTGTATTCGAGACTTACAGCTGATGATAAGCTTTTTGACAGATATGGTGCAAATGTGAAGATTGTCCACTTTCTTGGAAGTACGAAACCATGGCATAGCACAAGCGCAGCAAGCGTGTATTTCTCACCTGCTTTGGGAAATTTCTTGTCGCTGTGGTGGCAAACGTTCAATACGAGCGTCCGTGGTGGTCTGGAATTTGATTGGGTAAGTTTTAATGCAAGTGTTCGGAGCAGACGGACTGTCCAGATTCTGAAGCCGGGATTTATCATAACGGTGATATATGTTTTGTTTTCTGCAGTCCCCTCAGCTGTGTGTCACATCGGTGTGGCTTCGGTTTATCCCGTTGCATCTCACTGTAAGGCATTCTTTTTTTCCGTCTGGTGTTGTAATTATCCAATTTATCTATCCACAATTCTTTGGAATCTAACGGAAGTCTGTTGATAATATTTTAGTTTGAAACAGATGCTTGAACAAACAGATGCTTGAACATTATCTCCAAGTTACAACAATCGTTTCTTAATTTCGCGATAATGCAGTAACTTTTTTTAGTATTTGAGCACTGCAGGTGTGTTGTTCACGTAAAATTAATTTCGTTTCTAACAATCATTGCCGGCTGGTTACTGTTAATTTTGCAGGCAGATGTATGCGTAGCTTACAAGCAAAAAACACAATCGGATTTTTTGTTCTTGCATGATGACTTACAGGTTGTTGCATTTTACATCGCTGCTGTTGTTGCGTTGTAGGTATGAAGAGTGTCAGCAAACGCTTTTTGGAGTTTCTTACGCGGCAGTCTATTCGTGCGGCCCAAGACCGACACCACAGCACCCGTTCAGCTTTTTTGATCGCCATCCTCCTGATGGTCTCGTGCATGCCGAGCAAGGCCAGCGCCGGATTAACTTGTGAAGGATGTATCCGCTTCACGTCAGAGGGGTGTGGGATGGGACGCTGCTGCAGCCTGCACACGTACTGAAGGTGTGCCTCCAAAATACTGTGCTTTGTTCATGTTGACGGGTGGACTTGGTTGTACAGTTGTCGCCGGCGGATGTGTCGTCGTTTGTTCAAGGCCAGACTGACAATGAGCATTGTAATGATTAGAACATGTGAATTTTGACGGCTTTACTATTGCTTGCCTTTCCTCTTTAACATTCTGTGTTTTGTTTGGCTTATTGGAGTTAATTAAATTATAGTCTGAGATGCAGATTCTCGTTCGCGTAGATTCTTAGACTTACCTATGCCACATTGAGATATTAGCTTATACTGTCGTTGACTCAGGTCGGTGTTATTAATATTACGATATTATTATATCGTTCTGGTCTTTCCGTCACTGATGCGAGCTTCCTCGTGCCACCTTTGCTCCAGTGTCCCGTCTTGGCAGTTCTGAAAAACAATGTATTTTAGATTTGTTTACTTAAACATGCCCTGACTCGCATCGCAAAACTATACGTAATACGTAATACTTCAAACAGTGGGATTCATAGTACAGTACAGAAACTTGTCGAAATTTGTTACGTACTTCATGCATGCAAAAACGGTTTACTGCCCCTTCGCATTGTCAAATAAGGATATTTAATTGTTTTTCGATTAGAAAACGCATAAAGTATAACTAATTAGTCAGTGGTTCAGAATCAACTGTAACAAAAGAGGGAAAACACGTCAGTGAATTAGTTTTTACGGTGGTAATGACTACAGCAGAAATGGCAGTCGGATCAAATGCAATTTTAGCTCATGAGTAAAGCCGCTCTTTTGAGCTGTAGACACTTCCTTTTTTGTTGCGGGTGCCGGTTGATAGTGATATCTTGGTACGTCATCGCTCTCGTACGCGTCAACGTTGCCGCTGATAACGGACGGGACAAACGATGTTTTGGGTGGGTAGTATGCTCCTGCCAAACATTCCAAAGGAGGTGCAGATCCGGAAGCGTAATGCGGTCTGTCCTCGTCCATAGCGCTGCGTGGATTCGCGTTAAGGATCTAACGTTAACGGCTTTGGCAAGATAATACCGAGGATCAGTACGTACTGGAATTGTCAGTCACGTAGCCGCCAAATAAAACCGCGATCGCAATGTACATAGAGTTTGCTGACTACAGAAGGATGTAGCTTATATAATATTATGGATACTTGTATTTAAATCGCTTTTAAGTTTATCGCTTTTAAGTTTAGTTTAAGCAAGCTTACTAATGTTTACATCATTACAATATTTGTTTACCGGTAAGGTCACAAACATGGCAGCGTTTTATTACTAGCGCTCGGAGTCATATCGAAAATCGTAACACCTTCAAATTAAAATATGCTAAGTGATACTACGTTAGTGGAATCTGATGACCGAAGACGTTAAATATGTATCACTTTTACACTGCCAATCTTAGCAGGACTTTAACGGTGTTAGCCTGTTTATATGCTCTTGTATGGATGTATCCGAGTTACTGCAATTCGATACCCTACAAATCACTTCCTGCAAACACCTGAAATATTTTAGTCCCTTTTATTGGTAGCCTGATCCAGTATGAGAATGGGAATTCATGACGTTATGGGCGTGTGGCTGGCTTGCTCATGACCAGCGGAAGTCGTGAGTTGCGTTGACTGGAGCTGCACATCCGAAACGCATCTTTTGCACTTCATGGCTTTGAGCCGCATACATCACACAAACCCATTAGAAGAACAAACTAACTACATCTTTAACAATGCATCGCAAAGCTTTCTAACGTGTTTTCGGGCTTACAAGGAGTACTTACTGTTCTGCTGTCGCAAAATCGGCGTTAACGACAGACGAAGCGCATCGACACTCACTAAATACGTTAATATCATGTGATCATGATATAACTTTTAATTATAACCGAATCCGCAGCACTGTAGGGTTATTCGCATTTGGAATTTTACCTTGTCATATTAAATATTCTAATTTTAACGCTAGCATTATTAGCCCACGTAACGCATCATATCTCGGATACATAGAGACAATACAGCCATACGATTCCTTGGAGCTAAAGTACTCTTTGGATGTACTTATGTTTAATAAATAAATTGAACATAGCAGTCAAGTGCATGGTTACAGTCGTGTGCTGCTGCGCAGTACATCCATGTTACTGCGATCTTACCGGTTAATGCTACTGTTTCCAGAAACTGTCCCCAACCGGACACATTTTTCGTACTATAGACGTGTCGGCCGTGATCGCTTCGGCTTCCAATTAAATCAGGCCCGCTCCTGGTGCAATCCGTGTCAACGTTCTCCCCAGAAACCTCATTGCCGGTGTGTTAAATCTGCTGGCTACGGCCAAACCGGGACTTAAGAGTATTACACCGTCAAAGAGATTCGGATTCTGGGATTCTGAATCGCTGTGCCGACTGCTATCACTCCACCCTACAAGGAAGAGTTGAATAAGCATTGCTTTCTGTTTTTCAACACATTAATTAGTGAATTATAAATATACTTGTCTAATGATACAAGGTACATACGTCCCTGATATGTAGTAAAGGATTTAAACAGGGCGAATTACTTAATGAAACAGGATACTCCAAACAATGTTTACTACTTCGTAGAAGCGCTCAAAATTGAATTATGTAATAATTTTAACGTGTGTCGAATACCTTATAGCTATAATTGCCTTGAATAATGTAAATGCAATACAAATACAGAGTACATATGTATGTTTTGGGTCAGTGCATCGAATACTATGCTTTGCTAATCAAAAATTACCATGGAATGGCCAACGATAGGAATGTCCTTCAATTTGGCTTTCACGGAAGCTGCATGGCATTCGACGTCTTTGACATAATGCAAAGAATAACAATAATATATACAATAAAGTTCTAAAATTTCTGATACCGGAAACCCCCACACAGCAGGACATAAAAGATCGAATTAACATTAACCAGACGTTGTGTTTAATGCAGCTCTCACCTGGCTCACGTTGTCGATTTGTGCTCGTTCTCCTCCACTTCTTCCAAAACCGACTGAAAAAGTTTTATCACGAAATGAAGAAATATGAACCAATAGAATGTGACAAGCGCAGCACCCTAAGAAGTTTGTCTATCCCTAATAAGGGTACAATTATCCAGAGAACCAAAATATTGCAAATATAAAAGTTTCAGAATTAAAATTATTCGAATAAATTAATGGATTCGATAGAACTGTACAGAAACAAGGTGTATAAGGAAGACATGGTTTACCATGGTCGTGTCCAAACGCAAGAAAATTAGCGTCCAGAAGCCGCTTGACTAGCCGGTCATAGGTCACCAAATACAGGTCTGTACTCCCCAAATCCATGGCTAATGAATACCATAGCTCTGTAACAGAAAGACAAATCGAGATGTAAAAATTAAACAAAACTGCAATGTAATATGAAAACTTGATTTGCACCTTTGTAGTAACAACTGTGTATACCACGTCTTAATTAACAGCACCGATGTCAAAAAAATGCCCAGATTAAGGAGTACCTCAACGATAACGAGACTTGTACTGGTAGTACTTATGCTACAGTTATTCCGATAAAAGTGTCATCATCCATCGACGGGATGCCGCTTCAGTGACTTTCATCGATAAATATTGAACTTGCGTCATAAATCGAGCTAGGACTAGGTCACATATAGGATGAACCGAATAACCACACATTTTTGATGCAGCATCGTCGTATTATATTTTCTGCCTTTAATTGGCTAAAACACGCTGCATGTTTAAAAAAATTAAGTGCGTGTACGTGTTAAGTACTTTCAACAGAATGATCACGAGAACCTCGTCTGGATCGAAAAGAGAAAAGCCTATGTGAAACTTTTGTGATGGTGGCCGTTCTAGGATAGCATAACACAAAACAGCGCGCCGTAAATTACAGGTACAGCTACGAGTACCCCAGTAAAACAACTTGCAAAAAAAACGTTAGTTAAACGTTACGAGACGGCTAAAATTGACACACATCCGTTCACCTAACGGTAGTTACACGTTAAACTAACGTTTTTCCTACAAGCTGTTTTACTCGGGGTACGCAAGGTTGCTTCATTCTAACTAAACATAAAATCCATCATCATAAATTACGGTATCGTTATTACTATAAATTAAAAGTTAAACAAATCCAACATGAAGTAGAGACACTGCACCGCCGAAATAGATCAACATTTGTTTCCAGTACTTTCAAATGCATATTTCTGCAAAGGCGACAACGCGGACTTTCCAGCGTTTTTTTGCAGTTAAGTTAATTTCCCGCATCTTTCGAACCTGCCACACAATAATTTACCAGTAAATAGCAGATAAGTGCTGCAATCTGCAAATATTCGTTCATTTTCACAAACTCGAATTTAACCTAATAAATGTTAATTACAGGTATTTACCAAACGTACCTAGGAAGCTGCTCTTTGTTTGGATACCAATAGGAACAGAATAGCTCGTGTCCTGTGCAGCTTCTGATTTTCGCTTCCCTCGTAACATTGGCGCACATTTTGGCTGGAAAACTGCGCAAGTTTGGCGAAAAATTCTGTTTTTTTTTATCTAAGTCAAAACTTCCGCCAAGCGGGGGTTGATTCACATCGTTTAGCACATTCTGTAAAAATAATTACCCTGTATTCATCCACCCACGGAGGGTATACAAATGTATACTACCGCTGCAGTGAAAAATTGCTGCAATAGTCTAACCTCGTTGGTAATGCGTCACTACAAAATTTACGGTTAACCTGTGATTGAAGGGTTCCACATGAGATTCAGTGCTGCAGAATGAGCAAATGCGCTCTTGGTCGAGTACGCGGATGTGCAACTTCGTCAGCCGGCATGCGTTTGTCTTTTCCATTTGTCGCAAATATTAGAACGCAATCACTTTATATCACCGTTTCAGCCATGTACACATGAATCAATCCAATTTATTGGTGACACATATCACGGTTTATGTTTACACAGTAAAGCCGCACTTTATAAAGTTGCATTCTATCGTGTACTTATGTACAGTATAACTGCCAATAGGCAAATATGAACATTTTAAAGTGAATGAGTGTACGACGCAACACGCGAGTACCGCCCCACTGGAAATCCCAGGTAAGATTATTACATTTTATGCGTTTTTGTATGAACTCGTATCTATAAAGAATAAAGGTAATCTCTTTTAATCCTTTAAACGACACCGTTTACCGAATGCAAAACGGTAATTTAAAAGCTATAAATTTAAATAACACAGTAGTAGTACTAGGGTAGTATTACTTGTATATATGCCAGTACAGTCAGTGTGTAGAACCACAACCGCCCGCAATAAACACATTAAATTTATGCATTAATTGACAAAAAAAGCTCGAAAACCTGCGACAAAACTTTGCACATTAAACTGACCTTTGCCACTTCTGTAGCCTACATTACACCGCAGCATTCGTCAAAACAATCGTCGCACACTTGACGTATTTGGTTGCAATAATTTTGGCAACCACACAGCTTGCAGTTGCTGGATGCATATAAATCCGGATCGCTAAGAGTTGCGTCACATACTCGGCGAACTTTCCGCTGTACTTCGGAAAGCCGCTCGTAGTACTGTAGTGTTTTCTTCTCCGGTTTCAAAAGCTTGAAAATATCGTCCAGTAGAATAAGGTTGTAGCCATAGCGGTTAAGCGCCGCTATAACATCCTCAGTGGTTTCCGTTAGATCAATAAGGTTATCGTGTAACAACCGTTGCAGAATGTCGTCCGCGTTGTCCAGCGATGTCCACTGCGAAGCACGTTGCACTATCGAGCTCCAAAACGCCGCTCGACATAACGAGTCACTGTTACTGACTAGGTGCAAACGTTCCGTTGCCTCCAAATGCATGAGAAAGAACGTTTCCAGATTTACATCTATATATAACACAAGAAAAATAATGTATTTGCGATTACGGCTATTTTTGCGGTATTTTTCCAAGAATAACTGTACAACGTCAAATACCATACCAGCGAGCATGCAGTACTATGCTTACTGGTCATTTTACCTGACGCTCGTGCAACTTTGCTCAGGTCTTTTTTGCAGCATGTTTCTTTGTCACGAAGTTGCTGGAGAATTTCCTGCGCTGAATGATTACTCATGATTCCATTTTTTGCGTAATGAGTAATATTAAAAATTTCCCGGCAAATTTCCCAATCGGGCCGTACTTGTGCGTAATCGGCCGTTAAAACCAGTAAAGATCCCAGATGACGGACCGGTCGCTTGAGCGACTCGGCTCGGGACTCCAACGCCGCGGCGGACGGACGCCGACAGGCCGGCCGATTGACCGAGGCGCAGCTGCTTTGTGTGCCATGCAGCTGTCGCGCTTCCTCGCGTTCCCGGTAGAAATAGCAGTTTTTCTCTGGATATTGGGCAGTTCTCCTAAAGTACTGACCACGCTCTCCGCTTGGCTGCTTTCTGCTTCATCACGGTCATCCGACGGCAGCGCCGGTGATTGTTGCACTGCATCGTGATCGCCGGCATTCGGGCTATCGTCTTCATCAAAAGAGGCAATATTGACAAGTCCAGGAAAATCGGGATTGCAGAACAGCTCAAACATTTGAAATTCTGGTATTCGTTCGTACGAAATATCGATCGTAATTGACTCCACCGAAGGTGTTTTCGGTGTGGACCACGAAGACGTTTTGGACAATACGGTTTTGGCTTTGCGAACGCCTGTATACCCAGATCCAGGAAGACTGGAAGGATATGGGCGGTAAGGCTCAGACACTGCGCGCCGTGCGGCAGTTTTAGTTGGGATTCGAACACGGTCTGCTTCATTTGCCGAATTGGTTGAAGTTAGACACTGGATGGTTTCGTCGTTGGGATCGTTATTAGTATTACTAACAATATCACTGGCCATATTTTAATCGCAGCGCACACATATATGAAATTTTACTGACCTTTGAAGATTAAGCATGAGCCAAAGTAAAATAAATAAGTCATGAGGTCACGCGCTGACTTTAAAGGTGAAACAAAAATACTAATAGATGCAACAACGTGTATTTGTGTCGAAGCAAATTAATTCAAGCAATCCTGATTCCTGAAGTGAAGCATGGATGCGTATATGGACGCGGTTCTTGTACGGACCATAATAATTATGGTCCTTAAATGCGTAGTGTTTGCGGACAATATTTTGATTTATTATCGTAAAGCGAGATACAGTAGAATTAAAGGGATGTCAGTGTAGAACTAGTACTAATCCAACCGGCAGTTTTATCCATAAAGCTCTCGCTACAGAAGCAAATTAGGATAACTTCCGCCGTACCGTGGTTTGTCTTGCGTTCGCCTCTGAAAACCATAAACATTCCCTTCCTGATTCTCTGACTGTGTGGAGAGCAACTCGGCGACAAGAGCATGTACATATGCATCAGGTAATATTATTCATGATACCGGTTAAAAATAACAGCTACTGTATTGTGTTAAATCACAAGTTGCAATCGAAAACTTCCTCAATCGGGAAGGGAGAGACTAACTAAGTTGAAATAATAAATCGGTGTGAATTCAGTTTTTTTTATACTAAAGAGTGCATACCAATTTGTATTTTTTGGCGAACGACCTCACCGGTCAGCACCAAGGTACAAAGCGTAAATAATGCAGTTATTTCAGGCCCAGTTCTAAAAACAGACTAGTGAGTGTAGTCTGTAGTTATGCTGTTTTTATTTCCCGTATCATCAGGTACGTTAGCATGTTCGCTGAAAATTTCAAATTTTTTTCTGAAAATATGTCGTCGGTGTTTTGAATTTTTATTGTGAATTTTACAATTAGTCAAATTCTTAATTCATGCATTCGCAGTAGTGTTTTCAGGTACGATAATGCTAGTGTTAGCAGTATTCACTCGTCAATACTTTGCTCTATCAAATTAGATATATACAGATAGGCGCTATTATAGTAAATAAAAAAATTAAGATTCGTAATAATTTAAATAATCGAATGACACCACAGTTTTCATAAGATTAATCATACATCAGTCTTCTATTACCATATTATTATATTAATTAACCAGAAATATATCTATGAAATCGAAACTTACAATTAGGTTTGTTAGTAATGGCGCCAGGCCAAACTGCTGTACCATTGAACAATCATGAATCATAAGCTTCGTGATAATTGTTTTAGGCTAGCAGCACTCAACAAGACGGCCGTTGCCGAAGTTCCGGCAAGCAGTTGGCGAATTGCTTAGTATCGTGACGTTTAATTTGCTGTACTACTATACAACGGTGCAGCAGTGCAGCTTTATTTACTGTTAGTTGGAGTGGGAAATTCTTCCACACTTGCAGATTTATAAACATATTAATTTTTGACCTGGCTCACCTGTTGAACTGGTACGGATATCATTTCTAGAAATTGTACTGTCTTCAAGCTGAGTATTCGTAAATAAAAGCGTAACCACGGATGCGAAACAATTTGCGATGTCAGAGTACAAATTAAAATTTTGTTCGCATAGAAAAAGTGAGGCCAAACACCTCATGATACCTCGATCAATCCTCGTGTACAGAACAGTATATAACAGACCTCTAGTAATTTCCGTACTCGGCGAATATCAAAACATAATCAATCCAGTCAAGCGTGATGTAATTCAGGAGATGGCACAATATAAGACAAAGCGCAAAAACCCAAGACAGTTAAATATTGTTCACAGTGTAATATCAATATCGACAAACTGAACGGCATGTTTTAGATTTACCAGCCATTTTTCATTTTCGTTACCATAAGACATTTTTTGGTAACATTTCGGATTTGCTTAAAACCCGAATAATAATTGAATAAAAGTTATTTTTATAGCATTTTTGTTGCTGCAATGGGACCATCTGTTCTGCTTCGCTTTTCGGCTGGACTGCTCTTATTGTCACAATTGTCAGGTACAAATACAATACGTAGTTCTTTACACAGTTTTATCACGAGTGACTTCACGCGTGTCTCTGTAATTCTGTATTTCTTCGATATAAATGCGATTTTGTACTTACCATTAGATATAAATGCTCTATACATCGCAAAATTAGAGCTGCATGCAGATACAGAAGTCCTAAATACGATATCACGTTATGTTTGTGACCTTATGTCGCATACAGTTATACTGTACTGCAGCACGCATTAGGTATTTCTGTAATTTTAAAATCTTTTACTTTTCCAGATTTTGTCGAGGCCAAACGATGGGAGACATACAAAAGCTTATGGCCGGGAGCCGTAATACCTTATCAGACTTCGAAATCAGTTCGTAAGTGTATCATAGCATTAAAAAATTTAATAGTACAAGTAATTAGTTAATAGATTTAGACATCATCAGTTGTAAATAATGCCTAATTGAAAACAGCACTTAACCTACACTCTTATTACAGTCCTTGCTTGTTGTGATGTTTCAGAGTTCACTGATTCCAAAGGTGAACTTCAAGGGGCAATGGACGAAATTCATAGCAACACATGCATCAGATTTGTTCCGCGAACCAACGAAGAAGACTTTGTACAAATTTCAGCTGGATTAGAGTAAGTCTACACCAGTTAATATTAAAAATGTTGAAATTAACCAACAAAAAGGACCGATATATATAGTTATAGGACGACCTTGCAATCTAACCAGTCCAAAAGCTAAATTAAAAAACTTTTATATATACGAGTACATTGTATACATTCACAGCCTTTAAATTAAGTACAGGCCGGCTGCAAGCAACATTATGTGTGCCATATGGATGTGCGCGATCGAATCAAAACACCTAAATATTATTGTGTTCTCATAATTATGCGTGTAATATCAATTAAAAAAATCTCATTGTCAGTTGCCATACCCCTATTGGAAAAAAAGGAAAAGAACAGGTGCTAGTTGTGCAAATTCCTTTTTGCTTGGAAAGGCGCAAACTTCTTCGGCAGCTACTTCGCGTTTTGGGACTTCCGAATGAACAATCACGCCCGGATCGCGATCAGTACATTACTATCAACCTGAGCAATGTTGCTGTTTGTAAGTATAACAATTGTTTAAAGTGCTCCTACTGGACATAATATTACCGCAATCTAAGATTAATGTAAAAGCTGTAAGCATCGTAAAACCAAAATTTAGGTGGACGAACACAAAACAGTCAGTAATAATTCGATTCGCCCAAACTGTTTCAATTAACGGCGCGTAGTCATGGGCTGTACTTGTAATTCTTTAATCTAGTGGACGCTCCAATTTTTGCTAAACTGAATGCTACGGAGTTGGACTTGCCGCTGGATGATTTGCCGTACGACTACAATTCTATTATGCATGCCGACGCTGAGTACAAAGCACTGAACAATACCATCCCCACAATTATTCCTCTGGAAAATGGTGTGACGGTGGGAAAGGCTACCGGGCTTTCCTCTGTCGATATTATGAAACTGAACCTGCTTTACTGTTAAACGTTCCATGACGGTGACATTATAACCGCTTAGTTTGCTGCTGATGTTATATTAACATTGTTTTGTATTTGATGCAAACGATTTTTTATTTGATCATGCATGTGGGAGTTTCGCACATTAATTTAACATTGGTGTAGCTTTGTGCCTAGGACATAATCTGATAATTACTGACAATAATTGCATAATGCGTAGAAAATGCGTAGAAAATATAACAATAATTTATTGTTATATTTTCTACGCATTCTGTACTGGCATATTGTACTGCAGCGATACCGGAAGCACTGCCCACGACTTGAACAAATTAAAGGTCACAGTGATACTGCATCATATTAGCTGAAAAACCGATCGGTTGAATTTTTTAAAGTACTCAAGTACCACTACATATTATAGGCTGAATTTCTGAAAAGTGTTGTAAAAGATAACCAGTTTACCGGTATTCTGTAAAATTTGACAGTTGTATACCTTGCCCACAACGTTCTTCCATAGAAAGAACGTTTTCTATGGTTCTTCAAGAAAAATTATCATCGGTGCCATTTCTAGAAAATTCCATGCACGCGGTGGAATTTCCACCTATCCTTCGAATTTTAAATTATTGCAACAAAAGTTTTCAAAAAATTGGTTCAAGTTATGGTTATTCTATGCCAACGTACACGTACGTACTGTATATGGGCAAATTAGCAGTGCGAGTCGGCCCCGGTGTCGGGCAGTCTGTCTCAGCTGACCGAAGTCCACAGAGTGCTTGCTCGTATCATGTAGTTCCGCAGTATAAAATCGTGACTGCAGGGACTGCTGTCGACGGCACGATAAGCTGATAGCCAGATAATTTTGGGGACAGTAACTGCACAACTTTTCCGCGGTGAATTCGGAGCTCTACTTGCATAATAAAAATGGCTAAGAAGGGTAAGAAAAGCTTGGGTAAAATCTGTTCTCAAAAATTCCATGTGCATATGTTTCCACTGATTTCGGGTCTCTTTAGAAATTGCGTTATTGAGTGTTTGGGACAAGAACGGTCTGCTGGATCTGGCGCGCGGATTGCTGGAGGCGGGTTTCGAGTTGGTTGCCTCAGGAGGGACCTCCAAGTTTTTGCGCAGCCAGTCCCTTCCTGTCAGCGATGTAGCCGATATCACAGGTGCCCAGGAGATGCTCGATGGTCGGGTCAAAACACTGCATCCAGTGGTTAGTAAAGCTAATTAGGCAGGTAAAACATTGGTTGGTACCAGCACAGAAGATTGCATGTGCCGCACATGCTAGGTAGTAGGTATGCTGTACGCTGTGCTATCGGTATATCTGACTGCAATCTAAAAATATTGTCGTATTCCGTAGCAGGGTAATTTAGTATTTTCAGTTTTATTGCCTTTTTTTATTGTTGTTATTAATTTTGGTGTTTAGTGGTATACATTCTGGACGGACTGGACCTGTAGTTCAGCTTAAAATAGCTTATTTATGAGCTCATTAAGAAATTACCAGTAATACCTGCAAATATCAGCACTTTTAAAATGAGGCACTGATACAGGAATTTTTCTTTCTAGGTTCATGGGGGTATTCTTGCCCGCCCAACTGAAAAAGACGAAAGCGACTTGGCACAACAGAATATTCGTAAAATCCGCTTTGTGGTCTGCAATTTATATCCATTTGTGGAGACCGTTAAACGCACGAACAACGAGGCAGAGATAATCGAGAACATCGACATCGGTGGTGTGACTTTGCTGCGAGCTGCAGCGAAAAATCACACAAGAGTAACGGTCCTGTCGGATCCCAGCGATTACAAGAAGTATAACTCTGAAATTTATTACAGTTATAGGAACTTCTTTTGGATTAAATGCCTAAAGTAGTTTCGGTTTTGTCACAATTACTTACTGCAAATGGGTTTTATTTCAGGGTTCTGAGTGAAATTCAAGGGAATAACATGAAAGATACCAGCCTTCCGACTCGTCAAGGTCTAGCATTGAAAGTAAGCTTTCTATCAATACTATCATACTCGTACACGACTCATGTGAACTCTGAATGTAAGGATTATTGTTAATGAAATTAAATGATGGATATAAAATTAATGAAATAAAAACATAGACATTTTCTCTACCCCAACACACAAATAACTATTTATAGCAGAAAACTTGGGCCACAAATTAGTGATTTTTATTCTGATGCATGATGAAATAGTTCCTTGCCTTCTGTCCTAATGTAAAATCGTAGCTTATCAGTGGCAGAGAAGATACCCTGAAATGTCAAATAATGGCCAACTTTTTTAGGCATTTACAATGACTGCTGATTATGATGCCGCAATTTCCGACTTTTTCCGCCGACGTTACAGCGCTGGTCAATCGCAACTGGCGATGCGTTATGGAATCAATCCGCATCAGGCACCAGCTCAGATTTACACCAAACATGGAAACCTTCCTGTTACGGGTATGAATAAAAGGAACTAACTGCATTACTGCACACAGTCTGCTAAGTTTGTACCTAATTTTGGATAAGTGCTTTGCGGTGCTTGCACCACATCAGTGGTTCGTTTACCTAGCGTGCTGAAATGTACAGATAGGTATTTTTCAGCAAAGTTTATTCGTTAGCGGAATTAGTTTTTCTGTACATTAAGGCTGTCTGTAAAATACAGAGACAACGAAAACGTTTTCCTTTGTCCCTAGTGATTAACGGCTCACCGGGTTTTATCAACATGTGCGATGCTCTCAACGGGTGGCAGTTGGTGCGGGAATTAAAAGCGGCACTGCAGCTTCCGGCGGCGGCATCCTTTAAACACGTCAGCCCAGCGGGAGCGGCCGTCGGTGTGGCACTAACTCCGGAACAGGCGGAGCTGTGTCAAGTGGCGGATCTGTTGCCCAAGCTGACGCCGTTAGCCACGGCGTATGCGCGGGCGCGCGGTGCTGATCGGATGTCGTCCTTTGGGGATTTCATCGCTCTGTCCGATGTGTGCGACGAAGCAACAGCGCACATTATATCCCGAGAAGTCTCTGATGGAGTGATTGCTCCGGGATATAGCGCGGAAGCTGAGAAAATATTGAAAAAGAAGAAGAATGGGGCCTATTGCATGCTACAGGTAATTACTGCTGGAGTGCCTGCAACTCACGCATCACCGCGAGCATAATGGCGCTTGTCCTTTACGGTGCCGCATTCTTAGATTGACCCCGCCTATGAGCCGGAGGAAATGGAGATTCGCACTCTGTTCGGCTTGCAAATGGAGCAAAAGCGGAATGACCGAGCTATCACCGCTGACCGTTTTAAGAACACTGTGACCTCCAATAAAATGGTATCTTTACCTTGTTAATCTGACTCTGATGTTACCTGAATATTTTCTACAAATTAACATTGCTTCATGCAGCGTTTCTGCTTACAAAAATAGATCCCTATTTATTATGCGCTGTAGTTTGCATAGATGAAAAACTGCACCGAGAGTAATATTACTTCGTTCTAATAAAAATATTATATTAGAATGAGAATGCAAAAAAATTTGTCCAAAAACATGAAATATTTTGTGTATTTCTAGCTGGGAGAGGACGCACTGCGTGATCTTTTGGTGGCCACCATCGCCGTTAAATACACGCAGTCGAATTCAGTATGCTTTGCTCGGGATGGACAAGTCGTTGGCATCGGTGCGGGACAGCAGTCGCGTATCCACTGTGTTCGAATTGCTGCGGCCAAAACCGAAAACTGGTGGCTGCGATTGCATCCACGCATCCTTGGTTTCCAGTTTAAGAAGGGAGTAAAACGAGCCGACATTGCGAACGCTATCGATGCGTACGTACTGGACGTGGTGGACCAGGACATGCCGAAAGAGCAATTTGAAAGTCTCTTTGAAAATGTTCCGGCTCCTCTGACGCTGGTGAGGAAATGAATACCAAAATATGCAGAAAGAATTCGCGAATATTTAAACTGATTAGAAACAGGTGCCAGTTGATTTTGTACAGCTATGATCTACCGTATATTTTTCGATTGTCAAAGACTTAATGCATCTAATTGCTGCTCTTTGCTTTGTGAGTTATCCTGCATCACCCTCCAGTGATTGGATGTTTATTCATTCATTTTGTTATTAGTTCTATATTGAACAGTGCCATCTGTATCTGTTTTTGCGCTTTTTAGGAAGAACGAAGGGAATGGATTGCCAAACTCGACAAAGTTACGTTGAGTTCCGATGCTTTTTTCCCATTCCGTGACAGTATCGACAGGGCAGCAGCGGTATGGCAGTAAAAGTCTGTTAGATGAGACGTTTTAAGGCGGAATTACTTTTCGAGAGCGGCACGAAAACGTAAATTTGTTTTGCATGTAGCTCCATTTCGTGAGCAGTATTTTGTGTTGCTTTGAAGCACTTTTGGTAGATATAATAGCTACCAGTAGAAGTGGAACTATAACAAAATATGATGTGCATTTATATATGCAAAATGTGCTGTACCTTTACGCATTTAGTTTGCATAAATTCGTGGAAATTACCGATTTTCGTAACGCAGTTTTCTGCCTTCGAGTATTGTAAATTAATGTTTAGTTTATTAGTAATACTTAGAGGATTGTTAAAATGGTCTAAATGTCAGCATTTTAACGGAATTTCCTTTAACAGAGCGGTGTGGAATACGTTACCAGTCCGGGAGGCTCCACACAGGACGATGCTGTTATAGAAGCCGCTAACCAGCACAATATGGTGCTTATCCACACCGGACTGCGTCTGTTCCACCATTAGTTGGTTCACAATAGTTACACTGGACGACAAAAAGAAGTTGATGAGCCGCGACCGCACACTGGCCGGTCGATTTCAACTTCTTTTCGTCGTCCATTGTATGTCTGAGTATGAATATGGTAGCATTGCAATTCAGGTTTATCTTTACTGTATCTTTAAGTTATAACAGTTGATAACAGTATTTGGAATACTTTATTTTTGGGATTTATCTTTGATAAGATGATTAAGCCAACGTTACCAGAAGTTTTTTAAGAATAATTTTCATATTTGGTATTATTCTTTGCATGGGTGTGGTTTTGTACTGTCTCTCGGCTTTAAGTATTTGAACAATAAAATAACGGAGTGTTTGCAGCGCTGCTGCAATCGGGAATTCAATACTGCAGTTCCAGAAAGCAATTTCGTAATTTGACTTTTGTGGGCAAGGATCGGCAGTCCATTACGTGCTTAAGGGCGATATGCTGTTTGATAGCCCGAAAGAGCGATGTTACCATTGTTCCAACTTTCATGCCCAGCATTATTTTAAAGCTTTAACATTCTCTGGATAAACAGCCATTGAATGGCTATCGCCTAACGGGTTTGTATACAGTTGTGCTCAATGAAGCTAGGCGTGAACCCTTCACGGCGGGTGATGACGTGAGTAGGATCGATTTGTTTCTGGAATCCCCATAGAAAACCGGCTCCCGGCCGGAAACGTTTAACGCTCTCATGTTTGATGAATTTGTATACCTAAATCGTCCTCGATATGGCCAATGTTGGCAGGAAAAATATTTCTTGAGGAAGAGGGAGCGAGAGAAAAAGATTAAATTTCCATCGATGAATTCTTCATAAAACATGTATATCGCCGATCGTGCGCACTAACAATGGAATACGACTTTAGCGAATCGGACGGAACCGGCTCGATTACAGACTATGCCGTTCAGGGGATTCGAAATACAGGATGTAAAACCACCCAGGCAAAAATAATTTCTTTCCAGAAGCCGGAAATTAAAGCCACGAAGCGCCGTTTATTGCCCGCCTTAGATGAAACTGATAATTTAAGCAAAATGATTACACATTGTACGGTTTTAATTCTGTAATATTACAGAGTATGTGCATTGTCACCGCTTTAGTCGATTTTGCCGGGCGCGATTTGCAACTTGCGTTAAACATAAATTTAGGCACGTTAATCTACAGATATCTCGTAGATTATGGAGACTGGAAGTAATTAATAGCGGTGCAGCGCATATTAAGTTCGGTACCTTAAAGAAAAAACGGAAAATGCACTATAATCGAGGCTGCTAAATTTCCAAAAGAAAGCTCACTGGTATTACTGCATCGTCAGCATGTATGATTTTATTGGTTTCATGCACATGGTGATTTAGTACCTTATACAACCATATTTAGCACATCATCTGGTCCAGCCACGAACGTACACGTATACTAATACTTTAGTGATGTTTTAACACGAGTCCATCGTCAGTTATACAAAATTATACCGAAAGTCTAGGAAAATTTTATAAAAACTCGTAAAGCAGACATTCTATTAAATTATCTACGAAAATTAAGTATTTTATCAAGCAGAAGTTCCATAAGGCGTACCATGCAATATCACGAGCACGTGTATTGAAATACTCGTAATAATATGATTACTGTCCCATAAGTCTGAAAAAGTTATACCGGGCCATTGGTGCCGCTAACGCATTCTGCAAAGCGGCGTCATTGTCGTTATCAATGAAGTCATCTCCTTTTGCAACACTCGTTGGACGACCTGTAAATGCATACGCGTAAATAAATTTTGAATATAGTAACTGAAAAACAGGCGACACCTGCAATTTGCTATTTGTATAAAAATTCAGCCGGGACCATTTTCGCAAACTACTTATGAGCCTATACAGGAGCACATTAGTTTAAATACCGAACAGTTAAATGGTTATTTGGTCAAGCGTTTTTGTGCAGTTAAAGTGTTTGTGTTTTGGGTAGCAAAAAATTCTTGTATTTGGTTTTGACGTATAGTGCATATTTTCATAAATTCAGTGTGATAAAGGTCTTATCAATCATTGTATTAATGCTCAATAAATATAGTGTCACGTAGAGCGGAGAAGAGATGAAAAAGGCAATTTTGTAAATTGAAGATACACTGATCCGATATTGATCATTTGACCAAACAATCTTCTCCCTAAGGCATGAAAATAATGACGTGATGACAGCTGTTACTGAAATAACTGTAAGCTTTTGTGTGGTCCACTTGTGACTATTGTCAAGGATCTGTAAATGTAAACGTAAGCGGAAACTGCTCGCGCAAACATTGCTGATTTACTTTGGTACCAAGCTTCAGGATCACAACTAATTCCAGTGCATAAACCCTTTCGATTAGTTCAGCTTAAGTGCTCGATTGGCCTTTATCAAACTTTAACCAGTATGGATCAAAGCTAATAAAAATTTTGTCTTGTTTCAACAAAGAAAACCAGAACCATACACAAAAAGCGTTTCTGGAATCGTGCGTTGTTTATGTGCGTAGAACATTTACTGTGAGTACAGTTAAATGGTAAAGGTCAACACACTCTCTGATCTAGCAAAAAGCTGTTGTGATAAGCTAGTCCAGCCGACAAACTGCGACGACCCGTTTAGTTAAATGAATGCATAATCTTGTTTGTATTCTAATAATAAATTGGCCTGATTACCTAATAATTCACATTCCGGCTGATCTACGTCACTAGGTTGTTATTTTAAGCAAATCAAGCAATCAAACGCAAATTTTGCTGCCGGCACACTAAACGCGTGAACACGATTTAATTGTGGTCAAACGTACCGAGAAAGCGTCCAGGATGACCCATACGTTTCCAAGTGCCGACATTGCGCATATCGGCATCAGCATCAAAGCCGGCATCATCCATGGAACTGTCGCTGACCGGTACGAAGCGCCGTGACCCCGGAAAAAACCAGCTGGAAACGGGGACATACGGCACGACGGGCTTTTCCTTGGACACGGGGGGCTTTGCGGCGCCGGTTTCCGGTGTCAGTGGAGCTGGTTGGGAGGGACGATTGTAGTACATTCCGGGATGGGCAACGGCAGCTGCCTGGACCGCACAGTATACCACTGCCACCTGAATGGTATCAATAACAGATTGCACGACCGGTATTCTGTGCGTTGTGGCCAAACGAAATGATCAACCCAGCCCAGCTCATAAGCATAAACGCTTGTAATGACCTTGTGAATAGCAGCAATAATGCAAAGTTCTTGCATCCGAGTCCTGCGCTTACGATTTTTATTAATTTTAAAAAAGAGAAGATAAAATACATTATTTGGAAGAATTTTACCAATTTTCCTTACCATATCATGTTAGTACTTTTGTTATTGTAACCAGCACAGCATAACCTGTTTGGGCTCGAAATAATTGTGCAGCATAAATTACTGCATAAATTACTGTGTATATTACTACACAATAATTTCTGTACATGTACAAGCAAGTATTAGTTAGAAAACGAAGCTTACCACAATGGAGAGAAATATGGCGCACATGGTCGATGACATCTTGCAAACTGGTAACGGGTACGTATACGAACTTGGTAAAGTATCTGCACTAATCAAGGATCAAAACAAGCAGATTAAATAGTGTAGCTACAGCAGAAAACAATGATAGATTCGGTATTCAAATTATGCGGTAATGTAAAATAACTGCGTGAGATTATAGTGAATCCTTCTTATATACTGAAATATCTTATCCGGAATCTAGCATTTAAATATTATGTGCGCTTACGATGCTGTAATTATCGTGTACCCGCCTCTGGCACGTACCAATTCACGTTAAACATCAAAGGGAAAAAGGCGCCAGTTAGAACGTTTGTAAATGGAAGCTTTACCCATTCAAGGACCCACATTGGCAATTCTCCCACTGGAAAGCTCCGCCTGTTACCGCCTTTTTAGTGTCCCATTTCGTACTCATGCCGTTCCCAATGATAATCGAGTACACGACGTTAATTGATTCTTTTAGCCCTGTACCACGTTCTGCTGTGGACCTGTGGTGCTGATCGCTGCATTTGTTGTGATATATAGGAGGAGCCGTTGCTTCCTGTCGAACCGGAAATAGCCGGCAGTACTACATCTCGCTACTAGACGATGCCAGCAACCACCCATTTCGAGGGCGCACAAATTCGACCATTGCCAGTCTTACATAAAAAACTGATAATTATTATAAACAACATCAAATCGTATGCAGAGCACAAAACAACAAACTGCCTTTTCGGGACATCTATGTCAGTATAGATTAAAAGCACCGCATAGATACTGTAGATACTCTGCATGTGTAAATGTGGTACTTGAAAACTCAATTTTCAAAGAACAGAGAAAATTTAGAGAGGCGTTGCAAGTCGTATAAGGTGTACAATGTACTTACATTACAATCCTGGAAACTGATTTCCCAATAATGGGTACTTTAGTGGGAGCGGCTATTTGCCCCCAAGGAAGGTCAGCATTTTTTACAATCTTACGGGTTTTATTAACAGAAATGCGATAAAAACACTAACATATACGTTGGTGCCTTACGTAAGGCGCACTCGACTGTTTAATTAAATTTGGTTACTTGCTGCTTTTCTTAAATTAAAATATTTTGTAACCACCGTTTTTATAAGCAACTAAGAACGAAAGCTTTATTATGCCAGTTTGTGCATGCACTGCATTGATACAATCAATTTAATTTTTTTGTCTTTGTATACAAAACCAAAACATACGAATGATAGAAATCATAGAATGTAGAATGATGAATGTATTTGTATTGCAGTGCAACGCACATCATTGCACTGGGAAAGTACCCCATGCAATATGTCGTATAAGACTAATACTAGTGCCGTAAATTAGGGCACTTAATTTTACGTTTTTTATTTTTTTGGAAATTCCTTTGCCTAGAAAACTGAATGCAAAATTAAGCCTACAAATTAGAGCAAAATCAGTCCTAAAGCATGCGAAATACGGTTTATGTAAGTACGATAAACACATTCTATAAGTCATTAAGCCAAAACTCTGTCTGGAACGTCAAAAGAATGACATTCTAAAAAAGTCATATGGATATTCCACTTCCGGTGGAGGAAAATTTAGGGCCACATCGCTGTAATTCGTATCACTGCGAAATGTTCGAGCAGGTTTCGCAAACATGCCAGCGGTGGCCGTTCGAGGTTGTGGTCTGTACTGACTGTGAAGGTGACTCGGATTAATACCAAAATCTGCAAAACAAATAATAATTTTACAGTAATTTTCGTATCTGAAAGTTGTTATGAAAGATAACTTGCTTAAAGAAACCTTTTTCTTTACTGATGTTATCTGTAGGCCGGTTGATAATATCGGCATCCATTCGGCTTTCCCGCGGTTTCCATGCGCTGTTCAGATCAGGGAAAAACCAGCTGTTAGTAGGCGCTCTGAGAAACAGCGGGCTGATTTCCGGAACGACATCGGCTGAATCAACAGGGGCAATCGGTCTGTTAGCATGCGTGTTAGTTAGTGCTGGAGGTGGACGCCTGTAAAATGCTCGCGGATCCCCAATCGCTGCGCCGTACACGAATCCCGGAAGGAAAGCGGTAATTTGCAATATCATCTGTGGATCAACCAAAATATAGCTATAGACAAAATAAAATTTATTCGTTAGCGTCATAAGTTTCTACATATGTTTTTTTAGTGTGTTCATTGAATGTCATACGGTAAGTTGTCACAGGTACATTTTTGCAATCTGCATAGCCAATATGCTTTTGCAAACGGTAAACAGATTGTCTATAATAGTTAATAATTTAATCTGTTTTGCCTAATCCACAGAATTTTTTAAAGTATGTAACATTTATGCTATATATAAAGGTCGTCAGCTGGGAAACGCTCACTGACGGCTGCAAAACTGATATTCCTATAAAGCCTGGAATTAAATAGCAGTAGCACAATAATACACAATTAAACATTTTTGTCGCCAGATTTAGCAGTAATCTGAATACATTCAAAGGGCACATTCAAGGTGAATATTGTAATAGTCGTCTACTTTGATCACGAAAAACGTATTAAACACCATGTATACGTACCAAGATAACAACAACACGGCAATCACGTTTTGGTAGCATATTCGAATGAGCAGGAAAGAAATCCATTTCACAAAAAAGGTGTATAAAATAAAATGTTATACAGCTGCAGTGGCTCGATGCACCGTCACCTTTACCGTGCAGTTATTACCAAATGCCCGAAGCTGTACCACAGTTGCAAAACGAATATGCCTAGCTTAGAGCAGTTGTGCTTTTATATTTTGCTAACAAATTATCGGCAAACATTCAGAAGTAATATGATTTTTATCCAACTGGATGCTAATGCATTGGTATTTTTATACACTTTAAGCTGTCTTCCTTGGGATCGCGCTCAAATTAAGGCAAGCCTTGTTATGCTCCGTGACACATGAAAGGGCACAATACAGTATGGAAATGGACCATGTAATACAATCAGGCAACTGCCAGTACACTCTGCATGGTAGTGTTAATCCAAAAGTATCGACAGCAATCGGCATGCATTAACTCCGGAGTCAACAACAGTAAAGATCAATTTTCTTTGAATTCCTGCCAGTTGTCCCATAAGATGTGATAGTTAAGGAAGAATGCCTTGATGGATTCTTTAAACCACAACCATAAGAATAACACCAGTTAGAGGCATTGTGCAGCGTTTTCCTGCTGTTGACGCGCGCTGTACCTAGTTTTGCTAACCACCCATAGGAAATTCCTAACTTGCGTTTTTATACATAAATGGAGGAGGATCATGAGATTGCTTTCATTTAAATGTTTTTGGTTTCCTAGTTAGGCTGGGATAAATTTCATTAGTACAATAGCGCATCACTAGTACTGAGCGCAGACTTGTAATGACGGGTGGTGGAGTTGGCGAATTGGTTACCAACTTACAATCATCCGAGTAATGACTTGGACGTCTCAAAACGTCCCCGAATACCGAGTAATGTTTATCAAGATCACATGGTGTAGTGTCACTGCACCTCACTTACGTCCTCCCAAGTAATAGCTGCGATGTGGGAATAATTTTCACAGAAAACTCAGTGAAAGACTGAAGTTTATTGAAGTCTACAAGTCCATGTAAATTTCGGAAGCAATCTGAATGGCGTATAATTTTGTTTTGTGGACGCACTTTTAAATAAATTTAGAGTCAATTATTTTACTTTTTTGCATTTGTCTAAAATAAATAACAGGTTCGTTTTTGAAGTTTAGAAAAAAGATGTGCGAAGCAAATGAAAAATTCGGATTAATCGCGCATCCATGCTTTTTGTGCGCGATGGCCGATGAATATTTCATCCAATTTTCGATGGCATAGCGTGTTCACTTCGACGATTAGCGCAAGATGAGCAAATTTGGTAGTTACGAAAATCGCAACAATAATCGTCCATAACGGTTTAATTGTTAAATTATTGCGAACAATTATTCAATGTGAAAGGTTATTTCATCAGGTCCGCCAGCAGGTTCGCTTCAGTTCACGCAGTTGTCCTATCTAATTGCCGGAGTGATTGGACACACGCCTATTCTAAATTTAACATGACGGCAGCGGCATTGGTTTTTCTCAAAACTACCGCACCCTGCTGAAGCGCTCATGACAGGAGAAAATAGGTCTGGCTCCATCGATTTTGTCTGGCAATCACAACAAATCTTTTCTGATTTGCTCAGTGTACGCCCAGCAAATACCACAACCAAGCCGTAAAGAAAAGCAAAATGCTTTTGATTAGCTTCTGTTAGTTTTATGTTCTTTAATGCTTTTGCTTGGCAGTATGCACAAAGCTGCATACAATGGTGCCTGTGACTACAAAAGCATACCTTAAAGAAGCTGACCTATCGCATCTTCTGTGGTCGGCGTCACATATACTGTATATTAAAAACACCAAGAGGAACAGATAAAAATGGAAAAAATACCAATCAAGTGTTGCGACCACCAACAATAAGCCCATTAAACTTCCTGGAGACTAGCGGCAGAAAGCAAATGCGCGTGTTTGGAGCGTACTCTTTGTTTTATCCATATCCAGTATGCCTTACGAATAACGTCATGCTTTTCTGCAAGATCCACACAGATACTTTCTGCTCGATTCATTAAATGCTGTTTCTCATCCGGCATGCGCGCCTTATGTCCTTGGGAAATGTCTTCTTCGTACATATCAATCATGAAGGCCAACAAGAACGGGGATCGCATATTTTGGTTAAAAAGATCTTCGCAGAAATCACAAATTTTGCCGTAGAACTGTGGCCACTGATCCCGTACCAGTCTGCAATTAATTGTAAGTAAATTAAAATGTTTACCGGGATTTTCAGATCCATAACAAGTCTGTTAAAAAAAACCACACTAAAAGACATGGCTTGTCTTGAATACAAAAGATATTTTAGTGCTGTACTGCAGAGAATGCCAATAAAACTTCAAAAAAATTGCGATTTCATTAATCAAAACAGTGAATATAACTGTATTTATGGTCAAACGCATAAGACAGCACAATACTCACATTAGAGCATGCAATATTATCGGAAATTTAAAACTCGACGAAATTTTTAACTCGCACAAGCAATACCGGTTTTCTGTTTACCCTCTTAGGAAACTCCACGGGCTTTCGTTATGCGACTGCTCCGAAATTCGTGCCAGCGTGAAACTGAAAATAAGAGCACACGTGAATTTGGCAGAATATTCAAAACACGGAAGAAAGCAATCATTCGTAGAAATTTAAACGCACTCAATTTCAGCAGTATTTCCTTCCAGCATGGATTTTTTTCCGCAGGATCTCGGAAGCTCATCCAGTACGAAAAATCTATGCATCCATGCGCTGTTGTTAAAGGGATCTTCGAAAATTAGCTTCTCCGTGAAGCTCAACTCCGAATGTTGTACAATATCGAAATGGCGAAGGACACACTGCCGATGCTGCCAAGCGTGGTAGTTTTTGGCATCACGGCGCAGTATTTTCGCAGTGAAATCAAATTCTTCCGATGGGTCTTTTAACATTTCGACAACTTTTTGCCGATGATACCTAAGCAGTAAACACATCCGAAATAAAAATCAGAAAACTTTGTAAATCAGGAAAATTAAACTTCTCACCAAACTTGATAATTTTTAGGATTTTTTTCAATCACCCGTCCAATGTACTGCAACTCCGCACGAAGATCCGAGTGTAAATGTGTGAGCACTTTTCTCCTGTACATCCAAAGCGTATAATTGGCCGCATTCAATAATGCCGCATCCTCACACAACTGCAGCACTCGCGGGCTCATTTCCCCGGCGGCCATTACGGCACGAAAATATCCAAAGACACTTTTGAACGTGTCCGTATAGGCAATGGGCATCACGGAGCCGGAGACCAGAGGCATCGGCGCAATATCCTGCCACTCCGGACGCTTTTCGTACGGAACAAAGTCTGGCTCGGCATCGCTGTCATCGTCGGAGGGTGATGCGGATGAATCGTCTGCGGGCTTTGAATCATCGGGCAACTGTTTTAAACCTGCGGAATCATCAGGTAAAGATGGCTTTGAACTTTTCACATCCTGCGCGGATACTTCAGAATATGATGGAGGTAGAGGAGGCTCTGGAGCGGACGATCCTGGATCCATCCTGTCGGTGGGGAGGTGTAGCGGGCACGTTATAGAAACCCTTTAAATCAATGCTAGAAACTGTTAAAACGTGTTGCAATATATCCAAATTTTACCTGAAATGCGGCGAAGTAAAAAGTACACAGGGTATTTTAACATTATTATGTGACATGTCACTGTCCATATCCAGTTATCCATTACCAGTTGGCAGCTGGTCTTACCAAATATGCAAACAGCAAATTATGAATACCAAGAGATCACAAGAAACTTACCTGGTCAGCACTGTTTGTGAAACTGCACGGAACGTCGGAACCCAATGTTCTATTGCTAGAGTCTAGACTTCTCACATTTCCAAATTAGTACATAATTAGGTTTACAACTTTACCATTAGTGAGTTTACTTGTGAGAGGGCTGAAAAATCATAAAATATGGCTGAAAGCCTGAAAAGTGAAATCTGATTCACGTTAATTTAAAACGTTTTCTAATCTTCGACAAATTGTGACATCGTCATTTGAGTCATTTCCACCACTACGTACGGGTAGTATAGAGTAAACGCTCACGTAAATGCTGTCCGTGGGGATACCAGCTTTCTGTTTGCCCTTTCAGCACACAAAAATTTTGGGCACCCAGTGCACCGTAGACTCTATGGTATAAGGAAAACTGTTCAGATAATCAGCGGTTCAGACTTCGGGGTTGGAACTTAGAATGTTACAGTATAGGTATTTTGGGAACATAAAATACAGTAGAATAATAAATTAATTATTAATGCGTTTTCTCAGTTTTCTGTTCAAATTTTGGTAAGCATACTCACACACTCCGACCGATCAAGGACGTACTTACTGTAGTGGTCAGCAAATAGCACAAAAAAGCGGATATTTTTGTGTACAGTGTACACTAACCAGCGTGTAGGCATAACTTAATTAAGTTATTGACTGACAAACAGCTAATACAGTACAAATGTGAATGATTTAAAAGCAAATCGCTATTGCATTCTGAAATTAACGCTTGCAAGGTGCAATAATTTTACACGATCTGTCTGTAGATACTGTATCTACAAATTTATATCAACCTTCGCCAATGCTGTTAAAAATACGTCATTTATTAAAACATAAAATCAAGACTCCCTCATCCATTTAGAGCTTCTTATTCAAAACAGTTTTAGAAACATCATATCGACTCTTGCTACGATACCACAACAGATACGGGATGCCCACAGTAGGAATTGTCATAATCAAGAACGTAATCCAGTCAGCATAGTGCGGCGCGAACTGACGATTAAATTGGTTGATTTCCCAGATTTGTCCTTCGCCCGGAGCGGACGTGTAGCCGACGACCAGTGAAGCATCCTGACTTTCTCCACTCTTGTACTGTATGCGTGCCGAAGTGAAATTGAAGCTCATGTAGTGCTTAGGCTGCAGAATGATGACGTGCGATACGTTTTGCGATGGCGGAATGCGATCCCAGTGAGCCTTGGGGAATCCGCTAACCACATCGAATAATTCCTTGTCGAAGTTCTCCTCAATCAAATGCACATCGTACGCCACTGATTCACCGATGTTGTACAAATTGTATTCCACTATCAGGTCCTTTCGCTGCACTAGATACTGATTCAAAATGCGTTTGGCAGCGAGGATACGAGCCGCACCGGGTTCTTGAGCAGAAACGACGCTTATGAGGATCACTCCAACGAGAAGCCTTAGCGAACGCATTTTCTTCCTGTACCAAAAAGAAAGCATCTTGTTAAAGAGAAACTTACAGGACAATTAGAATGCTTACCTCGAATAAACTCCGCAAAAAATCAAAAATAAGTGCTTGCTCAAGATGCTTGGAAATCTCCAAATGAAATAAATTTTAATAGATTTGGAAGCGGCGACATCTAAACAAATGGGCGGAGCAAGCATAACTTCCACGTCCTCTCCAACTCACGGAGTTTGTACGAGCACCGGACAAGCAGCGTGTAGTCGCACACGCACTCTGTTGGTCCTGCCCCGTCAAACTGCCTACCGCCTACTTGAGGCGATTTCTAACAATTTTGGCTTCCGGAAGTAAAAGTTTTCGAAATCATAAGTGCAGTAGCACGTTTGGAAAATTTAAACAGACGATGAAATTTAGGGATTCGATTTAGATCTAGAATTTGAAAGGCCAAAGGATTATTAAAGATGTGATTGTGGACTTTTCCGTTTATGACTCCCCGAAATCACGAAGCCGACTTTTGGCGTTCCTGTCACTTCCTAGCAGTCAGCTTAGTCGTCTCATCTGCCAGTCGTCTGGTTCGCTCTTGTCTTCTATAGGCTTCTGTAAGGTAAGACCGTAAGAGTGAGACAGGGATGCATTTGCATTAAAATTTCGAGACCGTAAAGCGATATGCGAGTATTACTAGGACAGTAGTAAAAAGTACCGTGACTAAATTGAAATATTTTAATATTATTATTAGCATCCACTGCCAGAATGGCGGAAGTGGCGGGGGATTCTGTTTGTCTGTATTGCTCATCAACGGATATTGAGACAGACTACAGCAAGGGACAGTCGGTAAGTACTATCATAAGTAACTGCGTTTCTCAGTTTTACATGCTTGATCACATAGATGATTTTGAATGGTTTACATTTATTCTCCACGTTAAATCCTGAATTTTACGATTTAGACTTTGCTATCTTAACATCCGTAGAAACTAGACTGTGTCATTAGACTAGGATGGACGAAACCGATGTGGACACAATACTTAGTATTTGCATTTTGACTTATAATGAATTTCCTGTGTTTAGTTTAGTGTTTACTAACTGTTTAAACGTGCTTAAAAATCGTTTTACTTATCGACAATTTATTTTGCGATATAGTACTGGATTTTGTCTTTTAGTATTGCACCAATTGTGGCGCCTTTCAAGAGCAGGAACTGATAACCAACAGCCTTCAGTATGAAACCGGACCGTCGGGCCACAACACCCAAGCTGGGCGGACCGTCCGTTTGGACAGTATGTCCGCATCTCTTTCTGTTTGTGAATAGCGCTGCTAGTCCTGCAGAGTTTAATATTTTTTTTAATAGTGCCCTTACATGCGAATAGCTGTCGGAGTCGTTTGGGCGTAACTGTGAGAACAGTACAGTAATTTGGCCTATGATTTTGCTTTTTACTTTAATTCGTAAATATTTCTTTTCAGCCCAAGGATACCTTGGCCAAACGGGTAATCCTCTGAAAGGCGGAATTGCTCGTTCTTCCAAGGAGACGACGCTGCAACGCAACGAGGATCGCCTCCGTGGTTTGGGCAGTTTATCAAAATGCGATGCTGCAGTGTGTATGCATGCCTTCCGTATCTATAGAATGGCGTACGATGCTGGCATGACACGCAAACGGTCCATTGACGTTCTGTTATCCGCTTGCCTGTACATTTCTTCCCGTCGGTGTAAAACCGGACATATGTTAGCGGATTTTGTGCCACACCTTCCCGGAGATATCTTCGATCTCGCCAAAACCGTCCGCTTCCTCGTAACTCGTCTGTGTATAGATGTCCCTATGCAGAACCCAGTGCATCAAGTGGAGAGATTCTGCAATGCACTGGTGGAGGACAAGGTTCTCGTCCAGAAGCTGGTTACGATGGCCCGCAAAATTGTTGAACGAATGCGCATGGACTGGATCGATGCCGGGCGTAAGCCAAGCGCAGTGGCAGCGGCGGCCGTGATCATCGCTTGCAGGGTGTACAATTACGAAGTGGATCTCGAGACAGTCGCCAGTGTGGCGCAAGTTGCTGGTGTGACTATTCGTCGGCGGTTAATTGAGTTCGCCAGGACGCAGAGTGCCAGATACATGCCCAGTCAGTTCGGCACCCCAGAGATGGAAAATCTTCCACGGGCGCAGTATCATCCGGCCATATTCCAGGCCCGTAAAGGCAAGACAAGTGGCCCGGTACGTGGTGGTGCTTTCCTCATGTGCACAATCAAATTTGAATTGCGAAGTGCTAACATCGGCGGATGAATATTTTAGTGGATGGTGCAGGCTGCAGAGCGCAAAAAATACGCGCTCTGTTTGAGGCAGTTGTTAGCAGCGATTATCGATGGATTGAAGGATGAAAATAAATACAATGGTACGTCGGTCTGAAAAATTCACGCATCATTGCGTATTTAAACGGCATACTTGTGGATAAACATCTGTACCAGTAAGTACCTTCAAGATTTTAAAGATAGTGAATTTACAATTAAGTATTACGATAATACTCGATATAGGCATATTAAGTTTGTATTGAAGAAAATGTGTTGGCCGCAAATTTGTGTTAAATTAGGTACGCCCTAAATTTGCTTTGTTTGATTTTAATAATTTCTTACGTCATATTTGTTATTTTTGTTTGGAAAGGTTTATGCCCACCATACAAAAGTATTTGTCAAGCGTTGTAGCGGAATTGTTGTAGATGAACAGTGGAGCGATCTCGGACACAGCTTGATTGTACTGAACACCACTTTAGAAATGGTGGAATCCCGGTGGAAACTGAGTTACGAGAAGAGTTTGTTCATTGCCACCAATCTTCGCCCAGCGATTACGGATGAAGAATATGAAACCGGTAAAGAGATTGTGTGTCACGAATACCTTCACTCCCTAATGTGCAACCAAGCCGAACAAAAAATTCGTTACTTATACCTTAACGAGAAGCATGGTGACTTGTTGACTAAACGAGCGGAAAAGAAGCGCGAAATGGAAAGCGAAGAAGCAACCGGCAAAAGCAAGCGTAGTACAAGAAGGAGAACTGGTAAGGCTGCTCATGGACCACGTCAAGGAGAACCTAAGCCCTCGGAGGTGGTGCAGACGTCCACCAAGGTTGACTATGATAGGTTCAACGACTATTTGAAAAATTTCGACGGAACCAATGATGACTTTTAACTTGTCGCTGTTGCGGTTTGGCCTGGTCAGGTATAAATGGCGGTGAAGATTTCGGGGTTTATAATTATTTTATACATGTTCAGCGAAGGTTGACTTTTGTAGACGGATGGATGATATATCTCTTCGTATGTTTGTCTTTTTATTCTGATGGACGCATAGACGGAACTCTGAAGCAAGTCCATTGACTTTTCGCACAGATGTTGTTTTATTCAGCATTTAGGTAATTTTGAAAGGCGTGATAGGTATCATGATTGCCATTTAACTAAATGAAATGGGCTTATATAAAACTGTAGCCAGAATAAATGATTCAACAGCTCGTTACAAGGCACGACAGCGGAGTGATAGATGAGTTATCTTCATTTACTGTTTTTGTTCTTGATGTTAGTAATAACACTATCATTAAATTTCTTAAGGAAAGAGCAACAATTGTAAACCCATTTAAGAAACAAGAACAAATGCATCACCTCAGCATGTACCGTGCAGCTGGAATGATTTGCCTACCCCCAGCATTCATAGCCACTGTTTACATAAACATCGATTTCTATTACGTTTTCAAAGGAAAACAAAAAACTGCTACAAAAGTCGGGCAACTTCTTGATTACTTGAGTGAACATTGTTAGAATCTTAGAGAGACATCTGGAAAACTACGAAAGTTGAGTAAGGGAAATCAAACACATCAGCATTTCCAGACTTATGTTGCCTCCTTCTACCAGTTTGTCGTTAATCCAGTTCAACGCGTCCGCTGATGTCAAGGGCGGGCGTCTCTGGTTCACCTAAATCGGGTTCGGTTTCAGCATTTGCTAACTGTGACGACATGAATATCATTGTTGTATCACTGTCCGGCTCCGTATCCACCGTGGATGAGTTCCGCCTTTGGCTTAACTGAGTGAGCAGATCTTCAGACAGATCCCGAATCCCGCTATACTACAATTTGCATGCAAATGCATATTTACCAGCTGCACAAATACGCCGTGAATAACATGTGGAAAATTACCGTGATCGTGTACGGAGCCATGTTTTCCGGTTGCGACGGCGATTTAAATAGGAATGCCATACGCGACTCATTCTTCCAAAATAAATTCACACGCGTGCCACAGGAATGTCCCCAGCTGGTACCAAGCGCCGGTATTAGCTGACCTTCTTCCCCGGGATTTATACGCGTCGTCATCTGGTTGCTTACCACCACCTGTTAAAAAAAACAGAAAACCTTAAAAAAATACTATCTTTCCTAGATACCGAAAGCTGAATTCACACGTACAGCAACGCTCTTTTCCACTGCGATGTGGACGAGGGTCTGCATCAAACCATTGAGAATCCTCGAGCGCAGCGCAATATTCTCAAAAGCGTACCGGAAAGGGGCGGCAATACTGTCGATAATGATAAGTTTGATTCGCGTTTCCTCTTCGTTCAGCATCTGCTCGATCTGATGGACACTGGCTACTACTTCAGCGAAATCATGGCATCGCACATAAAATATCCGCTTCAAAATGGTATCCACATCCAGTTTCAGACGACCATCTAAACATACACAAATACAACAGAATGCAAAATTATAGGTTGCACCAGATTGTCCAAACAATTTACGTAGTTAAAAACTCATTCCATTCTGTAAGCAAACAACTTTGCAACACCAACCGTACAAGCGCAAAAACGCTTATTAAAAAACCACTATGTGACTCTGTCTAATTTTAAGTCTACCAGAAACTTTTATTAAAGCGACTGAAGTCTGAAGATTACTGCACGCGGCATGCTACACTATCACCAATCGTTTGTACACTGTACCAGTGTGTTCAGACAACTGTCCAATCATCCCCTCTGCAATATCCTTTATCCGCTCCAGGTAGAATCCGCCCTCCGTATCGATAAAAACGGCTTCTCCATGAATGCCTTGCAGATTCTCCGGAGTTTGCACGTTTACGCATAACTGCAGGCTAGTAAATGCCGTTAACAATCAAAACTTAATTCTCTCACTGACAGATGACAGCAATCTGAAACCAACCTCACCAAAGCTGTGTTTTGCCAACGCCAGGAACACCGCTAAACTCCGTAATCCTGCCCAGCGCAATGCCACCACCCAGAATGGAATCCAATCTGGTTGAGCCCGTTGAAATGTAGCGAGCCGTCTGCTCGCGCCGCAACAGTTCGAACGCGGTGATTGGTCGGAAAACATCCAGAGCGGTTTGCCATGAATATCCGCGAACCTTCTCCACGAGGCGTTTGGCCTCCTCTTCCTTGATCTCGAGTTCTTCGAAACATAAGCAGCACTTTCGGACAACTATTCAATGGATATATCTAAAGTACGGTCTAACTACCTTGGCTCAATTTCTCAGCCTGGGAAGGTTGGAAACAGTCAAATTTGCTGAATCCAGCGCGGTATAGTTTCTTCCGTAGCGAGACTGGGACTGGCACTTGTGAAATGTCGCGATCCATGGCGAAGCGCTGGAAACTTTTGATCAATGGACGAATAAATTTAAAAACAAATAGTTCTCCTCGTTGCTGCTACTAAAATTTTGCAGTCATACACAGTGCGCGTAGTGAAAAATGAAAATCACATAATAAAATATTCATAACTCTGAAAATGTTTTATCTGGGCTGCCACTGCTGGAATGCATAGATTTAAAAAAAGCTAAGCCGCTTAAAACGACTTTGCGAAATACGCTGATAACAGCCAGATGGTGGCGGTGAACACATCATCGTCGGTCTACGTTACTGCACAGCCGTACGGGTCACATTCCACAGCCTGGAAAACCGGCGCATCTGGCATATGCCGCAAAAACATTACTTAATTGTGCACATGAAGATTAAAATATAAATTAATAAGTAAATGTTTGTATGGACAAAAATTAGTGCGAAGTGAGAACTTGCATGCCGAACCGGAAGCGCAGAGGCTGTAGCATAAGCTGCGTGTACTGCCTTGCAGTAATTTTACAGTTTTAGGTGAATTTTGTTACTGTTGAATGTAAACTTAAGCTTGTTGTAATGTTTACAAAATTAATAACAATCATTTTAGGAGAATAAGTAGTAAGACGTGATCAGGATAAACGTATAGTTTACAGTTAAACACGTATTTCACAAACTTTATACATTGAAACATTTGTCATTGCGTCTAAATAAATTAATTACACTACTGTAGTCGTTAGAAAAAAATTTGCAGTAGAACTCAAGAACGTATGTCATAAAGTGGAGCTGACAAATGATGCATCTGCTCTTGCATAATATGCTTGTAAATACTCCTATCTGTACTGCAATAACAGACATGCTTATTGTACTATTGCATCTAACGCATTAATTCAAGTTTCAAATCATGATATTACATTAAATTGCTTTTATATATAGCTACGGAGCACTTACAATCACCGTTATAATAAACAGAATACAACAGAATTGTTCCATAACATGATAAATCAATAAACGGCATGTGCCGCAAACCAAGGTGCCAGAAACCAACGTACAGCAAAAAATTCTCGAGCCTATTCAACACCAATTCACACCTAACCAGTTCAATTTGTGCAGCTCAACGTAATGACCAGTATCTTTGCAAAATTAAAAAAAGAATTTTGCTTTTGCACTTTGTTCAGTAATTGGTGTAATCGATGGAAGTCGTTCGCGGAAGATAACAGACTCGATCGCATCCGCGCAGGCAACATGAATATCCTGGACCGTATTTCGTGCAGGAAGAGTTATCCACACAGTCACTGCGGCAAGGAACGGAGTTTTGTACTTGACCTTGTCTTGACGAACCGCGTGCTGCAGCGAACTGTTGGCTCTGCAGGGCCGTGGCCGGTACTTTGATTGTGAAAGTGTCAAAACATTTGGGAACTGAAAATTCAATCAGATACTGCATACGTACGACGAAAGATATTAATAAAGGTAGCGATTTACCGGCAGGCAGAGCGGCTAACGGTTGTGCCGGGAGTAATCGACACTGGTATGTTTGGACCGTGGATGACCCCATCGGTACTTGGGTGCAGTATCTGCCAGGACCGCAATTAATGCTCTACATTTTAAAAAATTGTTTCTTTCAGAGATACTCTAGATAACTATTTTTACAACGCTATTGCACGGCTTTAAAAATTAGGATCTTACCTGACATGGATCTCCACGCGGTATCAGTCCACGTAGTTGTAGGTTATCCAGCAATACCGGCAACCGCACACTGTTATCTGCAAGGTGGACAACGCTGGAAATACCGTACCGACTACGGAAATATTGAACAGCTATAAACTCCAAAATAAATTTGAACTATTAACCTAGTAACCTTGCGTTAATATCAGTAAACTCGCACGAACAAATGCTGATCTCGGCGACAGCGCAGAAAATTCAGAATACTCAAACTGTCTTACTTATAGAACCAGTGTTTGTCGGCGATATTTGAGCGGAAACACTGGCACAGGCAAAGACGACTAGAATCCATGAAATCCGGAGCAGGCATTGTAACTCCATTTTTGATACCGCTTTTCGTTTGTTTGTGCAGTTGCACAATTAGTTCCAGACGCTTGTCAAGTAAAGAAAATCAAAACCATGCATCAAATTAAAACAATGCACAATAATGTCGCGATATTACAGAACTGGCACCTTATCGGTACGTTTTCATAAGTTTACTTAATATTTTTCACCTACTTATGAAAGATAATTCACTGAATTCTCAAAGAAGAAAATAGCGGATTATTTACTTCTTGGGAAAGGATCTCAAAACCGAAACAGCACACGGAACCACTTGTTGCACGCATGCGACGTCCCGTGTTTATTTACCAATGACTGTTGCCAGATGTGGCAAAAGTGCCGACCCTAGGTCAATTTTAACATAATGCGACCTTAACAATTCCGAATCAGCAGAATATTTTGGAACCACTAATGCAATACCGCGTGCTACAGGCATACGAGCTATATAAAACCCAACTTTTGATTCAACTTAATTTCACATGTCGGAAGCACACAGGCAAAGCGTAATTATAGTTCGTCAGCACATATCACTCCCATCGGACCAAAGAAAAAGCTTAACTCAACAGACACCCCAAAGTGCACCCCAAGCACACCGATAAGAAGTAAAACCAAACCCCACAAATTTATGCCATAAAATTACAAAAAGACGCATGTAAAACCATAAAATCCGTAAATTCACCCAGAGGAACGTTCAATCATGCGACCTTCCTCAATCCCATGTACACCACCGTGAACAGCCCTCCAGCTAGCGTGGACGTAAAGTATATTTTCCTCCCAATATTTGTAGACCACAAGACTGCATTCAAACCGGCGAAAAATAAAGTAGCTGGTAGGACTTCCGACCATGGTAATGAAATCGATTTAGATTCAGGCAACACTTCACCAGTCTCAAAATATGTCGTCATGAGGCTAAAACAAAAGCCACAGAAGGTGCAGAAAAAAATGAACAAAAGGCAAAAAATATTCTTTGTATCTGTGCGACCTTACCGGTCTTTTTCCTGAAACACAGAAGTCAGCCATTTCTGTATTCCAGTTTCATCAAAAGGAATCTCCTTTATATCAAAACGCTTGACGACAATATGCAATTTTTCGTCCGATCCATGCATGTAATCTGCAGTTAGGCCTTCACAAATCAAGATTTCAAAGTCTGCCGCACACTAACAATAAGAGTAAAACATTACTTGTACATAAGAATACATTACTTGTAAGTTGTAGATTATGCGCTGCAGGAACTACGTTGCAGCAAAAACAGTAGTTTATAACAAAGCAAAGCAAAAGAGATAGAACAAGCGGCATTTAAATAAGATAATAACATTTACTTACTAACTGACGTACGAAAAACATTATTACCGTTCATTGTCGGAGCCAGGACACGGGCGACACCATTTCCGACCTGCCCTTGTCGTGTTTGCGAATACATGATTGTAACGTCATAAACAGCATTGAAATATGACCTTAAACTTTCAACAGACAACTGGAAAGCTTTCATCTTCGGAGTGAGAACATTCTTCAACGGCACTAGAGTAAAGCACCGGTTTGTTCGCTTGTAGGGCTGCTAATTTTGGCAAACGAGTACTCATCACGAAAAATCCGATAAAATAATTTTTCCGGAGTATTTACCTTCTTCTTGGGTGGGGCTTCGAGAAGTAGTTGCGTTTTCGGAACTGCCAGGCTTAAAGCGTGTCCCTTCGGGGAAGATTACTAGCCAAGTCTGCATAGAGAAAGAAACAGCGTAATTTCACTACTAATTTGGCTAAAGTAAAAAGAAATTTGAGGATATGAGAGTCAAACTCACGTTTTTTCGGGTTTTCGGAATCGATTCCAAATTTTTCTTCATGATATCGCTGTTGAATTTCCGACTCCGCCGCACATACACGCAGTTATGCTACAAATCACATAGAGAATCTCGCGGTTCCGAAAATCTAAAAGTACGCACACCACACAGTTCCTTCCAAACACCCACAAGCAGACGACGCGCTTCTTCTAAGCTCACCTGATGAAAATAGAATCCATACAGTGGAAGAAAGCGCAAACCATCCTTTAAAATATACCGCATATGTCCTAAACTTCCCTGTCGCACGGCTAACATGTCCGCAACAATCCAGTCCACTGACGCAGCAACAGTACAAAAATTATTATACAAAAATATTAAGATCAGAATACAAAAGATTTGAAGACACAAAAGATTCGCATACAACACAAAAGAAACAATACAAACGTTTTAATTAAATTTATTTGAATTTTGAATTAAACAAGTAAAATTATATTATTAAAATGCGACTTGATACTACTCAGATCATTGAAATGCTTTTCTAATCATAATCTAACCCAAAATGACAGGGGCTCGTGGCTAATGATTCAGACACCGAATAAACGACAACATTTAAAAACGGACCTTGTTAATTACATAAAAGATAAAACAGATAAAATTTGCCTGCAATACTCCTGCGCGAGTGCCTACCTGTTGACTGGTGGTTTGAAATGTAGAGCGCACATTCTTTTTTGTTTAGAATTTCCTCCACATCCCCGTGGAAAACCACCTAACGCAATGAGAATTATGGCTCTCATAGACTGAGCAGCAAAACAATTCTGCAGTTTTGCACACACGCTTCAGGCCTTGTCAAGAATACTTCGATGATTATGATAAATTTAACTAACCTGAACCGGGGACAGTTTCTCGAAGAAGAACAACACAAGCTTCTGATAGCATCCCCATGAGAAATCATCAACCTGACCGTATACACGCGAGGGAAGCAGGATGCTGAGCACGCGGAATGGCATCCATGCAGCAAAAAAAGTTGGTGCAGTGGCGAGTAAGGCTGTAAAAGGAAGCAGCTCCGGCAGGGACTTTGCCGCCAGCAGTATTGACATGAGCATCGTGGAAACAAAACGCAGGTCCGTGTTATGGTTATAAAATGATCGAGCAATCACAGTGACTGCGGTGCGAAGACAGCGTTAGCAATGAATAAAATCACAAACTCTACAAAAAAACCTACTGCATAAAAAATTATAAAAATAACAAAAGTCTAAAAATTTTCCAAAATATGTTCTTCCCGATCCTTTAGAAGTACAAGCATCTGCAGCAAAAGTGCAAAACCAAAACCCAAATAAGCAAACTTCGACGTGATTGGCATGCTCCTAGCGGGGTGGATTACTTAGCTGGACCCAAAGCAGCGCCTTTTCAGCGAATATTGCAAATGCAAGTTGTCATATTCCCGTAATTAATTTTCGGGTTTTTTCTTTCTTCAGTTGTGTAATTTATGTACAGTACTTCTTTCTTTTACGATATAGTTTCGGTATACTTACAATTTGTTTTACGGTTCTACTATCAGGTGCCGCAAAACTGTCAGTAAAATTACCAATCAAACATGCCATGTACAAGTGCTGAGACTGCTGACTACTGCACGAGTGCACAATATTGACGGGAATGCGAAAACAAGCTGCCGTTTGAGTGCAAATTTCAAGTTGCAGCGTTAATTCAATATACGCCCAGCTTTTTCAAAGCAGCTTCAATTTTGTAGAAGCAGGAAATTCTACTTTAAAAAACCCTGTGCGTATGAGAAAATCCAAAGGAACCTGCACGGTAAAGCTGTAAATTCAAACGGCGATATTCGTAATTGCAAGACGATAGTAGGTGAGCAATGGCACAAACACAATCTGAATTTCGGACATGTTCGGCAACAACCCCCAGCGTCCCCCCACACCCCAAAACGATGTTGCCAAAATTTTAAGTTTTTGGCAACATCACAAGCTGCTTTGCCAGAGCCATGCTGCCGAGCAAGACATGATTCCAAACGGGACGAAAAAAGGCTAGCCAATCACAATCGTTCAGTGACGTCATCAATTTTTAATTTCCGCCGGCAGCATCAAAAACATTTATCGCCAGCAGCACGCCCTGAGTTTTCGCATTCGCATCATTATACTGTGCAGAAGTGGCGTCTTACTTGATTTTATTCGTGATTTTACAGCCATTGCACCATCTGTGGACCCTCCAGTTGTTAAGTGACAACGTAACAGAAGCACGCGTGCGGTGGCCCATGCCACAGCCTGTTTTAACGTAAATCTTTGAAAATTCATAACTTTGTTCATTCCTGCATTAAATTTTTATGTATAGTCTTGAAAAATGCAGAATAATACACAGTATTAGGCAAAATAAATTCTTTTTTGTTTTTCTTTTAGGGTTATGCACTGTTAGCCTGTACGGCTAGCATAGCCGCCTATGGAGGATTTGTCATAGGCGGCTATGTTAACTCGCAAGGGGCTCTAGTGCATTACCTGAAAAGAAACAGAGAATCATATATTTTGTCTAATATATTCTGCATTTTTCAGATTATATAAAATTTAATGCGAGATAAACAAAGTTATGAATTCAATTACGTTAAACAACTGTGCATGGCTACAAACATTATCGCTAACAACTGGAGAATCCAAATAATGCAATAAACAAAAATCACGAATAAAATGTAGACTTCTGCATAATAATTACACTGCACGCTCTTCAATGTATTGTAAGTACTGTGACATTTTATTGAATTCGTCCACAAAACAATTACATAAATGTCATTATGTCATCCACGATCCATCACTATCTCAGATTCATCGAGATACCAACCAGCTTTCAACCGGATTCGCGCTAACAATTAACAACTTGCACGATGCTATTTTGAAGTCGGAGCCGGCAACAAGAAATAAAAATTCCATAAAACACAGCAAACAACTCCGTAAAATACGATTAAAAAGCAAGCGTCGGCACACACAAAGGCACAACTGGAACAAAATATGTAATATCACAAAAAGCACAGGCCATTTCGCCTTCAGTCTTTTAATTCCACAAGCTCGAAAGGCCGCACCGTATTTGCGTCCACTAAAACCTTTCCCTCAACAATCACAGCATCCGGGCCGCCTCGAATTTCAAATCTCCTACAAGACAAAGTCATTAGGTATTTCATTTGTTATGCGGCTTACAAAAAAAATTACACAGAATTAGTATACTGAAGTCGATAAATACTCTAAATACTGTATCTTACGGTTACCTCATTTACCTGTGGCCAGATATCAACCATCCATGCGAAATTATGCAGCCTTTTGTTGCCCACTTCTTTACTTGTTCAATAATACCACTTGCAGCATAAGCGCCCGACACGACCATCAAGGAGGAACCAATGGTGTACACTTCCGCTCCCGCTGCCACAGCTGTCGCGATCCATGCTGGCGTCTCCAGTGCGGCCAGTCCCAGGACGCCCAAAGCTACTCCTCCCGCTGCAAGTGCTCCTGCCACTAACGTTAGTCCTCCCAAGGCGGCTGCGGTAATCGGTAGCACATTATCCCAGTCTGTATATCCGTTCTCGCCATTCCATAACCGAGCCCGGATGGATAAATGGACCATGCCAGTTTTACGATGAAATGTTCCCTCCGAAGGTACAAAGTTGTCGTAATACAACGGAGAGATCTGCCATAAAGATATCACCAAAGGAACCTTGGTCTTGTTTGTTATGGATATTTCGCCACCCATACTGGCACAATCGCTCTGTACATGAGTTGTTACGGAACTCCGTTGTCAGTATAAAAAGTTGTAATCAGAAGTTACCAGTACTGTATAGTAGTTCGAGAATTATATGAGTACTTCTAGTGATCGCCAAGATCCAGAACATTTTTGCAGCTTCACCCATGCATCACAAATATGCGCGAACGACAAACAGTTTATAGTAAGTATACTGAGATTTTAGCTGTCATGACGGCCTCCATAACTCATCAGGCACACACACGATACGGATAACTGACGGTGACTATTACTGTACGAGTAATCGAGTAACTACTCCTACTGAAAATATATATTGAATTTTCGTAATTTCGAAAGTGGTTTCTACACCGGAAAGCCGTAAGTTGAAAAGATTCATAACAACTGTAATAGATAAATATTTGTAAGTAAACCTTGCATAGATAAACATGAAACTGAAGCATGAAACATTTAAAAATTCTAATTTAAATTGTATCCTTACCGGCAGATTAATAAGGATACCGGCAGATTAATAATTATGTGGTTTATCCTATACTGCTTACCCCTGGTCAGTGCTTCCTATTGGAACATTTAAGGCAAATGTGGAAACGCAGCATCAGCTCTGGGAATGGCACTTGCTTCGGTCAATTTGGATAAGTTAGTGTTCTTTGTAATCCGGCCGCCTGTTTTCGGCTGCTTGTTAATGCTATTAATGTGCTGTTCGCTATTTAAGGTTTGTTTATTTCGCATTATAGGGCAGCAGTCACTCATTAAAAATAAATGTTAACGACAATGCAGATAAAATTATACGATTGAGAGTGCGATATTTCGTTATTTATGCCAGGATAGTATATCTGATCTTCCAGGATCCATCATCAAAATTACATATTTATATTTTGGCATACAGTCACACATCAGCAATACGCAATACTCGTACGTATATTTATATCTATATAGCGAGATAATGACCGTGCGCACGAAATACCGGATCACCGGATCCTGAGTGAAGTAAAATTCTATATAATATTTTGTTTTGAGTGTTAGGTTTAATGCCTAGACCAGATATTACTCAAGATTTCTTATGGTTTCAGTCACTTTCCGATATTTAAAACTCAAAAAATATTCAAAACAAAGTAGATCGAGAGACTTTAGTCCCAATTAAATGGATGTAAAAATAAATACATATATAGAATCAAAAAGCAAGTGAGTACATACAGCTATGAAACCCGGCACATAACACTGTATAAGTCCTAAACAACTGTCAGTGAAATGCCACACGTCAACATCGAGTAAAATGTCGATGGCGATATTACAGTTCAGATTTGGAAAGCACTCGTGCTTGTGAAACATGCTTGTCTAAAAATCTGTGAATTTCTTTGACGGACCAGTCCTTTCCGGAATAACGGATCGGGGCGGTTTTGTTTTTCTCCGAGGCAAAATACAGTGTTGGGTATGTTCGTGGTCGGTAGCTGGCCGGCGGATCGTTCAAACTGGTATCCATGGCGAAGAATTCCGTGTTGGGATATTCACTTTTTTGAGCAATCTTCATCAAATTTTGCTCCAAGGTCTCGCAAATGGTGCACAGTGGATGACAGAAGCTAATGACCACATCCTTGGGATTGCTAAGAACAAACTCTTTGAATGTGGCACCTTGTACTGCTTTAACGGCGTCGGTGTTCTCTTCGGCTGTCAGTGGCTTCTCAGACCGGCGGAATGGGACAAGCTTGCCTACAATTATAGGTAAAGACTTACCAAAAACCAGTCTTTTATAGGAACTATTACGTTAGTAGACAGTTTATTGCTATATTCGGGTTATACGACTACATTACTTTTACGGAACGTATCCATATCTAAATGCTGTAGTTTATTGTGTGTACGCTTATCCTCAATTACAATTATTTTGGGAACCCATCTGCCACACAGTTTGTTGTCCTTTGCAAGTATCCTACTGTTCTTACCGGCTAGGTAGTCCTCGGCAAACTTCTTTATTTCGGCAGATGTGATCCTGTCTTCTGTATGGAATGGATACATTTCTCCATCTGCACCAATAATTCCCAGGCGGAGCTCTTTTTCTTGGTCCAGATCGGTAAAACCAAATCGACTAAGTTCATCTTTGAATTCCTTGACATCCGACATAACAAAGGTCAACTTCTGAATTGGGTATTCGATAGCCACCTGCGCAATCCTGTGACGCACGAATAGCGTTTCTGTGTACAAAAATCAAGCTGGTTTAAAATCAGAAGCTTTTTCCAGAGTTGCAACGATATTTTATGTTTTTTTCTTTATAGATCGCGGCGGTAACTTCCCCCCATAAACATTTTCTCGCGATGTGAGTGAGGATGTACGAGCCACTCAAATGTATAACTAAACAGCTGCAGATTTTACCTTTTTCTGCAGACGTTGTGCTCCAGTCCACTTTAGTGTAGCTGATTAGTAGCGGCCGGCGATTGTACTGGAAGCCGTCTTTGTTCTTTTTTGTTCTGTGGCCAACCAATGGAACAGCTTTAAAGGCAATGAACGTAAGGAGTTCTTCCAGTGTTTTCAGATTCTGCAATGTTGCACTGGTGGTTAATTTCTCGACAGGATTGTCAAATCAGTGCATGTTTAATGTCAAATGGGATTTCGTACATTCTCTGCTATAGACACGTCCTTGGCTTTAATGAGTTCAGGATCCGAATCACGCTTAGGCAACATGACGCCAATTCGCCACTGCTCATCCTCCACCTTATCTTTCCATCCAGGTGACGACATGAACTGACGAATCACGACGAAGTACAGTTCTCCTCGTAGCATGTTTGCTAATATAAAAACACAAACAATTTATCTAGTGCTGCAATTCTATACTATACTTAATACCCAAGTAAAGATTAGAAAGAACTTAATGATTCTCTAATAGTGACTTTACCTTTACGTGCATAAGTACTTTCTCATTATGATGCCATTATATACAATTCAATTTACACGCGAGATGTCTACCCAGTACTTACCAACTTCAGTGAACAATTGGAATTGTGGCAATCTCTCGTTTTCAAAATACCCGATAACTGTCGGCTTGTCTTGATGTTTGGACAAGAAACTTTCAACTTCTTGTGGAGTAAGACCTCGGACAAATGGCGGCTGCATCTGGCTCTGCAGATATTTGACCATCCCTGAAGCCGAGCCAAAACTAAAATTACTACCGGTACCCATATCTATATACAGTACAGCGTATGTGCTTGCAGTGACACTCTGCAGGTGGATTTACCTTTTGCAACTTTTGGACCCTTGTATTCATACGCTCTGCCACGTCGGAAAATTTTAATCACAGGTGGCACACCAAATTCGTTCCGCAGATCCTTTACATCGGCAACGTTGACCTTAAAAAACGTGTCCGTGCGATTTAAAGCAGCTGCGGCGTTTTCGAGCTCCATCAATACGCGGTAACTGGACAGTCTCCTACAAAAATGAGCGGCAAGGATTTAATTTTGTGAATACTGTAGTTACTTTCAGCATAATTCCACTGAATGTGGAACTGTAATTATAAAGCTCAAGAAGCTCGTTTACTGGGCAAACCTACGTTGGAGAATACAACAGCAGCAAGGAGAAATCTTTTTTGGCAATTTTTTCGATGTCCTTTGGCAAGATTTCGGTTATGTGTTCCGGGAGATTTTGCGGTGGATACCAAATGGCTTCCTGGCGCTTGATGAGCTCTTTCACGATCGCGTCAGCTTTCCATGAGTGTTCAAAGTTGTAGGCCCGATTTTTATAGAAAAACATAAACTGCGGCTCATCGCCACGAATGTCCATCTTTTTGACAATTTCCGGGTGGGCAGAAACATCCATGCGACCGAGACAAATAGACGGATGTTCCTGCTGCAGCTGTTTGGCGGCTTTTTCGAATTGCAGCAAAACTTCCTCAAATTTTGGATCCCTAAAATTTTTAATTAATGAAGACTTGATATAAGCCACTTAAGCAACAGTGCAGTAGCGTTACAGACACCGCTCAACATTACCATGGAACTCCAAATAGAGCTAGCAGTATTTCGTGAGCTCCGACCATGTAGTAAAAGTTGTCTTTTGTCAAAAGAATCACGTCATGCTCGACTTGAACGTCGGTATCACCGAAATGTTTAGTGATAATTTCCGCATGGACAGGATTATGAAGATGGTCCGGATGATGATGCAGCACTTGGGCATATCCTGTGTAAAGAGCATTGAGAGTACAATATAATTACCAGATATCCCCGCAGTTTGTCCCTTCCGGTAATTACGATTCGTAAGCCGGCCGGGAGACTTAAAACTTTGTCATCATTTTACTGGGGCAATTTTCTCTCTACTTACTTGTTAGGAATACGTACGTTTAACATACATACAATAATATTGTATGCCAAAATAAGAAAAAAACAATTATTGTATACATATTTTTCGGGTGTATTTGTGCACCCGTAGAGTAGGTCATTAAAACTTTTACAACATCTGGTCAGTTACATATAAAAAAACAGCTAGATTATTTTAGTACGAACTGGAACTTTCGTTTTTCCAGATTTAGTAGCAAACATCTGCAGAAGGTTTTCTTACATGGCTTAAAAGATTATACAACTTACCGCACACTATAACGGCAAAAAAGACGAAAATCCTTAATATCATGATGTTGGATAAATAATAGGATACCAAGAAGATCTAAGGTAAAATTTAGATCCGAGCTTAGCTGAAAAATCGTTCAACGAAGGAATTTGAAATTGCTCTTAGAATCTAGCAAATACGTCTACGTGCAATGTTGCCGGCAACTGTTGTTACAGAAAGGCAAATGAACTTTGCGATAATTTAGCCGACCATGACAGACAAGATTAAGTTGGATGAATTCGAATCCACCAAAGGTAAGTAAGAATTCCCTGAGGGTTAATTTAACGACTTGTGTGTGTTAAAATCCTTGGATTATAACCAGGATAGATCACAAGCATTCTACGTTAAAAAGCCTTAGCAATTTGGTAATTATTAACCTTTACACCAAAGTAAAGAAGCTTCGTTATAGAATATCACTGATGTGCAAGCTTATGAAAAGAAGTTCTCTCGATGTAAAAGACTTCCTATGATGTGGAATCACTTGATTTGTGTGGTGGTTCATCATAAGGCTTCCGGCAAAATTGAAAGGTCGATCACCGAAGAGAACGTTTTAAAAATGATCACTTGGCCTTAAGCGGTTCACAGATATACAAAACATAAAGTGAAACTAAATTCTATTATTCTCCAGTTTTTACTTACATTGCAAGGTTAATTGATTGTAATGCAATGCAGACTGAATGAATTCTCGCTTTGAAAATGTAAGAGTAAATCCAAAAGGTAATGTTTTCACCGTTAACTGTGCGCTGCTATAACATACAGATACTACAGTAGAAGTATTAGAACTTGAGAAAATATCAAAAATTCTGAACAGTCGGTGTTCGTCGAATTCACTGTGCACGCGGCACAATAATAACATTTTAGTGTGTAGTTTTGTCTTACGTTATGTAATTTGACGGAATCAGAATTTAAATAGACGTAATGACACAGTATATAAAAACTTGCAGACATGTGGTTTTTGAATGCAGCGCTGCATTCAAAAACCACACGTCTGCAGACGTGTGGAGTCACTTACACGCTGAGTATTTCGTCCTTTCTAAATTTACGGTACTTTTATAACCGTGATCAGGTATGCAGTTAAATGCCGGGCATAGCCATAGGTACATAATACGGTACTGCGGTAAAATCAAACTGATTTCGTGACAGCTACAAACACATTGAATCACGAGTAGCTGAGAACAGAAAAAAAGAATACAATTTGCTCCTACCAGTTTCTAACGTTTTTATTTTGAGCGGCACTATGTAGTTGCAGTCATTCGAAAGACAGATTCGTAATACATCGATCGCTCATGAAATGTATGCAAGAAAAATATATAAAGAACATTCGCATAGACGGCGATAACAAAATTAAGGGCCACGATAGAGTCAGCCCTCATTATTCGCTCAAGTCCATGTCCACCATATAATATAACATTTTACATTTTTGGTTTCGAGTATTTTGAAATTTTACAATTCGGTTTTTGGTTTGGATTTGTGCAGCTTTCCCAGTTCTTCGAACAGGAAATGCCTCACCATGTGTTCTTCAAATAATTCCCCAGGATAATTAATCATATTGTCCTTGTTATCCTTTGGAATAAGAGCTATACTAGGATATGTCGACAAAGAAATGTCCGAAGGCAGATCATTGTTCGAGGCATCAATCTGCGCGAAGATGACATCCCGCCGCCGAAATTCCGGATCTTTAGCCAACGCCCGTAATGATTGCTCGGCTGTCCACCAGTTTCTGGACAACGGATGGTAAAAGAGCACTAAGGCGTGTGAATCGCTATGAAGGATTTTCGAGTTAAACGTATCGGAGGATAATTCTAGCACATTCGGGTCATCTTGCTGCTTTGACTTGCTTCTGAAAAACGGCTTGACTTCTCCTGCAATTGATGAAACCGTGTCATACACGTTTAAATAAAATATATTTACGAATATTTTAAAGAAACGTAGGTTGCCCTTGTACTGGTTACCGGCTTTGTATTGATTCACAAATTCGCTGATCATTTTCGAGCTCATGTGCGCAGTGTCCCATCGTGGATAATATTCACCGTCTTTGCCAAGGATTCCCACATGAATGTCGTATTTAGGATCGAGATTAAAACCGAAACGTTCCATTTCTTGAGTAAAATTATCAGAGTTGCAGATGGCGAATAAAGTATCCTTATGGTCTTTTGCGGCGTGGGCAACCTTATCACGGTAATACTCGGTATCTGCGTAATATGGAAACTAATTATTTTTGATAGCGCATCTGTAACAATTCCGGGCTGCAAAATTACGTTTAAAAAAAACAGTAAGCGGGGCATAAATCCTTGTAATACATGTAACCCAAGTAATTAAATACAGTCTGAATCCAGCGAAATTGTATTTGTCCAATATTTACGCTCTGCGGCGCACAGAATCTACTGCAGCTACTGTAGGTTGCACAATTTGCAGTATACGGTAATTATACATACCTTTTTTTCCGGTTTTACTCCAGTCAATTTTTGCATAAGCAACCACAAGCGGACGCAGAGAATACAGACTTTTAGCATTTTCAAATGTTCTTTCTCCCGCTAACGGAGTTGTCTTCCAGCGAACGAAATCTTTTATCATTTCGTAACTTGCGTCTTCCTGAATGAAAAAAATTAAATTTTCTAGTCGAAAGGGAAAAGGCGTCAGAAAAGAAAGAATTTCAACATATACATTATGACATAACTAATTGTAAGTTAACCCACTTGATGCAGAACCGCTTTTTTCTCGTCGTCGGGTGTGCGCCAACGCTTCGGTAAAATAACCGCCAGTGTCCAGCCCGGAGCTTGCACCGGTTCGTCCGTACTGCCTTTTTGGCTCACCATAGGTGTTGGCATCAAAATAAAATTATGCTCATCCCGGTAGTCTTGAGCTGAAACATTAAAATACCGTTTTTATCGAACGAGAATAAATCAGCAACAAAATTATTTCTTATATTATTCTCTAGTTGTAGCATACCGACATCTACAAAATCTTGAAATTTCGAAAGCGTTTTGGATGCAAAAAATCCAACAACCGTCGCACGTTCACCATGTTCCTTGAGAAATTTCTCCAGATCGTCCGGATGCGACATTTCAGTGTAGGGTTCCCGTGCATGCCAGGTTAAATATTGAGTAATCCCTAAAAAGCAAAAAGTTTAATTAACTGTGCAGTTATCACACGAACCGGCAACAAAAACTGAAACTCATTCAAAAGAAGTTAATTGTTCCTACGTACCTTCAGGGTTGACTTTTGGTCCACGATAATCGAATACTTTCCCTTTCCTGAACATTTTCAAAGCTGGAAGTTTGGTAATACCAAATCGTTGCAATGTGTCTGGCTTATCCGTGGCATCGAATTTGTAATACCCAAATCTTTTGTCTTTTTTTATTTTATGAATGCCCAGCTCGAAACTGTACAGCAAACGTTCACCTGCCGAAGATCTGAAAATGAATGAATTGTAATTAACACCTTATTGTACAATGTATAAATCTAATTTCTTCCTAAATCTGAGTGAATTTTGTAGTAAACATTGCCGTCTGATGCAGCAAGGAAAGGTACCCAAACAAATAATTTTCTAATTTCTTGGAACATCGCTGCTGGCATATTTCTACTACTTGGGCGTCATAATCCATACTTACCCCGGCAAATAGAATATGACAAGAGAGAATTCCTTATGATTCGTGACCTTGTCGAAGTCCGGTTTGGAAAGGTTTTTGATAGGTATTTCGCCGTATGGTAACTGCGGCACTTCAAAATTCTTTTGTGAAAGCTTCTTAACCATAGCCGCTAAGGCTTTTGCATTGGGAAACTCATCCACATTGTAAGCGGCACCGCGGAAATACAGGATAAACTGCAGTTCGGGTGGCTGTACTTCCACAGCTCGAGCGGCGACCGGTTCCGCAGCCATATCGAGTTTGGCCAACATTGCGTCCTCGGTATTTGCAAGGACAAGTTTTGCCACGGTTTCAAAATTCTTGATTTTTGCCTGATATTTCGGATCCCTGTAAGTTTACGGTGGTAAGAGGTTATAATTACCATCGGTAATTTACCGGCAATTCAAAATTAATTTGTCCAACATAATCACTAGTAAATAAGAAATGCGTAAATTAATTAATATTTACTGTTTACACTTTTACAGTACTTCACTTGATTACTTTTCTACTATGCATAATATTTTACAACTGACATAATTATTTAACATTGATGAGAAAGGTATAGTGAAACCCGGCTTAATATTTTAGGTTTATTGAGAAGCTGAGATCTATGCTCAATTTGTGCTCTTACCATGGAACATAGCACATAATCAGTAGTATATCGTTCCTCGAGACCTCTTTTGCCAGAGTGTCGCCGGTTATAAGAGGCACGCCATTGTCCATCGAGGCCACGGCAACATTTGGACTCATAAGATCCAACTTGGTATAATCAACGTTATCAAAACGAGCGTTTTGGCACCCTGTAGAAATTTGCGGGTATGTAAATGAACAGAAGAAATTCTATAACAGTGAGATTCAAAATGTGATGAAATTCGATAACTGAGGATTTGGTTTACTTACCATGTTTTTCTGCCAGTGTCAGTATTGTAAAACAAATTGACACAACTTGTTTTAATCCCATTTCGTAGCAATTTAAAATTTTTATCTATGAATTTGAGATAGATATTGTACAGTAATTAAAGCGTACAAACAGTCTGAAAAGTCACCATACGGACGTCAACGCCAAACAGCTTTCACTTTCGGATTTCCGGTCATAGACATCTTTCACGGCGTAAACCGCCCAGAGCCATGCCGGTACTAACAGTTCAAGATCAACGCTCGCCAACCTGTATGTTTTGCTCCAACTCCTTAACGACAATTTTACTAGGCCTTGCGGAAATCTTTTGACATCCCATGAGAAAGCAGTGCGAATGAAATTCGTCAATTTCTGAGCATTATAAAAGTCTGACTGGTACTACAAGCACTGTATTGTAGTAGAAGTGTACTACTACTTGCAGTCTGCACTATTATTTCTGCATAAAGACTGACCATGTATTAAATTATTATTTTTCGACAGCCTCTGTAGCATTATTTTGATTAAACTGTACTTACATAAATACTCGTACTGTAATTACTTATGGGCATTACCGCAAGAGCGTGCGTACTTATGGTAACGGAAGCACATTGATTAAACTTATTGCGATGGTGAGCATTCTTGTGAAGTTGTGCAGGTTCTGTTAATTTTAATCACAAAATGTTGGTCACAACAAACAGATTTAAAAAGAAGATCTGAAACAAATATATTGGTAAAATCCAATCATGCAAAGCAGAGGATCCCAAAAAATGTTTTGCATGGCTTTTCCTCGAATACTCACACAAAGAAACAAAATTATAACACAACTTTAGCCATCTAGAGTTCTGTTCGAACTTTGTGCTTATGAGCATTATTTTCAATAAATTCTTTCATTTTTTCTTTGGTGAAGATTCTTGTAGGATAGGGAACGGGGGGAAGGCTTTTATCATAGGAGACGAAATACATCATTGGATACGTGGTATTCGTCGTAAAGCGAGCCGGTGCATCGTTCCCATAGGTGTCCATGGTGGCAAACACCACATGCGGATACTCCTTCTCTTCAGCAATATCGTGGAATGTGTTCATGGCTTTCTTGCAGGCTGGACAACTGGGACGGTGCATCAGGAGCAGAACTTCCTTGTCGTGCCGCAGTACCAGTTTACGGAACGTGGCACCGACAATCACTTTGACCGCGTAGTCATCGCTGTCATCATGTGTGGGTGGAGACTGGGTGCGGTGGAAGGGTTTCAGTTTATCTAAAATGTCAAAATAACTACTGTATATCCTCAAAAGAACCTATAACTTTAATTAAAATCCCAATATTTTTATAAAGCTTAATTGCCGTAATTGTTGGCACATTTAGTTCCACTCTGCTTGTCCTTACTTTTTTGATAATTGCTGGCAAAATCGGTTAAGAGTTTCAAATTCATGATGTCCACCACCGGTCCAGCATAGTATTCACCATTCTTTCCAATTAACCCAAGCAGCACATCCTCTTTGTGCTGCTCCAGATTCATTCGCACAAGTTCATGCTTAAATTCATTTCTGTCAGAAATGCAGAATGTAAATTCGGGAAAGCCATGCACCATCTGAGAGATTTTGTCACGGTGGTACTGCGTATCTGAAAACACAATAATTCGCAGCCTTTTACCGGTATTGACCCAGGCATACATAACATGTACAGTACCAGTAATCGTAAGAATAAAGTACTCGTACATGGTGCATTTAACGTGTGATAGACCTGCTCACAAATGTACGATAGTACAACAGTTTTGAAATAAAACAATTAGAATTCAAAATTTGATATTTCGTACGCAAGACAGGATAATGTCACAGTGACGGTCACACACCAATGGAAACCACATCGATACATCGCGCTTACCATGTTCCCGTGCTTTACTCCAGTCCACGTTCATGTAACCAATAAGGAGCGGGCGATCGTTATACAGAGTGTCCTTGTTGCGCATCGTACGCTGTCCGACCAATGGTCGGCTTTTCTTCTTAATGAAATCCACAAGGTGTTCAAAGTATGGTTTCTGAAACGGAAGAGCGTTGTAGTCAAAACTTTTATGAAAGAAATCGTTCACAACACGATAAACCTCGTTGAAAATGTATTTTTCTTGTCGGCAGGAGAAACGTGGCGAAGTGGAGGGTATACGCTGATCTGCCAGTCTCCGGTCGGCGCTTTTGATTTGACGAACGCAAAATTCAGCTGATCGCGCAAATAATTAGCTGTTCGAAAAAGAAATCTTTAACTTTGAGAATCTTTAGTGTGAAATCACTCTATAAAATTAGGATTAGTCAGCAAAACCGGCCACATTACTGCACGGCAATAATGTTACCGCATATTCGGCTAAAAAAATTATTATGGGCTTTTGTGGCATATAGAAAACGTCTTCCTTATTTACCAACGTCCAAAAAGACTTCCATATTTTCATGCTTGTCGGTATCAAAGACACCGAGGACCGCGCCTTTATTGGGATAACTACGGATCCATCCTTCCGCTTCTTCGATGGATTTTAATTGCTTATACGGCGGTTGCATTTGGCGATTGATGTATTGCAATATGGCTAATATAACAACGAAGCAAAATCAATACCGCAGAAGCAAATGTTGCGTAAAAATATTTCGTCTTATATACTACACCTACCGGGATACAGCTTTTCGCGGGAATTGAAACCGAACACTTTGCCTTTCCGGAACACTTTCAGCGTGGGAACATCAGTGATTTCATATTCTGACGTCAAACTGGGAGCATCATCCAAATTCGTCTTGAAAAATCGGATTTTATCGGTAACTTTGTCAGTTAGATTGACTACAGCGGTTTCGTATTCCAGCAAAAGACGCACACAAGATGGACAGCTGCAACCAACATACAGTGTACCGGTACTTGGGTAAATTCATCGACTACTTGATTATTGTTTAAAAGGCTTAATGAATATACGAGATATGTCGGTCGGTATTTCAATATAACACTTTAACTTATAGTAGCATGCCAAACAAAAGGATGCTGGATAAAGACAACCTTTAAAAAATTAAAAAGATGTTCCCGAAATTTTTCACTTTGTTGAAAATGTACTTACTTTGCTCTATAGAAAGCCACAACAGCAAAATCCAGACCTTTAATCGTCTGCTGGAATTCGTGTTGGGTCAGCTCGGGCACAAGTTCCGGATGCGGCCGTGGTGGAAACCAAATGTGGCCAGCGTGCAAACGAAGACTCTCCAACAGAGCCGAATAGCTTTTAAAGTCCTCATAATTGTACGGTTTTCCTTGATGGAAGAACAAGAACTGCGGCTCATCGCCACGGATATCTAATTGTTCGGCGATTTCCGGATGAAGCGACACATCCAATTTGCCCATCAACACTGACGGAAGTTCATCGTTGACTTTTTTCGTAACCTTTTCGTATTCCGGCAGCATGCTTCGGTATTGCGCGTTCCTAAATTATTAACACTTTTTGACTTTTTGTAAAGAATGTGCGATATAAACACGACTGAAAGACCCTAAAAATTAGAGTTATGTGGTGGACGCTTGATTTTTCTCACCATGGCACATGGAACAGAACCAAACCGGTTTCGTGTCCTTGTATCAAATGGTGGAAGTTATCTTCTGTCATTACGTAAACCTCATTGTCCAACTTGATGTCCATCTTGGGATAGCTATCCTGACCCACATTATCCGATTTGCTATGAACTATAAAAAAATAAAATAAAACACCACAAATACAAGGAAGCACCATGTGGAAGTACCTAAAAATGGAAAAACCAGGAGATATAGAAGCCATCGTCCGAAATTAAAGGGAAGAGTCGGCTCCATTTTCTCGGCACAATTTATTTATCCCGGTTTATCTCAAGCCCCGTCGTGCCACTTCCTAACATGCGATAATTGTAAGTTTACCATGCATGCTACCGCACCAAATAAGTAGCTAAGGGCAAAAAGGTCGCATCTTCAACTTCGAGATTCGGCTCGAGCTGCGGTGCCTTTAGGGTACAAACACGATGATACTGCACCATGGCAAGTCATACGAAAACTACTTACTCAAAGAGATTGCCTACACCGAAGCACAGCCAAAGAACAACCTTTAATTCACAACACTTGTAACTGTTGCTGATTATATAATGTACGAGCACTTCTATCCAACCTGTTGAATGTATGCTTATCAAAATCAGTTCTAACTCATTCTAAGCACAAATGGAATAATTAACGGCTTTAAAATTTCTTTCGCAAAAAATTTAATGATGCAATTAATCTGATCATTGTAAGTGTAACTTCATACTACAATATCATTGTCATTCGATCCATCATTGCCAGTACAAAATACCACGCAGAGAAAAATCACCGCATTTCGGCATTTGCCTGTTGTTTTTAATACGTAATTTTCAACAGAATTGGGGAACGTAAAGAACTGCGTCAAATATTTTGCTTAAAGTGATTCATTCGCAGCATTAACAGTTTAGGTACACATGAGATTTCTGAACTTAAAATTTAAACAATGTGCAAAAACAGCTCAAACAAAGTGCAATAAAACCGCGCAAAACGAGCATACTGTACGGAGTAATACTGTTATAAAAACTTCTTATAAAGAATATGGAAGATATCCATATCACAGCAAAATGTAAGGACACATATGATAAGGAATTCAGGAAAGCCTGTCGCACGTTCCTTTATACCGCCGATATTCCAGTGCACACACGAACTGCTTTTGTCTGCTTCCTTTCAGACTCGAAAAATACCACGTAGGAATATAGCAGGCTGGCAACCACGCTACAAATGAGAATCAGTTTGTGCGCGGTTCAGTAAATGTTTCAAGAACACGGGTACAGAAAGGTCTAACGCACAAAAAATTTTACCTGATATTCAATCCCAGAAAATTCCAAACATCAAAAATGTAATCTCCTCCAACATACATCCCAAAGTATACTGTCAAAATGTTCTAAATAACAAAAACAAGAATATTTACAGGATGCTTACTAAAGTAATATTTAAGCCAAGCGCTGCAAACAAGACCGGCAACTGAAAGAACTTCAAGATTTTGATTTTTGCTAAAAAAAAACCCGCACTTGAAACCTGCCTTTAAAGCGCCAATTACTGTCGTTGTCAGAGCCGAATTATAATGGGTACACAATACGACTGAATAATTGATCACGAATCCCATAATGCAGGATATGCCAAAACGCAGAAAAAATCCCCAGTCTGTCCATTTCGCAAATTCCATTGCCTAAAAATGCTAAAATATTACCCACAATAATATCAAATTCTGAAAGCTTTTTAACTATTGAAAGCTTTTTTGGTACGACTTTAAAATTACTAATCCATAAAAGTATAGCAGAACGCAGTCCATACGGAGCTACGCGTAGGCTTTGTACCAAATTTTTCTGCTCTGACCTTAGACAGCTGGCCTGTCCCAGAAGTATACACTAGCGACGGGATCAACATGAGCGCGGAACTGTATAACATCAATCCATATTCCCCTAGTTCCTGCAAAGAAGCGTACTCAGTCTTTTCTTCGTTCGTTCTTTTTCACATAAACTGCAACGTTGTACCTTTGAATTGAGAATTTTCTTAATGCATATGGCATTAGCAGCCGTGAAAACATCGTTCATGAGGACGAAGAAATATCCCGTATAAGTGAACGACAAGTCATGCCTACATAAAATTTAATAAAACAATTAAGTAACAAATAGCAAAACTACCTAAACGATATCTGTTTTTAATGTGAAAACAGGCTAGCTTTGTCGCTTTAGTATTAAATTCCATATACAGTATGTATTAACAATACTTACGCAGCCGCCACAACGCTTCCCAGAATCATACCGTACACGGCAATCTGGACTGACCGCGATGGAATAACGCTAAAAAGAGAAAAATCAGTGCCAGTGCGCCACACCGAATGGATAATGGATAAGAAAAACTACCTATTCGAAAACTAAAGTATCCTCACCGCAGAAACCAGTATTCGGCAAACATCGTGAACAGGATGGAAAACCTTCGCAGCACTGTGAACATTGGCAGGCTGGGAAACAGCAACCAAATCGAAATATCAATATAACTACATAGAATAACTACACAGCCTCTAATACAAAATCGCAATACTCACCTGATCATTTTTGTGCCGCCAAGTCCAAAAAACAAATTACCGGCAAAAATTAACGACAGTGGAGCAACCTAAAATGTTCAACGGTAACGACAAAACTCCATGAAATCACCTCGAAGCACTGCTGTAAGCTGTTACCTTTCGAAAAACATGTGGGCTCGGGTTGGGAAAAAGCGCTGGTATAAAAGCTTTTGTAGTGCTTAAAACCACCACCGTGGTAACCATCTAAAAATAGTAATTTCGGTCAACTGCATACGAAGTAATCTGGTATGGCAGCAGCTGGCACATTGTTCCGCATAAAATACTGTAAATGAAGATACTTATAATGAAATCCTCAAGAGTCCCAAATCGTACCGTCAAAAACGATGTTCTTTGGTTAATAAAAACGTTATACACAATATAAATCAAACTGTCTCACATCAAAGAGAGAGAGAGGAAATAAATTGCTGCATATTACGTTACATAACTTAATTCAACTATTTACTGACTATTACTGATTTACAGACTATTACTACAGTCACCTGCGCAAATCCAAGCACTTCATACGATGGAAACCTGCTCAAGGCAACAAACCAAACAATTTATGAGCGTTTTCCTAAAAAACCATTCATCGAAATTTGCAACAGCGTACACATACCCATACGACGTCAAGACGCTCTTATTGATCGTCATAAGCAGGAGAGAGCAGACAGCATACAATAATGCCGAACCGATTTTCCGCATCCAGTCGTGAAAGTGCATTTTCTCCAGGGATTCCATTGTGCCGTGATGTCCCAAAGCACAGCTTCCCGCCTGCTTGCCACATCAGCCGAGGCGCCAAAAGCATATCCTTCAAGTTATCACAATCCAAAGCATCGTCTAAACCAGGGCACTCATAAATAACTGCGCTGTCTAGACCCGCACGGATCCCAAGTTTTCAACGACTAAAACACACTGTTTTGAAAACAGTGCGGCAGTTCGAAGACGCAACATCTTCGGGAAAAACGAACCTGGAACTAAACCAGGAACGTACAATAACAGACTAAGAACAGCCTTCTCTTACCTCGAAACTGTTTTTAGCCAAAGGCCAAATGATACGTATACATATCGGAACTCCAACTGCCTTTTACCAAGTACAAAGTAACAAAGACAGTGGTGAGCTACTCTAAAGTGAAGTACTTCGAAGCACTTATGTTCATGGTAAGTCTCTGATAAGGATTTTTCACGAACGACAACCAAAGATCACTCTCTTTGAGTCAAACCGGAGATATGCAGGAATAAACGCATATGCAAACTTAATGCATAAATTCTTGAGCTTTTCCACGAATTCAACAGAAAAAACAAATGTAACAAACAAAGGCAGAAAAAAAGCCCATATTATTAAACGACGAGCAGACGGGCAGTACTCACCAGTCCGTCAGTCCAAAAATTTATGAATGAACGTACACATGCGTAGACGCAATTGTAGCCTGCCCCCGTCTGGCTGCCGACCGGAAACGTAGGCGGAAACCAATTCTTTCGAAATAGCCAAAACTGTGCCAGTGCACCGACCATATGCATGGCTTTGCGGCCCTTGTTTTTGTGAGTTGTGCATTATTTTGAGATTTCTTTTTATGATTTATGCAATGGTTCCCGAGTTTTTCCAGGTTCCTATTCTAAGCAGGGCGCAATCCGAGGGAAACCGAGAAACGGCTGAAAAAGGCGCCGATGGGGGAATCGAACCCCGGCTACGTCGTTAGATCCGCGTAGGCAGTACCGCTGCACCACGGCGCAATACGTTGAAATCCTTTGAAAGACTTTATCGCTGTACGTGAGCCGCTTCTCCGCTCACACTATGCAGCGTGACAGTTAAGCTGTAAATCAACAGTCAAAATTTTTATGCAACTTGTCTCGCTGCATTTTTCCACTAATTGTAGCACTCTATGTTCTGAGTTGTTTAAGGTTTTCGCTTTTCCGTCGTATCACTTGCGCGTGAGAAGAAAACACTGCACTTCCCATTCATTTCCTTTCGCGTTTTAGCGAGCTGCGCTGGGGACCATATTTTTGGACAACTACATGTATAACGGAAAAACGTGAACGGCTGTAGCCTGTAGAAGGGCTATTCACCCTCCCAAATGGATGTCTTGCGATTATCAGAAGATCATCATGAGTGGCTAAAAGAACTATGTACACATGTGGAGAACGATTTTGTTCAACTCGTTGAAGATGTGGCTGGCAGTTTGCTGGATGCCAATTATAAAACGAACATCAATATGGAGGCATCTCCCACTTTGAAACGAGGCACTGCGGCCTTAGGAGCACTGTTGGTGGAAGCTAGCAAACGGGATTCTGCTCCGGACGCCGTAGCGTAAGTTAAAGTGTTTCATTGCATATTTTATTAAGACTGCGTTTCAATGTATTTTCTTCTGACTGGCAAATTATTGGATAAATGCAAATTACATTTTATAGATTTCAACAGTCTTACGCGCAATGAACTGATTAAGTTTCAGCTTTCTAAACTTTCTTCGTTTGCAGACTGTATCTGCAAGCCATTGACATTCCGGAAAAACACTGCGCAGATATTGTTGAATCGTATCGAAAAAGAAAAATGGAACTGCGTCGCACTGGTTCATCAGTTGGATTCTCGTTTCCCCAGATTGTTGATGTTAATTGGCGGTTGGATTATGCCGTGACGGTATGTCATTTATCTGCAAAATGTTTTACTCATCTACATAGCTGTTTTTTGGTTGTTGATGGGTTGGTTTATTTTTGGTCGCATTGTTTTCGTTTTATGTGAAAATGTTATCAGGCTACGGTAGATCCACAATCAGTCTCAAGTTCAAGGCTTGCATTTTTTGGCTCATAATTTTTAAATTTTTTTTTCAAGATATGTTGATTGTCAATTTACGTTTCCGCAACTGCAAAAGCCTCCTGTGCTGGTTTGTTGACGATTGGTACTTTTTATTCTTATCCTTTTTGTGGATAACGTTTGCAGAGCAAAAATATGTCACGGACTGCAGAGCCAGGTTACAAAGTTTATTTCGAAACTATGTCAAAAGAACACGGATTGGATAGCATCAGTTTTGCCGCATCCGTGGAAGATTTACATGTATGTACATACATCCACAAGAATTTTGTGACAAGATGAATGGGATGTGTTGATGTTAAAGTTGGTGATCATCGGCGATAGAGCAGATTCGTGAAATATAAGGTTTGGATTGCTGTTCGTTTTCAGGAAATTGTTTGGAAACTGCGAGAAGCTGTAAAATCTGTGGAAAAACATGCCGGGGGATCCTAAGAGTTTGTGTTTTGCACTTGATCGCGACCTTTTCTTGTGATTTAATGTGACTTACTAATTAATAAGAGTAGATTATTCTGTTCCTTTTAGACTGACACAATCTTACAATTACCTATAACGGCATTTGACGCTGATTTTCTAAAGCAAGCGTACATTTTCAGTTTTGCCCGCTGTCGTATTCTTAACCAAAACAAATGTTTTATCGTATTCAGTCCACGGTAGTGTGCTTTCTGAAATTTAACCTGATTTGAAGAAATCTTCAAATTTATCTTTTTGCTACTGCTTGTTTGTTTTGAAAAAAACAGTGGAGTATCCTCCATTCCATGTATATCTGTAGACTCTTGAATTACGTTTTGCTCAGTCCTAACCACTGCTTGTGATTCTTTCCAATTGATGAAAAAGACTGTAGTCTGCTTTATTACATCATCTGAAATTTACTACATTATGTGATTAAACATTTATGAATCGTTTATTGAAACGGATTCTCACACAAAAGCCCAAGGAGGTTCATACAGCACAACAAAAACTCAAATGAAATGAGAATATACGTACTACTAAACGCCAAACTAGAGATCCACATTAGAGAATAGGAAAGGTTCAATCACAAATATATAAGCGAAAACAATCATTTTGCACGGCACACAAACCATAACTCGAAAGTCTCACCCAACAAAAATCGCCCAGAATATCTCGTAAATACATGTACAATACATGTTATATATATTATATCATATATATATAATCAAACATTAAAAAAGCGCATACAGCAACGCTTGAAACGGCACATTGCACATTATTCAGGTAAACCGAAAACGAACAGAACACTCAAAAATCAAAAACGAACCCCCCCCTCGGCACCATTAAACTCGTAACGAATAAATATAAACCAAACGGAATCATTTTTGGACCTTAATAAAGTCTCCTCGGAAAATGTCCACTGTCGAAGAATTCCGAGTGTTTGATAAAATCTGAGCCAAGACTTCCGGGGGCATCTAAAAGACAAAAGGAAAAAATAAACATTTTACTGGGGTCGGTCGCTGGATCAAAAAATAAACAATACAGTCGCTGGATCACCAGAAATTTCACAGTGCTATTCTGATTTCTTGGAGAGTAAGGTATCAAGTATTGCGACATATTATACTCAAAATTCTTAGTTCGGAACTTCGGACTGTTCGGTTTAAGACATACATGCACGAAAACTAGCGTTGGTGTTATTGTTGACGATGAGTTATTTTTAAAGAGCTTATGATTTTGGATAGTCATGCTTTTTCCTAACTTTTTTAGTGTACAGCAGCGGTAATTAGTCAAACAATAGACTTGTTTTGTTAGCATGCAGCCCCGCTTCGGTGATAAGAAACCTGAAACTGTTTTGGAAGAAAAATTGAAATGTAGAACATGGTCGAAACTTCCGGATAAGGTATCACATACCTGAACAAATGTGCAGTCCGATTTTTGTTCGATAAATGGAAAACCAGGTGAAGAGCTGCTAGAATGCCGGCTGTTACTGGAAACGCTGGATCCATTTCGCTGTGAAGTTTCTTCGGGTCGCAGCGGTTCACTGGCGGGTTTGGGTTTAATTAAGCGAGGCGTGCTTGGACCCCACGACTTCATTTTGCGTGGACGTCCATTTGTTAATGGCCGCTCTTTTGGTATTACTGGCGATTTGTATTTACCAGCCACCGCGTCATAAATCTTTGGCACAAACTGCTCGGTGTGCGCTGCCGGGCTGACAGTCATGTTCTCCGGGAAAAGAAATGGCGGCACCAACGAAGCGGCTTCAGAAGGCGTTCTGGCAACCAGTTGAGCTAGCTGAGCAACAGATGTTTGAAGGGACGGGAACGGAACAGGCTGCAAAGATGTATGCCTTAATGGGGTAACAAATAAAGTACAACAAGAAACAATAACACGTATAAAATTTTAAAAACATCAAGTTTCAATACACTGAGGCAAAAAAGCCATCGCTATCATCATGCTGTATATAAGTATATTATATCAACTTACCTGCGCCATACTGGCTGTACTGACAGCCAACTCTAAACTTCCATTTAATAGGTGGTCGAGTGAACCATTCTGAGTTGGACACTCCTCGTCCGGATTTTTGGCATAAGTGTGATCCCCGTCGCCATTTGTGAAAACAGCCGCAAGGCCGTTGTCACCAGTCTGTAATTGCCCTTTACACTTCCTTTTCCTGGGTCGTGCTTCACCTTTTGCTTTCCGCGGCTTCTTCACCTCAATACGAATGGCTCTTCCCGCTCTATTCCGGTCAAGGATAACGCTATCCGTCTGAGTACCATCGATCTGTATACCATTCCCCCCAATTTCTCCGGCGTCCAGGGAATCGGCGGCCGACCTGATACGCTGCAACAGGAGAATGCTGTCGGCTGTGTTCTTGCCGGTCAAAATCTGCAAACGCGATAGCAAAAGCGCTTGCTCATCCGCGGAAAATTCCGAATTCAAGGAAAGTGTGTAGGCAATTGGTGACGACATGTCCACATCAACATTCTTCTTGGAGCGCTTCCGCTTCAGTTTACCGCTAACAAGCGGAATCACGCCTTCGGGATTGGCTTTCTTTCTTTTCATTTTTTTCGTGAAGAACTCGTATGTTCCGTTAATGCGGTAGAACGCCTCAACCGACACATGCGGCATTTCCGGGAGTAACTGTTTTAACTGAGCAAAGCTTTTATCATCACCGAGAGTCTTGGGACCCGCTAAAGTCTTTATGGCAGCCACAGGAAATTCCTCCAAAGACGCTTCATCAGTAGGTGTAGAAACCTGTTTAGGCTTATTACATCGATTTCTTTTTGCGGATAATATTCCGTGAAGTTTTTCCGCTTTTTTCTTTATGCGAACTGGAGACGATGATACTTGTGGTTCGTTCGGAGGAGAATCGGCGCTTATTGCTATCGCGGAATCCGTTGGTGGCCTATCCGACGCAGTTACTGGCGCCGGTTGATCAACGGGACTCTCCACCGGTGACGGCAGAGAAGGCTCCGTTTCGGCAGGTTTCGCGCGCGAAACGGCTACTGGAGGATTCCATGGCTTCTTTCGCATAATGCGAATAATGGCGGCTTCCTGGCTGATCTGATCAGGATAGGTCATGACATCGAGAAAAATAAACCCGATTTTGAGATACTTCTCCTGAAATAAAACAACCCTGTCAGAATATACAATAATAAGCAGTATGTGCACGACTGATAGGTAAATGCAGTTTCATAACACGTTTTTTATCGTTTTCAACAAACAGATTGAACCCGGTTCTAACACGTACTAAAGTACTCACTGCTTTCTGTCCATAAAAACGGTAGATGTCGGATATCCTAAGATCCGGATTCAGTATTATCTGGGAATGAATAAGGAAAACCTAAAAAAATCCAAAGTGTTACTTACACAAATGATTGTGAATTAAGCGCATTCTGACCAATCCGGGCTTACAAATGAAGGATCAAGGCGGTACGTCTGAGATATAAGGAGCCGAACGTCGCTAACGTAAGTAGCAGTCGCAACATGGTAAAAAATTGGTTTCTTTTTGGCCTACAAACGTGTAGCATGCAATCATGATTCAGGAGTACGCGAATCAAAGCCATGATTACTACTCGCAGTGCCAGCGGGATACGTACCACATCCCCTTTTTCCTTTAGCTCTGCAGTCAAATCGGCGAAATCTCTATAAAACAACAAGAATTAACCGATTACAGATTAAGGTCAACCGCAATAAAAAGGTACACAAAGGTTAAATTACCCAAACGCGGCGTCATATACCAGTTTCATGAGAGCTGCGCCCGGTACCTCATGCGGCAAACAGTGAAGCAACTCGGGAGTACCCATATCCTCATTTGTTGCTGACTTGCCCATGGTCTCGAAGAAGGACACTAAAACAACACAATCTGACAAAAGCCTCACAAACTAAGTGTGTTTGATAGTTGAAACACGTCCGGGAAAATTTATTGGTGAACATGATCTGTTAACCTTATTTTTACGATTATCAGAATATGATCATAATTCACGGAAGAAAAAAGAATTTGTCTAGCAAAGTTCATGGCTGAACACCAGACTTTTGCTGTTGAGATAGTAAAGCAAAGCACGAAAATGTGCATCCCGTACAAGACACCAAGACGTACTTTCGTGTGAATTCCTGTGCCAGAAAACCTTCCGACGAGCCATCTCATCTAAGGGAGAACAGAAGTTAAGCATTTCCTTAGTACGAGTACCATCGTAAGTATATCTATACTCGTATACAGGTATATCTATAGTTCTATATATTGAATTATTCTATGTAAATCATTGTAACACCTACAGTACGCAGCAAGAAGTACAGTACTTAATAGATGCACTCACCTTCGTAAACCTCCGGAAAAAGCTTGTACAAAAGCGTTTGCAGTGTCCGATCATTTCTGAAGCACAAAAAAATCCAAAGGTAATTATCATCAGTGATTTAAAATGAATTTCTGAGGAGGTAAGGTCAGGGAATTAAAAATTTCAAAGCAAATCTGGTCAACTGACTGGTTTATTGCAAAACTTCTCACAAGTACGGCCTGGGTAACTGGATAACGTACAGCACTTTGTTGTCAGCAAAACAGTTGTTTTATTAATTTAATAGAATCATTAGTCCTTATTGTAAGTATCACAGTAAACAAACGAGTCATGTGAACATTGCGATGTAAAAATAAAGACAAAAAACGACAAATCACCGGCATTTAAGTAACTACCCATATGCCGGTAACAGTAGTATACACGTAATACGTATGTACATAGCTCAACTTGTCGTAGTTTTGCTAGTAACTTAGTAAAAACTAAAAACTAGTATTGTTTGAATTTTCGGAGTACGAAGAGTTACAAGAGTGTTCCCAAGTACGCAATTAGTAAGAACATAAAAAATTACATCAGCACTGAAAAACTTTTCTAAGGTCAGAAAAGTCCTCACTGCACGGTCACGCCATGACATCATACCATAAAGATCGTATAAATCTTATCAGATTGCTTCCGTGTCTGTCGTTAAATGAAAAATTTTACAGCTTTATTTTTATCCATTGTAAGCACTATTATATTATTTTAAATAAATTTATGGTCGATTTCCGTCGGATATTATGCGAGCGACACGCGCTGTGTATCTGAAAGCGGCTTTCAGAAAGCCCACAACGATAATCTCGCTGGAGCCCAGTATGTGATTTTCCATCGGCACAATCATAATAAACAATACATAAAATATGTGTAAAATGCGGTTGCTATTTAATTTTCAGCATGGGAATGGTCATTGGTTTTTATAGCGGCTCGGTACCAACATTTGAAAGACTTACAGGGATAGAAACCGTAGCCGCCACATATTCTGTTTCGCTGTGCTCCTATTGGCTGCTTCTTATATGCTGCTCGGATGCATATAATATACCGCATGGTAAATGACTCAAATAAAAAGTGTACATACTTGATTTTGGAAAAAGGTCTTGTTTTATGAATCTCAGCTCCACAATCCGACCTGGGACATAAAGCAGGCCCTTCCGGGTGCCGAGTAAAATGGTTGACTATACACGACTTGCAAACTATCAAAAACAACCGAATTTTAGAGATGCTTATGTCATCTTACCAACGGCAGATCTAACGTGGAGACTTACAAATATGTGCGCACTCTGGCAGTGCGGTTGCGTCCACCAAGTAACCGGAACATAAGCCACATTTAAAAAGATTGTTGAGGTCGCAAGCAGATCGTCGAAGGATGTTATCCATTTTTCTATGGGCGGTAAAAGAACAACCCACAATACAACCCCGTTTGCCAAGATCCCCAAATGGGACGAAATTCGTACTGACTTCTGAGCGAACAGTTCGTACCTTCACTGCAGTGCATCTATGCTGCTTCTCCAATGCAAGTCTGCAAGCACTGCCATGCAGAATACAGCATGCATGATGGCAGCCGCTGATTGGTCAAAATTGAATTCAGTGTTTCCGTTAGTACCGTAGCAAGCTACAAGTTGGCTAGCACTCCTCCCTCTGTTACTTATGTGCTCAATGCTCATGCAGTCTCTATTGTTATGCTCCAGGATATATCAAAAAAACATTTGGACAGATAAAATTAATGTGAATGAATTATGTATTACTTCGCTCTGCTATACATACATAAAGTTATTACTGTCAAAAAAGTCAGGCATATATTTAAAGTAAAATAATTATTATATATTCGAAAATTATAAAGTGCGTTACTACATTCTTGTAAGTAATACACTTTTAAATGTTCAGTTGACCACTTTATTATTCCAGGTGAGGAGTGACGACTCATGTATCTCACTGCCAACGCTAGATAGGTTACTTCATCAACTTTTTAAATTTGATCAGATTGTTTATTACTGAAATTTACCGTCTGTTAAGTACTAGTACCGCCGCGCCGGTTGCTCGACTACATACACATTACACGAGTAAGCACGCGATCAGCCCCTCGCATCGGCTTCGTGGCACCACTCGACGTCGCTTAAATCCAAGCGCGGTTTGCTACGAAAAAGGAAGGGTGTAGAAATACTAAATACCGACCGACGCTTCAAAACCATCATGGAAGGCCGGATGGCTCGCATGTTCTTGATTTGACGGCAGGATATACATATGCGCAGCAACACTAGGCAGTGAGGCACAGCAATGCAGTGAATGCACAATATCAAATCTGTTTGAACTGCCGATGCAGGCAGTTAACGGCAACGGCTAGGCCACTCATATCACATCGAGCACTGCTTATCCGGTTCCCTGATCCAACCAGAGTGCATCCAGCGGCAGCATGTCTCGCTGCACAGAACAGTAGTTCCGATATTCGATCAGTTTGCAATAATAAATAATCACACGTGATATCACAGTCCGGTTTGTATGGTACTTATTACTGCACGGCGCCGCACACGCTAATAGAGTGCTAGCAGAATCCAGAAATTGCCCTTTTGCTATACCGACTTGTGTCATGTACCATAATGTTATCTATATACAAAGCCACCAACGTAGTACTTATGTTGATTTGCCGATGTGTTGGTGTTGATGTGAAAATCCTAAAGAAACGATAATGCAGAACTGTACATAATAAAATCAAGCATTATACACAATTTTAATATAATTCTGTATTGGCGTTTTCTTCAAGATTTTTATAAATAGAAGCGAATTAAAAGCCGGTTCGGTATTCGCTTTACCAAGCAAGTATTTTATTATAGAAAGTCTAGCTGACTCTAGAAACATATCCTCTTTTTCAACATCGGAAATGAAAAGGGCATAAAACATGTACTACTTACTTTCGGAAACTCTGCAGGCAAAACAGCAGCCATCTTCCGACATCAGCTGCTATTGATCTTTGTACATTGTAAATAAGAACGGTATGACTCTTTAAAAAGGCTCAAATTGTCACTATGAGTCAAGGACATTACGGCTAGTATTTATCTTGTTATAATAAAAGTACAGAAAAAATTTCGGTTTTAAGGCCTTTTCTATCATTTCAACATTTATGGTGCACCCTTTATACTCGTACCTAGGCACCATAAATTTTATCATCCTTAGTCCTTACTATTTATTTCTGTACGATAACTGTAATATTAGAATAAAGCCAAGTACTAGTAACAGATTCCATTAAATTATTATGGAACTGCATCAGTGCTCTGAACTGGTTATCGATATCGAGTTGTGTTAAACTTTGTGGTTTTAGATGATTTTTAATAGCTACTTCTACTGTGGAAAGATGTAAACGGTGTAGTGTATCAGTTAATTACTTGTAAAAGTAATTATCTGTTCATGTGTAGACTATTGCAGTAAAACCTGTGTAATTTGAACACCTGCGGTTCCTTAAAAAGCGTTCAATTTAAGCAACTGTTCAATATTCGCAGTAACATTCGCAGTCTAAAAGACACTGCGGTTCCTAGCCGAGCGTTCAATATTCGCGGTTGTTCAATCTCACAGAGTTTACTGTGCCTTAATTTGAGCATTGCCACTCAACAAAAGTACAGACTGAATTTTTTGCTGCCGCTCTACAATAAAGCTGAGTAACTCATCGTCTCGTATAGCGCTGTTTTTTTTAATCAGAATACGGAAAAAGGCGCAGTGAATTTTACTGGGTACCATTAGGTATGCAAAGTGACCTCCAAATTTTTTGAAATGTCTTGACCACCCCGATTCTACACGGTAAAAAACTATACGTACAGGAGATGTCCAGTGGTGTGCGATGCGTGTCAAAATGCAGGCTTTTGCACTGTTTGTTTTTTGAGCCGCTCACAGGCCGTAGTAAGCAGGTGCTGCACAGGTGCCGTACAGGCCCGTGCTGAATATGCTGACTAACTGCCACTCACTCGGTAAAATAAAAAAATTATCTTACTGCATACAGTTTGTACTTTTCATTGATCCAAATTTTTTTGATCCTTTATTCCCTTATTATAAAATATTCAAATTATTAATATCACTGACAATATTGTCTTGTTACACATTCTTTGTGCCACTTATTACTCTATCGAAACCTGCGTTTCGGCCAAATGGAAGACCTGTCCAAAGCCGCAGTGCCCAACCAGAGGATGTTTATTTTGTTGGTTGCGTGGCAGTACTTGTTTCAGAGTCAGTGTACCCGCCATGGTATTTTCCACTGAATCCAGTCGTGTTTGGCTGTTGCTTTCGCTGCAGAGTGAATGCATATTTTTATTTTTGAACTCCTGGTTCCACCGTTTTGAGGATATTTTTTCGTTTTCGCTTTTCTGGAATAAGTTAACTGCGATATCGCAAACATGGCTATCAGGCGATGGACTGCTTCTGAAAGTCAAGAAGATCTAAACAAGCCCGTTTGTCGCTCTTGTCGTCCTGTGCGAACCTACAAAGACGTTCGCTTGTTGAAGGACATTCGGAAAACTTCAGTTTAGTCCGCTGTCTGCGCTGCAACCATCCCTTCATGCCAGGAAACCCCCTTTCAACGCACAGTCCGACGATAATCGTCTGTATCCGGCCAGCCTCTTTGGTATCGCAGAAGATGAAAGAAACGATGAAGTTACCCTAACCCAGCCTGCCATGCAGAAGGTAAACGAATAAAATCGATTTCTTATGTTGCGCTTCCTGTAGTGGCTATAGATTTCGGGCGTTGTACTACAGGGAAATCTGCGATATCGCATGTTTTAATTGAGCAGCTATTTTTGCTAATTGCATTATACTGATTTTGCATTGGAGTTCGCGTTAAGGTTTGTTTATTAGGCCGTATCCGGATGAAAACGTGAAGTTGATGCCAAGAAAAACGATAAGTCCCATCGGAGCGACAAATGGCCGCACTCCCAAGGCCCTGCGGAATTCGCAACACGAGAATCCGATTCTTGACGATATCGTCCCTACCACAGATGATGCAGCCCTGCTCAAAAGTAAGCTACGAATAAAAATTAACACATTAGTTTTAGAGCTTGTCTACTCTAAAAAGTTATATCCGCGTCTGAAAAAATAGAAGCAATATTTCTGAATAAATAATATATATAATATTTATTGCATATTAAGAGCTCGTTGCTTTGATCGCAAGTTTTGTGGCAATTGGGTAAAATGATAAAATGCGTTTCGGCTATATAGCAGTTGAGTATGTATTCCAAAAATTACTGAAAATTCTGCAACAATTTTAAAACGATAGGTAAGAAAGAAGGCAATGGACAGGAACTGCTGTCACGACGGCATCGTCAAACCGCGCACACGAAATCGTTGGACTGAAAAGCAGAAGAAACTGCGCGCGGTCGGCAGTAACCAGCAACAGCCACCATCGGGAATTATGCATATTGAGCATCCAAATTGCAGTGGAGCGACAAAGGGTGAGTTTCGTTTTCCTTATGCCTGCTGTATAGCAAAAATTTCAAAGTTCTTTTGATGTCTCCTCGATCTTCTTTTTATAGTGTATTTCGACGGGCTTGGATACAACGTGGCAAGCGGTGTACGGCTGTAGCGACGATGAATGCCCGGAAGATGAAAGCCTTACATTTTCGATTACATTTTCGACAATATTGTCAGACTTTTCTGGTTTGGTTGGTGAAGAATTTTTTTTTGAATTTCATTAGCAGCGCGCCCAGTGGCTAGTAAGTCAATAAATCTGTTATTTTAGATTTCTATCCAGAATATTGTTTTATTTTTTCGTGTTGGGTTGTATTTTCTAGGACGGTTTTTAATTTGTTAATTTTTGTTTGTTTTGTTTACTGATGGAATGCGGGTACGATTGGTAATAAAAAACTGAAGGCGAACGTCGATTCTCAGAGTTTTTGGTGCGCTTCTTGACACGTTTAGCACGTTCAAAGGCCATAGTTGGAGACGTCTTTGTGTATGTCAAAAACGGCTCCATAAGTATACTGATACTATGTGTAGCTGCGACATCTCACCAGTGCATTGCAGAGGTAATCCGCAGCACTGATCAACGTTTAAAAGCTGCTTAAGCGACGTTAAAAAAGTGCCTACCGTAGAATCGGGCACGGGCCAACTCTCTACCTTCAGTATTCCCCCACTTCCATGCTAACTGTATTCAGTACCGTAACTGGTAACAGCTACTACAGCTACTCTAGTATTTTGTTTTTATTTCTCAATATGTATAAGACGAGCTTCGCTCAACAAATTAATATGATCAAGTATTTGTAGAATTACGATATTGTATGGGTATATCGTATTGTGTGTGAGGTTGCAACTAACACAGCTAGAGCATCAGTTTCAGTCGTAGAACGTCGCAGAAGAAAAATCGTCGAAGGGATTTGTTGGTCGGAAGGTGATACTCGTATTACCATATAGCTTTTTTAATTAAATCTTGTATTTTAGCGGCGTTCTGTTATGGGTGCGGAAAGTCTTTGAATTTCGAATTTTCGTACTATACTCTGCTTTCTTGACTTCCAAACGCCATTCATAAAATATAACTGCTGCAAATTTACTTTTCATTACAATTGTACAAATGAACATTTCACACTATAGTAATTTATCAAATATTGTCACTCATGCAAAGTGCGTTTATAGCAACAGAAAGCTTTCGCGGATGCACTAGATGCATGCACAAAGAATGGCGCAGTAAAAGTACTCGTCGTCATATTTTATCATAGGTTGTTTTGCCACTAATTTCGAAAAGCGTATTTTATCTACTTTAAATGTCTTCAAACTCCGCATCGGATCGTCCGAATTATTCACAGTTGCAATATCAATTAAAGAATTACTTAATTGAGTGGATACCTCACAAAATGACGAATCACAAATACACAAAAACAAAAGCCTAAATGAATTAATTACTGTAGTGACGGTCACAAGTTAGACCGCAGAGTACGTTTACCGGAAAAATGAACACTATATATACCCACGCTGCACGGGCAAAATTCACGATATTTCACCAGCAAACTAAAATCGGAATTCCTTGAGCAACCTTCATGTTTTAACATTTTATTTTAACTAATTAGTAATCTCTGAAAGTCCAAAATCAGCTGTTAACTTGGAAGGCTGAAAAGTAAAGCATACAAACTCGAGCTCCGATTTACCGTGTTGGTTTGTTGTGGTTTTTGGGGTGATGCCCCTGCGAGGGGGACGGTTTGTGTTCAGCACTGGGATTGACAGTGAATATCTTTACAAGAGGGGAAGTGACGATTGTTTTCAGAGCTCTGATAATAATGAAGATATGGGTGAAATAGTTAAACACTGAAATTACATGGAAATTTGCTATCTGAACTCTGAAGTAAGAAAAGTAAAATGCGATGCAGGCCGTGAAAAATGCCCGTGCAGCGTGGGTGTATCCATGCGCAGTTTTCCGGTATACGAACTCTGTGGTCTAACTTGTGAACGTCACTACAGTACCCTAACAACTGTAAGTAGAGATGCGATTTAGCCGCAAAGCTAGCCATGCACTTACATACAAGGTTGTGACGACATTCAATGCAAAGAAACTGCAAAAAATTTTGCAACATTTTGATTTGCCAGTCTTTTTTATTTAAGTAAAGGCACACACTTATTTTGGATTCTATCGGGTTAGAGGTGCATTATACAGTTTGCGGAAGTGAAAGGAATTCATTTCGGTACGCATGTGTAAACTGGAATTTGGCTAACTGGATGGGTCATTCGTTAACGATACGTTCTTGCTTCCTGTTGGAATTACTCGCTTGTATCCTACTGTATATCGGCTATCAGCTATGTGTGTATGTTGCCAAAAACAGATTGTCCACTGGGCAGTGGGTACACACTACAATGCTTTTACCTATTTCGAGAAAATAAAATACCAAAGGACTAGCTATGGCCAAAAGACAGTAGTACAATATTCGTAAACTGTACAACATACGATTTTGCTTTCACAAAGTCATGATCCGCCGTAATTAAAATATTGACGCGATTCACGTTTTTAGGTTTTTAAAAAAAATACGATTAAATTAATTTTTTTGTGAGTTATGTTGTTTCATTAACTTATGAATAGAATGCATTTTGATTTTGCACCTCTGATGGAAGTGGGAATACACATGCTTTTGGTGCACAACCTGTACGATTCTAGCCACGGTTGACCTTATAAGGTTGCTCCACCCGGAAGGGATAGCAGACTGAAAGCCTTTACGAACTTACATTTTACTGTTTGAACGAACAAACTTCCATGTTCTGCTGGTCTAATTACATATACCAACAGAACATCCCAGTCCTTTTTCTGGCACCTTGCATTCCTGCTTTCAAGTAAAAAATGTTTAGCTGCGTTTAAGCGAAACAACTGTATTTTACAAAATGGTTCATATTCACACCAAAATTAACGGATTAGCCGCTTCCGCGGAAAACAGTTAATGACTCTTTAGTCGAGCAAATTTTAAAGTAGTTCCATCGTTAACGTTTAACAAGGTTAAATATAAAATTCATGAATTTGGCTTGTTTATATATATATATATATGTTTGAAACAAGGAAATTTATAGTGCGTTTATTTCCTTGCTTAGCAGAGGCTATTATTACCTATCGATAACTGATCGATAACTATTAAGGCTATTATTACCTATCGATAACTGATTTTGTAAAGAGTCGATAGACTTATATGTAACAAATAATCACGCTTTGAGTTAAAAACAAAACACGAAGCGGCTGCGGCGATAATATATTCCTGCTAATATTGCACTTGTGGTTAGGAATTATTCAGGTTCATTGCACTTTCACTTGAAATGTGATAAGTCAATCAGTTTGTACATCGGCGCAAGATTGCAAAGTGCAGAACTAACTGAAACTCCTCATGTATAAGAAGTATGCAATTTGCTGATACGTGTATTTCCAGACTATCATACCAAACTTATTACACTTATGCCGACAACGTACTGTACGATGTTTCAACTACCTATTTAACAACAACTACGGTATAATATAAAGTGTTTATGAAAGTATTTGCTTACCGTTAGCCAGCCAGTAATCTTTAGCGAAAGATCGCACCTGTTGCAACTGCAAACACTTTTCATTCACCACCCACAAGTCGTAATTTTATAAATTATCGACTGTAAATTAACTCGACGTTTTGTACCATCTTGAGTCGCTGTATTGGTTAGACCGGACTACAATACCGAACATCCAGTTTTGATTGTAACAAACTTTATCAGTGGCAGAGCTATAGTGTTTTATGTGCAACGCATTTCAAAATTTAGTTTTATTATTTGGATGAAGTTGCCAATATGGCGTCGCAGATATATGTGATATTATTTCTGTGTGCCGTGAAGTGGTATTCCCGAGTTTCCGCTCTTGACAACGGCTTAGGTAAGTTGGATTAAACTTTTATTATCCTTTAAGCATTTAAGACTTAATGCCTCTTTGTAGTATTTTCGAAGCTTGTGGTTAATGTGAGTTTCGAACTTGCCCTTCATTGTGATTTGCAGCCCTCACTCCACCGATGGGATGGCTTGCATGGGAACGCTTCCGGTGTAACGTCGACTGCAAAAATGACCCGCACAATTGTATTAGGTACCGTATACAGATATGCTGAATTTGGTGTGGGTCGTGACTGGTGTGATCTTGCAGACCTAAAGTATGGTTATTTTTAGAATTAATTAAGTTGTTATGAAAACATTTTCTTTTGCTTTTTTCCATTACCACTCTACTGCAAAGGACGACGACTTTACTGAAAAAATTTTTAAATTATGCCGTATTAAGCTCTGAGTAAGAAAAGACTATATATATATATCTTGTGCAGTATATTCAACTACAAGATGTATTGTATTGTTGTTGCGTTATGGGCAGAATGGCTATGATATTGGCTATACTTCGAAGTATAGGTACTGCGCATACGAGTGCCAGTGATGCTCATAATCGGTGCTTTTAAAAATTATATTTAGCGGTAAAATAAACTGTTATGAGGTTTTGGTTAGATTTAGATTCCAGATCTTATCGTCGAACGTTCGATTTTTAGTGAAACACTCTTCATGGAGATAGCGGAAAGAATGGCAGCCGATGGTTATAAAGATGCCGGATATGAATATGTTATCCTTGACGGTAAATAACTTGGATCAAAATATTACGAATTTCTGTTATATGCATTAGTATTATTACAAAGCTCCTTTATAGTTTATACAACACAGTTCACTCCAAATGTGTTTAAATTGAATACTATATCGCTAATTTGATGGGGTATTACGCACGCTCTATATGACTTTACATACTCTGGATGGACATTTTTGTTACGGGATTAAATACACTACAGATATAATAATACACATATTGTGAGTGTCAAACCAGTATATGAATTATAGACTGTTGGATGAACAAAAGCCGAGATGCTCAAGGTCGATTGATTCCGGATCCCGAGCGATTTCCGAATGGAATAAAATTTCTTGCGGATTTTGTAAGTGTGCTAATTCGAATTACTCGTGATTTTATGTGTTTTGCAACTAATCACTGCAATAACACAGTACAATTATTCTAGCAGAAGCGGTATACGTCACCGAACTTATACATTGGCCGCCGTTGATACAATTTGTAGATTCACTCCAAAGGCTTGAAGTTTGGGATTTACGAAGATATTGGAACCAACACGTGTGGCGGCTATCCTGGTATTCAAGGGCACGAGAAGCAGGACATCCAAACATTTGCTGATTGGGGAGTTGACTATGTGAAGCTCGATGGCTGTTATCAGGATTCTTCAGAGTTTAATATGAGTACGGGAAATTTAAAAAAATATATACTTACCAAATACCAATGACTGACATTTTCTGATCAATATTTTGAAAACAATTTGTCGGTTTCAGCATATCCTGAAGTGGGGAAGTATATGAACGAAACTGGACGCCCAATGGTGTATTCGTGCAGTTGGCCGGCATATGAAACCGGCACAAATATGACAGTGAGCAATATAGGCAATAATACGAGTATACTGTACGAGTATGACAACGCGCATCAACCTGCCGTAAAACTTACAGTGTAGCGGTATGCTCTGTACCGGAAAGTGGTTGAAGGGTGCAATATGGACAAATGTTTAAAAAAAAGAGGCTTGTTACGTGTACATGACCTAGTAGAGTAAAATATATACCGATATACTCGTATTAAGTGTAAATGCATTTTATTGTAGTATAAGAAATTTTAATATAGTATAAGAAAAATACAAATGTGCAGTAAAAACGTGTAGTGCGCAGAAAAATATATTTGCAGCAAAAGAAATTATGTACAGGTTCCGTGGGAACAAATACGCGATACCTGCAATTTGTGGAGGAATTATGACGACATTCAGGACAGTTTGGCTAGTATGACGGAAATCGTGGAATGGTTTGCGCAAAATCAGGCTGCGTTGGTGAAAATTGCCGGGCCAGGGGCTTGGAATGATCCAGACATGCTGCTGTTAGGAAATTTCGGATTGTCGTAAGTAGTGCGATTAGTTTATCTCATTAGATTTGCATAATATCCATTACAAAATGTGAAACAGATGTATTACATGCCACAATTCAGCAAGTTTAAGAACCTTGTCATATTCATAAACTGATCTGCATTTGCGTAGATACGAACAGTCTAAAGCACAGTTAGCGCTCTGGTCGATGCTAGCCGCTCCTTTGATTATGTCCAATGATCTTCGCCACATCCGCCATGATATTCGTAAAATACTGCTGAACAAGAACGTTATTGCTGTGAATCAGGATAAACTAGGAATTCAAGGAATGCAGATTTTCAGTTCGCAGGTAACATACTATGTAGCACCAATATATCCGGAAAGTGCAGTTATGGCAGTTGATTATACCGCACTGCATTCGATTACAATAGTAGAAATGCAGCACTCATTAAATTTTAACATAACAGGCAGTCGTAAACAAGCCGAATATTTAAATAAAATGCGATACCGCAGCTTTTGGATGGTATTATTAGGTTATTCTGTGGGTTTTTGAACATATTTTTTTCGGATCAGTTTTTCGAAAGTGATAGGTAGAAAAGGTCACTAGCAGATTTGTGTTTCCAATGCTTAGGTATTTACATTCTTCGCTGCTTCCGCAGCAATTCACAACATTGCAAACTGGAAACTGTAAAATAATAATACAGCTAGATAGAAGTACTTATTTTACTGGCTTGTTGTAGTTACAAGACGCCAGCATATCACGCTTTATTCGTGCTTTTTGTTCACAATTGTACAAAATTTTTCAGGCTAAGAGTGTTGAAGTATGGGCGCGTCCTGTAGAGCCTACAGCAGTTATTAACAACAAAACAAGTTATTCCTTTGCTGTTGGTAAGGATCCGGATGTTGCGCTAATTAGCAATTCTGTTTTGCATTTAATTAACTTGGGATTGACTTGTAATTAATTCGCCATTCATCGGTAGTTGTTTGGAACAAAAGGGACGACGGCACACCTTATCCCTGGTCGCAGTCCCTTCAGGTACAATAGAATAGTCTCTATTATACCCTATTGTACCTGATCGTATTACTCCTTCAGACGTACGGTTTGACTGAGCCCAGTGGTTATTTTGTGCGTGATCTGTTCAGCAACAAAGATTATGGATATTTCCGACCGGCAGATATTATTTCGTTTAAAATCAACCCTTCCGGCGTAATGATGTTCAAAGCGCAGCTAGCCGCGGGTACCGGCACTGACTTCAAACGGAACATCAGTCCAAAGAAGTTAATAGGTCCGAAGCGCAACGTCATCATGGAATAATTATAAGTTTGTTGTGCTTTCCACTGCATGTATACATACATACCGTAACATATGTGCGATTGCTTTTCGTTTTGATTTCTTGTTAAAATAACTGTCTATTAGTGTGACAGCAGCACCTGCTTGACGCAAATCAGGAAAAATGCATAATATAATACTAGGTGTTAATGATGCTAGAAAAAATATTTTTTGGATTAATTTGAGCGATTTACAGCGCTCGATTCTGTAAGTTTGTACTTAGTAATAACTTAATGTGCTTACTTGTTGCGTTTAGTAACCTGCAGTATGTACACTTGCGTAAGTTGCAAATTATTAATTACTCACCTGCAAAGTTTTACAGCTTGCAGAACCGCTAAAATAAACGTACCGTGTCAAGACATGTAAATTCACCTAGAATACAGCACAATCAAATTTGCATGCTTAGATCGATTGATGGTAACACAAGTGAAGCATGCTTTGCGAGGTTGAAATAATCTACTGTATGACTGACTTCACTTATGTTGACTTCCGAGGTGCCACAATAATTGCTTTCTTTCGACTTGATCATGAGATTGGTACGTATTGTGGGTAGGTAAAATTTCAGCACTATGTAAACATTCTAGTTGAGACAACCCGTTACAGTCGTTTGCTCATGTACCTGTACATCCGGTACACGAAATTCTGTGCGCGCTACAGTGGCAATCATGCATTTTGGTTACGTTTGTGGGAAAAAGTGGTCACACCCCGCATAGTGAGATATTGACCACAGGATATTACTGTCCTGTTCATCCTATGACCATGAACTATCGAGAGTTACAAAAATGAGTTTATTATGGAACGCCATTCAGCTATGGTTGTTCATAATCATACTGCCATCATGTTTTGTTGGAAATTATGATGCTTCGGCAATACTTTTAACTTCGGGTGAGTCTTAATGGTTTTACCATTTCAGATATAAATATGAGCTGATGTGCAATGACTTGTGCGTAAGAGTTTGTATGCGTTTTAAAATATAAGGCAGTATAAAACAGTGGAATTTGGAGACGTTTTTAAAACAGCAGCTGCACCAATATAGATGTATGTATCTGGCATTATCTGCCAACCGATGTTTAGAATATGTAACTGGCCGTTTATGAACTTCTAATCGTAAGGAAGTGCTGCAGTGATTTGCTGAAATTATTCAGCAGCTCCAGAAGTTCCTTTTGCGAAACAGGTTTGATTATAAATTATGAAAACAAGAAATGGTACACAAAAAAATGATTTTATCTGCAAAAATCCACGCCCTGTTCCAGCTTCATTACGCGCAGAAGAATTTGGAAGGCATAAACGAAATTTTGTACCATCAAAGCAAACGCTGCCGGTTGATTTCTTGGAAGTTCCCATAACTCCAAGACGAAACATCACCGCAACAACGCCGGATCCCAACGTATCTTTAGCAATTACTTATCAGGTAATACAGATCAAAAACCATGCAGTACGTGGTAACTAGGTACCTAATTAATAAAGAGCATGCCTTTGGTACCGGTACACACTCTATCGCAATTTACGAACCGTAAAAGCTATTTCGCAAACCGGTTACATTACATGTTTACCGTTTATGTTTTAACTTTTATTTGATTATAAATATTTATATTTGATTATATAGATATTTGATTCGATTACATTTTGACAATTTTCAGGATGAACGTCTAAAACCGGGAGCTACCATTGACATCGGAAGCCCTATAAAGATGATAATTAGTCTTGATAAAAAAAGTGCTGGTACGTAGCAGCAATTAAAGCAGCAATTAAAGGGCACTAAAGGGATTTATGGGAAACTTTACGGTTGTTTTGCAGCGATATATGGAATAAGAGTGCAAAAACTTGTTGCACAAGGAAACAATGAGCGACGATATTCTGAAGCTTTTGTTGACGAGGGGTAAGAAAAGAAACTTTAATTCAGTAGGAAACGAAGCCACGATTTCTAAATACAAATTTTTTACCGTTGTTTTATTTTTATTTGGTTATATTATATGATGCTCATGCATACATAATGCTCTAACAACCTGCTGGCAGACCAATAGTACCTCACAGATTAATTCGCATTCTGCAAGTTGTGAATTGTCCTTTAAGTTTTATTCCAGATGCGCGAAAGTGTCGACTATATTTCCGGATATGACACAAATTGACCGAAGTACAGTGGAAAACGTATTCCGAGCTTTTCGCTTTCCGGATTCTCCCGATGTCAGATTTGTGGCAACGGTTCAAGTGTGTCGGCAGCGTTGTCCAAAGGTACAAAGTGCGGAAGCAGAATTTTTTGCCGATGCATGCCGATGTTATCCTCAGCGTGCACAATGGATTGTATATTATGGATGCATTGCAGATCAAATGTCTCCCTCAACTTTCTGACAAATCTCGCCTTTCTAGAGCAGCTGATGCAGGCTTGTCGAACCATCCTGTAGTCGCAAACATAAGCAAAACAAACTCCACCGTTTCCAACTCGCATCGGCATACCAGCCCGCAATACTACAGCTACGTAGCGCTAACATCCAACGGTAAACCATGTAGCTCTTTGTAATTGTTACTTTGCTTGCTCCATTTATTACAGCATAGATAGTTTTACGTCTTGTACCATGCGCATAACCGGTAGAACCGCGCGTAGAGGATGTGTTCATCTAATAGCGTTCTTGTACGAAATACGACTGCGTAAAAAAATTAACAAAATCTAATTATCTGTTTCCAGTAACGGTTCGTGGATTCGACCCCCAGTTTATGCTGGGAAAAGAAACTTTGACCGAAAAAGCAAGGAGGAGGTTATCGTCGAGCGACGCAGTAGATGGCCCAAATTTTCCTCCGACGACTTTAATTATTTTATGCTTTCTGCTCCTTTTGAATATAAACATAAAGTGAATTTTCTGCTAAAGTTATCTGAAATGTTGTCGTGTTCGACTTAAAACGTATTTTCCTTTTGAAATTTTCCAGAAGTTGCTGCAACATAATAACTGCTTGCTTGATCTTCATGAATGATTGTATGAATGATCTTCGTATATATGGTCATCTTCGTTCTTCGTATACTTTATCGGACGGTGAATTAGATTGAAAGAACTTGACTTTACATAACTCATTTAATTGTGTCGTCTTGTGACCCTTTGCTTTTTCGATCCGGCATATCATCTTAAGATGATATGCCGAATCACACTGTAATTGAAAAACAAATTACTAATATTAATAAACATAGTGATTATTAATTGATTGTATTAATAAACTTTCTGAAACAAAGATTTCTTTCCGCTGCTCATCTGATGTATTAATTTAATTAGCGGTGTTAATATCTGTACGGCAAGCTGGAATAACCTTAATCTGTTAATGTTTCATTTTTTCAAAACCGTTGTTTTAATTGAAACAAGATAAGAATATTATATTCTGTTTCTTGTATTTGTATTTCAAATCTAAGCAACGTTTCCTTAGTATAACGCAGCAGCATATGATAAAAGTCATTAAAACATTAAAATCACAGCAAAGCTGCCAAGAAGAAAAACATCGGGCACTAATCATTCCTGACTAAGCAGTAAGCACTAATCGTTCCAGTTTCCTGTAGTTTTGAAGCAGCTTGTTATTAATGACACTTTATTAATCATTAGCCGTGAGGCCCATAACTGGTTAGTCGCCAGAGAAGAACGCACAAGGGCAAATGGTTTACATGTACTGTACTCGTATGCGAGAAAATAATGCGCACCTTTTGGAGGTACTGCTAAATACATACATACGTATCCTTAATTATATTATCATCTCGATGAAGCCGAGATGATATATTATATTATCATCTCTACGATCCCGAGTACAAAATTGCGCGGCAGCGAGTCTGTAAAAAATAGCCCTAAATACCTGAAATGCAGTGATGCTGTTATACGTACATACAGAATACGGATAATGAATGTGCTGTAAAGTACCGCACATTGCCTACTCGTAGAGTAGGTTAGGTAGCAGCTCTGTGGCGTAGCGTGCCAAGTTTACGAAACGGCACTGACCCATACTCCACGAAGTTTCTGATCCTTCTCCGATTACGACTGACCTGATCTTACTCGCACAAGGGCTTGTGTTCGGACACTTCCGCGGTAAAAAAGCAAAGCATGAACTGTAAATTCAAGAATTGTACGGTACTTCTTTGAGCGCAGCTGTGGCACGAGTTATGATACAATTTATACCGAACAGAACTTGTGAATCGATATGTCTGCATATTAAAGGTAATATCAACATGCACCTACGGATCGCAATAAGAAGGTTTTAGCAAAACAAAAAAAATAACAGCAACAATGTTCATTATAAAAATCAATTGTTATGTTTATAAACCAATTCTAAAATATGGCAGCTGCTGGAATCATTAGCGCAGCAAGCACGTAAAAGGTTAACCTTCAACGACGCCCTGGGGAGCGCATGACCTCCACTGATTATCATCCTTTTCTGTTCGTGCATCAGGTAGCGCAATCCCGAATACGTAATCCTAGTATACTAGCCTTATATATTGACATTGTATACAAGAACACGGACTTTTTAGCAACTAATTTAAGACGGATTTCATACTTGTTGTCGAGTCTACTTAAAATTAAACTCAAACAGTGTTGGTTGTGTACATGTATTTACGCTATGAGGAACGCGTAAGTACGTTTATTTTCCACGGAGTCAAGCAACGTTTTCTGGTCAATAATATTACCAGCCTACCCGTACTTATCATAGCTGATTGCTTGCTTACAATATTATTGCTGCCATATTAATATACGCACTCTCACCACGGCCGTTCTTCAGAGCGCTACAGAGAATTACGCACCCCGGCACCCCGTATAGTTTTGCCGCCGTTGCCGCCTGTGTTGCCGCCTGTGTTGCCGCCTTTAGTTATGCATGCAGAGTGAAAAATTTACAAAACAGCATTTTGTATAAAGTTTATTATTCCACAAGCCACCATTAAGTATGTAAATACTTGGTAACAAAATATAGTCGAGTACTTCGTATACAACTATACATATTGCAATAGCAAAGTTATCGGATGCATGTTCAATTAATGTTTTGATGTAAAAGACACTGCAAAGTTTATTATCAATATGAGTATGTTATATCAACTGTAAATAAAGTTAGGTTGTCCAAACACGGTGCCGTGTTTTGTGAAAGCATCAGAAAAGCAGAAAACAATGTAATTTACACGAGATTACTGCTTTATACGGTTATTAAATATTACACCAAATTTATTTTACTTTGAATTTCTTTTGCTTTTGTATGTTAAATACAATCTTTCCCTTTTAAAATCGTGGCTTTTGTCATCATAGACTTCAGAGACTCGTAATCCTAAAAACCCAAAAATTTGCCAGCGATGACCTTTCAGTCTCGCAGTGATTCGTGCTTGGATGACGCTCATGGAGCTTTGTCAGCTTTCGCAGCTTGGAGTACATTGCGAATTAAAAGCTGACTTTATTGTTGGCCGGTACTATAGGCGCAAATGCATATGCCATGTGCACGTATGGAACTGCGGCTGGCTTCTTTTCTAATACCAGTATGTGCAGTGTGCATAGCACTATGAAAAAGGAGCAATACCACTGCCCACTCTGTCGCACTTATCATGCTTCCGCTTTATTTCCAGCATTAGAACCGGTTTAGTTAACTTGACATTCAAATCGATTAGATGTCCCGGCAAAATCGCTCTAAGCGAGTTATATATTCGACCCACTTTCGGATTGCTGTGTACATGTATTGCCCATCCCAGACCATGTGCGCAAATGTCCAGCTGGATAAGTACACTGTACAGTACTGTATTTTCACATCCAAGCATCGCCAACGTTGCGTTGCGTCTCGATGCACTATTACAGACGGTTACTACACAACTTAATGGCTAAAATTCCTCTGCATGCATAACATGGTCAGCATGCAGTCTAATGCAATCGACCGGAATAGAAAATTTACATCAACATCATTTAATACGATTATTCATTCCTCTAGTGTTATTTATAGTGTAAAGAACATTAGCGACCGGCATGAAGTGGAAATAGCCGTCTTTGTCACTTTACAATCTATAAAATGAATCGCCACGTGCACCGAGAGAATGTATATCTTGGACCGTAAACAAAAAATGGAAATAAAGGTAAAATGTATAATTACAAAAAAATTAAAAATGAAATTAAATATAGCAATCAAAAAATTTATCGAATTTAATAGTGATACAGCAATCAACATCGATTAACAACATTCGAAACAGACGAGGGCATCGCGCTACCTGCCACCTTTTTTTAACAGTGCTCCACTAATGTTCCAGAATTCACGAGTACTCGGGCGAGTGTTCTGTTGTGCCTTAGCTATTTAAATTTAGCGCAGACTGTTAAAAAATTAAACTTCGAATTAAATCATTAATTTATACAAAATAAAAAACGTCCCAAGAGCGAAAATGCAAATGTAATGGCGTAAAATGCTTTATTTTGCGGTTGCCTATATGTATCGCGTAGATTTTGCGATACTCGCGTAGATTTTGCATTTTATTGCATACTCGCATTGCATTTTATTGCATTGCATACTCGCGTAGATTTTGCATTTTAATTTTAATATCAGTGCTTGTGTATTGTTCTGTGTTGCATCACAACACTCTTCCTTCCGTAAATCATGAGTGTAAAAAAACAGCACACAAGTCCGAAGTGCCACATCCTATTCAGAGGAAAATACTGAACACGGGAAGGATTCGTTTAGAAATACAGACGATCCATGCATAGCTTACTATTAGCTGTTACACCTCATTTCAACATCACAAGTGCAGATACCTTTACGATAAATACATCCACACTGACAATTGTATTTACAGCTGCAACAGTATAAAAATTATGAGTACTTGTACGGCATAAAGCAAACACACACAATTTATGATTCACTGTTCAAAATCTGCTGAATGCTAAATATGTCCCGACCGGTATCAGAGGGACTAGCCGGAACCAGCCCGGTATTATACAGAAAGGCCGATTGGCTATCTTTAATGAGATTCCCTTCATCCCGTTGTTTATCTGCGGGCACGGCAGGAAGTGTAGGCAGAGGCAGGACTTTTGCGATTTTCGATGATTTAACCATATCACGTAAGTCAACAAACACCCGCTTCCGGCAGTCGCTCGACTGGCCGTTGGGATCATCCATAATATCATAAAAACTATCCGCCATTGCCGAGCACGTCTCGTCTGGCACCGATAAACAGCGCTTATTCCGCAAGCCAGTCACTTTCATCGGCTGCTTACTGGAAATGCCGGCTGCATTGTTATTCCGCTGCTGAGTATTTTCCACTCTCCAGTGTCCACTCTTCACATTACGATTGAATTTTAGTTTTAGCTTAGCACCGGCTTTAGGTTCCGTCTGCCGGCGAACCGGTTCCGGTGGTGGACTAATTTCCACCGATGGCTGTCTTTCCGGTTTTTGAATGGTTGACAGGCCGCTGGTAGATGGTTGACACTCCACTACAGGGTTACTGTTCTTTTTTCCATCCATTATCTTTGTGTTTTCCATCGATGCCGGCACAGGCGGGGCCAGTGCATCGAGGCTCTTGTAGTAGATTTGAAGGGGACGGCTCTGTCAATAGGAATTTCATTAACAATGCACTATCGCGAAAACTGAGGATGCTGCTGCTTTTTGTTATGGGGTATGCGCTCAACTCGTGGTGCACTGGCTTTCGGTAGGGCGGAAAGCGGTCAGTGCAGCTATAGTCAATTAACCGTGCATGCATCAGCACGCTGCTTATTATGATATCCATAAACTGCCCAGAGGATGCTGGGACAGTGAACATTACCAGCTGAACCAATCTTTCCATGCGTGCCAACGACAGTAATACGCTGGCACAATCCATACTTTAGGGAGATTGATGTAATTATTGAAAATGGATTCGGTGGGCACGCCTTTTTATTTGCTTAATAAGTGCGCCAATGGGGGCATATCTGCACGTTAATGAGGAAAAGCACTGACAATTGTTCATTTATGTAGTACGTACTCGCATTAAAATTCCTGTCATTTAGGTTACGTATTGCTCCCCGTACAAGTAGAAAAAAATAAGAGTGGATTAATACAATAAACGACACAATATCTTCGCAACGGCACAATATTTCAAGAAAAAAATTAGCAGAAGCAAAAACAGACGAAAATCACCAAAGTGCTATAATCTAGGTTGTGCAAAGCGCTGTCTGTAATAATTATGTAATATTACGAGTATGTGACTGTTGGACATTTAGGGTTACCTGATCCCATTTGGTCATATATGCCAGTTCTGTGATGGAAAAATCCGCTAAAAGAGGCGCAAAGGTATGGGTGGCAGAAAACACAATTTCCATCTGTCCGACCAGAAAACCGAGCGTCATTAAATAATTTTTAAATAATTACTACAGAGATAAATAACTGCACAAACCAGATTTTATGACATTCAACAAGCATATTACCAAGTTCATGTCTAACCAGCGTGTATATCGGATTCGTTACCTGTCCGATGAAGTTATTCCGAAGCTTGATAAACTGCTCCAGAATCGATAATCTTGTGGACATTTCTAAACGAAGAAATTGCAAGCTACTCGCTTCCTGTAAAAGCAAAGCAACAACATAATAATATGGGGGCATATATTAAAAGCTGCAAAGAAACTAGAGAAATGGGATTATTGCCATGCCCAAATTATAATCACGGCAAGAAAAAAATTTAGTGGAAAAGCTTCTAAGTAATTTGGCAATATAGCGTAGGCATGGCAGTATTGACGATAAATCATGCGCCTATTGTGTAATTTTGATCCATCTAAGTTATGTGATTTTGACTGACCTTTAAGCCAGATTTCTTTGCACTTTCCGCCTTTCTGCAAACAAAAAAGGGATTTAAGACAGCAATACGCGAAGGAGGAGTTCGAACGCGTACTCAGTGTGCAATACTTACAAATGAATTAACTCAATACAAATGACGGAGCGGTCGTTGAAGAAAACCGATTTCTCATCACAAGATCTTTTAATTTGCCTTCTTGCTTCTGGAAACGACAAGGTTAGTTATTAATACATAGGTTAGTTATCTTAAAACCGTTGCATTGTGCAATCCAGAACTTATAGCACACTTTTTTCAGATTTGAGGAAAGCCGATCGGCGCTCCGTCTCATCTAAAAGATAAAATACCGTTAGTACTTAATTTATTAGGATTTCCTGCTCAGCGTATGGTAGTGAGACGTTGTTTGTTATGCAGATTATATTAAGGTACAATTAAACGGAGCAAAAAATCTGTTATTGGCGGGTAACTGTTATGACAAGATGGTCTAATACGAAATCATCTATTGCAGAAACTGGCTATCCTTTTACACTCGTACTGGGTTTTCTTACCGTTTATCAAGCCTGGTACAAGCTTGTATATCAGTCGTTGTAAGGCATAGTCGGCTCTAGAGCAAAATTAGTTGTAAGCAGTCCTAGTAAAGACTACAGCGCAGTAAAGCTGCCATTCGAAATTTTTGTGATAAGTGTTTTAAAAATTGCATGTTTACCGAAGTTTTTCATACGGTTTGTAGGGATCACTTTCATTGAAAGCGCGACTGCACTGTAGACACGCCAACTGTCCACTCTGTATGTATGCCAAGACACATGAACGGCAATCTACAAAGAGAGAAAGTTGCGAATGAGCCTGTGGATGTCCAGCCAGAGGATCCTGTTTCAACCCCGAATGACAATTGACAGAATGAATATGAATAATGACAGCACTTACATGCGTGCCCACACTGTTCGGCCACTGTACAGTCTATAAGATACCCATAACATAAAGGGCACGAGAAACTGGCGTTGATGTCGTTTAGAGCGACTTCGTGGATCTCATCGTCTTTATCCATCTTCATCTGAAAAACAAAATGTAAAGTTATGTTTCTGATATATACGCTCCATAGCCACGTCAGACTCGTGTATCGATTTGTATTTATGTCAATTTACCTTATGCATTATTGGCATAAGGTTATATATCGACTTTTTGCACCCCAATTAAACATAAAAAGTGCACATAATTTTTGCATAATTTTGCTTGCATTTGTAATTGGCCTCTAAACGCAGAGGTGTAATTAATTGTTTTAAATTGGCGAAGTGATAATTTGTCATGGTTTTTATGGACTAAGATTTTGTAGTAATTCGACAACGTTGCAAAACAGTGCACTATTTTTAGGTAAGCCTGAGCAATCGTGTACGAGAAAAGAGCTCTACCAGTAGCCTATAGAAATTTTAAGTTTAAGGGAACGTCTCAAAATATTTATGATAATTTTCGGTTTCTAAGGAAGCTGATTGAGAACTCATGACAATTTTCGATCAGTTGGTAGCCGATGCATTCAACGTTGTATGACTGGGATCACGTAAAAGCACCGAGTGGAACTCGCTGATGATAAATATAGCGACAAATATTCGTTTCAATAATCTTGAGAAAACCGGTCTTGCCAATGAAAACAGATTGGTAAGAGGCGTATCCTCTGTATATTTAAATACATCTATATTATACACATTTGTTCCACTGACACATTGTACAGCCCCTGTGCACAAGGATTGACGGCACTGCGCAACTGCCAGTAATATCATCCACGTTGTTAAATCTCAAATTTCCTCAAGTCAAACGAAGCTCCATTTAAGATGATATACCCCTCCCACCAGCATCGGCACGAGACTTGGTGATCTACCAACCCGTTAATTGCACTGACCAGTCAGTAATCGTACACGTACACTGGACGGATTGTTTCCTCTATCATTCATTGATTTGAAGCCATTCAATGCACAGAACAAACAGATAATTTTGCAGCCCTCTTTCTGGCTGTAGCACAATGAACTGATGTCGTTAACTCCGCAGCGGCGACTACTGCAGAGTCAAGGAGGTAGACTAATCAGCCATTGTCGGGGCTTGATAAACAGATCGTATCGTTGTTGCTCACAAACATCTAAATACTTTGGACTAACTACGTATTAAATTTTATACGCGTGCGTCCCGTATAGTGTATAACACACATTTTTTGAAAAAAACTAACTCGTGAAAGTAAGTCTCTAGCAGGTCTCTAGCAGTTGTCCCTTCCAAACTCTGAAACAGCTGCAGCACCTAGATATCGTTTCTAATTTTTCCTTTCTTCTTTGTTAAAATTTTCGACGTTCGTAGCAATATAATAATTCGTAGCAATATAGTACTGTACATAATATTATTTGGTAATTATTATAATAGCGTTGGAAACATCAGAAATTCGTCACCGTTTCGCAAAACAATATTTCGGCTTCTTTTGCATAACTATATAACTAGTAGTTGCAACTTTCAGCATAACTATATATGGCTCTTACCGATAGCTCAACAAAGCGCAAAAATTCAAGATATACAGACATCTGTAGTGCTAACAAAAGACGCTCTAGTGATTAGACGCGTTTGCTATAATTTTCTAAATGAAGTTCATTCCCATCACCTGCAAATCATTGCATTCCTAATATTTAATCCAGAAAGAAGCCGATAAATCTTGCCATGATTACACAGAATGTTTTTTTATAATACTTGATGTAATAGGTAGTCATGTTTATTACGGTACGGGTACACTAACTCGTTTTGCATGTCACTATAGTTAACGTTGCAGTGCAGGAGCGTTTAAAGCCAACTTAATTCAGTACAATCATGCATTAGCAATTGTAAATACGCAATTTTAAGTGAAATGCCAGTTAGCCATAAAGAGTGAGATAAACCTGATTGTAAAATAGATGCACTGCAAGGGCGAATGGTTTCAGCATGCCATCACACGTGGATTTAAAGATATTTCAAACTGTGCTGAAACTGCCTTAGCAGACCAAATAATCAATTTTTGGCCCTCAAGACCGACGCTCAATGTGCAGCATAGCAGCAACACCGTCACAACAATCGTTGGCGAAGATCGATATATATACTACTTACGTCCGGGCGCACCAAAGTGTTCCGTACAAAGCCGATATCTGCAGTGTAGTAAGCCGCCTAACAAGTTTTATGCTTTCCATTCATATTAAAACTATGGAAAACGAAGGCATTGAACTGTCCTAGTAGAAAATCGTTTTAAATGCCAGGCCGCCCAGCGCAACTGGTTTTGTGCGATAAGATGTACAATTTTAAACTGTAAGCGCAAGCATTAAAGTCCAACATGTTATAAAACTAATACTGGAAAATATTTGTACGTAGACGGTAGACCCGGGACAGAAACAGAAGCGGAACGACAGGGCAAACTTTAGAAAATTATTAAACACTATTTTCTTCGTCTTAGGAGATTAAATGATTTTTGTTTAAGTTTTAGTTTTAAATCCACCTACGTACATTTTCTTTCGATGACATGACACCGCCAGCATCTGGAGTGCATCGATGAGAATTCGCCGGATTAAACCGCGCATGTTGCTCGCTAAGCTGTCTCTCAGCAGCGGCAGACATATGATTTGCATAATACGAGGATAGAACCCCTGGTATATATACAAGAAGATCGGGAATACCATTCTCCGCTGCTCTATATTAATAATGAACCAGAAAAGATCGATGGTTAGGCTGTGTTGACAGAAATGGAGAAAGCGAATTTGGTTACCGATAAACCATACTGTGCCTAACTCCCGCATCCAACTCTGTGTAAATATATATGATCGCACTCGCATACGCACTAATTATGATATTGCATATGCGTATACCGCAAAACTCAATCGTAGACTCTGGCGTCATATTGTACGCGACATTTCGTAATGAGAGTAATAACTTTTAATTACGCGAATGTCAGCCACAATCTAGCTTTACTGTGCTCTACAGAATGATCTGTGTGGATCGGCGGTAATTTATATTACCTGCTTAAAAACGGCGTACAATCAACGTTAAATGTAAATGATCTTCTACCGTCATTGAGACGACATAGGTCATATTTAAAACTTTGATGCCATAATGTTATAAAAGCCGATATTAAGCCGTACAGCACCATCAGGTTTACGCAAGAAAAACAGAAACGTAATAATCATGCTCTTCAACAAGTAGCAAAATATGGCATGCGCAAATAAAAAGTGGTTAAAATGGTTAAAGACGGTAAGATAAAATTGTAAACCGGTTTGAAACAGCATTTCCGCGAATGCTAGGCGATACCGCAATAACCGGCAACGGTAACTTAAAAACTTCATGCCCATTCGTCATTCATGATCATGATCACCGCAGTCAATTTGCGGCTCGATGTTTTCGCGTCTACGTACTCAGGTACCGTATGTATTGTACAAAACAGTCCACCTACAGCAGGTATACAGAGATTGCAGCACGTGGATGCCTTGATGAATGTAAAATAATCTACGGCACGTAAGTACTTGTAGAACTCAGCAAAGTTAATGTGAAATTAAAAGTCAGCATGTTTTGATCGGGAATAGCAAATGCCGATGCCAAATAACCAAATGCCGGTTTGCCACCAGCTAAAACGAGACGTAATACATAAAGTACAGATTTAACAGTATGCTTATATGTAGCACCATCTAACTCAATGCATCACGAAGTATCTGTGCCGCGCATGCCGCAGCTAGGATTTTGAGACGATACATATGCGACTACCAACATGCAGAATCGGGTGCGCAGCTTCGATCGCTTCAAGAAATAGTCCGTTTGAGAACCGCCCCACTGTGCCACGAAAACACTGCAATAAGCTGCTCGCACGACCGGCATTTTCGGTTGCGCAAAATTGCTGCAGTACATCCAGGCATGCTTTTAAATTGCGTCTGCATTAACTTTAAATTTCTACCTTTATTCTTATGCGTATTATATTTATATCCATCTGCGTATCTGCAAAATTTTAATACATGCAGTCGTTTCAAAAAGGGCGCACTATGCTTGTAACTTGTAAGCATGAAGCGCTAATATAAAGGAGCTTCGGATGTTTTTCTTGTACATTACGAAAATCAGTACTAGTGTTTGACTTACCTAGGCATTAAACTCTCCGCTTTATACTGTAAAAACAACGAGAAGAAAAGTACTGTAACTTAAAATTAAGTACTTCGGCAGCTAAATCTTGTGGACGTAGTAAAAGCTGCTGCAAAAGCCAGTGTGTGCTATATATACGCGTAAGCGAAAACGTCAACGTCTTGATGGCCGAGACTGCCGCTTGTCAGGTCGATTCTCATACAGTGCAAACATGCGCGGCAAGCGCTACACCATAACACCAACGTGCTACTGCATTTTGAGAGCGGTGCAGTTCAATGTGATTCGTCTGTTTCCCCGAGCGTGACGTATGTGTTTACAATTCGCTTGAAAGCTAAAAGGGGCAGATTGGCTGCAGTATCTGCACTGCGCTTGGCCTGCGTTTGGCAGTCCAAACGTGTACAACAAAACAAGATGTTGCACAAAAAATCTATTACACCTTTTCTGTTTTTTAAAACATATTATTGCAATATATCCCTTCCAAAAATTTAGGAAGCATTACAGACTTCACAATGCTTAACGAGAATTCGGCCCAGGTGACATGAATATCGACCCTTGTATTGCAATAATGCAAAATTTAAGTGGTTAAGCCATAATTGATATTCGTATAACTGACAGATAGAAAATTTGAAAGCGATACGGACAATCGGTACATCAGTCAAATAACTGTAACCAATTACATGCTAGAAATACGCGTGAATAACATAATTATGTCCTGACATTTTGTTCAGGACACGTAAGGACGCCCGACCTAAAATAACCGATCGAGCCACCACATTATTCCGAGCACTTAAGGTCACCCACCGCAAGACAGCATAGGAAGAAACGGAGAGACGCACATTATCTCATTGTTAACGTAGCGCCCGTTTCCTTGCGCCTATTTCTACACATTTTATTATCCTGCTCATCAAAAGATAGATTGTCAAGTCAAATGTTTTTTGATTGCACCATTTCTTCAACGAAAGTTTTTAGAACAATATCCTTGGTTGGGCATTTATACCAATGTCCTTAAACATTTTGACTTATTAGAGAAACAATACGATTGTTCATTAAAGAATTTAGTATTAAGTTATTAACGGTCTGTAAGGGACAAGTTTTATGAAAATCGTATCATCGGACGATTGCATGATTAGTTCGTAATGCGGGTGATTTGGTGGCTGACATGGATTATTCTTATATTTTTCTTTAAATAGTTATCATGACCTTTTTGACTTCGCTAGAACTTTTACTGATCATTAAGATTTCCAGCTGCAGATTTCAAATCAGTTTAACCGAAGTAAAAGCAGTCGAAGTAACAGGAAAATAATCTTATTGCAGTCAGAGTAACAGAACTTTTGTAAATCATAAATCAAGAGTTTGGATTGAGTCAATCATCTCCCCGTTTACAATTCCACTTTTTTTCTGAATGTTAATAAGACCTTAAATAAAATTAAAACTGGAACGTTATGGATTTATTAAACATTTTGATTATATCCTGCAGCGTCGTACTGTAAATTTTTTGAATGCAGCCAGGTTATATATATGCAGCAGAGTGAATGTTTCTTGTTTCCTACTGCACATCTAAACATCTAAAGTGCGTCAAGAAATAGAAATACTTCCGTTTTACCCTTTTGTTCGAGGGAACACTTGTAGTGCCAAACAATTTCTGGCAAATATATTCGCATAATGAAAATACTGTATTGCAACATATGTACAAAGCACACTTTTACGGTAAATTCAAGTTTTTCACAGAAGAATTAAACCAATATCGAAGTGTTTAATGTTACAATCGTTGACGAAAAACGTACTCGTACTCAACTGGTAGCATAGTTCCATATCAAAAGCGTACTGTACAAATCCATTAAATCCGTAAGCTGGTATACGAAACCATTGTCACCCTTCATCTGGGTAGACGTGTGTATGAACTGGGAGCTGCTGTCTGCAGAACGATAACGTTAACGAACGATTATTAAAGGATAGCTCTATTTCAAATGGCATTACCTCCGAATTGCAGAATGTGTAAAATTTATAAAAAACCACACTGACAAACACTCTTCGTTATTGATTTATTTAATATTTGTTTATTAAACCAAACCATTGAGCAACAGGGATAAAACAGGTGCAATTGCGCCATGACCGCTTTACGTCTGCTTTTTAAGGCTTGTCAGTTTTGTTTTTCCTATTTGCTCTTATTTAATAAAAATTTTCTGCTCCTTTGTAGATTTTTACATTTTTACCCTTAATTTTAAAAGGTAATATGGCTAGTGTATTGTTTTTTAGCTACACAGCTGCCTCGCTAATATATAGCTGGGTAGGCTTTTGTACTGTTCTTGAGGATAAGAATAACAGTAGCGCCTTACTTATTAGGGATGCAAAACGGTTTAATTCAGGTAAATTAATATAATATTTTTATATTGGCTGCATTGTGTTTTTGATAGCAAGGAAAGATATCATCATTTTCTCGCCTTCACCGGTCGCACTTGTAACAAATCAAGTACTTTCTTCCTGCAACGTGCCATCGATCTGTGGCGTTCAGATACTATAACTACTGCCTTCACAAATTCGCACAGAACTAGGGCATACGGTTAGTGCTCGTAAGCCGTGCCCATATTGCATTTACACTGGAACTAGTGCACACGCCGAGAACCCTACAAGACCTATGGATAAGTACAGTACCTACTGTAGATCTAGATACTGCAATACATCGGCATCAAGTTGCAGGACGTGCAATAGTACCGGCTGATCGGCATGGCACGGCAGTACTGACTGTGGGGTGAAATCGCTCTTATCCACATGTCTGCTCGATTTTCCGGTTAAAATAGCGAAACTACAAAATAGCGAAATCTTTACCACGCCGAGATCAGTAAGCCGCTACTGGCGGCAATACAAGTGCAATGACTTGACGCACATACTGTGTCATCTGTGCAAGTAGTAATAAAATGTGTGCGGTACCGCTGCCGGATGGAAATTTACAATGGTAACAATTTCAAATTGACGTTAAGATTTCCAAAAATTATGTCTTATTACGTTTTCATGATTTTAAGTTTTAAGTATACTTGTTGTGCCTCAGAAAAGTCAGTTAAACGTATTAATGTTCCATGAAATTAACTGGCGCACGCCTGAACGTCTACTTTAGTCTTTAGGCATAGCTATAAGGAAGATATTACCCGTCCAGTTCGTAAACCTTTGAGAAATTAACAGTCTCTAAATTATGACAATCTTAATAATTTTGTTTCCGATAGTCATAAAAAGAGCGATTTATCGTTGCTCTTTTCAGTTCCAGAATTCGGATTGTAACGAAAAAGTCCATACACTGTAATTATACACGTAATAGAGCCGTATGAAAACATGCGAGGCGCTGTACCCAATTTCGAATACGAGTATCCCTCGTCATTAATGTTACTTTTAGCTTTAGTTATTTAGCTACGCTATATATAGTGCACGTGTGTATACTGATAATGAAGGAAATAATTCAAGGATATTCTGGGACTTGGCGGGACCCATGCTGGAAACAGTTGCTGAAAACCGTTGACATCAACAAAGTTTTGTATAAGGCAACTCAGCGCACGTATGTTGGATTGAAGCAGCATGACCTTAGAGTTAAAGAGTGCGCTATTATTAATATTTGCATCGTGCTAACTGGATAAACTTCTATCTTCGCAAAACTAAAAATACCTTTGGTCATACTGGTGGTTTTTAAGAGCAATATCAAAACGTCCAGAGACTTCTAAAGAACTTGCGGCAACTTGGAGCTTGTTTTTTAACTGGTGCAACAACATAACTAATACAAATTGTCTTACCACTTTTTGTGGCTTGTCAAGCCAAAAAACTGCTTTGTCTTAATTGGGCTTTTAAAAACAACTTTTAACCGGAAAATTATCTCCCTACGTACTCGTTTTTAGATTGGTGTTTTTAATTCTAAGCTAAACGAATTTACGAATTGCGAATCTGCGAATTTAAGGAAAATGGCCCGGTACATGGTGTAAAAAATGGGATACATGCACTAAAACTTTTGCTTTCGCGCACTCCAAATAATTTTTTGTAATACTAGTACTTTATGTCATTCTAAAGCTACATGATTTGTATACATTGTTCTTAAAACCGTTTGCGCGCAACATCCGGTTCTTGAGATATGGCGAGCGAAAATGGGTGAAAAGTTTAAACGCATTGTTGTGTACCAGAAGTCTGGTCATCGGTTTTTACCCGATCTTCTTGAAACTTTTCTGTTAAAGACATATGGCCATAAAGTCGAAAGTGAACCACTTTCAGGTTCATAGCACTTTCCCATAATTGTAAAATAAATTTTAAAAGTTTTGAAATTCATTTTGAAATCGGCAAAAAATGCTACGAATCTGATAAGGGCTCACTTTCGACTTTATGGCCATGTGGCTTTTACAGCAAAAACATTTGGCTTTAGAATGACATAAAGTATTACAAAAACGTAATCCGGAGTGCGCAATAGCGAAAGCTTTACTGTATGTATGCCATTTTTGACACTATGACATTGTACCGGGCCAATTTCCTTAACGAATACACTACGCATGATCGCTACAAGCTGCTGTCGCCCTGGAGCACATCAGAATAATTGTATTTTACATTTTTACTTGTTGACGGAGAATGAGAGATGCATGGCCCATTTGTTTCAGGAAAAGTGTGCCCTACCAGTTTTCTCTGTGTGCTTATAAACTACTACATGAGATACATGTATGGTTTGGTGTCGAAAAAACAGTAGTACGTAAAATAGAACTCGCAATACAAATACCACTTAGCAGCAAGAGACGGAGCAATCACTGCCCAACTAAGGCAGGATTTGATGCTGCAATTTGCATTGATTACGCGTGAGCATGTATAATATGCATATAGTTATGCTTATGCATGTGTAATACTCGTATGTAGATTTTTAATTAAACGAAACAGAATCAAAACGTAATAGAATACCCTCGTTAGTTCTGGCAACCAGCTTTGGGCTGACTTCCAGCAATCTTCTTGTATCATAAAAATTAATAATATATTGTTATTATATACAATGTTTCGAAATTTTCTGCCGGAGAACCGCGGTGTCCACACAGATCGCAGTCTTAGTTTTGCAGAGTGTAATCGAATTAAGTTGTAAACTTTACGCTGCTGTACTTGTACATAGCTTATTGTGATCGTACAGATACCCTTTGAGTATCTGTACGATACAGAAACCCCTTGAGTACAGTTTCGGCCTGGCAAGATACAAGCTGTAGAATTAAGCTGCGGTAATTCACGATCAGTACTTCAGTACAGATACTTGTAAGTAATTGTTTTGGACCTATTAACTCAAAGAATTGTAGGCATTCTGCCACCGCTTCGACTTTCATCAGACAAGGTCTCTACAGCATACCCACGGAATCGTTCATGAAACAAGATATATACCCATACCCACGGAATATACCCACGGTACCCACGGAAAGGGTCCCACGGAATCGTTCATGAAACAACATGGGATCTTGCCGCTCTTCACGAGATGGAAACAAAAGGAAGCGATATGGTTATACAAGATCAAACATCCGGAAAAATTCCATGTGCCGCAGTACATCAGCGAGATGGTGGAATTTGACGACCGTATCAAGCCGTACAACCTTCGGAATAGAAACCGCATCCTGATAAAGGCGGAAGCGAAGAAGAAAGTTGGCGAGACGACCTTTGCTTGGAAGCTTAATAAATTGTGGACATTTTTTGTTGATTCTAATTTTTCTGATCTGTTCGATATTCGTACTATTGGTGCTTTTAAGCAAGCTTTGAACCGTGTCAATTTTGTTTAAGGAGTCCTTTTCTGTCTATCTGTACTCGTACTTTTAGATCTTACTGTTTTTGCCAGGTTTAAAATCCCAGCTAGTATGTCACCCTAGCCGGAAATGGGCTACCTGCTCCACGATGAATAATAATAATAAAAAAAAACCAAACAGCAGCTCCGCCCAGTTGAGCTGTTGGCAATTGTCGCCACCGTCAGTTGAATTTGAGCGCAAAAAATTCGAGCTGGACCGTATTTTGGAAAAGCAGTAGATTGGCGGCAGTCTTTTTCCGCGGACAGATACAGCAGATAATTAACTTGAAGATAAGCACAATAATGTGCAAAAGCCATCAGAACTTCAGGAGTTGAGCAGTTTTACAAGAACGTTTTAGTGCATATTGCTGCGCGTAGGCTGGCATTTGACCTTTTTCACTTTCTGCTCGTTCAGACAATAAGGTTTTCAGTTTCTAACAGCCAAGTGGTCTTAAAGTTACAGGTTTTAGACAGCTAGAAAAAAATAAATTTAACATAACGCAGTTCGAACATAAGATCAACATCATCCAGCATAAGATCCAACAACAACATCTTCGCATCTTCCAACCTACGATTTATATTCACACGACTGAACCCACGAGCATAAGAAATCTTTCCAAAGGTACTGCAATAGTCCTGATATTTTCTCTCTCATCCTGCGTACACGGTACAGTACCTATTTACCTGTTATGCATTTAAAAAGAGCCAATTAATTTTCGGCTACCGCAGTAGAGGAAATGCCGCTATTACTTTGTATAATATTATTACAGAAATCCTGAAAGCATTACTTACCAGTTTACCATTAATGGACAACGATCTTGGGTATTTCTCAGCTTAGAAATACTTTTAAAATATTTTCCCTTGGTTTTAAAACGGCAAACTAATTTTGTTCAACACGATCAGCCACCGCCTCCATCTTTCTTTTTAGCCCTAATTTGGACCAAACATGCAATAAGCAAACTGCAAATATGCAAGCAAAATCTACAAAAAATATTGAAGACAGTAAGAAAAATATAAACTTGACATAATTATTCAGTAGATAATTAGAGATATCAATATGTACAGTAAGTAATTAATTATGAGCAGCTGCCTAGCTAATAAGTTATACTTCTACAGATGTTGCGAAGCTGAATTAGCAAATAAGAGTACATCAGAAGACACTACAATCCAAACCTAGGAGAAAATAGTTCAGCTACGTGCCTGATGTGCACGAAATTAGCAGGAATTTAAATACCACCAAAACCAAAATTTTTCCTGAAGAAGATTTAATACGAGGCCATAGAAACTCAATATTATAGAATAATTTCTCTGACAGACCAGAGCACGGCGCTGGTAAAGCAAAGAATTTTTGCTTCTTTCTGTTGATTTCATTTAAACTGCTCTCATTTAAAAATGAGGAATTTATGTATGTTTTAACAATAATGTATCTGGCTACTAAGAGTTAAGACTAGTGACATATCTGGCTAATCAACATTTTTTTAAACGTTCCGTTTTTAAACGTTTTAAACGTACGTTGCGTTTGCATTTCGTATTTTCGTGTTTGTGTATTTGCGTTCTTGGACTACTCCCTTTGCGTTATTGCTTATATAGCACAATACGTATCGCGCGCATTGCATTGTTGCAAGGTTGAAACAACATTTGCCAATCGATAACGATTTGTCGTAATCCAGCGCAGTTTGATGCGAGAATTCATCTTTCAAGAGGCACAAACAGTGCCGCACTTCAGTCACATCTCGATCTAAATGCAGGATCTAATGTTCGCATGCGTCAGAGGAGATTACCTGGACTCTTTTCCAGTGCTGCAGATTTTCTTACTTGTTAGCTTGAGATACTGTACTTCACTATTGCCGCGAATAATACTGTCCGCAATAACTACCGTATAAACGATAAGGAAAACTAATATGTGTAAGTCATCGTCACATTTCTAGTGGAGTTACTGGAATATATAATAAAAGGAGTAAGGACTGCATTTGAGCTTGCGGCTGATAAACTCCCCATGTACCGCGAATTAACGGTTAGTAAAATGTCCTTACTGTATTTTGACTTGTGCTGAGGCGTGAATCGATCAAGGTACAATAACAGCAAAAATCTTTGTGCCGGAAATAGTAAGCACGTCTTAATTTACTGTTAAGTGTTTAACAGCTAACTGAATCACAGCGAGTTTAATCCAATTAGCATTTGATCGATAATTCGGTACAAAACTGAAAGCGTGTATATGACCACACGTAGTTCGTTTTATGAACAAATTATTGTGTTTCCCTATTTTTTGGATCATCAGGAATAACCTTTCTACGGCTGTTACAGCAGATTAGGTACGCTTAAACGCACATGATCTCCGTAATCATTCGGCATGCCTGCCGTAAACTTTAACGGGAGTTTATTTGCCAACGCATCGGAAACGGATGTTACAAGTGCAGACTCAGGATGGGCGATTGCGGATCTAATGAAGCGACTCCATGACGTAGCATTATGCATCCGTGAAATGTTTCCTATTTCGCGACTGATCGGTAATTCGACGGAGGATTATTTCTGGCTGAATGGAACACAGAATAACACAGACAGCGATGTTCTTGCGGATCCAAATTTTTCGGAAGAAGACGAAAGCTCATTATTTCATACAGTTATTGTTGTATCTGTGTTCTGCTTGATTGTGCTTGTGCTTGTCATACGGTCCAGTCGGGGTGGATCCTGGGTGTCCTGCAAACTGGACAAAATCGCTGTCCAGAATGCTAAACTGCAGGAAACTCTCTTAGCCACTCAAAATACGCCGAACGCTGCAACATATCCGGTGATGCCGAAACCGATCAACCAGCACATCTCAACGGCTCGTACCAGCCAAGCATCAGCAAACGACCAGGAAAATGATAACTGACTTTATTGATTCTCCCAAAACACGCGAACAAACTTATACAAAAGGGCAATTTGTCAATTGTCGCCGCAACTGGTAAAATTTGATTACTATTCCGCCGCTTTTCCACACATGCTAATTATAATACTTGGATTCAGAAGACTGTGCGAGCACATATATGATTCGAATAACCATGCGTTGCTACGATTAATTGTTCTTAATCGTAGTGAGCGTGAAAACAGCTAGCAGCATCAGTGTGTGTTTTCTCTAAATAATTATGTTGCGTTTTGTTGCGCGTTGAACCGATTTACATCTTTAGGCACCGAAATTACTTGCACATTAATTGTTATAATGCCATCTTTGAACCCTGCTTGGCCACCCATTTTTCACTGCGCTATGATGTATACGTACTTCGAAGTGGTGCTTTAACGCGCTCTTGCTGAAAATAAAGAAAACTCCATATACATGTATAACATGTTTGATTTAGCTATACAGCATAACCTTCGGCTGGGGTTATGACTCCAACGCTCAACCGACTGGAATCGCGAAAAACTGGATAATTTAAATTAGCAGACAGCGATATGCCGGTACCATGCAGTCAATTACAGCAAAGTACTTCTGATATTAATACGCTTCTGTTGTAATTAATCCGAGACCTGGTTTAGCATTACATAAATAAATAATACGCTGCTCAGCAAACCGCTTGCTTGTACAGAATTACGAACACAAAGTAATATTAATAACCAATAATCTAATTAACCATCACATCGGAAGAACGATTGAATAGAAAACTTCATAATCTCCAGTTCTTTCATTGGGAGTCAAATGGTTTTACTGGGCCGGCACACGTCCCTCCTTTATTTTCTATTTGGAATGTTTTTCAATACCCAGTCCAATCCGTCCCGCACTCCTTCACCGGTAACTGCGCAGCACGGCTGGATCTGCCATACTCGATCCCGAATGGTGTGCAATTGTAAACCTTCTGCGATTTCATTGGCCGGTGCCGCATGGTTCAAGTCCTGCTTATTGGCAAAGACCAAGATTGGTACCCCGCTTAATTTTTCCTCCATCAGCAATTCACCCAGCTCCTATAACAAATTAATGTGCATATTGCGAAAATAACAAGAAAAAACAAAAAAGGGAAACTAATTCGCATGTCACAGCGAACTGCAAACAGCAAAGCACCACAGTACAACTGCCAGTAGTACGTTTGTCTACGTTCGTACCAAACAGAAAGAAAGATCATAATTATGTTAACGTATAAATAAGTATGTGGTAAATTATTGCTTACAGTGACCTTACCATTAATTAGTTTAGGTTGTTTCAAATTAGTGTAGGTTTTAGGTTGTTTTTAATTAGTTTAGGTTGTTAATTAGTTTATTTCACCTCTGTTGTTCCGCTCTAGAGTACTTAGTTAAATAACACAGATTGGCGGCGTCAACGCTGTACGTGTTGATATACCCAGTTCTAAACAAGTAATTTGCTGGCGCGATGAGCCGGCAGTTTTAGGGTCGCATGAACCCCACAAATGGGCACCCAATACATCCAGGCCTGGTCGCCGGGGTTTTCCGAGGTGACCGGACCCTGGATCATTGGTTGCGCTACTCGGAGGACATTTTCACGCGTTATTTCGGACGCACTTCGAGCCCACGATGGGCCACTGTTGACGCAGAAAAACAGCTGTTTTGGGGCAAGAAAAGGCCCATCCGTAGGTTTTAATAGAACAACAAAATACCGCTCACCGGCCGTTTTCGAAAGTCTTTACACTTTATTGTGCACCCAAAAAATAAAAATTACATGAGAAAGTACACCATTCGGCGACCAATTTCGACGTTTGCACAAACAACATAAACGTACAAAAAATCGCACAAATTTAAAATAAAACTACTAAATATAAAACTAAAAATAAAATACTATGATCAAAAGCCTTCACGCTGCGTTTTCGAACGTCATTTTTCAAGAATAATGAATAGATTACGAAGATCAAACGAAGTCCAAATCCTTCCTTTCGATTTCGACTGAAACGCGACGACTTGCTGCAACAGCTCCTGTAATAAACACAGCTGTCAATTCCAGTAAAGGTACAGTAATCGCACAAATGTAACGGAGAGGCTGACGGATAACTCGCCAACAGACAAAACAGCAATTAGGGAAACTGAGTTACACGTTTTCTAATTTCTCATGTAGCCAAGTTATAATAGGTTTACCTGTTGAACTTCGTGGCTTGAGGGACCTCGAATTCGGCGTTTCAGATCAGTCGAAGCTGAGACTGTCCACATCCAGAAGAGCGAAAAAGAGACTGGGAAAGTTCAGATGTTCGACCGTAAACTATACTAGATCAGGTTGCAACTTTCTGTCGATGACACCTCCATTTCAACGCTAACATCAAACTAAATCTAAGAAAAGTTTTAAAACAAAATCAGTCTCGAAATTCGTTTAGATTAACTGAAAGAAAAAACAAAAGTCTAAAACCTAGCAGACAAACATCAACAGGACGAGTTCGCTGCAGCTAAAATTTTAAAATAAAAGTGAAAACTAAACTTGCACAAACGCAGCGGCCATGCGTAGATTTGAATTCGAAACTGAATGGGCATTGGCGGAAGTTAAATGCCCGCCCCTTATGCAGCTTATAAACTGGAAGCCATGGCAGCCGCCTATGGCGGCGCAGTTTCAGCATGCCGTTCATTTTCGGTGTTTCGCCCGATCACTGGCGGCTTTCACAATAATTTGTGTTTAATATGCGTAGTTGCGGCCGCACAAAGGCCCCGGCAAAATCAACCATTCCGACTGGGATAGACACAGATATCTATATACTTACAGTACTTAAAAATTATATAAATATAATTAATAACACGCGCACCATCGAATTCTTAATAAATTGTAATGTCTGTACAAATTAAACAGTTAATAGTACAGGCTGTTTTTTTCAAATTCGATAATGATCGAGACAACTTTAGCTTTGCAAAAATTAATACAAAAGCTTATAAAACGAAATACTTGCATGACAAATGCAGTATGTACTGGGCATGCAAATAACATTAGAAGTACAGTAGTTGTACAAGTAAGTACAGAACACACAAGAACTACCGACCTGTGCACAGGTGGTAAAATTAATATGGATAGTAAATTTATCAGTTCTTATGGTACGAATCTGTAAGTATTAATTAGATGCTATCCTTTTACTTCCGAATAGATTGCGATCACGTCAGCATCTCTAGGACAGTTCTTATCTTACTTTAATGTATTGTTTCTTGTACATTTAGCTTATACACAACAGTTAACATCACAACGTAGTACACTCAATCAGCAGAAAACAGCCTCGGGAGGTCTAAGAACAGAGAACAACTGATCTAAATTTGCTCCCGGTGGAGCTATTCCCTAAACGGAGGCCGCGTTCCCGCGCTGGCCGGATTCCTATGCTGATACGCTGGCGCAGGTATTCCGGTGCTCTTGCCTCGCCAGTTTCGTGCCGTACTCTTCTACCCACTTATCTTACTTGCTTAAGTAATTTGTTTACTTATTTTCCAAATTATTTATATATCACAAATACAGGATTTTCACTACTTTCGAGTACTCGTACTTCACATGTACAGCATGGCGTTGATTGCTACTAATCATGAGGCGTGGCAAATTGTGACGTTTCTCCTACTCGAGTAATGGTTGGAAATTTGGAAAGAACTCCAAGATACAGTACATGGCCGAATGCAGTTGGTGGTGACAAAGTACAGCAAGCTGTCTTTGCTCAGTTTGCTGATTAGTTCGTGCGGAAATCGATGTTTATTTATCTACCTAATCGAAATCAGCAAGAGCCGATTTTGGCATTATTTTTCTACTCATAGTTACGGTATTTGATTACCAATAGCAAGGCAACATGTCCATGTGTTACCGTGCTGAGACAACTGACAGCCACAAAGACGGACTGCGACCATCGTTCTACAAGGAAGCGAATTGGCTGCAAGAGCTTGATGACCGCTTCTATTACCCCGACTGTGATGGAAAATGGATGTTCTTCTTCCCACGTTCTGCCATCGACGACCGCTGGAATGAAGCTGTGGGACTGTATCGCGCAGGAAAGCTTGCAGGAGTAGCTTCGATGCAAGTCAGCACAGCGTCGCCCAGTCCGCGTGCTGGTGACCAAGTGGACCACGTTATCCTCTTCTTTTGCGGACCTTCTCATCTTGAAGACCACGTGAAACGCATCGGTGCTTCCATTGCAACAGCTTTCCCGCCGGGGCACAGTGAAATCCGCTACAAGTCCAATTTCCAGACATTCTCAGGAACACGTGCGACCGGACAACGGATTAATTCGCTGTACAGACTGAGAGGATGTCCTACTCGTCCGAACGAGTCACGCGAAGAGTTTTACGACGCGGTCAAACCGGAGAAGACGGTAACTGATACGAGCACTTAATGGATTTTTATAATAAACTGCAAAGCATTTTGGGATCTGCTGCTGTATAATGACTGCAGATATGTCGATAAGGTCATGTCCGCGACGTACTGCTGAAAGTGCGGCATGGTTCATGAACTTTCTTTTTACGTATTGAACTGGAATGTGCGTTGCCAAAAGGTTTTATGTTTTTTAGTTTCAAATCTCATATTATTACAGGTTTATTAAGCACATAATTATGGCACTTTATAATTGAGAGTACAGGTATTATGTATATCAGAGAATCGCATATATCATTAAAGTTAATGGAGTTTTTCGATATATTCTGGAATTTCTAGTAGACGGGAAAAATAGATGTTGTGTACAATTAACTGGGTTACAAATACCTTGTGCTAAAATGATTCTGTGAAGCAACCGTAAAACAACGGAAATGTGAACATGAACAAGGCTGTTATCGTCTGCCAGCAAGAAATCTCAAGAATATTGACGAGTAAATAGAGTTACGCAGATCTTGCTTACGTAATTCATCGGCAGAATTTCACTGTACTTTGTCCATGCAAAATAGACTACTAATTAATTTCAGGTTATTATCAGTAGCGGCCGTAATTAATTCGTGATGAATTTTCATTTCGCGTTATCACAACTTCGATAAAATGTTGTACTCCAATCGACTGCACTTTAAAGCTAATATTACTAGTAAATTGCTACAGATAGTAGTAATATAGTGCACATAACTGTGATTATTAATAATACAATTATACACACAATGTCATATCTTGGAACTTTAATTTTCTATGAAATCTCAGGTCGTGCTTGTGTCGTCTTATCTACGAGTCGTAGAATGTGCCAGCAGAACACACCTGCTGTACGTATACACAATATGCAACCCGTAAACGCTAAAGCAATTTGCGGAAGAAACGGTAGCCCAAAAATTTTCGATCTGGAGCTTCGTGCAGAACGAATTTTCTGAAGATCTGCACTGCGCAACAGCTAAACGTAGCGGTGGTCGACTATTCTCAAGTCGCACATTGTGCAATGTGCATCGCGGTGATCTGCTGATGAAAAGCTTGCGGCATTGATGTCCTGTGTCGAAAAGAGAGCAACTTTTGCCAGCTTTTCTGTCGCATCGTTAAAACAAGTAATAGCGAGCAAACGCTGACTTAAATTGTTGTAATTAATGGGAACCCGTGCAACCGGGCAAAAAATAAATTCGCTTTATAGTTTGTTCGAATGTCCTACACGTTCTAATCTACCAAGCACGGCATTCTAATCATGAAAATCTTGTTTCCTGCGTTTAAAGCAGCTCAGATCCTGTTGTTAGTTGATCTTTACTGTCTTTGTGCCCTATCAAAAAGCCGCTCGCTCTCACTCACTTGTAAGAAGAAAATATTCAAAGGTTTCTCGCAAGTTGCGGAAGATTTTTCAATAAGGACGAGGTAGCTGCTGTATAATAAATGAATATTTCCCCGCAAAAAAAGTTATTAATCGAAGTTAACGCCAGCTGAGGTATCTACAATACCATACGTTTACGGACTGCCCATTCTTTGCCCCTTATGTATGCAGCGGCGCATGTTCGAAAATGTTTGATGTAAAAAGTCTTTTTAACGGTCAGATTTTCAACACGGTTTAAACGGTTCATAACTTCATACATAGCGGTCTTTACCTAAATAGCTAACATACTGGAATACAATAAAAGCGACTACTTTTATAGGATACTTACACCCGCAGTTTCCTCAAATCGATGGCGATCCGCACTGTCTATGACATAAATCTGAAACAAAAAAATGCAGATAATATGGTTGGCTCACAACTTGGCTGTAATGCCGCATATGTATATACTTCGTAATAGTGTAGTAATGCCACTTTTCATGTAAGCTATATTTACACAGTATAATATATATAATATGCGTATTTTTTAGTGTGTAACGTGTACTTGCACATGTACTTCGAAGTATGGTTTAAATATAATAATACTGTTTTAATGTAGGCGTAATTCGAAGTATCTAGTCTTTCTTTTTTGCAATGTTAGCCCTGTACTAAACAGCGGCTTCACGTAGGCTTGTCGTATTTAGTCACAAATCCCAAGATTGTAGTTAAATGTTGATTAATTGATTTCCGAAATAAGTTAGGAGCTGCACTTACTAGAATATCTGTATTCTCAAAGTAATTTTTCCAATAAGGCCGGATTTTTCTTTGTCCTAAAATTAGAAACGTATTGCAAAGGATGAACTTGCAGTGAAATGAACTCGCCAGCGTACCTCCAATATCCCAGATATTCAACTGTAAGGAAAGTATCGCATTAATGATATCATAATTATTATGATATGTTCTGATTCCCCCAGTTTACAAACGACTGGTTCACACTTACTTTAAAACCAGCTGACTGGACACTTTTTATGTTGAATCCTTGTGTTGGTGTAACATGCGTGACATCCTCCGTGGCAAGCTTTTTCAGCATTGTGGTTTTTCCGGCGTTGTCTAGACCGAGCAGCAACATTCTTATGTCACGGTCTGGTGTTGATTTCAGTTTCCGTAAGAAGGCTAATAATCCCTGTATGCCGATATAAATATTATATGTGTATACACATTTAATCGATGAAGGCGATGGTATGAAGGAAAACTTGCCATATTGGTATCGGTATATGACTTCCGGTTTTCCAAAGAATTTCAGTTACGATTGAGTTCTTTTAAGGCAAATGATCACAACAGATCTTGACAAAATCTCCAGTAAGCAATAGTATTTCGACAGTTAACGAGGGAAGACATCACAGTTCTTTATGCAAAGCAATGAGAGCATTAATTTTCCTATTCCCAAGTAATAGCGGAATTATGTCATAATTTTCTAACATAGCTGCGGGAATGCGGTTGCACTACGGTGTAATACGGCGGACTACTGTTTATATGGTACCTACTACCTGTTATCCGTTCCCGTGGATGTTCTATAATCACCTTCAGTCAGAACCTGCTACGGTATGACTCGGATCAATAAAAATCCCGACATACGGGATGACTCGTAGTAATAGCACGGTGCAGGGCAGGCCTGTGATATCATTGTTCGGGAATGCACCACTACCGGCTATAACCTGCGCAGACAAGCATTGTTGTCGTACCTTATCCACGACTTTGCTGTCGACCGGTCTATCACTTACTGCAGCAGCATCTTCAAATTCTGCTCCAGAAACGAATTATCGACGAAATGGGTTTAACGCTTCCCACGGTGAGATAAAAGTAGTCCATAACTCAAAGTTACTTAATACTGATGCACTGAGCCAATAATAGGTAGTATGTATTTAATCCAGTACCATAGTTATGTGCACCTCCATCAGCTCTATGCGCCGTTCCTGGCAGCCATTATTTTCCACAGATCATACTCGGACTTATTAACACAACAAACAGAAGTTCTTGCCGGCGCGCTCTTACCAGCCCAAAAATAGCTATGTAATTGTAAGACAATTAAATCCACACATGGAAATAGTATACTGGAAAAATATCCAGCCATAACCGCAATGAAGACATCAAACCAAAACTACTAAGTCACTGGAAGAATTAAAGGATACCCTAACAAATCAACAACAACAGCAGAAGTACTAGTAATGCTGAGTCAGTTGGAGCTGCCTTACGGACTCACTACAGGTCGGCGGATCTTTCGTCGTCTCCGGCTAAAATTCCGCTCTCCTTTCAGTTTTTGTTCACTGGAAGCATCAGAATCCGAGTCGGAATCGTGATTTAAAGCCGAAAATTTGACCGGGAGGGTATACTTTTCCAATATTCGTTCGATATCTCCAACAGAGAACTTGCCGGCAATCTGATTAAGAGTGCGCTCCATCTGCTCATCGAAATGTATGTCCGGCAAATCTTCGCCGTTGTCCATTTCATCATCCGATTCCGAGATACCCTCAACATCTGACGAGGAGCTGTCGGCGGGAATCATACCTTCTTTCCCGTCCATCACCATCATTTCCTCGTCCGAACTTAGATCAAAATCCACATTTAAGCCGGGCTTATAGGACTGATTAAACGGCCGCGTATCGGTTTTTAAACCATGGAAGAAATTTGTGAGGATGGACTTCGGATCTCCAGTCGATACACTGTCAATGTGTTCACAAAAAACCTATAAACAACAAAAACTGTCAATGCGTTTACAAAAAACATACAAAACAAAGGCACTGCAGCAAAATCGAACGAAGCTAAAAACTACGCTATTAAAAGCTAGCAGCATTTAACGGATTCTAACCCGAATAAGCTCTTCTCTGGTGGAATGGGCCGGAAGCTCGATATCGAAAAACTTCATGTATGTGAGAAGATCTCCAGTCGTAAAACATTCACCGATACCGTACTGCAAAGAGAACACAGAATCAGTTCAAAACACAGCAATCCTTGAATGCAATCAAAAGGAGTGGCGCAAGTCAAGAAAAACAAAATATCTCGTAAATGTGCAAGGAAGGACAATGAAGAATGTGCCACAAAACTGAGAACATTCATCGTATCTGGAATCCTGCAATTTGAAAAGCTGTAATTCACCTTTCACAGATTCAGTTGTACAATCAGCATTTTGGGATCAAACATGCTGCATTCAAAAGAAACTTATAGCGACCTTTATGACGACATTTTGCACTGCATTCCTTTAGTGAGCCTTCTGTCGTCATCATTTTGCCATCCTATGTCCTAGCTATACACTAAGCAGAACATTTACTTACCAGAAGGTCAGCAACAGCCGGTCCATTCAGCATTTCTTCTTCTGAACTGTCATCTGTTCCACCATCGGGACTCTGCTTAGCCGAAGATACTTTAGTTTCGTGTGACTGAGCTTTCCGCATATCAACAGGCGTAGATGATGGCTCACTGTACTCCTTAATTTTTCCTTCTGCTAGCGCACCAGCAGGTTTGTGAGCCGGAGATCCATTCATCCGTTTGCTGTCCTGTTCAGTACCGGCATGGGAGCTTTCTTCAGGTTTCATAGTAACTCCCCCATGTGAGGCGGTTGGTTCACCGCTAAATGTCGGGAAATGTGACGTATGAGAAAACTGCCCCTGACCAGTGTGACCACTGGAATGGCTGGGAACAGTGTTAGGAGGGGTAGCCGGAGCTGGACTGGGTCCAGAGGGCACAACGATGCGCAGTTTTTGGATGTAATTTTTATGATAATCGCAAATGTATTGGTGTCCCGCCTGCAAATCGCATTTGCAAAATCTGAAACGGTGATGGTCTCAACTGCATAACATTAATTACTCTTATTTACCACATTGTCTTCGGTTAACAACGCTCCGCTCCGTGTCACCAATTCGCGAATTTTTATTGTAAAATTGGCAGTACCAGCCGGACGATTGCATCGCGTCCCACGATCCAACAAACAACAGGTTCGGTTCTCAGGACTAACGAAGATTGTGCTAATAGGATAGAGAACTCCAGAGCCCGAGGGAGTACTGTAGGCACCGCGATGAAAATCGTCCGTTCTGGATACCGGAATCAAGCTTTGCGGGAAATAAGGGAAACCAGCAGCGTCAGGTAAATGCATGCGCAAATCCTGTAGATGCGGGGTGCTGAGCATGATCTAAATAAACAAGTGCAAAGTAAGAGCTTACGTGAATTATGAATAACAGAAATTCATAAACCAAACTGACGGTCCAACTTTCAAATTAACACAACATTTGCATATGCAATGTATTAGTTGTTTCTTGCTGGTTATACAGATTCGTAAGGCCGTACTATTAGGATTAATCCCTAAATCAAAACGATCTCAGAAATGTTCAAAGTTTTGGGCAATGCATTTTAAAATGTATAGTAAAGCACATCTACCGATCTACGTTAGAAGCTAGCATGTGCAAATTCAAAGCGGCGAATCTGCAACTTACGGGGGCATGAATAGGGTTCTGGTGCATCTGAGCAGCGATGTGTCGCTGCAAAGAAGCGTCAAACTGGTTCAGCTGCTGCTGATGGGGTGCGGGAATCGGATGCGCAATCAAGGCAGTTCCCGGGGGAAAAGTGAACGCAGCCTGCGGGACAGTGGTTCCTGTCAGCTCCATAGGGGCCTGTTTCGGCCGAGAAGAGTGCGGATCGTCCAACGCTCCCAAACCAATCGTACTCATCACAGGAGAAAGAGACTGAGCTGGTTCTTGAGGACCTAATGAGATGAGATCAGGAAACTTGCATCTTCACACCGGGCTCAACGCCAATTATTATTAGCACTCGTAGCGGATACTGATACAGTGATGCAGTAGCAAGTTGTAGTATGAATTGAATAGTGAATCGGAATGACTGTAGCAGATCAGCCTGCTGTGTTAGTATTGTATTTAATTTCAGATGACATTGCAAATTAATTATACGGTGTATTCACCTGCGGCACTTACCATTCATTCGCAGGTCTTTATTGTTAAAAATAAATCCTACAGGATACCGATACATGCCCAGAATCAGTAACCGTCCGAATGTTGATCATGATCGTGACTTTAAAGTATGAACAGAAGGCACATTCCGGACATTCGGATTCCTTTAATGCTCGATGTCATCACTTTGTAGTAGCCTGAGGCTTCACATGAACAGGAACTAAAAAATTAGCCAAAACGAAGGATAGAAGATCACAGAACCACAAGGTGAAAACGATACGGGATGAACTCAATGAAGAAAAACTCGCCAGGTGGGATAAAATTGTTCACAGCTTGCTTGCAAACAAGAAACTGTGCCACCACCAAGTCCTCCCAAGTTCTGAACGAATGGCGAAAGCTACGCGTAAACTTATGGGCGGAGTTAAGTTTTGCAGGCTGTAATGCAATGAGGCGGTTGGACCTGCGACAAAGCCGATAGTGCGGTTTGTAAAGTCAAATTGCTTCCAGGTTCCGAGTCCATCGGTTATCATCGCTGCTCGACTCACAGGCCACATCCAAATTGCTGTACAGTGCGGGCTCATCGGGGACTGACGATGGGCGATGGCGATGGCGATGATGGATAGGAAGATCAGCGCCAGCGGGCACCGTAAGCAAAGTAACTGAGTGAGTTTGATTTCCAACGAAAATATGTGTCCTTTGGAGTGTAGGTTCCTTTTTCGTTTTTATTTAAAGCGAGCAAAATGGCTTAAAAATATGTACTGCATAATTTAGCTCAGACCCTTCTGCTCTAGTAGCCAGTAGCCAGTGGCCCAGTTGCTAGCCACTAGCCAGGGCCTCCACTCCGCCAGGCTATTCAGTAGTGTGCACTATGCATTTTGCACCTGCTTAGGTAGACGGTTTCGGTTTTCCGGACCGACAGCTCTAAAGTCTAGACCAAGAAAATGGCTCCCGTCTCGATTTTGAAATTCCTAAAAATGCCCGATTTGGCGATTTCAAGACAGCTCAAAAGTCAAAACATACAGGTTACGGGGTGTGGAATATCGAATAGTGACGAATACGCATATCGTATTCATGTAGTCTTACGATCAAGAATGCTAACAAATTAGTAAAAAAGCTTTGTTGGTTTCCCATTTGGCAGCCAGACTGCATTTTGGCTCACCACACCTTTGCGATACTTCTATTGCGGTTTTATCGCTAATTTGCTTGCGCTAACGGTTTGTCGAGCTGCGTAACTGCGTTGTATCACTTGTATGATAATTTGTTGGATTTGGATCAGTCGTTTTCCGGGATTTTCCAATATTTTTTATGCTCATCTGTAGTATCATCAAAGCCTGAACATTGTCAACCGCATTGAGAGGTAAGCCTTTTCTCTTAATAACACGCTGCAAGCACGTCAAACGTGCCGAATGAGCTAGCGTTGCGTTTTGACGATCCTTCTTTTCTTTAAAATAATGAAGCTGGGTTTCTGAGACTTTCCACCGAGCCCGAATAAGTTACACTTATTCTGGCATGCATCAGTTGCATAAAACAAACGGTATGGTCAGTATGGATCCACACTACCTGTACTGTCGATAACAGCATAACCATTATGGCATAACTACTACTATAGTACTTGCGGTCCGTGTTTCTTTCTGAAAATCACAAATATGCGTGACAATCGGCCAATCTCTGAGGCAGTTGAAAATTAATATTATTTATTACCGTATGGCGTATAATAGCATGATTTAATGCTGATGCCGTGTTGTGCTGATTTATAAGTTATAAGAAAGTGGAACCAATAGATAAATGTTGCTGTGATTGTTGTAACTTTTTATTTTGGGCTGTGCTTCCATATTTGACTCCGCTGTCTGAACGGCATCGTAAGTTCATAATTACTAATAACTGACGAACTAAAATTTCTTGAGTTCACAATCAGTTTTGAACTTTTGAATGATTACAGCAATAAAGGAAACGAAATGAAGATTTCGGCTTCGAGTTTTGTATTAGCTGGAGGTGCGATTTTGTATTGTATCGAATCTGATATTTCGTGTATAATAGATTTAGATTGTGAAGTGTTCAATGTAGTATACAAGATATGGGGAGTTCCGTGAGTGCACAATAATATTGTGCAGAAGTGGCGTCTTAGGGGGCATCCATAAATTACGTACGCAGAAAACCACGATTTTTTCACCCCTCCCTCCCCCTTCGTAGCGGTCCGTCACATTTGCTTGACCCCTCCCCCCTGGTTCGTTCAATCGTAATATATGGAGCTGACCACCCCCTCCCCCCTGGGTTCGTCGAGGCCGTCACAGCTTGTCACGCTTTTTGGACCCCTCCCTCCCTGGTTCGCTGCGTACGTAATTTATGGATCCCCCCTTACTTGATTTTATTCGTGATTTTACAGCCATTGCACCATCTGCGGACCCTCCAGTTGTTAAGTGACAACGTAACAGAAGCACGCGTGCGGTGGCCCATGCCACAGGCTGTTTTAACGTAAATCTTTGAAAATTCATAACTTTGTTCATTCCTGCATTAAAATTTTTATGTATAATCTGAAAATGCAAAAATAATGCACAGTATTAGGCAAAATAAATGTCTTCTCTGTTTCTTCTTCAGGGTAACGCACTAGGAGCCCCTGCGGTTAACATAGCCGCCTATGACAAATCCTCCATAGGCGGCTATGCTAGCCGTACAGGCTAACAGTGCATAACCCTGAAAGAAAAACAAAAAGAATTTATTTTCCCTAATACTGTGTATCTGCATTTTCAAAGATATACTAAAAATTGTATGAAATAATAGTATCTTTCAAGATATTAAAGCAGCCTGTAACATGAACCCCGCGTGCTTCTGATACGTTATCACTGGAGATCCTATCAGGAATGCAATGGCTAATAAATCTGAATAAAATAAAGTAGACATACTTCTGCTGTCAATAAATATGCCTCGTTCCGTAAATTTATAGACAGATATAGGTGTATATGCACATAATATATGTTGCATAATTGCACGATAATTAATAATGTTGTTGATGCACCTTTTTTGCTTTTAAGATACAAGTACCATTTTGGCTTTCGGAATGGCGAATCCATTTATTCCATTTTATCGTACATACTCGTATTGTCAATTTGTCAGTATTATTACGCACCTCAGGACTCAGGTCAGCAGACTGAGTTACAAAGTGAGATTGCTAAATCGCTTCTATTGTACTGTATTGTCCAAGGAGTCGGATCATACTTGTATAGCACTATACCTGCCCAACACAATAACATTTCGGCTTGATTTCAGTTTCAAAACACCTTTCAGTTTAGACTAACCGAAAATGGCCTTACTTGTTAGATCAATAATGGTGACTGGCTTGATATCGTCTCGACATATTGGGGCGAAATCACGTACAATACGTATATATAGATATAAAGGTTGTATACCTGGAGTAGGTGGTATGCATACTCTTATGCAAACCCGTCTGAAAAGCAGTTGCAGATGGCAGGAGTAGAACTTGAGAAGTATGCAGTAGCATCGCCAGTTGCTCTAGACTGGTTAAACATTCCGCTGGATTGCCGTAGATTATAGAATTAAAATCGAATGGAGTCGTAACGAATTAAGAACAATAATGAGTTAATGACTGAAGATGAACTAAAAAATTCCGATGTCCAAAGTGAATGTAAAAATGATGACATTCTAGACGCTGCCGTTTAGGACCCTTGTATGGAAGCAAGAACTAGGGTAGTCCGGAAACTTAAGAATTATGTATGCACAAGACGATAAAAAGTAAACTAACAAGTAAGAATAATAAAATCTGTCTACGTTGTGCCGTGTTTTGTTTTGAAAATATCTATACATTTCTCGTAGGTAGTGATACACTGACTACGGTACTTGTAAAGCGTAGTATACATACTGTATCTGTAATACTAGAATATTATAATGATCTGATGTGTTATTGACCACGATCTGGCCTCAGAGCTATTAGCGCAAAAGTGACCCTAATTATAGCAAAATGCTTCTGTTCTGCCGATAATTGTGGGGCAGTCGTTTTAATGTGTGGATTGATGTGGTGCACATGCTGAAAATTACTAAAATACACTTCACATTTGTGATTTTTTGACAGTAGATGTTAACGCTGAATAAGCAGATAAATCTTCAAGTTTGCCGAGTAGTAATATTATGCGCTCAAATTCTTGATGTACACCAGAGGTTGCCCATCTCCATTCTATTATGGGATTGGATCCCATTTTTTCCCCATTTACCATTTTTCCATACTAAAATGGTATGGATGGGAAAACTGTATTTATGGATGGGAAAAACGAAGAAATGGGCGGAAAAGGGAAATTTAGAAAATAGGATAAAAATGACGAATTAATACATTTCTACAAGTATTTTGGTTGGCAAAATTCACAAAACCCCCGACACCTTCGCGCTTCGCGCGGAGATTACGCAGGTCGCAATAATTTTTACACGTTATGATGGAGAAAATTTTGGCAAAAACAGCGCTAAATTCACGCTTTACGTGAATAGCTGATTGCCAACAAGGTATTCCGTAAGCCAGCGTCAAGCAAGTTTTTGGTTGTACGTTGTAATTTTATTTTTAAAAAATGGGACGCTAAAATGGGGATGGAAGAAAATGGGTCTGATCCAAAAATTATGGAGCAGAGATGGGTGGGAAAAATTGTAAGAAAATGGGGTATGGATGGGATATGGAAATAGCAGAAATGGGCAACCTCTGATGTACACATTGTACAGTAATAGATGGTCTTTGGTCGTATTACAGTAATGTACTCGTACAATGCTTGATAATTTTCAGCGCGCACAGTAGTTGATACCACGCTCTACGCAGACGCTTAACTTCTTGTATGAAGTTATGAACACTGACATAAATCAATTAGTGCCATTTATGGCCATATATTTTCGAAAAAAACAGCCGAAATACCGGATGGTTCTGCCAGTATTCGGTGCACGTAACACGTAGATCATGCCATCGCCATCAGTGGCATTTGAACAGTAATGAAGAATACAGTGAGCGGTTTTCAGTCTGCTCTCCCAGTCTGCTGGAGAGCAAAACTTTCTCTGTTTCGTATTTCACTACCATTTGTTCACCGATAGTTTAAAATTCTTTTTCTCGTAAGAAATTATTAATAATAGGCAATATCTACACTTGCACGAAAAACAATCACAGGTGTGTTTCGATATTGTATGATTAAGTACTACGTGAAATTTTTCGCTTTACATATTATGCCGAAAGTGTCGTGAGAACTGCACGGGATACTGTGTTATTCGGTGGCATTTGTATTCAGTATCCTTACTTGACCAACATGAAGTTTGTAGAACTTTGAAGTGAGAAAGGACGGCTATTACGAGTAGTAATTTGGTTTCTTTATTTTCATTGAGACGATCATTGCCGTAATAATCCTTATGTACTGTATATGAAAGATCCTATCTGGATGAAAGGAAACTCATCAGCCACTGCAGCACTGAATGTGGTATCGATGATCGTCACTGTATACGAGTATCATGTATCATCCCGACAAATTACTTGATAGTTGGTAGTATTGGCGGACTTTTGATTGCTGCTCTGCCGAACGTCGCTGTAAGTGAATTGCTTCACGAGATTGCTTCGCGGCTGTGCCAAAAAAAACCGGGCAAGTTTGAATTGATTTTATATTCGTACTCAAAAGTTTTAAGGCAGTTTAGTGCCTTTTTCTGAAAATGTTTCAGTGTTATGATAACATAACATATTATGATATCATGACATCAACACTGTTTTAGCGTTTGCATGTGCGTAAGAGTGAAATGTTGAAATGATGATTTGTTACAGGATTTTTGTGCCTTGAAAAAATGTGCTGAAAATTTGGTCGTGTTCCTTCTAGAATTCATCAACTCGGTTAAACGAAAAGTTTAGCTCGCACTTTACAGTTACGGTAGTATTGGAGCTGTTTCCTCACAATCAGGAAACGTATTACTGTACATTATTATGTGAAAAATAGGTTGCGTTTCTTTTATTAATATTGGCATTTTGAAACTAGAGACTTGTTAGGCTTTAGACTAGAGACTGCTTACTTGTTAGTCATTATTGTTTATTGTATTAATTTTAATTACTGATGATTTAATGATTACTTCCATATTTTTATGTGAAATCAATTGGGTGAGACATCTAGTGCTTACCTTTTAGTACGTACGTAGGCTAGTTAAGCAAGTCAGTTAAAGCTGGTACAGTATGCTGTGGGTTCATGCTCATACTCGTACAGCCGTAAGATGTACCTTAAGAACCATGCGGGCGGTACGCACGTTGGCAAACGTCGGCGGTTCTGGTTTGGCAATAGTGCCTAGCTATGTCGCGCATGCAGGCGCGTTTGGTAAAACGGCGGTAAAATGCCGCGTGGCGGCGCGGGCTGGATGCCGTATCATGTTGCTTTACGAGAGTTGCCAGCAGAAAATTGACCAATAAGAATGCGCACTGGGTGGTGCTTAACCCTTTGAAATGAATTTGGTTTGCGTAGATTTTTTGTAGCGTCGAAGGCGCTTGCTGACTTTATTTTGTTTCTCTTAGATTGATGAACTTTTCATCACGGACATGTTAATAATATTATTATAACATTCGATCGGAATAATACGCGTTCTGCGAATCAACCCGACCATTTTGTAATGAGGAAATTGGATATTTTACATCAAGATCGATTTAAAACTTACCCGGATAGCTTATACATTGTGGAATCACTGAAATCAACGGATTTGTTACTGCCCATACAAATGGACTTTGAATGCCACCTGTTATTATCATACTTGAAGTATCAAATTACGGGTGACCTCAGGGCGGAAAAGTACAATGAAGGCGGTTCTGTTGCTTCTCTGTTTTGTTTGGTAATGATTTGCACCTGTCCAAGTTGAATAGTAGCGGTATGTCAGCAATATTTCGTGAACGATTCGGAGCAACGGGATCCTATAAAGTACGGGAAGCGGAAGCCGTGTCGGAACCAAACATACCATCAATGCGTTCAACTGTGCCGGCTACTGTCCAGTTCCTCGATGAGTCTAGTTGCACATTCTACATTGAAGTATGTGAAGATCTCAGCGAGCGATATCTCTAATATCCGTAAAATATTGTCTATGGCTGTACACTATTTTGTCTGCATTTATGATAATTCCACATTTTTGCAGAAGAATGCCAAAGGACAAGATCTTCTGGATCTGGTTGCGGATCATCTTGATCTGGTGGAGCCCGACTACTTCGGTCTTCAGTTTATTGACCCAGATTTCGAAACTACTTCTGATGGATGGGTAAGATTCTCAGCAAGCTGAGCACTAGACTGATTCTACAAAAATTACGGATTACGCCAGCTACGCACCGTCCTCACCTTTTAACATTAAATTTCTCTTGTAGCTCTTATTATATACTGTATTACATCTATATAGTAATGTCACCTAGATTCCATATTTATAGCAAATACTATAATAGTGAGCACCTTTTAATAATTGTAAGGTGGAGGTTTATGGTTACTTTTCGCTAACAATCTGAAACCTTTGTATTACAAAAGAATGGTTCATCATCGTTTTTGAAATTACATGAAAGTTAAAATCAGTTACTTCGAAAGTGTATCTTGTAGGCATTGTGGTTTTTTGTTTTCTTGCAGAGGTGGCTTGAGTCTCATAAATTTGTGAAGAAGCAAGTGCGAAGTACGTATGTCACTATGAAATATTTACAACTTGTGACTTCTTAATTTTATGGGATGGCATGCCCTATTTGCACAAATGGATAATTTTTCAGCCGGTGTTCCATACGTCTTTATCTTCCGCGTGAAATTTTTCGTATCGGATCCTTGTTTACTGCATGACGAGTACACTAGGTAAGATTTCAGAAATAACGTTTTGCGCTGCTTGCCGGTGGTTCTCTGAGCGGTGTATTCTTTTTTTTCTGGTTGTAGGTACAACTACTTTCTTCAGTTGAAAAAAGATGTCAGGAAGGCAAGCTACCAGTTCCTGAATCCATAGCAGTATTACTGGCAAGTTACGTTGTACAGTGTAAGTGTCATAAATTAACAAATTTTATTCGAATGGTTAAAGCATAGAGAGACCGAGCAATACCGCTTCGCTTTGCTCCGCTCTGTATTAAGAGGAGCGTATTCGTATTGTTCGGTCTCTTTATGGTTAAAGTCTGGCTCATGTTTTGCATTTCTGGAAATACTGGAGTTATAGTGTGCGAGAAATTATCGCCGGTGTTGGGTGTTAGTAATTGTGTGTGCGCTTAGATACCGCACGAATTTATAATCGTGATGGTGCTGTAGTGAAATCTTTCTCACGCTCTTGTTAGTGCATTTTACTACAAAGTTTGTGTTTTCTTGTTAGCCGAACTCGGTGATTTCTCACCGGAAGACCATCGACCTGGCTACTTGTCCGATTACACATTCATTCCACACCAGCCTCCTAATTTTGGTGTCAAAGTCCATGAACTGCACAAGTTGCACAGGTACGATTCGGATATAATTGTGTTAGTTTTAGTGGATAACAATATTAATACGTACTCACATGAAACGTAAAAGAGTTTGTCATATCTGGCATTACATGGTTTCACAGCAGTCTCATATACCAGTTCCATGTTAGGAGTATGTAAAGTAGGGAAATGTTGAGAGTTTAGTAACTTCAAAAGACTGTAAATAAAAACCTCGGTAATGTAACTTTTTACAGATATTCCAGAAACGGGAATATCATCTCTGCAAAAACAACAGTGCTTCGAATTTTTATTGAACAAAATCTGATTAATTTAGAGGCCAGACTCCAGCGGATGCTGAGTTTAACTTTCTCGACCAATGCAAAAGACTGGAAACATACGGCATCAGTTTGTACAATGCGAGGGTGCGTAATCGAACGGATTACTAGTATGGTGTTAACTTTTAAACGCAGACTAGAAATTCGCCATGCATTAAATGTATCTAACTTTAAATAACTGAATTTTGATAATATCACATTTAAGAGATGGTTGACTACGGCGTTAGGCGTTTCTGATATGAGCTTTGAGTTTTCATTAACGACAAGCTGTTATTTCTTAATTCAGGATGCTAACGGAGTTGATATCCAGCTGGGGGTGACTTTTAATGGATTGGTAGTATTCCAGAATGGGATGCGGCTCAGTATTTTTGCATGGTTTGTACTTTCACAAGCTTTAAATTGTATCCCTAACATTTCCGTTGTGCTGCGTCAACCTGTTGCATTGTGTTTTGCTCTTTTTACGACAAAGCACGAGTTTTCCTTTTTAGGGCCAAGATTGTTAAAATTTCCTTCAAGCAAAAACAGTTCTTCATCCAGATACACGAAGAAACGGTGAGAAATTTGGTGGAATGGACTATTGTAATTGGTTAGAGAATAATTGCTGGTTATAGAAAGACTACGACACGCTTTTGGGATTTTACATGCTGAGTTATCGCACCTGCAAAAATTTGTGGAAATCTTGCGTCGAACATCATAGTTTTTTCCGTTTGAAATCCACACGTCCATTGATCTCAAAGAAATTTAGCTTTTTCTCGCTGGGATCCAAGTTTCGATATAGGTAAGTTTGTTTTTTGTCGAAAATTTGCTGCTAGGTTAAAGTTTTCATCGAGATCTATTGTCGGAATGTGTGTGCAACCTGCAAGTCATGAGAGAATTAAGTATTTTTAAGTCTTCATTAAAGCATTTTTGATATTTGGCCTATAATTATTTATAATTAAATTTTCGTTTTTTTTGACGTCACCAGAATTCGCCATAATTTTGAAAACCGAAAAATGATACGAAGTGGGTTTTCCGTTTGTTTTATTGTGATTATAACTTTGGAAAAGTGCGCTTTCCTCGCGTGGTTTACTTTATATGCATGAAAAAACGGCTGAGTTACAAATGTGATACAAAAACAGCGTGACATTTTTCCGTTGCTCTATCGTCGATGTAGTACGATTACGAAAGAAGAAAATGGTTCTGTCGTACGCGAAGTGTGGAGATCAGTTTTAGTGGATGGTGATAATTGCCGAAATGCCATCGTAAGCAATGTTAAGAAAGCTGTTTAGACACGGCCTTTACGTAGCGTGAAAGTGCATTGGTTATATTGGTTGAATGTGATTAGAGTGAAGTTATACGTCGACTTTTACGACAAATCTAGATGAACATGGCGATTGTGCCTGGGCTGTCATGTTTTTTTCTACGGCTTGTAAATCATCGTATCATGGCTTGGGCTGTCGACTAATAAAGCCAAACCTGTCATGCCCCCGGCTACCAACTTTTACTTTTGTATTCGGCCCCCAATGAAAAATGCTTTATTGCTGGTATTTTTTGTGCATCATTGATAATGATCGTACGTTTGCACGTATTAACAAATAACTGGTTGGGAATCCTTTCGGCTTAATAGCTTCGTTTAGCCCCATTTTTCGACAAAAGTTTTGTATTCTTAGAAGTGTAGCTTCTGTTATTTGTCACGCGCCTGTTTTTATTTCAAGCACTTCTTAAGCGGTGTTAGTGATTGATCTGGTTATTCAGCATGTAGCTTCTGCTTTTGAAAATCTGATTTGATATTATTTTTACAGTACAGATATGTTGATTTATGCGAACATCGCTTAAAGTAATCGTGTATTTTGCGGAACTTCGAACTTCGGTTCCATTATGGATGTTGATATGCTGGACGAACTGACCGGCGACGATCACATGTTTCGCTGTGTCATGATTGTTGATTATCGTCCTTACACTAACAATAAATAGTAAGTGCAGCAAAGAGCGACATTCTTTATGAAGTTGGACGCCTTTTTCTGGAACAGTTTCTTTTTTATGGTAATTTTTTTCCCTTTTTACAACATTGTACGTACTTCTTCATATTCTTTATATGCAGTGTAACTGTGTAACTAAATTTAAATAGATATAACTAAATTTAAGTTGTAATGCAAAAATTTTATTACATAGTATTGTAAGGTATGGTTTGGAATGCATAGTGTCGTCGGCTTTTATGATAGATTTCGTTTCGTTGTCAGTATAGTAATGTTTCGTTATCAGTATAGGTGATAATGACTTTTCGTTGTGATAATGACGAAAAGTCGTTCGTTGTGATAATGACTTTTTTATTTGGCATGGTCTTTATGAATTAACTGAATTTACTTTAAAAAACTCAAAAAATTGCCCATTTTCAGTTGCTCACTTCATTTCAGCCTATCGAGCATTTAACTTCATTTGGCGAATTTTTTTACCACTTATGAATCTTCCAGCGTTGGTTTGCAATGGAGTCGTGGTAACTGCAAGTAGTGACAACAGATACATTTTTATTTATATGCATATTATTGTCAGATTTAAAAATATTTTAAAGTCGAGAATGATTATCTTAAAAATTTGGTCCTGACTTTTGTTATGGCACACTTTGTGTTTACGTAATTTGACTTCAACGCGATATTGTGCCTTTTACGGGCTGTGGAGTGTGGACACTGGACTTACTGTTAGTGTAATCCGAAGTCGACCAATTACTGGAGCACGATGTTTACGTTAATTGTTTTGGTCGTTAATGAATGTAAAGTAGCGTTGGAAATGATTTAATTTTCGCTTCATGTCGTCCGAATTTTGCAAACGTCAATTACGGCGTGTTCTTTTCTGAAATTTGCCAGTCTTAGACAATTAGAAAAATTTATTGTAATTGTTAATCATTGGACTTTGAATCGTAAATGAACAAAAAATGTGATTGACGAATTTTGGTGTTATCCAACTGACACTGCATGCCGCGCAATCTGCCTACAGTGTGGCGCCTTTGAGACACTGATTGTGATAAATGACCGTATTGTTCTTGATTTTTTGCGGTTTAAAATCGCGCAGGCGGTATATTTGGCAGGTTTTTGTTCTTCGTCGAGATTGCGGAATGGAATTTGTAATGAGTTCTAGCTAGTTATTTTGTAAAATTTATTGGCAGAAATGTGACAGTTGTTTCCCGACTTCAGTGTAATTGAAATTCTTTTGTATACGTGCTAATGGCAAACAACGACATTTGTTTTGTTTTCCTGTATTATTTAGCGGACGGACCGAATATGAAACGCTCGAGGATGGAAAACGGCGGTTTCGTGTGGAAAAGTCAAGTATTACTCGGTGAGTGTTGTTTAGTGGTTCGGTTTCGATTACCCAATTATTTTTTGGTTTGGTATACCATATACATATAGATATGATATAGATCTGGTGTGGTTGAATCATATTTTTGCATAGAAAACATGATGGTTGATTGCTTGATTGGGTCTGTTCGAACTACAAGTACCGACGGACTTTTCTAATCAAAGTGTCCCAAGAAATCTGATTTCGTAATTAGGTAGCTCGATTGTAGTTGATTGCAATGGTTGGCGCTGCTTGCTGACCACAGCCGTGGGTTCGTAATGCAACCAGGTTAAAAATCCCATGCTAGATTCTCACCCTGGTCGGATGTGGGCTACATGCTGTGCTCGAATTATATCAAATTACAGATAAATAAAGTGTGCAGACTGCGGTGAAATTTTGAAGTTTGAAATTTTTTGAAGAATTTATTTGAATGTTGGTACCCCGGCTGAGTGTTAACGATTTAAAATTCATACAATACCACTTGTTATCTATAGTACATACTGTATAGCGCCCAAAACTGTACTACTAGCAAATTACGAGCCAGCGTATAGAAAATCGTTTACGCGTTTGCTCCTTAGAGTGAGCCTTTTTAATTTTTTTCATAAGAGAATTTCAGTTTGAGTGCAATGAGTGTTATCAGATAGTTACAGGCGACTGCAGTACTATCTACTTGCTTCATGAGATACAAGACCTGCGAGATTGAAACGCTCAGAATTTTAAGTACAACTATTTTGGGTTAACAATTCTTGTCTGGTAGCCAGTTTATAGTGCTTTTAAACATTTTTGTTAATTATTGTCGGTTCCAGTTAATAGTAACTGCTGATTCATTTTCATGTCTTTTATTTAGCTTTAAGACAAGGTGGATTAGTCCAAAACCAAAATGCATTGCACATAGACGTGATGCATTGAAAAATTGACGGTTATCGCAGGAAGACTTTCGATGAAGTTTCAAAACCTCTGCCGATCATTCTGCTTTGCTTGAAGTAATTATAAGTACTGCTGTAGAGGTACTATGGAAGTCTACTGGTTCTTCTGGGCAGTTTTCGTAAGAATACGCATACTTCTTAATTCGTATAAATCGAAAGCAGTCACTATAGCCCCCTGCCCCAGTAATATGTCAACACTAACCTAACCGTAAGGTGCATAGGAGAAATCTCCTGTGTTATGTACAAATTTACAAATACTACAAGTACCTTTTTGACACTACCAAAACTGGGCTTTTTCATGACTTTCATGAAACAACGGCGTTCGTCATTCTGATGTCTTCCGTTTCTGATCCAAAATATAATTAACATAGGATAATAATAATATATACTTATTTTATAGGTTTTTTAATATTCTTGTAGCTTCTCAAATTGTTGTTAGAAATCTGACTACTAAATTTATTTTTGCAATACGCTAAAATGCATAAGGCAGTCAGATTGTAATCATTGTATGAGCAGCGCGTTTCGCATTTTTGTTCGATGCAGTGGTCAGTAATCCATATTGCGATAAAAAAACATTATTATGTTTTGAATGGTGGTAATTGTTACACTACAATTTCCGGAAACCGGCAAACTCTTTTCCCAGGAGAAACCACTATTAGAAATCTAATAGACATCGGAATAAACACTTTCGTTCACAACGTTTCCAGGTTTACTCGGTTTGTTTTTACTCGATAAGTTTTTGTAACAGGCAACACAAATGCCTGTTTGGGAAATATTACCTAAATTTGGCGGTTATGTTTTTACTTTTGGGTGGTGTGATTGGTAAAGCGTGGCATTGACCAGCTAGAGTGGCTAGAGTAATGAACTTATTGAATAGCTCTGCTGGGCGGAGAGAAAGAGTCACTTTCCTGCCTACACTGCAGCCGAGCAATGGCAATCGGTGCACCACCACCACACACAGAGAGAAAGCATAGCGCAGAGACAGAGTTAGCCTTATGTTTGGTTTTGGCATCTGCCAAGTGGCTTCGAAATTTCCATTCATAGCACTCTCCGTGTGCCTGCTCGTGCAGTGCAGTTTTTGACATCTCCAGTTCTTCATTGTACCCCGTAGTACGGTGGAAAATGACAGACTGGTCCCGTTGAGCTGTGTGGATTGTGTTGTTTTTTTGTCAGATAATGCATAGTGATGTCGTAGCCAAACTGGATAGCCTGTTCTCCTGTTTCAGAGCGCCCAGTAAGCGTTACCAGCGGCGCACCGTAGCTGGCACATCACGGGATCAGATTCTGGAAGAGAAGACCATCGCGCCCGGTTTCCAGGCGGGATTGGCCAAAGAGAAATCCCTCCCGGCATCCCAATCGCATTCCGCCGTTAATCGTGTGAACAGCAGCAGTAATATTATCAGCACCGGGAATAATGTGACGATTGTGCATGTTAATCACGCGGGCAATGAGCATACGAGCAACGGACCCCTCAACCCGACAACGCTGCACCGGAGGAGCCTGGGCTCCACCAATGTGACGCTGAACAATGGCATTCCATCCGTTGTGGCACCGGTTACCTTGTTTAGTCAGCAGGCCGTTAAGAGAAGCTCTCCGGGCCTTAATAGGAGCAAAGTCGACGAGTAAGTGATAGTATATTGCTGCGTTTTATTGTCTGTTTGCTCTCGCCGATCGAGGTTAATCAGTGTGCCTGGGCTCTGCTCGAATATCATTTCCGCTGTTAGAGCGTGTGAAATGCATCCGAAATGCTGGTGTTTGCATAATTGCTGTCGACAACAACGACGCGATATTTGTGCAAAAATTCATTCCTTCAGCTGTTTCGAAAGCAGGCGGTGGTGAATTTTTATTCCATTTGATATGTGTGGAAATTACGCTGGGTGTGCTAGTGTGCGGAGGTAAGACTCTGAAGAGTCAGACTGTTTTTTTGAGGTAGCTATTGATTTAAGTTTTTTCTACTCGGTGTGATGTGAACTGCTGCTTATTAGGCCCTGGCTGATTAATTCAAATTCGACCCCGGTGACAAGAGTTTGTAGAATAGGTACATGTAAACGGTGTTTGGTTGGGGCCGTGCGCTGCTGCTTAGCCAGCCACTGTCGAGGATGTGATGTAGCTTTTTATCGGCAGAAGTTTGTATGGCTGCGGGGCTTGTCCATCTTGTGCTGAATAGGTTCTTGTCTTGAAGGTCTTGTTCAGATGTTCCGGCAGTGTGAAATGGTGATGCTCATAAGTTTAAGCTACTCGATCGTCCGTCGATGACGTACGCTGCTGATAACAGAGACTTATTTAAAAGCCCAGCCAGCTCTATATTTCGGAATATTTCGGAAATCTTTGATTTCAAGAGCAGTATTTTTTGAAACTCATTTGGTAATAACTGGTACACAAAATATTAAGAATATGTTCTGTGAGCTTGTTCTAATAAGTATTACGAGCTACTAGTTCAAGCAGCGCTTTCGCCGTTTTGTGTAAATGATAACCATAGTAAACACAATTTCTGAAAATCTGTTTTTACGTTTGTCAGGTTAATTAGTTTTTAAAATCCTTTTTGAAAGTTTTAGTTAGATACAGTACATAATTTGTACATTTGCAGAGCCAGCTAAATGGCTTTACTTTGCATTCACCGTAGTTTGACACTTTGACTGTTTGGCTGCTGTTCCTAGGAGGACTTGTTCCACTGTTTTGGGCCGCGCGTGAAGCCGCATATGAAGTAATAAAAATGCAATAATTCCAACAGTTGTAAACTTGGCGCTTTTGCATGTAGTGTTATTTTTCCAAAGAGATTGATAGAAGCGTTGGCGTCCGGATGCTGGTAGTAATCTCTGAGAGAAATGCCGAGAGTCAGCCTCGAAGAATGTAACGTTATTTATGAAGTTTACCATTCACATGTGTGTAATAGTCGTATATTGATTTTTTTGCCATTTGGCCTCAGCATGTTTCGGCTGCGTCATAACTGACCTGAATTGCGAATTCAGTTTTGACCGCGTACGAATTTTTTCCATCGTGATACTTTTATCTAATTGCGAGTATGGTACTGTAAAGACATGCGGAGAGATTCTCAGCAGCATAATCGCGCACTACAAGCAGCACGCTGTCCGCTGGTTTTATCGCATTTTTGTAATTGATATTGACAGTTTTATATAACGCTGAACTGAAGCTATTTCCTAGATACGGGTTATCACTTATCAGTCGGAGCGGTTATCATTAGCGATTGGAAGAGAACTAAAGTTTAAGAAAAAGAAAACCTTGCAATAAAATGTTACCAGCCGCTTTCATAAGTCGTGGCCAGTTTTTTGCTTTGTGCGTTCCCGCATATGATACAGTTTAAAAGTTTTATTAGAAATGCCGTTTAGAAATCGCCATGTATTTGTTCAAAATAAGTAAGAAAGTACAGTATCTTTTTCTAATAATATGTGTTTTCACTCCACTAATAGGTTCGATGCATTGCATTACGTACTTTCCTACTGCGTTGTTTGTTATTCGTTGGGGTCCCTTTTCTTACTCCTGTGCACCAATTTTTAGCAAGTGAAACGGATTGAATGATATGCATGTGTGTGCTATGAAATATTTTCTTCTTACATTACCATCTGAAAAAGTACCGTACAATGGATCGAGGGATCGGATGGGATGCATACTTGTGGCATTACTAGTATACTGTATGTTGTACAAGTTATGACAGAAGCGAAATGTGACCGAATTATCGATTTGCGGCTTGGTCGCCATTTGGTTTAAGTAAAATTTATCTTGGACGCTAGATCGATGAGATTCCAGGATTTAGTACTTGCCGGGATTCCTGAGGTGTAATCAGTTCTGTGAAATCCTAATCCATACTGGGTCCATCAAAATCCCCTAATTAACGTCATATGCGCTTTCCAAATGGATTTTGTGAACTTATATTGATTGATCTTTTCGTTGACCATGCGCATGGCTTTGATCATACTCGGTAATAATTTACCTCCAGGTTTCATGAATTTCTCTGGATAGTGGATAGTACGCTAAGCACATACCCGTGGTGGTGCGATTTTTGGAAAATGACTGCAGTCTTACTTCAGTCGAAGATGGTTTGAAGTCTTCATGCACTGCTGGAATGTGGAGCTTTTAACAATTTTCAAGGGAAGTTTTGTAGATCACAAAAGTCTTTTCCTACACGACTAGCTTGAACGAGTGAGAAGTTGAGAACCGGAGCTCGCTAAAAATCGCTTGTTATTTTGTCAAACGGAACCATGTTCAGCTGGAATGTGTTATCACGGTTTTTCCACAAAAACGCTGATATTCGTAGCAGAAAATCCTTCGAAGCCAGTCACTGCAGATCAGGTGACGCTTATCTTCCCGTCTCTATAAGGTATGCGAAATTGCGAATGCGAGGCTTTGCATCGACAATCGGCGACTTGCAGGCATTTAAATTGGATGCAAATTCCTTCACTATATACCTAGTTGACAGTTTGCCTGACTGTGAATATTAACTTATGAGCGGCGGTAAATATTCATTATGATATGAATACTTCCGCCGCGCGTCTGAGGAAAACTGGTTTTGACTCACTGGCGCTTACTCAAAGCGTGCAGTACTGTAAACATTAGAGTACAGTTGTAGCTGCATGTTGTCCATGCACCTGAAACGGGTCAGACTTGGTTAAATACTCTTCGTATTTCGTAGTTCACTGCTGAATAGGTAGCTATGTATGATAACTCGTAAGTTGAAAAGTTTCCGCGATTAACAGTTTTACTGTTTGACGCTCACTGTCTAGTTTCCAGAAAGCGATCACCGACCTGTTATAGTTGCAAAATATTATTTAGACTGCCAGATTTGATTGCTTTGTGGAAATCGTCCATTATTTCCAGACATCTGTAATATTATCAGTTTCTGGATTTTTTGTGCTGGTAATACTCCCGACAGATGTATCGATGCTCGTTCGGCGATTGCCAGTTTCGTATTGAATTTGTATGGAAACAGGTTCGCATTTCGCTCAGGTTTTTTGCATTTTTACGGTTTTCATTAGTTTTGCTCTCGCAAATACCGTGCTTTCTTTTGCATGTATAGAAGACTTTTGTTTTTAAATTTTTATTCGTTCGCATTGCAAAAGTGGGAAGAAGTTAAAGCTTTTTACAACAACAGAAAATCTTTCTCTGAGTCAGGTTTTATCAGTCTACCTTTGTCAAATTTTACTTGGCGTTATCAGTGTACCCTTGGATAGATTTGCGGAATGCTTAAAAGTTCTCTTTTTGAGGATGATAAATGACGCAGTTGCCGGAAAGTGTTGGCAATTGGAGAGTTAGTGGTAGTACACCGGAAGCCCATCAAAACCGAAACCACCTGATTAGCTAATGAAGGCGCAGGCTAGCTGCTCGTACAGATAGTACCGGATGAATATTCCTTTTTTCTTTAAGGTGTGCCTTGAAGCAAAGACTTTTGGCTGTTCTGTACTTCATGTGTTGTGCTACTATATGAAGTCAAACGGCGCTTTTTGATTCCGAAAATGCGCACATGTTTATCAGATGTGATAAATTAATGACGTGGAAGTAAAGGTAAAGCGTACGTAGTGCTTTTACGTTGCACACAACTCTTATGGTTAGTGGTAGTAATTTATTTCTGTTTGCTCTGTATGTGTCTGGTGTTATTAGTCAGTGTCTGAAAAAGGTGTGGTGTGCCGTCTGTAGGAACGTAGGTATAAGTAATTCGGTTCTTGCAATCGGTCCGGATATGTGTCAGTGTATTCTGCGGTTTGTGACAGTACTAACTCGTTAGTTACGAGGAAGTTTCAGAAATTTGTTCCGACGGTGATATTCGTTCAGCTTTCTCCAGTTTCTTTCATGTTCGCTTTCTGATACTGCAGTTACAAACTTGCACACGAGCGGCGAAATTATTAATATAATTTTTTTTTTGAAACACGGTATCTCTGCTACATATTGTCGCAGTTATGCATACTAGTCTGTGGTCGTGTCTTATCCAGGGCGATTCATCGAGATTATTCAGGTGCCGTTTGAAACAATGTACCATTGCAAAATTGTATTTTTTGGCGGAAAGTATTTCTTAAGGGTGTTTAGAAGCCGGCTGAATATCAGCAGCGACGACGTCAAAATTGCGTTTTTTCAGTGATGGAGGCTTCAGGGAAGCTAATTTCAGCCGATCAGCCGGTACGAAGTTCACCAGTAATCACTTACGATTGGATACTAATGAGACGTCTCCTCATCATGCCGTTAATGGATTATCCTACCGTGTTATGCCGGAAAGGAGTCTGGATGGAGTGCAGTCGCCTTCGGGTGGTGCGGTAACCAGCAGCTCCAATCGCGTTCTACCGCCTCCGCTCAGGAAAGACTTAGTGCATCCGCTCCAGCCTTTGGAAAGTGTTGGTAATGGGATCTCTGCCGGTTGTGTCTGCATCCGAATTAAGCCGGATGCCGATGGGAAATTCGGTTTCAATGTGCGGGTATGTTTGTGTTTACTGCGCTGTCCTAAACTAGATATTTTTTAAGTATTTCCGATTGGAATTTTATTCCGTGTGCTTAAAGTGTTAACGGATATTTCACGTTTTACGACGATAGTTCGTGACTGAGATTTGTTGAATTACCAAAATAATTCGCTCAGTTTTAAGAGATTTGGTACTCCGAAAAGGTTAAGCGAGGCATAACCAAGTCTTTTCTGCGTGTATATAACCGGTAATTTCTCGAACTGTGAATATTCATGGAGATGAATGTCTTTCGTCGTTTAGGGTGGGGTGGACCTAAATTTGCCTGTGATTGTCACCCGTGTGGCGCCTAATACGCCAGCCGACTTGGCGGTGCCGAGATTGTACGAAGGTGACCAAGTTATCTCCATTAATGGACAGGACACATCCATACTCAGTCATGACGAAGTTGTTCGTCTGATAAAGTCCTCTTATCAAAATCGGACAGGGGAATTGGTCCTCTACGTTAGACCAAATGGTTAGTCGGTATTTGGAAACAACATAAAGAACTTTCGTTTCAAAAGCTATAATTGCCATGGTCATCTCTTTTTAGTGTATAACGGCGGCGAAGAACCGGATGAACCAGAATTTCAATACGTTCCTGACACACCCAAAGCAAATGGTCTTCTCAGTTCCAGTCCTTTGCATGAATCCATGATGCTGCTGTCAGAAAGCTTGAAAACTGGGAATGCTTTACTGCAGTTCGAGGTGAGATGGAAGTTTTTTTGCTCCCATGTTTACTAAATCTTTGCAGTAAAATCTTCTCGAAGCCTAAGTAAAATCTTCTCTTGCAGTCTCTTCTTATTTAAAAATTCCATATCCATATTTCGTTTTGTATTTGAATGTTGCATAATTCCCATCTTTGCAAATTCCGGTACAAATTGTGGTGTTATTTATTGAATTTTGTTCCGGTTGACAGCAATTATATAAGCGGAATCCGAAAATGTCCATGAAAGATGCGGAAACACTGAACAACAATCCTCGGAATCGATACAAGGATGTGCTGCCATGTAAGCCGAGAATTTGTTGGCTGACTAATTTATGAAGAATTTTCAGTGTTTGATTTGGCAGATGATAGCACTCGAGTACTCATCCATGGCGTTCCAGGGAACGATTACATTAACGCTAATTACATCAAGGTACCGTATTGCTTGCTGTCTGTTGAATCCTTTTCCAATAACTAAATAGCAGTTTGCTGCGTAGATGGAAATTCCTACTTCCGGCATTGTCAATCGTTACATCGCGGCGCAGGGACCCCTTCAACATACCAGCTTTGATTTCTGGCAGATGGTTTGGGAGCAGCAGTCTACGTTAATCGTCATGCTAACGTGCTTAGTGGAACAGGGTCGGGTGAGTAATTTTCTGATAATTTTTTATACTTACTCGCTTTTTGGGCTTCTTTTTTCGCGAGATTTTTGTGAACTTGGGGGTGACTGAGTGGGTTGAAGCAACGCTTTGAAGGATTCACGGAAATGTGCAATGTAATATGTATGACCGCGTAATCGGTCGTTTGACATGCATGCGCATACCGTATTAGACGTGCTCTTGGGTTTGCACAGTGTTCCGTATTTGTATGTGTAGCCCTGTTTGATTACTAATGCTCTTGGTGGGTTGCAGATCAAATGCCATCAGTACTGGCCCAAACTGTACGAAACAACTGATTATGGCGCACTGCAAGTCACTTGTGTCAAGGAACAAGTGCTTGAATGTTTTGCATTTCGTGAACTGACTCTCATCCATATGGAGGTAAGGTGTGGCACTACTAACGTCGACATTGACGGTTTTCGGATTCTTTTCGCAAAGCACCGTGCAGGAAATCACTTACCACTTGCGGCTTTATGATTTCTCTTATAAGGTTTTGTCTCTTATGTATTAAATTTTTGTCTTTTAGCTTTGTAGTTTTCTCGTTTAATTGCAAACTTCGAATATTTCTTACCGGATTTAGTGAACCGGAGCATTTTGTGAAAGTTTTCGGTTTTGAAAATTGTATTAAGAATGTTTGTTTGTTTTTAATGTTTGAATGTTTGTTTTTAACGCCTGATTTTTTTCACAGTATTTCGTTTTTTTGGTGACTCAAAATGAATGACGTGCTATGCATATTTGCAGACAAATGAGGAACGGCACATCACACACATGCAGTACATTGCTTGGCCTGACCATGGCGTGCCGGATGATGCCAGTGATTTTCTGGAATTTGTGATACGGGTGCGGCAGTACAGGGTGGGCATGAATGAGCCCTGTATTATTCACTGTAGTGCCGGGATTGGACGCACAGGAGTCATTATCCTAATGGAAACCGCCATGTGTCTCATTGAGGCCAATGAACCGGTGTATCCTCTGGATGTTGTACGGTGCATGCGCGACCAGCGGGCGATGCTCGTCCAGACCACTGTACGCAACGCTTTTACCCTTTACAATGCTGAAGTGGTGTATTTATTCCTTGCGTAATCACACCATGGTTTTAATTACAGAGTCAGTACAAGTTCGTGTGCGAGGCCATTCTTAGAGTGTTTAACGGTAAGTCACTGCACTGAAGATTGTCTTTTTAATTAATATTTTAGAGATTTTGCTTTTTCTGTTAATGTAAAAATTTTCCCGATTTTTTTTCTGTCGCTTTTCTGTACGTTTGTACGCTTGGATTATTTTATGCGATTCTGGCATTTACGAAATTATGGGTGTGATCGTTTTTTGTGAAAGTTAAATGTCTTGGTTTTACAGACGGATTAGTGAAACCGTTAGATGAATACAGGAGATAGGAAGGTCATGCCAAGATTGATCCGGCGGATGGTGTATTGGCAGTGGTATCCAGACGACGCCGAGATGTTGTCAAGTGTTCTCATTCCCTCTTGTTTCCTTTTTTGACCTAATTTAAGTCAATTGGGGCCTTGGTGACAATTTGAAAGTTCCCTGGAGATTTGCTGAGTATTTTTGGGGTTCGGTTTAGTGTAATGGCAATGGGATGGGTTATCCCAAGAGGATGCTGGCTATTTTGGCCAGTTACTGTTTTTATATATTGGACGTTTGACCATTTGTTAATGCAGCTCACTTCTGGGCTCAGTGTGCGCGGTCTCTGTCGCATAACGGCGTGCCTATGCTGTGATGGTATATAATTTTTCAGAGTGTACAATTCGCACTTGGATGTACAGTGATTTATACAAAATGAAGCTTTCGATTCACTGATTCTGGTTTGTGTAGGAATACCAACGTTAGTACAACAACATAAATAAATATCAACACTAATAGTACGCACTAAATTATCTTAAATAATAGGAACAAAATGGTCGAATAGGAAATGCAGAGTGTTGGCTTGTTTTAAACATGTTAAGTGCTTGCACATCGGTATTTCGGATTTCCTGCTGGTCACCCTCAGATTGGGGTTGACCGCCGGTATGCGCTGTATTTTTAACCAAACGTCATTTTTATCATCTGCTTCCAGTTGCTAACATCGTTCAGTACGTCCAGTCAAACAGGAGTTACAGGATAATGAGTTTTAGATCGGCAGCAAAATTGCGCAGCATTTCATTTTTTATAATCATTTAAGCAGCTATCGTAAGCAAAGGACAATCCGAGTGCAGCATGCATGCAGATAAATATGTACTGTATGTGCTGGTGGCAACATACAGATAGAGTAATGTCTCACAATCAGTTGTATACTCACTCCTTCGTGTTCAAATTGGAGTAATTTCCGTCCACATGCGTAATTGTTGTCCACTTTATAATTCATAAAACCTCAAACACGATTCAGCATCATCACTGCGGCACACCCGCCAATTTTGCCTGGCGTTTCCGGGCTCGCAGTCGGCCATATTGAGCGTCGCATCCAAGTTGGCGGTTAAGCACTTGTTGCTGGGAACATGCATGATCTTAATAGCACGTCGACCTGCCGACACCGAGTCGGCGTTGCTGCTGGTGGCGCTCTGTGCCAGGAAGTAGTTGAGATTCTTATCGCACAAACTATCCGAACGACGCAGTTCATTCAGCGTGTCAACAAAAAAGCACTTGCTATCCGATGCTATCAGGGAGAACTGTGTGCGCTCCTCATCCAGGATGGCATCCACGGTAAACTGCTGTGAATCATCGGGATTCTCGCGGCAGCGTGACAACACCACACGGTCATCATCCATACCCGGAGCAGCGCGATCCAGCGTGAAACATTTCTCCGAGCCTGGTTGCTCGATGGTGAACAGACCCGATAGGGTTTCCGGTTGCTGAGCGTAGTATATCGGTACTATTCCACAGATGACAAGACAAACCAAATACTGCATTTTTGCAACTGACCGTACAAAAAGGGTTTCAATTACGCTTTGGGCTGGCTTATAAGAACAGATTTTCGACAAAGTCACCTTTTAATTTCTGTGTTTTATAATCTGACCTCGCTTAATTACACACATTCGCCTGGTAGTTTTGTGGTGCTTGGAAAACAAATACTGCTGATCGATGTTTGTATGCGTGATATGGTACAAAGATTGTATCGTGGACTTTCGTCCGAAATTCGTTAGCGCGCTAATTAACACTTATGACACGTACCGGAAATGGGGGTTGGCTTCGCCGTTTAACAGAATCGTTAGAAAATCGCCCGCGTACTATAGAATACGCACTAATAATTTTATACGTTTAACTTTTGGAAAACTATCTACACTCATGTTTTACACACAGCCTTTAGTGAATAGGGACCAGCCGGCGTATAGAGAGAGATTTCGAGGTTTCCTATACATATACGTCGGCTGGTCACTAAAATGTCTCTGAATTCGTTGATAACTTCTAAAATATTTATGGCAAGACATGTAGTCGAATAACCTGTGTAGAAATCAGCCGCTCGCAAAGGCATTAATTTTTTATTGCAAAGGATATTATTAAGTACGTTACTGTATGTATACAAACTTGCACGTTAAACTTGTAATAATAATACGTAGTTGATATAATTTACCGCGAAGAACAGAAGCACAAAACTGACCATTTCCAGTGGAATGGTGACGGTTTCCACAGGGCACAGGCCCCTGATAATTCAATTCCACTTTCAGCGATGGAAAACTGGTCGGATAGCGAACAAGTTACAAGTGACTGGAAAGTGGATATTTCGTCATTTTATCGATTTTAAATAATCAAATGCATTTTTGGCATAGTTTTTGGAAAACTAAGTCCAGGTTTCGAGCTTAATGTTGGTACTAGGTTGTTGACTAAACAAGGTTATATTCCGCATTTTGCAGGCGTACTCGTACAGAAACTCTCAGCTGATGTAAAACCTGTGAAAACGTACTGTAGTCCCTGCACCCAGACTCAGTGCGTCGCATATCTTCCTAAAGCGGTCGTAGACTCGTAACTGACAATCCCGGATTATGTCGCGATTTTTCGAGTCTACTAGGCCGCTGTTTGAATGGATGAACACCTCCAGCGGCCGTCAGACCGTGCTCACCGCTACCGGGGGTGTTGGGGCTGTTGCATCATTACTGTATTGGATACCTCATGCACCGGCCATTAATTCAACCAAAAATATTTCTCAGATGTACCTGGGCGGTCTACCGTTACAGCCTCCGCGCCATATGACCGACCTAATCGCGGAGGTAAGCATTTAATCGCAGACGCGTCGGTGGAAAACCTTTGGCTTGGTTGGCCGTCCAGTCTACTGGCTCCCAGTTCGCAGTTCACATTTTACTGTATTTTTATAGTTGCCTGCTCGCTGTTTCGTTTGCGACTGCTGATTGCAACCCGTTTTCTTCGTAGACTTTGGGGGACTGTGGCATTACGGAGATCGATAGCCGACGCATACGATGGTTTACCGCGTTTGGCTTTGATCCCATTCACTTTGGACAAGTCAGTTTTAAGAAAGGCTGTACGAAGAACTTTTTTAATTCTGTCCATGATTATGTAAAAATACCGTATTTCGGACTATTTCCTGCAAAAACATGTGGAAACTACTTTTTACATGTTTTTGTTAGCATGCTGTACTGCTGAAATACGGTTTTTTACATACGCAGTAATGAGTAATAGTTAGAAGCTTTCCTAATTAACGTCGTTGTTTTGCAGCTATTGTCGGCGTGCCAAAAACGTTTTACTATAAAGATATAGATGAAATAGACAAGACCGATATCAAAATCAACCGCAACAAGAGTGTGCCGTGGCGAACGGAAGCCGGAACAGCGCTGATGGAGGCCTTAGTTTTGTCGGATGAAGCCAAAAAATTCGCGGTTGCCGTCCAGGTTCACCACGTGTGTTGGAACGAAGTGTTAACCAAGCTGCTCATCGTCGGTATACCGATTCCAGCAGCGGCTACGCTGGCTGCCTTCATAATGGAGAGGTTCAATCTCCTGAACGCTCCACCGATCTACCGACGATCCGTGGTTGCAGTTGCCGGCTTTCTGTTCTTCGGTATTGCAATGGCTGTGTGGGATGCGTACACGCGCTATCTAGAGTCCTCGGCGGACCGGGAAGTCTGTCTGATGGGTGAAGATTACGCGCGCGGTGGAGTGGAATATTACGGCAAGTGTCTCCTGCGCAACCGAGCACTGCGGGAGCTCTTACAGAAATCGGGCGAGCGAACCTACACAGTGGAAGGCAATATTAAGCGCTGGTTTCATCGACCGGAAGTACCTCTCACGAAGCGGAAAGCAAACTGTGAAGAGTCCTTGAAGGAAGTCAAGCTGAAAGAGCCGGCTGCTGCTGTACCGGAAACGACGGAGGAACCCACTCCGGCGGGGAGTGTCAGACAGAGTTTCCTTTTCAGCCGACCCGCAGCCCCGAACGAGGTGTTTAGCGGTGTCCATGCTACGCAGACTGGTCGGATCAAGCCGCCGCCTCCTCAAGGTGGAAAGGTTCCAGTGAGCAGTGACGCTGTGCCATCTGTTTCGGAACCTGCTAAATAATTTCTGAATTTTTGTTCTTAATTGTTTGTACGTATTGTAATGGATTTATTGTTGTCTGCTGCATACTGGAATTGCCTTTAGTGGAATAAAAGCATTTCCTAAAAACCGCCATTGCATTCTATCACCACGCTGAAAATATCATACGGCAAGTAACTTGAAGTAAGCAGCTTTGCAAACGTTTTTGGGATGATGCTAAAAATAAATACGAGTACAGTACGTAGATCAATTAAACACTGAATGATAGTGCAGTAATTCTCTCGGTGATCCAAAATTTCCCAGGACAGGAGTCGAGCACGTTTTCACCAGAGTAGCAAGTGGGAAGTGGGAAGAGACCGAAGAGTACTTCTGTAGGTGTAATAGTTCGTACGGTTCACTCGTACAGAATAGTTATCTTCTCTTAGTTCTCTACTATTTACAGTCTTCACATTTTATTAATTGTTATTGTTGACAACGGAGCGCCCACAGCTCTGGATAAAGTGAAAATCCGAAAGATATTTCAAGATATACTATGAACCAATAGCAGGATGTATTAAATTTGTATTCCCTGCCTTTGAAAATAAAATTATAAATTTAAAAATACGTACTCTCACAGACTAGACTTACACCACCAGATCCAATAATTGTAAAAGCGTGGAATAAGAAAATGCAAAGCTTGTACTGAAGAAAGTGGAGTTCATAAAAAATTTCCAATCTTTTGGACGTGCGGTAAAGCAGTTAAGGAAATGTCGAACAGTAACTTTGCTTCTATAGAACTCATAACGGAAGCTACAGAGATAAATTAGGCGGGTATCAGACTTGGGAGAGGAGACGCATCCATCCACATGGAATATGTATTGTAGTTCCCTTCAACGAAGATAATCTGTCTCATTCTTCCGTATCTTCCAGTTTAGGCGCCAAATAATACCGAATGTAACCAATTGAAGGAAGAGGATACTCAATACCTGCGAAAGTTTAAATTTAATTTGAATTTTTTTAACATTAGTTATAGACTTAATAGGCTACAGCTCAGACATTACGTGTTTCTTAATAATTTGCAAGGAATTAAAATGCTTACATAATGGATGATTGTTGGACATACACAATCGGACTGTATCGGAAAGAGGCGTAGCACGTGTGAAAAAATTCAGATATTTAATGGCAAAAATTAGGGAAACCGGATTCTCCATTTCGATAGTTATTTCCTGTTCGGCTTTCGACAATTTACGTGCTGCAAGCCTGATATTGCCTAAAACAGAGATTAGAGTAAAACCGATATTGTGCCAACAGCATCGTAACACGCGGTCGCATTAATTTATAAATAATATAATTTTTCTTAACAAGCAAAAAAAAATGTCAATATTGCAGTTATTCTCCGACATCCTCTATCGATGTCTGACCTTTTCCAATATCACCCGTGGTTTCAAATTTGACTTCCGATTTCGCACATGCAATATTAACGCTGTCTCCAAACTATAATCACACAATTTTTGCGAATAATCATTTAGCTCAGGGAAGATAGCAGTGCAAAACTGGTGTTAAACAGCCAACCAATCACTGTACTGAGTAATTTACGGCACTTTCGGAATACCTGAGTGAGATCTTGGCAGATACGCTTCAACTCGAGCGACGGCAATTTTATTATGCAGTCGTACTCCGTTTCCTATCAAATGAAATTTGAAAGTAACGGCTTTCATAACACGTAATGGAAAAAGGCTCACCGGAATTCCCAGATGCTCCGTATCTATGTTCATGAGTTTTAATTCGAATTCCGCTGCGCGTTCCGCCTCCAGGTTATGAAAGGCAAAAGAAACAACATTACTGTTGCTGTCATGGCTGATGGTGATGCTGTCCTCGTTTCCGGCACACTTTAGCACCTTTGCCATGCTGAAAAAATTCTTCCAGATAAAACTCAATCGACGCGCAATATGAATGGCCTTTAACCGCACTGCAGTAAACTGGAGCCATCAACCATACAACCATTGATGAAGCACTTCAGGCTCACTTCCAGCATTGATGCTGCTTTTATTTTTTCGACAACAGATTCCCTACCTGTTCAGACTGATTCCCATACTAATATTTCTCGAACACTTGTAGCTGTCGAAGCCTTCGCTTCTCATGAGCACATTTACTAAGGCAACGTGTGAACTGTCCATCGACTGCAAACTCATTCCCGTATTCGTGCAATCCCATGATGTATCCCCAATCAAATCCTTAATGGCATCAATAACTTTCTTGAACACCGAAGCACTGTCCAACTTCGCTTCGAAAACGGTGTTATCGGCAGGCATCGTGGACGGGAATTCAGGTGAATCAGGTCACTGTGTCTGAGTTCCTTTTTCTCAGCTTACCAGCACCGTGGGAATCTGAAATTATAGTGCAAGGGCTGGTAATCTGACTGTTGGCGTCGCTGTCAGTACTTACATAGTTGACGAAAACTCAAGGTCAGTTGCAGAAAGGTACGGAGAAACCAGCGGAAATCAATTCTAATTATTATTATTCTATCATCTGTGTACGACCCGCTTTCAACTGCGATAGCTTAAAATGATTAATGCCAGCTAAGAAGGAAGCAATTCTACTTAGACTACCTGTACTCGTAGTATTGATTATGTTCAAATTCATCCTTACCAAAACCCGTGTTGTGGAGTTCCGGAAGACATAACAATTACGATAACACATGTAACACAGGTGCTGCTAAAGCCTAGTACCTACATACCGATAACTTAGAGCAGCGAATTCCTCTACAGTTAAATTTTTTCTTGATTTCGTATGCCTTTTAAAAGAATCGCACACTTCTCTTACCTCTTACCGAACCAAAACAAACTTGCACGAACACGCTTGTTTGCTAGAGTAGGGGGTTGACAGCTAGTCGCTACCGCTAGAGATGGAAGTCATCAGTGACGCAGTACAAGGGCGGAACTTAAGCCGTGAGTAATGCATAGGTCCTGTCCCGCATAGGTGGCGCTAGCAGACAACCGCAGATATTATTCCCCACTACGATATTTTTCTGAATGTGTAAAATTGGTTTCTCGCCACAATCCTCGGTGATTTTCAGATTCTGATAACAGCCAACAGGATCGCATGAGTTCTTGGCTATCTTTAAAATAAATTTGGTGAACCTTTGCAGTTGAACTCCGCTTTGAATATTCGTTGGCCATGTCGTCCGAGGTTGGAACCGCTGAACAGGTCCGTTGAACGCGAAGAACTTAGCTTGAGAACTGTAAAGAATTATGATGATAACCACGACGGTCTTCTTATTTACGCTCTGCTGACATATATTTTCCCTCGTCTGATTTCTTTTTTCCTGGAATTTATGGACATTTGCGTGTAACTTGTATGCCACTAATTTGACGCAAGCCGCAAACGTTTACTTTGCAGACGGAGAGAGCCTTCCAGAAGCAGCCTACCATCTTCTTAAACAAGAAGACTCGCGTAACCGGCGGCGTTGTGAAGGCAAAGAAAACCCTCCGTTACAGCAAAAATGTCGGCCTAGGCTTCAAGACCCCGCGAGAGGTAACTTAAAATCGTTGCACTGGGAGATTTAGGATACCGAATTTCGATGCGTGGGACGTCGAACCCTGACGAACCCGGGGAGGTTCTTCGCGTTGTTGCATGTTTCGTAAACCGCTTGATGCAAGAAATTTACGTATTTAGTCAAACAGTTCAGCTTGAATATTGAGTAATGTTGCAGGCCATCGAGGGGCACTACATCGACAAGAAATGCCCGTTCACTGGCGGTGTCCACATCCGCGGACGTGTTTTCACTGGTGTGGTGCAGAAGTTGAAAATGCAGAGGACAATCGTTATACGACGGGATTACCTGCATTATTACCGCAAATATAATCGATTTGAGAAACGCCATAAGAACATGAGCGTGCACATGTCCCCCGCCTTTCGGTAAGCTGTGAAAACTGAGTAAATAGTTGCGCTTTGCAGTACTAATAACTAATAGCTAATGATGCGGTTGATGTCTTATGTTTTCATATTTCTCCTTGTAGGGACGTGAACATCGGAGATGTCGTTACCGTTGGGGAATGCCGACCTCTCAGTAAAACCGTTACATTCAATGTATTGAAAGTTACAAAGAGTTCTGGCTCTAAGAAGAGCTTTAAAAAGTTCTAGATTGTCTGTGCTTTTCTATTAAAAAATCAGTGTCCGTGTACCGGATAATGAACTAGGTTCCGCTGGATTGATCGGCAGCGTGATTTGTAAACGGACCCTACACTTTCTCGCATCCTGTAACTTAAAATTTATCGCGACCATAATCACCGACACTACTAAACCTTGAACTGGAAATTCTTTATTTCCCAGAGACTTAAAAACACTTCTTTTGAAAACTCAAAATACTTGATTCCTGGCATTTGGTCATTTTTTCCGACGGTATTTAGTATTTACTCTTTTTAAAATGTTCCAAGTTGCAACTTATGTTATCATTTACGGCAATTCTTTCGGCGGAATTTACTGCATTTGGTATAACTTATGTTGTCAGTTGCGTGCTGCAGCTCTTACAATCGCTGAAGTTAATATTAATGAGATAAATTAGTTATTCTAACAATTTGCAGACAGTCGATATGTGAAATTTGGACAGCGTAAACGTTGTCAAAATTTTGATTATTAGAAGTCATAAACTGAAGTTACTAAACCCTAAACCAACACTCAGTAAACTTCCAAAATTTTTATTGCATGTTATGGAAAGTACAGTGTATAGAACAAGACCGAATCCGGCGATTCGTCCAAGGAAAACGCGTGTAGCACTGCAGAACTCCCAAAAAGCAAAAATATAAACATAATAAGATTTACGAATATTAATACCGTTTAAACTCAGAATCAAGGACACACAGTAGAACCGCCGTAAGAGGTTGCTAATTTGTTTTAAGTTACGCGGTAAAAACTCAAAGATACCATGTTTCTATAAACACAGATATTTATAAAGAGAAATATGCAGCCGCTTCGCTAAGTTTGTTACAGCAGATTCGTAGATGATGGCTGTCAAGAATTTTTGGAGAACAAGGCGCAGAGGACACAAGGAGCAAAAGCCAGCAGTGTTCATTGCCGTATTTCAATCAGCAAATTATCTAGGCTTTCGGCTTCCGTCCACGCTTTGCCGGTGGCGCTTCTGAAGTTCCAATGGACAATGCCACAGCAGCAGATCGAGTGGCACGCTTTTTAGGTACAGGCACACTGTCAGCAGAATCCACACTTTCTTGAGCAGCGGAAGCGGTCGCAAAAAGATCGCTTTTGCGGGCTTTAACATCTTTGGAAGCCTTCTGAAAAATTTCGCGAAGCTTGGCGTAATTCGGTTCGTCATGATACTGTAGATCCCGAATGGCCTTGAAGTAATCCGTAATCTCCTTAGGAGCACCATCCGGGAAGGCAACGCGGAAGAATTCACTCTGATTCTGGAAATACCTAAAATTCCAATATTTCCATATTAGTTCAGCCTTTCACTACTCGTAGACCGTTAAAAACTGTTAAAACACTGTAGATTCTACACATACGTGATTTTCTGAGATCGGACAAAATTAGGATCCGTACTGTCAGACCACGGTAATGATCCGGTGAGCCATTTTATCAGATTAAATCCAAGTATTTGCAAATCACCTCGCCGAGATGGAGCTAGAAAGTGTCAAACAAACGTAACCACGAGCAACACCGGCACTTTAAGTAAAGATAAAATCTGCTCGTGCTGGAGTCAAACAACCACTTGATCATTTGCGTAAATAATGGCTAAATTATCTCTACAAAATGACGAATGATATTCATATTCCCTTACCAGCCCCCTTGTGCGCATCGGTACTAGTCAACTCGAGAGTCCCGTCATGAGCAGCCTTCGGTTCCTCCTTGTAAGGAATGTGCTTATTGTCGTCCATAAACCGCTTAACTAACCCGAAATCTATCAGATACACTTGCGAAGCATCCGTTTTGCTTAATCCGGTCATTAAATTGGTGGCCTTCAAATCCGCGTGCGCGTAACCCTGCTTATGGATGTATTCCAAAATATCCAACTGCAAAATTTTAAATGGAATTCTCACCTCGTAATTTTCAACAGCACGTCCAACAAGTTATTCCACTTGAAGAACCCATCGCTTGTAAATATTCAAAATTAGTACCAGTTGCAAGGCCAACAGTATCACACATTGCCGAGAGAAAATTCCATCACATTCGTCCAGGATTTGCTGAACGTTTCGGTCCAAACGAGGCAAAATGAGCCAGCGCAAATTTTTATCATTGACTTCCATAACACCACTAGAAATGTATTCCATGATGCCAAGAGATTTGATGCTGCGTTCGCGCAGGAAGGCAGCAACTGAAATAAACACGATAAGGTTATTATAAGCGATTGCACCAATTTCCTGTCATCCTTTCCCTAAAACTATTGCACATGCATACGATAACGCTTTTAAACTTTCAATACTGTCTAGCCCTACTTTACAGAATTCAGATACAGGAATTCTGTTCCTTTCGTGTTGCATGAATTAAAACAAGGCTACTATGACCGCTTATGCAGTACAAAATTTTCAAAGAGAAACCTACTTGCATCCGATTTTGCAGCAGCTTTGAAGAATTTCACTTCCTGATACAAAGGGCCATTATCCGAAGGCTCCTAAAAGAAACAAAACTTGGGCAAATAAACACTTCAGTCATGTATGAACTTCAAGCGTGCAAGTACCAATTTCATGACATGTTTCGCAGTTCCTTCGGTGACAGGTTTGCTGGCTTTATCGGAAACTGTTAAAAAATCGAAACCGCAGATTATGACACTATTAACGCATTTAACCAAAAGCTGATAGTAGAGAACGAAGTCTTTCTGGCTGGACGTGGACGGACGGATCCCACTCACCGAGATACACATCCGCAAAACCACCCTGCCCAATAACGGGCCCCACTCGCCAGGTTTTCTTTCCCGTTTTATCCTCGATGATGTACCCATCTTCCAGCCGTTCGGGTCGTTTGTACCCACGAGCCGTATTAACTAAAACAACACACCATAATATTATAACTTCTTCTTGACGCTACCATGCATACCGTTACTAATTTTAATTAAAGCTAATTTTCTGTTGTTGTAACACTGCGATAAAGAGGTGTCTATACACAAAACACCTGAATCCAATCAAAGAAAAATTCCACTTTTCCATATTTTGCGTTCCTTATAATTTCTGTAAAACGACAACAGTCATTCACTTGCCTGGGCGCTTGGCAGCGGGACGAGCCGCTCCATTTCCTGCTGAAGTGGATGCATGAGCACCTACAGAGTACAACGCCTCTACTTAATTTCTGCCATACGATCTGCGCCGTTCGGATTTATTGACAATGTGCTAATTTCACATCCAATGGGATGATAAACTTACCACCTGAAATTCGTGTAGGAGATTTCGCTGGTGCTTTCTTTGGCGCCATAGATAAACGGAAAACTCAAAAGCTCTAAAATCTAGTTATAGTTGTACGTATGGAACGTTGAATCAAAATTCTTTTAGTTTGACTGTTTGAGACTCGAAACCCGATATCTTAAACCGAATTCCAAATTAAAAGTCACATTAAAAACTAAAAAACCCGTAATGAAAACATCTGCCTAATAAGTAACAAGTAAGCAGATCTGGAAATTTGATAAAATCTTAAAAGTCATAAAATAAGAATGATGCATTAGGATACTCATCGCGATTTCAAGAACCACGGCTCGTGGGCATTCAAGTGTTCTCCACATTCAGAGCAGCCGTTACTACTTAACAGGAGCCATATGGCACTCAGGGCGGTAGCTGGTAACTTTGTCTTAGCGACCACGGGAAGGCAGTTTGTTTACATGTCCTTTTGTCATGTGTCTTCACTAACCAGGTGAGTCCACTCGTACAGATTTGTGTGATCTTCTTGTTGTACCTGTGAGGTTGCACTAATATCTGTACAAGAGCTGAAGAGAAAAAATGGGGAAAAAAGAATAATTTTATAAAAAACTTTTGATAGGCTTAGATTTGGTGCGACAATTAAATTAGCCCTGTAAAGTGCAAACCGAACCTCTTAAAACTTTTACGGTGATTCTGGCATGGTCACCAAACGTCATTATAATCCGAAATCCGAATTGTTTCTTCTAACTGTTTCTTTTTCACCAGTTATTAGTGATTTTAATTAACTAATTTTATGATTTGTATAGCAGCAGCCGACAACGATGGGTTTTAAAGGTATAAATAATTAATGATACTTTCTAGAGTAGGAGTGCTACTACCGTAATAGTAATGACAAACCTAGGGTAGTGTATGAATAAGCAAATGCTCTTTTAAGTTTTAACGGCATGTTATTTACACGAAAAGGAGATAACAAGATAGTGAATTAATATACTGGTAGCGCGAACTAAATTAAAAGTAAGTTACAGACACTAAAGATATACTCAAAGTTGAAAATATGTAAAGAGGATTATATCAATGTCACATGCGTAACAGCGTAAGTAAGACAACATGCAAAGCAATGCCGCAGTGCGAGCGTTACACGGAGTGCAGTGAAGCGCAGCAGCAGCCCGGCCCGGCCCGGGAAGCAAACAGAAGTTCGCATTTTACAGTACCAGTTAAAATCATGACAGCTTTTGTTATTATGTAAATGTATGTACAGCTATAATTGTAAATATCGATGAATCCGGTAAGGAAAATTAGATGCGATCAGTACGACCGCGATGGTCCTCCAGGAAGCGCAATAACAACCGGCGTATTCAACAAATGATCAAACGCACTTTTCTGTATAGTTTTCCGGTGTGACAATAAGGCAAACGCTTCCTTCCACAGATCCAAATCCTCCTGCTCTTCCGTGGCAAAACAGTAGACATCGCCCCGGCCCCATTCATGGCCGCCCACCGCGAACAACAGCGACTCCCGCGTCCGTCGCGGGACGATGCAGGTCAGTTCCTCTGACGCCGGATCACCTTCTTTCACCGTCGACGGCGATGGCGGAACGACCAGGGAAATCACCGACGGTGAACTGCAGACACACAGGCCTTTGGTGGCTGTTTCGAAGAAGGCCGCCAGTGTTCCTTGTGAGGTCACATTGACCAGGCGTGGACTGGATGGCTCACTGGTGCTGGTCCTCTCCGTACCATCCAGCTGCGACCGCTCCGGATCTAACTGCTGCGAGCATAATTTTTGCATGACATCCGGACCAAATGCGCATACCCGCCATGGAATGAAGAGGACTTCCTCCAGCTCGGCACCGGCACGTTTATTGTATAAGGACACTTTGTTCGGTTTGTACCAGGCAAAGCGGCCGTCATCCCAGATGACCGCATAGTAGCGCTTCCAGTTATTCCGCCCGCACCGTGGATCCAGGCGCAGCATGCGCCCGTAGCGTTCTTCCCGGCTCTTCCAGCTGGATTCTTCCTGGAGCTTTTTTTCTGGATTTTGGTTATAGTGCCAGATGTAGCCCATGTGAATGACGCCATCGTAAACGTTACTGCTACTGTCTTTTTTCTTGAGTGATGGCTTTTTCGTTGCCGGTTGATGGTCACCGGGTGGCGGTGGTGGTTTTGGAGGGGGAACAACGACATCGGCGCTAACAATGGAATTGTCTCTTGCGGATTCTGTGGGTGAAAGGGATATCTCGTAAAATCCCGAACTCCCAGACCCGGCATGGGACGGCGATCGCACAGGTGACTGCAGTGGAACGCATTCATCCATTCTTCGCCCCATCAAGAATGCTACACGTGATGTGGCGCACGTTGGTTTGCCGATCATGGTTATGAATATTAGTCTGTAAATCAACATCACGACGTTCACCGAGACGTCTTCATCAGTCCCTTAGCGTTCTTTAAGAAGTTGTTAAATTAATTGTACTACGCCGCGGTTTGACAATTGTCAAATGACCTGCTGCACAATGTTAATTCGGCATCAGTTTTAGAAGTATCCACAAATTTAATTAGAATTAATTAGAATTTTCCGGCATTACAACTACTTCTACTGATGTCGATGCACATGGTCAGAGCCGCGGAGATGGTTTCGCTGATTACTGTGTTGTGGGTATTTACTGGGGAATGTTATCTTACTGCATGCTAATGACAAAGTCTCTGTTTGTATGGGAAAGAAAATAAAATAGATGTATTGTATTAACTAAAAATCAATATACTATACAATTAAAAAAATGTTAGCATCGCTTATTATCCATTGCTTCAGTTTGGCAGATAAAAATTCATAACAATAATATTAAATTTTCATACCTTTAAAAAGCTAGAATAGCTGTCTCAGGTAAGGTCACCGTCATGCAGTACTTCTCACTGCTTCCTGGAATATAGTAACAGTCGTGAACAATTTATCCAGTTTGGGAAGAAATACTGATCGACGTCTCAAAAGTGATCCGCATTGGAAAAATATACAATCATCGGGAGAAGATTAGAATAAGCTGTTTTGACAATCAGATAATCATGATCAGCAGCTAGTGCTGACGAAAAACGTAGCTCGTGCAGCTTGCGTATACCTAAGTAAGTACTATGGCCAAAGTCTGTCGATATCTTGAAGAACTACGGATTACGGGAAAGGTAAACTGGGAAATTCTAGAATCACCATTTCCTAGCAGGGATTTGAATGATGCAAGCGCAGGATTGCTCAGCTCCATCCGAATCCACAGCGCTAGCGCTATAGAGCATGCTTTCTCATCCATATCTCGGTCAGTACCTGATCCGCGCGTAGTACCGTACAATATGTGCACTCTCGATGAATAAGTACCCGTAGCTGCAGTACATTGATTTCTATCGTAGCCTACTGAGTACGTATAAGACTTCTGGTACCGTTAACGTCGGGACTCGCATGCATGCCAGTGCCACGCAAGTGTGGTTCCTGGATAAACGTCGATAAACCGATTTTGAGAGGAAATTGTGCAGTAGGAAATCAATATTCGCTCCACAGTAAAGAACATCCAAAGTTTACGATATTTGGTTGCCGTCCAGTACGGCCTCGTTTGCTGTATGCACATATAACGATAATAATATTAGATATACATCATATACTGTAAACTGTACATAGGTCGCAAACAGCTACAGGCTTTATTCATACACTGTAACAAAATGCCCATTCTCAGAATATGTTTCTTTACTTTATCTGGTAATGCTGAATACAGTATAGTATTCCGTGTGTATGTACTATTGCAAATCAATAACATGCATAAAAGAATCGTGCGTGGAGAAGACATACGTGTACATCAAGCTTTCTGCAGTTTACGCTACTGCTTGTAACGGTAGTGTACTGCACGCTCCCAATTGTGCAAAAATTTTCCCTACTCCTATTCATAATTACGTATGTCATAATGTTGCAGGAAGAGTATCGCACCAGTACAGTAAGTGATTCTTTGATGGCACTCGTGTCGGCAATTATCCTTTGAGTGTTCGATCTACCGGCGACGGTGCGTCATGCACATCGCAATTGCCATACGAGTACATGATGCGCAAAAGCGATGGGCTTTATATCTATATAGTATGGATTATGATTACACATCTGTATAACTGTATCAAGCAGGCAAGGAGGATGGAGTTCTTATTAATAATACGGTATTATACGAATCCTTCACAGCTTACCGGTTCAAAAACTTTTGTGCGTCTGCGAAGGAAATTATTACGTACCGGTGCAGGAGTCAGGAGTCACCGTCGTCGATCGGGTTTTTTCTTGACTCCGGGCCGAGTAATATAGATATAGAATATTGTTTAATTTATCGAATATGAACACCAAATTTTACTGGATGCAGCAACGCTGTAGATCTACTACACATTAAAAAGTAATTATTAACAATTGTAAATGAGAACTCACCTAAAAAGTAAGTAGCAATAAATTATTTTTATGACAAAGTTGGGTCGATATTAATGAGAGATATAAAGATATTAGTATTCCTTCTGATTTGAACGTCATGAACACTAAAATACCACAAAAAAGATCAAACTCACCATCAGGAACATACTATCTAATTGACAGTTATTGCAAATGTATCAATGTATGTACGCGCGCATCACTCCATAGCGCAGAATATAGTATAACTACCCAAATAGTGGCAGTTACGTGGGAAAATTTAACCAACCTACCTTGGCAGGTGGTGACTTTATACTCATTGCTGATTGCTCAGTATTTACTTACAATAATTAAAACTGTCTATTATTAATGCTCGAAGTATTATAAGTAATTAATAATAACTTTGTTTTTTGTAGTTGGTAATGTTTAAATTAATGGAAGAATATGACTTCTGATTGGCATTTCACATATTAAACCCTAAGTACATTGTCAAAGTCATAGAGGTACATAACATGTCTGACATCTTTATTAAATTTTGTATTGCATTTTGGGCTTGAGTTTCAAATCTTCCTTAAAAACTAATTGTCAACCTGGTCTGCAAAATGAATCGATTTGCATGGGTCGATCCTCAAAACGCCAACAAGTTGGTCAATTCTTCAGACGTGGTGGCAAAGCAGGCAACCGTTCGCCTCTATGATGGCGAGGAGAAGGTACGTGGCATTTGACAGCGACTTGCAGCTTATGGGAGTTTGCTACGAAGGTATCCATTTGGCGTCTAGTTTACCTGTTCCTCGTGCAAGCTCGCGAGATTTAGGCCTGCATAGAGAACACGAGTACTTCTACCGTAAGAATAGGGCTGCTAATTTCTGAGTCTGCTTCCGTATTTCGGAATTTTCGTTCCGGTATTCTTGTTGGTTGAAAATGACGTGAGGTATTGTAGATTTCTCTGGTTATGAAATTGGTAGCACAATAATGACAATATTGACAATAGGGTTTCTGTCGCAACTGTGAATTATTTTCGCACCCTTAACATTTGAGCGTGACAGTCCGATTGTGACTGTGATCTCTAGATTCACTTTGAAAAACATAATTACGAGTGCGTTCTTTTAAATCTTCTACGATAAAATAATGGAAAAATCTTTCAGAAAAACCTTTTGATTTAAAAAATAACATTTTTACGTCTCGCACGGCAGTGACGGCACCATGAGTTATATAAAATAAACACATTTATTTTGATAATTTATTTTTTGCAGCGTGATACTAATAAATGTTGATATTGGCAAATATAATTTCGCGTGCTGGCACATTTGTTAAACAAAAACGTTTTCAAGCTTTTTTCTTGTTGGATTTTTTCTTTTTCTTCTCCAAATTCTGCTTCCTTTTTTTGATGAACTTTCCGTTCATATCGACACCAGGAGTCTGTTCGGTGGCTTTCCTTTTCCCAGCGTTCTGCAGTGCATTATCCAAATCCATGTCCGCTGCGGCGATTTTAAACTGGTCCAGATCCAGCGCTCGTACGGCCTCTTTCTTCCCGACCACTTTCTTAGAATATTCTTTTTCCGCTTCTTCCAGTTCTTCGTCCAATGTTGGACCGCTAGGTCGCATAGATGTTATGTCAACGGCTGCTGGACGAATCATTTCAGCATCGATCTTTTCTTCGGCCAGCTTGCGGAAGAATGCCACCACTTTCCGAATCACTTCCGACTGCAAAATGGACAAAATAGACGGAATGGTGGCATTCAGTGCCGATGCGAGATCATCTACGCTCTTGCACTGCAGTCCCAAACCCAACAGAAATCTGGCCTGGGCATCCGACAGATGGACAGTTCCCAGCTGTCCGCTGAAATACATTCGACTGATCACGGGTAATAAGTCCACTACAACGTGGTAATCGAACATCTTCGCTGCGTAGCTGTTCAGCCGCCGAATGTCATATTTCGTCAAAAACAAATCCGTTTCTGCCCATTTTATCGGTTTCAGTAGCTCTTCTTTTGTAAAGTTCTTATAGTCCTGTAAGACGTCCAACGCTAACTGCGGCGCAAATGTTCGGAACTGATAAGGGAGTAGGTTAATGAATCGCTTTCGAAAATCCAGGAAGAATTCTTTTAACCACCCCGCATCACCATCAACGATCTTCATCATCGTACAACTGTGTTCTCCCGTTAATTCACTCGACGTCTGGCGTACGTACAACGGAACAAATCCACTGCGCTTCCAGAATCTCAACAATTCTCCCGTAAGCCCAAATGATGTCCCTAACCAGTCAATCTTTTCCGCCCGCCTTTCTGTGAGCTTGAACAGCAGAGGTGGTGGATTCTTGCGCGGTTTAATTTTTTCCTGCAGCATATCAATTTCATCCTCTTTCACTGTGCTTATAGTGCCCGTATCCTCTTCAGGAATCTCATCGGTTGCCGGTATCAGACCCTTGTAGTACATTTCCAAAAGATGAAGGGCACGCGACCCATAACCCATCTTCTGGTAGTTCGGATGCACTGCAATTCGCACAATCCGGACACCGGATAACGACGGGAAACTGTTATCTTGAAACTGTTGTCCGATTGTCCAGGGAATCATATCACCGGAAGCTCGACTGGCGTTCGAGAATTCTTTTTTTACCGTCGACTTTGAGATAGCACCTTCCAGCGCAACCTGTCGGAATGAAATTTTCGCGGATCACATAAGCCAAATGCAACCACTATTTCGGGAATATCTTATGGTGCTGCTAAAAGCACTTTTACCTGAACTACGCAGTAAATTTCCGGTAATTCGGATTTAGTATTATCCACTGGACCCAAAAGGCAAAAAATATGGTGAGCTGGAGCATCGGACAACATCTGCAAATCGTTCGGAGAATTTTTATAATGCGAGGCCACGAGTAATGACATCACTCTGTGGAGGAATTCTTCCGACGCTTTGTGATAACTGAACAGCGTATCTCGATTAATATAATACAGATCGCAAGTGTCTGGCGGCGGTGATCCTGAAAGAAATCCATTTACAAGCCTTCTAATGCTGAAATACATTTGACAACTGTAATACCTCCGGAAAGGCTGTTGTACATCGTTTCGCTTGAAACATTCAGGCAAAGAAGATCGTTGAGCCATGCTTCCACGGCATCACCCGCGCGATACCGAATAGATTCTGTCAATTCCAGTTCACGAAGACGTCTGGCATTCGCAGAAGCTGAGTTGGTCGACTGCTTCCTTAACTGATTAATCAGTTTCAACGACAGTGCCCTAAAAATGCAAAAGGAGCATGCTATACTTGTATATGCAACGTACGACTGACATGTTAATGTACCTGCCAGTTCCTTCGTATCCATTTATCGTGGAAGCCATGAAGACAAGATAGGGCCCGATGAGTTCTTTCACAAGCGGCAGCGGAATAGCTGCAGCTTCGTCAATGACAACCAGCTCGGCCTGCCCCAGTTTTTGACCCTCCGTTGGCAAAACGTACTGCACCGTTTGTCGATGGTTGCGGTAGATGTTCAATCGGATGATGGCTTTGTTCTGATCGCGGGCACTGGAACGGACGATGTCGTAATCCGTGTGTTCCTGATAACCCAAAGCTTCAAATCCTTTTAGCACCAGGTCGAATAGCGTTTTGAGATTTTCCGGACTGGGGCTGGTGACGAAAATGTTGGAATATCCATGGGCGACGGCGGCCGCGATGGCCAAGCCCAGCGCTGCTGATTTGCCGCGGCCTCGCGCGGCAGTCAGCGTGACAGTGCTGCGTAGCGTCTTCTCCGTGATTGCATCCGTGAACTGGAGCACCGCTTGGGCTTGATCCACGGTTCTGCAGCAGTTAATCAGCGAACCAATTGGCTGGGTCTCCTGTAAACTGTCTTTCAGCATTTGCAGCTGCTTTTCGTTCGACTCGTCTAAGGCTTTGGATGCGGCTGCAAGATGGTGCATTCCTGCGATCTTGGAAGAAATCGGCAGAATGTTGAATTTATCGTCCATCACCAGAGCCGTTTGACAAGAACCTGTGCGAGAGAGTTTTAATTCGTTTATATAAATCTTGCCATTTACGGTGATTTACTATTTAATATGCGCTAAAAATAAAAAGAGAGCAGAAAAGCAGCCTTATAGAGAAACTACTGATCTCAACGTTGTCAGCAGAAAATTTGAAACTGCAAAAAAAGCGAAAACCACGAAATAATCTGCACACTTACCCAGAGAAAGAATGAAGCGCTCGTTGAATCGCGGCACAACATTTCTGTGGGCTTCAGTTCTGTATCGCGAATGAACATCCATCGTCATGGTGTACAGCTGTTTCAACGAGCTGACTTTATTGAACAGCACCACGACGATCCCACCTCCTTCGGTTGTTTCAATGGTTCTGGCCAGAACATTCGGTGTGATAGCTTCAAAATCCTGCAATACGCACATGCCGAACGTATTGCCCAGAATCTTGTCTGTTTCGGCGTAAAAGCAGAAGCGAATCTTCGTCGACACGATGAACTGCTGATAAGGGTCCTCGGTGGTTTTGTCCATGTTCTTCCCGAGATGTTTCCGCTTCTCTGCATCTTTAATGCCTTTCTGCAGCTTACTAATCTTTTCATTGACCTTGTAACACCACAGCACGGATGGTCGTGCGCGAACCGAGGCTTTGCTCAAAATCTGGTGAAGAATGGGAACTTGGTCGCGAGCCTTGTCGCCGACTATAATGAACAGTGATCGGTGCTGGTTCGCGACTCCATTCTCGATCAGCAGCTTAATCCGTGGATCGATTTTCTTCAGAACCATTTCATCAGATGTTATAACTGCTATTACATAATAACAGCACGCAACTCCGCAACAAACCTTCTTTTAATGCACGGCAAATTTTCAGTGCGTGAAAGAAAACCAATATGAGAAAGGTTCATTTTGTGATTTTGAATTTTTGATGTCAAAATCACAAAGTGGATCGTAAATGAACGGTAGTGAGTAGTGCAAGAACTGCTGCCCGGGGAGGGGGGTTGTACCGTTTCTTCTTTTACAATGTACTGGTCATTTCATTTTCAACTTGTTTGGTCATTTTGGTCTAAATGAGTAAGATACATAATTATAGTTATTCTATATTCAGTAATGAACTGGCAGGAATAGAAACATATAAGATTTGTACGGTGTGCCATCATGACGAGTTTAACATACATGGACTTACGCACTTCCCGGAAGTGTTGTTTTACTACTCGCACAAAGGTTTAGTTAACAAAACTAGAACAGCGGTTTTGCTGTTTTTAGACCCCTTTTGATAGCGGAACGCTCTATCTGTTCAACACGCAGCTGATTTGGATTGACGATCAAGATTCGGTACGAACTTGCAGTGAATATTGAAGGAATAATCAGTATTTCACTTTATGTTTACTTTTAATTGTTAGACCTGCATTATGAGCCTCCATCTTTCTTTGATCGTGTTGACCGAAGAGCACCGTACTGGTTCCGGTCGTAGGTGCAAAATACATTAACTTTTTTCGTGGATCAATTTTTCCTGGTATTATTTTGATTCTATGTTTCGTTTTCAGTCCAAAAGTTGTATTGTATTTAAATGCGCCGTTCGCCAACGTTCAGCCGGTGCAGGTCAGCGATGTGGACTTCGTTAAGCTGTCTTTTCGCAATGGAGGCATGGTGGAGGTGATTGTCTGCAGTATATGGGGAGGTGATTTCCGCGAGTGAGTTGGACTAATCTGAATTTTTCCAGTAGTTTTCTCGGCGGCTTTCGGATCAGATTTCACGAAAGCGATGGGATACAGTTGATTCTCCCGCCCACACGGCAGTCGTAAGTCAACGTTTGATATTATAAACCTATGTACACAACATGGTTGATATTATACAGCCGCGTCGCGAAATTCGCACCGGTATTGCGGGGATTGAACGCAATATCCAAGCGCAACAGACTTCGGCTTCCATGCATATTAGCAAAGCTTTCGAAGACCTGAACAGCCTGATGAAGATGGCCAAAGAGACTGTGGGGTTGTCGAAGAGCATAGTTGCGAAAGTGAAGAATCGTCAGGGTGAAATAACGGACGACGAAACCACGCAGTTGAAATCGTATTTGCTCAGTCTGGGTGTGGATGATCCCGTAACGCGGGATGTGTGCGGAAATGACAACGTGTATCACCAGAAATTGGCTAAGGAAGTTTCGCAGCTTATGACCAAACCGCTCGAGGTATTTGAACATCGTTAATAAGACCGATTTCACCGAGTTGATAGCACAATATAAACTATTTCATGGATTTGCATTCATTTATAACGCGTTACTAACTGCTGACAGTTTATATGCTTCTTTTATTTCCACCTCTGATGTTTGTATTTTCTGGGTAGCTGCTTGACGGTAATCTGTCACTGTGTAATAGGAAAGTGGAGGTTTGATGACCTTGACGGACGTTTATTGTCGTGTGAACAGAGCGCGCGGATTTGAAGTAAGTTGATTTTCTCGCCTGTAATATGGGGATCATTATAAAGGTTAAACTATGAAATTACATGATTTTCATCCTTTGCAGCTGGTTTCACCAGAAGATTTGCTGCGTGCATGCCGACAGATGAAAAATCTGGGACTTCCTACAGAATTACGAGTATTTGATACGGGTGTTATCGCACTGGAACTGCGCACGATCTCCGAGGCTGTACTAGTTGAACGTACGAAAGAAGCTGTAAGTCTTGCGCAAGGTTTGTCGAACGAACTGTGATGAGGGACCTTTTGCTTTTTCAGTTAAATAAGGCGCCGATGACGGCGGAAATGTTTGCTAAAGCTCTTGGAGTATCTGTCGTTCTGGCGAAAGAAATGTATGTACGGTTTAGCATTCTGTATGGATTTGACGGTTCGCTGAAGAAACATGTTTTTTTTCGTCCAAATCAGGTTGTTTCTGACGGAGAAGCGAGGCTTTGCATGCCGTGACGAATCGATGGAAGGTTTACGGTTTTATCCCAACCGGTTCGTTGAACCGTAGTTATTTTCGATTATTCCAGTCCGGATATTTGTATGATGTACGAAACATCTCGAATTTTCCACATGCTTTTTTGAATATTTTTTAACTGTTATCCGCTTATTGTAACGTTGTGGGTTTCGAATATTTTATGCCTTCGGAGTCTTGGACCCGTGTAGAATTCTAAATTTTGATTTTACTATTGTGAATGTACGGTAAACTGATAGTCGTTAGTTTTGGATTTAACATGCACAAGTTTCAGTGAAAATAATTACAAGGCTACAAGCCCACGAAGGCGGAAAATGAAACGCATCGGTCTGTGGTCGACATCTCATTAAGTATCGGTTATTTCAGCAAAGATAACCTCACTGTCAGTCGTCAGTTAACAGAAAGTTATCTGATACTATAGATAAACTGATACTACATCGTACCTGACGAAAATTTGATGGATCACTTACCTAACCGTTAACTTATCGATCAGGAAGCAGTAAGAAAAGAGCGTTCCATGAGAGTGTGGATGTTCCATGGCAAATCTTAAAAGCTTGAAAATTATAAGATTTTCTAATTCTCGCACGTCAAGCACTTCATGCGTATATTTGATTTACAAATTTTAAGGAAAAGTGACAGAAAGAGTACGTTTCAAAGTCATCGGCGAAAACATTCAAACGAAGTCCGCCGTAACCGAGCGGTGCATCTCATCGTGCCGGCGTCCGCTAAGTGACTGCGACTTTAACCGGTCGAAGTGTCGCAAGCGGCGGTTTCGCCAGCGCGCCTTGCTTCCACTGGAGTAATAGCGCGCACTGTGCCGGTAAAGTTGGAAGGACGCGTGTAACTTCCGCGTACACCGGCTTTTAGCTAGCACAGGTACACATGCTTCGACCGAAGCCGCGTGCAGGCTGACCGTATCGTGCCACTGCCCAGCGTCACGTCGGGCGGAAGTGCATGACCTGGCAGAACTCGGAAAAGTAAATGCCAAAAATTGTTTGCAAGGTCCTAATCGGGCCACATGAAACAAAGAAAAGAGAAAAAGCCACAAAGCGTATCAATTATAAGTAATGTTTTTAATTTCCCGTTATTCCGGCGCCGTGGCATGTGAACACTGAACAGCCTGTGAGTCACCCATAGCCCGTAAGAGTAATATCCCTCCCTGGCTGTGACAAAGTCTCCAAATTTGATTATGAGCTGCTTGTACTCTCTTGTAACCAGTAACTGTTGGTAACTTGGTATTTTCGGAAAATTCAAGATCGTTACAGCGGCAGAAGTGTGTACTACAGTAAAACGTTAAACAAAGAAGCATCGGCAGCTGGAACGTTTGCTTCGTTGCTGCTTATCTGTGCATTTTCATATGAACATATAGTAATATCCGAAGATTCGGCTAACCAGTGTAACCACACAGCAAATCCGAACTGAATCCGGGCCCGAACTGATTGCGGCCCGGATTCAGTTCTTCCAGATGAGATTTTTAAAAGATGTCAAAGTTTGAATTAGTAATTATAAAACAAATTTCCTTCAAAGCCGATTCAAACTAGAAAAAATATCTCTAACAAAATCACAGATGCAATAAAAGGAAATTTTAAGCGTTGACATCCTCTGAAACATAGGACGCATCCACGAGCGGATCTCTTTCTTGACTATAATCGCTAGAGTTTTCGTCTCGCCTGAGCTTTTCTCGTTCTGACTGCGAGTAACGCAGTCGATGACCACTTCTCCAATCACTCACATTCAACCCAACCGCCAGCAGCAAAGCCAATCCGGCACTGGACGCCAAGAACCACATCACATCGGCCCACATGGCCATCTTCTCCTTTCCCTGGCTAAGTATTACACCGATCAACGCATTAGAAATTCCCACACCGAACATCTGGAACGACGTCAACAGCCCCATCGCAGTTCCTACGCCGTTCGTCGGGACTAAAAATGGTGCACAACTCCAGGCAATGGCCGCCACGAGGGTATAGGACACACCCATCATCAGACAAAATGCCAGGGGAAGAAATCCAGGAATGAGGATAAGGAACAGATAACCAAGGAATAAAATTGCAGGGGCTGCCAATACCCATAACCCGCGATGGCCCACTTTATCAGTGAGAAATCCAAAGAGCGGGGAAATCAAAGCGACATCGTATGTTGCACCGGCAATATAACCAGCATAACCTTGGGAATATGAGTAACGGTCCTACAAAAAGCGTTGTACATGAGATACCGTGAGCGAATAGCTAACTTTATCAAAAACGACAAAATTAAATAAACAGCAGGAATTAACTGCAGCAAAAGAAATGAGGAAATCACATCAAATGCCGTTAAAAAAACATTCAAACAAATTCAAATTCAGAACAGCATACCGTCCACATGTTGACTGCTGGACTTTTTAAAATAATGCTACCTTCATAATCACCACAACTGCAATTAATAGACCTTGCCATTCTTACCTCAAAATATCGCGGTGCCTCGGCAATGAATGGAAATACTCCGGCATAAAAGAAGATCAAAAGCAATGCCAGTATCCAAAAACTCCATTGAAATTCTTTGATCACCTTAAATTTAAAAGGCTCGTCTCCGTTTTCCGCGTCGGGATTACGATTCATTTTCTTCAGTCCCCTCGTGTGAACATGGCCAGCGGCCACCGCCCCGCCCAGTCCAATGGCACACAAGGCAGTGCCGAACCACAGAGTCCATCGCAATCCTATCGCATCCGCCAGGCTTTCCGTGAGCAGAAAGTTAACTACACTGCCCAATCGACCGGATACGATGGAGATGGCAAAAGCCAAACCGATTTCATGATCCCGAAACCAAAAGGACTGCATCCGTGTCGTTACCACCGATGCGGATGTGCAACCGATCCCAAATACCATCCGGCCGATCATCATCAGAACAAAAGCAGGAGTTTCATCCATGTACGAACTGCTGGCAAATATTGCACTGCAAAATACGGCACACGTAGCAAAGTCAGTATCGTACACAAAAGGGTAAATATCAATTTTTATGCATGTATTATGCTGCTGATTTTGAGCACTGCTCATTTATGGTAAACTCTATGACAAAGATGCGACGTTGACCCTCATAACTACAACAGTCACAACAACCGTAATACCTGCCACAGAAAAAGAGGAGACTGAACCCAACTAGGGTCTGCTTGCATCCCAGTTTATCCGCCAGCATCCCGGAAAATGGCACGATGCATGCGCCGAACCAGGCATAAACGGCATACAGCAAATTAAACTGCGCAGGAGACAGGTGAAGGCACGTGTCCGTTCCATTGGAGCAGGCCGTGGCATTTCCCGTTAGCAAATCCTGAATAACACTAGGAACATCGTAGAAATAATCGGCACTGAAGGAAATGAAACTGGTGCAAAATAGAACTGGCCATCGTACGGACATTTCCAGATTCCACTTTCTTCAGCCTTATGTGTAAAGGAACGCGGTTTAAATAATAATTATTGTTAATGCCCAGATTTATCGTAAAACTAAAAAGCAGCCAGAATCTGTGAACCCTGAGGTCTCCGAATTTGTAATCAATCAGTTCACTGAGAACAACAACCAAAGAATCCCAATGATTATAATGATCACAAAGCAGTTCCAAACGGCATAGAGATTAATCGTTCTCATCCTTTGAGATGGCGAAGACTGCCGAAGAGGTACTTATTATTGCACATATAACGCACAAATCCCAACACACAAAAGTTGGCAAAATAAATCTTATTCGCAGAATGCGGATGCTAGAAAATTACGTATGTACAGTAAGTCGTTTACAAAAATTTACGACAACGATGTTTAAAATTTAAATACTATGCTGTACCACCAAAAACAAAACTGGCATGCGTCACGCGACAAATTACAACCCAAATAAATCGTAGTACGGTACAGTGTGTGTAAACGTAGTACGGTAGTAGCGTAAGCACTATGGCGGGCAAGTGGGGTAATCGTCTACGAAACCGGTGCTCATTGAGCTCATTGCCAAAACTTTTGTTTGTTTTTGTTGGGTTTAGACTTTTTTCTGTTATTAGTTACGCTGTTTTGTGGTTATTGTTTCAAGCGAATTTATTAACTTTAACTAAGACCTTTCTTACGTTAACTTTTGTTGATCAGCTAATAAGTGTTTGCCTGTTTGGTGGCATTTCGTGATTAAATTCCGCTGACTAGTGTGCTCTGGTAGAGTGGTACTAATCCTGGAAGATCGTAAAGTGTGCAGAGATGGCGCAAGTCAGTATGGGCATGGATCATGATTTCAAAATGCGAACATCTCAGGAACGTGCCAGAGTGGAAGATATTTTTGATTATGAAGGATGCAAAGTTGGTCGCGGAACTTATGGCCATGTATATAAGGCCAAACGCAAAGATAGGTACAGGAATGTCACTATAATCCCTGCCAAAATGTGGAAGATTAGAGACCCCGTTTTGATGTTTGCGTTCGGTGATGCAGGTCTGATGAAAGGGAATACGCGCTGAAGCTGATTGAAGGAACGGGAATCAGCATGTCCGCATGCAGAGAAATCGCCGTGAGAATTCTGTTACGTCGTATCTGAGCCGTTGCTGTATATTATTTTGACAGTTGGCTTGAGCAGCATTCATTGTACTCTGTAGTTATTACGGGAACTTCGTCATCCCAACGTTATTAACCTGCAGAAAGTGTTCCTCTCCATGGGCGACAGGAAAGTCTGGCTGCTCTTTGATTTCGCCGAGCACGATTTGTGGGTAAGCATGTGATTTCTCTATAGAGCGGAAGAGGATATTCATCGTCAGGATCTTGCTTTGATCCATATGTGCATATATAGTATAATATATATGTTGTATGTAGTGGGCGTCCATAATGGTTTTCAAAGAACATTTTCGGATTTAAGATTCAATTTTGCATTTTGTTACACTACTTATATTGCACAAACTTGTTGCCGCATTTGTCTTTAGTAAATTTCTGCTGGAAAACGAGTCCTTTGTGTTAGTTGTTGTTTATAATATTAAGTAATCTTAACGTTTGCATGGATTCGGTTACGAACTTCAAAATTTGTGATGATGGTAATAATTATCCCAACGGCTCAACCAGAATAATTTTAACTTTTTAAGGATTTTGCATTTGCTGTGTGAATATCTAACAATAAGTAATGTATTTAGGTATGAATGTGCCAACAAAAATCGCATTTATGAGATCACATTATTGTAGCATATTATAAAATTCCACCGGGCGGCGAAAGCTACGAAGAAGACAGTCAGTGTTCCTAAAAGCATGATAAAAAGCCTGCTGCATCAAATTCTGGACGGCATCCATTACCTGCACCAAAACTGGGTGCTGCATAGAGATCTGGTAAGCCGACATAGTTGTTTAATTTTTTTTGCGTGCACTGATAAGGACAAATGATTAGTTACGTTTATCGGCTAACAGGATATGTTAAAATGTAGAAACCGGCTAACATTTTGGTGATGGGCGAAGGAGCAGAGCGTGGGCGCGTCAAGATTGGTAAAAAAACATCCTTCTCTTTCGTCTTATCTGGTAACCAGTAGATTACTGGACTGGTTTGATGACATACAGCGGATATGGGATTTGCACGCCTTTTTAACTGCCCGCTGAAACCTTTGGCTGATTTGGATCCGGTTGTGGTAACGTTTTGGTACCGTGCACCGGAATTGCTTTTGGGAGCAAGACATTATACAAAGGCGATAGGTATTGGATACACATATTTATTACTGTTCTTGGGAAAGGTATAATGCGTTTTGCACATATTTGATTAGCATACGGTTTGTAAATGTCGATTCTGGTTGGATTTTGGAGGCGGCTCTGTCCTTGCATCATAAATTTTACTACATTATGTGCGTTTGTACTTTGCAGATATTTGGGCCATTGGATGTATTTTCGCCGAGTTGCTCACAAGTGAACCTATTTTTCACTGTCGACAGGAAGACATAAAAGCGAATAGTCCGTATCATCATGAGCAGCTGGACAGAATATTCAATGTGATGGGTTATCCCAATGAAAGAGACTGGGAAGATCTGAAATGCATGCCGGAGTATGGCACATTAAACAAGGATTTCAAGCGAACAAAGTTCGTCAGCCTGGTGCTTTAGCATACGTATGTAGTTTGAAATAAGAAGTTTTGTTTTGTGTTCATAGTTACGCCAGCTGTTCTTTAACGAAGTATACAGAAAAACACAAAATCAAATCCGACAGCCGGGCGTTCCAGCTGGTACGAATTGCGTTGACTACAAATACAACGCCAACCTAGCAATCCTTAATTGTTATTATATATTTTTAATAGCTTTCCAGACTGCTGATTATGGATCCTACGAAGAGATTAACGTCTGAGAGTGCTATGAAAGACCCCTACTTTCTAGAAGATCCTCTCCCAACCGCAGAGTAAATAGCAGTGCAGTGGAAGTCTTGCTGTTAACAGTCTAACGATATCTGATGGTGTAGCGTTTTTGCCGGCTGCACTATTCCTTACACGAAGCGGGAATTTATTACAGACGAAGAAGAGAAAGAGGATCCGAATAAGGTAAATATTTCACATGAAAGTATGTTAAACTTTATGCGGTGTTCTAAAGTATAAATGACCTGCCAAAAATTGATTGGTGCTGCGTCTCCACTGTAGTGGTACTATTTCCTATGGATTTTCCAAATGCTTGCTTTTGAACACAGTCATTTCTGTACTACTCGAGCAGCTTCAAAAGTTTTCGATTATATTCGTACCAAGTATGCCTACACGTTCATATTGTAGCATCCTTTGTATCGCTTTTAATCCTGTTTAGGTGCGGGCGTCGTCTGCGTTGGACACATCCAGCACAGCAGCTGGAGTAAATGATGCCTTGGCGCAGTCTTCGGCTCCTAAGAAGCCGAAACTGTCTACTCAACAGCACGGCCAGGATTTTCAGGTTCGTATTAAACGATTTCTTTCTGAATTCAGATATGTTTATTTGCTGATTTATGTGATCTTGGACATTCTTATTTGTTGGGATTAGGCTCCGGGACATTCTGGTGCTCAGGCAACCACGACAACGGACACGCAGTCTGGCACAACCATTTCATCAAGCACATTTACCCCAGCGGTAAACACATCGCACTCTTCTAGTTCCCGGCATTATTCCCAAAGATATTGAGTGATCTTCTGAAGACACCAAATTTTGGATCTCACTTACAGTACAGTATTAACCTTCAATTGTTTCAATTCAACTGTTTGTCTCGGTGAAGTGGTTCTGCACTTCTTGCTGACTTTTAAATGTTTCCAACTTCGATGTGGTATGCTGTTGCACCATTTAAATGTAAACCTGACACACTGGCCTTTGTTTCGGTTGTTTGTAAGTGGCTACGGTTAGTGCAGTATTATGGTTGAACACTTCTGTACATTATAAATAACACTAGAGGAATAAATACGAGTAATCAATGAGAACTACTCTAATCTAGGTTGGATAGTGAGTGGATCAGTGTGTGCACTGCGCGCGTACTGCAAAGTGCAATCTCCGTTTGGACCATTGTTTAATTTTGTTGGATCGAGGAAATATACTGTTTTGTTTTTTATCAACTTGTATTTCTCATTTATCAAAAGATGCGTCGGAACTTGCTAGCGTTATCAATCTTGTGATTACTGATACATCCACGAGCCACAATTAACCTGTGCAAATACTGCTCGCCATTTCGATTTTTATACATGGCACTTTGGCCAAGACCGTTCAGTTCGTGATGTCGCATTATAAGTTAATGAGAAATTTTCTTCTCAATGACAATAAAAACATAACAAAAGTCCTACTGTTCAAGACAAACAACAAATATGTCATATTACGACTCATATCGTCTCAAACAACGACAAGTCCAAGTAAATGATACCATTTCTTACGTCAACACGATTTTTCATTTTTGGAGATACAAAAAAGTCAGGCTATGACAAATGGAACTAACAGGCGCCCTCCGCAACAATTCGGTGCCCTTCAGCGCATATACGGATGAAATCCCCGGACTGCTCCGCGTGCTGCGGCTCCGGCCGCCCCTCGCGCTGCTCCCCGGGGAGATCCGGCTGCCGGAGCTCCACGTCCACGTGCTCCCGGATGCATACCCCCTCGGGCAGGAGCCGCTGGATAAGCTGCAAGATCGTACCAATCAACCTCTTATCCCAATAAGCGCATATTTCAGCCAGCAAGCAACACAAAAATGATAATTTTGCGGGTGCTGCCAAGCGGGTCATAATTTACCAGCAGTGGTGCCGTCAGTAGCACCATATCCAGCCGTGGTGCCGGCTGTGGCTCCAGAATAATCATACCCACCCGAGTAATCATAGCCACCATAATACCCGCTAGCCGCGTTGGGATCGGCATAATAGTTCTGATCGTATCCTTGCGCTCCATAGTACGAGGCGTAAGATCCGTCGCCGTATCCCCCAGCAGCGCCATATCCCCCGGCACCGTACCCGCCAGCCCCGTATCCCCCAGCAGGACCGTACGGGCTGCCGTAAGGATTACCGTAGTCCTGCCATCCTCCTCCGGGGGCACCTTGCGTTTTCTGCTGGGGTATGGCCTTGCGTACATCGCACTGAAATCAACAAAACTCAGATAAGACTAGCCGATTGCCCACGGCTTACGCCTAGTGTTGTTCCAACAAATTATAAGAGGTACTAACGCAAATAAATACACAATGATGATAAGCCATATCATATTAAAGCCACTCAAATAATTCAATGCGTTATAAGCATGAAAGAGTAATGCATACGTACCTGACGGTCACCGATTGTGTGCTTGGGTGTCTTGATCAGTTCTGTAACCACCTTCTCGTCCTCAAAGTCCACGAATGCGAAATTTTTCTTGGCATTATCCCGCATACGATCCTTCGGCCATTCGATTGTTTTTACCTGTACAAAAAAAATTTTGCGGACTTGATAAGGGGCTATCGTTTATCAAGACTTATTTCATACTTTGCCGAATTTCTCAAAGAATATCTTCAAATCATCTTCGCTCATGTTACTGTCAAGCCCTCCGACAAAAATCTTCGTCACAGGCTCTTCACCAGGACGGGGTGCGGCAGCCTTCGGATCGATCTTTTTCCCCTTCATCGTGTGACTGGGAACTGCACCCACCTAAATTACCACAGTTTAATATAGTTTATGTAATAATTCTTCAAGTGTAATCTTTCCAAAAATATTGAAACAGCTAACAAACAAAATCGGCCACTCATTACTTACCGCCTTGACTGCAGCCGAATCTGCAAACGTGACGAATCCAAAGCATCGTGATCTTCCACTTGCAAGATCTCTTTTTACGGTCGTATGCTGCACACTGCCGAACTGACTAAAATATGTCTTCAGATCTTCTTCGCCCGCATCGGCTGGCAGTCCACCAACAAAAATCTTTCTATAAATGCAAACAAATATTAACAATTATTACAACTATGTTCACCTAAACGAAAACAATAAAACCTTGAATACGAACGAACCAATTCAAGGATAACAAAACCCAAAAATAACCTCAAAAACAACACTCAATCTCGATTTATTTGAAGCCAACTGGATTAGCGATAATCTTTGATAAGAACTGGAGTAAGATAGGCAGGAAAGGACACAACTTTTGACGGATCTAGTTGATTAGCCATGTAATACTAATTTGCAGTCGAGAATCTGTATGACGGAATCGAAGTGTGTTAATCGCTTTAATTTAGTTCTTTATTTCGCTTTTTCTTAGCCCCGTTTACCCGCTTCACGGTGGACTTTGGAGCTCGCCAACGCAGTCAATCAATTTCCCACTTGGATAATCCACTGCGAAACCACGGTCTGGAATGATCAAATCTTTGGTTCCGAAGAACCGTCCATGCACAACCAACACGAAGATGGCCCACAACTTCCAGATTTTGTACCGATAGATGTTTTGATTTTAGAAATCTCCCGATACTAAGCGAAACTTCACGCTCCCTTCTATCTAGCTTCAGCTTCTAAAGCTATCAGTATTTACTCGCTATTCTAAATTTTCATTCCCAAGTACATAATCGACGGATAAATTCGATTTGCGGAATTACACCCCACTCCTTGTATTATGTATTATAAAATTGTTTTAGCAGATGAAAGTAAAAAAGACTCCTGTAGATTAGCGAATGGTAGCTTTGCAGTTTTTACTAATCATAAAAAAGTATTAATTCAAGAGCGAGAGTACCTGACCCTATAGAACGCAGCATTTACAAAGTTCCTCAGAAACGAAATAAGTGATTCGAACTAAATAACAAATGACAAGTACTTACATAAATACAAATAACTGAAGAAATCGATAACAATAATATGCTTTGAACTCTTTAAGACAATCTCCACATTACTCATTATTGATAGTTTTACCTAGTTAGAAATTACTTAGTGATTTAGTTAAGCTTTTACTTGAGAACTATAAGATTAGATCCTAATTATGCTGAACGATCAATATTCTGATATCTACGGTTTCTACGGTTCTATGTGCAAGTTTTGGCTTTCGACAACCCGGATTCGTGAAATTAAGGACGCAAACGAACGCAGTAAATAACTACCACTAAAGTAAACTAAGATAAAAAATATGTACCGTTTGTCAACTGGTTCCGAAGATTCCGTAACTCCGTTCGCAGTAGCAGCAGCATCTCCATTGCCAACGAACGCCATTTTATTTCGTAAAGGGTTTAGCGTAAAGAAAAGATGATAACTTCTCCTTCAAAGGTACTTCGACGAAGTCAAAACCGTGTTCTATATAGACTTGGTATTGACAACTCAAAAATTGCTATTCCTCTATAAAACAAAATGACCAGTAAGAAAAAGCTTTCAGGGTTAGACTGTAAAGCTACTGTAACGAATGCCGTACGGGTAAAAAGAGTAAATCTCGTTCTCGTTGTTTACGCAAACTAAACCCGCACTTTCTCCAAGGTCCACCGCCAACTTACCTCGCACGATAATCTGAAGAACAGAAAAAGCGAAAGATCCGGGCTTACTAATACGTCTGCAAATACTTTAATCAACAGGATGCCACAACCTGCAAAGGTCTGAATTTACATCGAGAGCCGGACAAACGCAAAAACTAAGCATATGTAGAAAAAATGGTTCTTCGCTGTGAACTGACTTATGAACTGACGCAGGCTACCGAGACGAAGTACACAGCACTCAAATCGGCTCAGACCGAAGCGGCGGACCGATGGCGTAAACCGGCTTTTTTTTAGGCCGAGTGGCTTATTTTCAAATAGGATGTGACTCGTGAGCATCCACCCAACAAAAGCTGCGGACCGTTAAAGTTGTCGGACCGAGCCGCGGGCTGCCCAGCAGTATATTTTTCTCCATACAGCGCCATCTGGAGGCAAAGTGGGGACACGGTTCCACGGAAAGTGAATCATCCTGAGTCGTTTAACCGTATGGTGCCGCAAATGTCGTACTTTACTACTTACCAGTTACACGTGAAGGTTGCAATTACTGTTCAAAAGTTTTAAGCAGCTCCATGGAGAGGCAGCTGGGTTAGCGGTAAATTAAATTGGCTCAAAGGTTTGCGCGAACTTGAAATTGCGCAAGACACTAGAGCAAGCACACTGCACAGATCTGTGGCAGAAAAGACAAGCCACAAAAGAGGAAAGTTCAGCATATAATAATTTTTTATAATTTTTTTGACATTGTTATAGTAATCAGCAGTTCCTAATTTCATGAGTTACTTGTTTGCAGATTTCCATCTCTAGCCATGCAGGTCTAGAAGTGCCACTGCGTTCACTGTTCAAATCGTCATTACTGAAGTCCAGGCTCCAGACGATACTCAGATTACCCATTACTGGACTGAAAAGTGGAAACGACGGATATTTTAACTGAAGTGGAAGTTCCCGGTTCCGCGTTAAACGGTGAACCGTTTCGAGAGCAGGTTTATGCTTGGGACTGACGAAGAATGGATTTCATCAGCACCAGTCCTGCTGAAATGGATGTTGAGCATCAGGAGCACCGGAAAGTTTTGGCGCAGCTGAAAAATGATCAGGGAGAAACCCTGGGACATCCTTTGGACATTCCCGTTGACATATCGTTTAGAGATCTGCAAACTATCTGTAATCTCCTTCTTGAACAACAGGTATCTAGGGACATAATTTCACTGTTTTGAAGTATTATAATTAGGCTTAATTCTGCGGCCCAAAAGTTTTCAAGATTTTTCGTTAATTGATATTTATAAAAAAATATGCTTATCAGTTAAACTTATCACTTATTGGTTTATGACTTAGGACGAACCTCTTCCTTATTCATTCTTCGTGAACGGAACGGAAATCCAGAAAAATTTATCCGATGCGATCGATTTCAGTGTGACAAATACGGAAAAATGCTTGGAAATTGTGTACCAGCCACAAGCAGTTTTCCGAGTCCGTGCAGTTACACGCTGCAGCAGCACCATCGAAGGCCATGCCGAAGCGATAATAGCCGCTCAGTTCAGTCCGGATGGCCGGTATGTCGTCTGCGTTGCGTTATAGTGTCATTATCAGTATGATAAATGAGTGAGAATACTTCGAATTTTGGTTAAAATTTTCTATTAATAACTTGGATTTGTTGTTGTTAGATACCTTGCCAGCGGTTCCGGCGACACAACTGTAAGGTTTTGGGATGTTACTACCGAAACGCCACAGTACACCTGCAAAGGCAAGCAGAAAATAAATGGAAGTTTTACAGTTGCTTCGGTTGGAAAATACCCTTACATGTTTAGTTTATAGATTGAATTGTGGATGTTGCTAGTAGTTATGTTTTATGAACTTGCGATTAAGGAGAAGTATTTGATTCTGGATTTAGGTCACAAAAATTGGATTCTTGCCATAGCCTGGTCGCCGGATGGCAGAAAATTGGCATCTGGTTGTAAAGATGGCAGAGTACATTTCATTAATCGAATATTCTTCAGCTCCTTGCAGAGATCGTTGATGTGTGAACTGTGTTTTTTCGCTTGTTAGGTTTGCATCTGGGATCCCTCTAACGGCAAACAGTTAGGAAAGACTCTCTCCGGCCATCAGCAATGGATAACATGGCTATGTTGGGAACCTCTGCATTCCAACGGACACTGCCGATTACTGGCCAGCTCGTCCAAGGACGCAACGATCAGGATATGGGATACGAGTATGCAACAAGTCCTACGGATCCTTTCCGGCCACACGCAGAGCGTCACATGCCTACGATGGGGTGGCGTGGGCCTATTATATTCCTGCTCACAGGATCGCACGTTGAAAATCTGGAGAGCGTCCGATGTACGCTTGAATCTTTCGTTCCTTCAAGTACCCTTTGATTATGTCTTCCTAAAAACGAGATATTTTAGGGTATCCTGGTTCGAACTTTAACGGGTCATGGACACTGGATTAATTCAATGGCATTGAATACCGATTATGTTATGCGTACGGGTGCGTTTGATCCTCGAGATGCTGATGTGGTGCATTCACTGGACACCGACTCCGGTATATTACATTTCGCGCTGGCATCCCATATTGGTTATGAATATCTAACAAGTTATTATTTGTAGCTGAAGATTTACAAAAGAAAGCTGTGAAAAGATATGACGATTTTCGGGTTTGTCTGTCTTAACCACGGTGACTTTTGATTTAAACTCTACTCAGTACTTTGTGTTTTGTGTAGAGGTCGGTTGTCGCGGAACGCCTTGTGTCTGGTTCGGATGATTTTACTATGTTTTTGTGGAATATTGAAACAGACAAGAAACCCTTAGCTCGTTTGACTGGTCATCAAGGAACGATTAATCAAGTGTGCTTTTCGCCAAATGGCTACTTAATCGCCAGTGGTTCCTTTGATCATAGCGTAAAGCTGTGGAACGGCTTTACTGGCAAGTAAGTTTTAGCAGCAGCCCCAAAGTACAGTTTTTTGCAGTAGAACTCGTTCACCGATATATACTCAAAAATTTATTTTGTGAATTGGGTATTGCTAACTTGGACTTTTTTCTGCTTTGAGTACAAAATATGGTATCATTTTCCCTTTACACTGTATTGTACCTTTGGGTTCGCTTCTGGGATTTTATTCATTTCTAGTAGCAGGTACCGCTTAGAGCCTTAGACAGTGAGGTATTTTTATTTTGTAGGTTTATTACATCATTTCGTGGACATGTACAAAGGGTGTACCAAATCGCATGGTCGGCTGACAGTCGACTATTAGTCAGCGGTAGCCAAGATTCCACGTTAAAGCTTTGGGAAGTGAGTACGAAAAAACTCACAGTGGATTTGCCGGGACATGCGGATGATGTCTATGCAGTGGACTGGAGCCCCGACGGGCAGCGCGTTGTCAGTGGTGGAAAAGACAAAGTGCTGAAAATGTAAGTGATAATTATGTTGCAGAAATTTAAAATAAGCTGTAGCACTGGTTTCCTTGTAGATGGAGGAAATGAATAATTAATGTTCAAATTTCGGGATGGAGCTCTAGAAAACTGACGTGGCCTGGGAAAGAAGTATGCCTTGTCCTTTTTTGAATGTATAAGTTTTTTGAGTGATTGGAACGGCATACACGTACCACGAAGGCTTTATTGCGATTTTGCAAGGAAAGCGAACTGGTTATAACAATAAAAACTACTCGTATTGAGCAAGTTAGTTCAAATACTTCAAAACGGCAAGAGAGCATTCGTCACCGCAAAACAAATATGTTAGCACTAAAATTTCAAATTCTAAAATCACTCGTTGTCTTGAAACATTGTCACTGGAACACCTGGTGTAGAATTTCTTTCACTTGCTGCTCATGGATAAGACCAATCCCAACAGCAGGTAAAGGAAACACCGGTCTGCCGGCATATTTTGCCTAAGATGCAAAACGGGCCGCTGAAACGTTCTGCTGATTTACACGATTTGTAATTGTTCTCTCTTACATTAATTCCTAACAAATTCTGCAACCTCGGTTGTACAAATGTCCACGCCCCCATATTCCTCGGTTCCTCCTGTGCCCAGATAAACTCTTTCGTTTTTGTATATTTTTTAATTTCAGTCCTTAAGTTATCCACCGGAAAAGGACACAATTCCTGAAACGATGTTCCACATGAAATACTTTAACAATACAAATCAGTATCGAAGGATCTGTTACCTCCACGCGAATCAGTGCTACATTTGTTAGCTTCTTCGATTTTCTTTCTGCATCCAGAGCATAGAAGTGCTTGCCCGATACAAAACCACCTTGTCTACTTTTGATGGATCCACAGCACTGTCAGGCAATACAGGGGAGAAAAATGTGCCGGGCGCCATTTCGCTCAACTGACTTGTGGCAGCGGCCAACCTCAGTACGGTTTTCGGTGCGGCTACGACTAATGGCTTCCGAAAGTTACGCAACATTTGTCGCCGTAGAAGATGGAAATACTGAGCCTGAATTCAATAACAATTAGTGCAAGTAACTTAAGGCATTCAGACAAACCCGACGCACCGGAGTGGTGGCGTTCACGAAGCCGAAATTCACATTATCCCCATCAACACTGGTCTCTGAGCTGTCGGTCTGCTGCAAGAATCGTTCAATGCGACAGGAAGAATGTTCCGGACCGGCGCCATCGTATCCTGCAAACAAGAAAAGCCATAAGAAAAGCCATTCAGTAGAATTGCTTACCATAAGATAGAAACAGCTGGTATTTCCTCACCATGAGGAAGCAGCATAACCATGCCGCTTTGTAGTAACCATTTGGCTGCAAAATACGATTACAAATTCCCAAATTACTGTCGACATTGTAAGTGTCAGATTCCAACCTCGTTACTTACTTTCGCCTGTTGCAACGTAAGTGTCAATGATAATTTGCGCACCATTGAAGAAGTCTCCGAACTGTGCTTCCCATATAACTAAACGGTTAGGGTCTTCAATGCTCATGCCTAAAACAAAAGCCATCAAATTCTGTGCCTAAAACTTACAAGATTTCTTCGGTGATTACCGTATTCGAATCCCAGTACAGCTTCTTCCGAGAGAACACTGTTAGCAACCTGCACAATAATCATAACACTGGCCAAAAGTAGCCAGCGCTTCATCTAACGGAAACAATTACCTCATAACGCGCTTTTTGGTTGTCTGCCATATGATTTAATGGTACAAAGCCTTGATTGGTTTTCTGATCCGTCAAACGAGCATGCCGATGGCTGAACGTACCTCTTCCAACATCTTGACCGCTGATTCGTACATCAAAACCTGTCAAAGGTGGAAATGCAAAGACAGTACAAGTCTAATCAGTAAACAAAACAAATCATGTGCGCACATATGTACTTATCCACAGACAATTCGCTTCTAAACCATTATGCTAACAAGCAACAAGCATAAAACAGAAACAGTAGTAGTCACGTTAATCATCGCTTGATTTATGATTGCATTTTTAAACCTTGGAGCAGAAGAGATCCAAGCGCCATAGCTTCCGCTGTTGCCCAATCAATTCCTTTTCCTTCTTTCAACTTTTCCAAACGAGCCTTGACGTGTGTTTTTAAAAGGTGAGGATGAATGTTAAAGTCACTGGGAAATTCAACTGATTTGGCTCCCACGAATTTCAGACCATCCACAGGAAACCCCGTATCCCACAAAGTGTTGATTTTGCCGGCCTGCGCCAACCCGCTCCACTGTCTTTGCAAGTGATATGCCTGTAATTTATGATTTTTAGGTTTACGCATTTATTCTATACAACCGTTAAAAACTGTCTGCGCTAGCGCACACCTCGGGCTTAAAACTAGAAAGGTTGCTAAATTTTTCTCTCAGGTAGTTCGTGTATTCCTCAGCCGACGCCTTGTTTTCTTCGGGAGTAATTATTCCTTCTCTCTATGCAAGTAAATGTATTAGCTAAGATACGAGTACGAATACGTGCAATAAAAAACAGTGCATATCAAAACGCATAGTTGTAGTCAAACCTACTGCAAGATTTTCAGCGTATGTGTCTGGCAAGCTTTTGCGAGACTGTATGGCGCTATACATAACCGGTTGAGTAAAAGTGGGATCATCCACTTCATTGTGTCCATGCAGTCGATAACATATCATATCAATCACGACATCTTTCCCAAATCTATTCTTGTAATCAAACGCGAGTTTTGTAGCGCGCAGGACGTCCTAAACCAAGTAAACCACTGCGTTAATTAACTAAAAGACGTAACTTGCACAATAAAATAGGGAAACGGACATTTCGTGTCCTTTTTATGATAAGGCATTTGAATTTCTTATCTTTATCCCGGTTGTTCTGTATCCGAAAACTGACAGTTTGTAAATTTTATACCAACTAAAACGGAATGTAACGGAACTGTACTGTAACAAAGTGAAAACGCCAAAAAAACTTGCAAGCAGAAGTTACTTACTAACCTCGGGGCAGTCTCCATTTACATGGATCACCGGACAAGAATTCATTTTTGCAATATCACTGGCATAAATCGAGGATCGTCCAATACTTCCAGGTGTCGTGAATCCAACCTGGTTATTGGTTATAAAATGCACACTTCCTCCCACCGTGTAATAGGGCAGATTGGCAAAAACGAAAGTTTCTGGTACGATACCCTGTAAAGCATCAGGTATAAAGCATCATGTAAAGCATCATGCAAAGCATACCCTGTAAAGCATCATGCAAATCAGATCACTATTACTGTAATACAGTTACTGTATTTGTTCGGAAGTTTTTAGACAGTAGAACGTCGTTCTGCATTCATACCTGCCCCGTAAAGGAAGCATCGCCGTGAATCTGGACACACAGAACTTTATTCGATTCCCTGTCGTCTTGTCTGTACTCCCCGCTCTTCTGCTTCTGCTGACGCCCTCTGGCTTTCCCCACCGCTACAGGATTATTGGCCTCCAAATGGGAAGGGTTGGGGATCATGCTTACATGGAGTTTCTTTCCTTGTCCCAAATCCAAATCGACAGAAGTAACTACAAAACACACCGTGTCATGCTTTCAGGCCACCGGTACCGGCACCACAGAGAACGAAGGCTCACACAGGTGAGATAATACATCACCGCATCCCGCGACACCCTCAGGGAATTCAGACTTGCCGGTAATCTGATAGCAGGTTCAGATTGGATAATGCAAAATGGTCAGGAGAAAAGAAAAGCCTTACTTTTAAAAACATGTAACTGGGGTCGTAGTTCAAATTCAGCGCCAAAACGTTTAAACGTCCTCGATGGGGCATACAGATTACCACATCACTGTAACCATCTGAAAATGCAAACAACTCCAAGGTATTAACGATGGAAATATCAACAAACCACATGTCATCTCAAAATGTACTCATTTAGCTAAGCACCAAACCACTGGACACAAACGTGACGATCACTAATCACCACTAATTTCAGAATCTACCGGAGTTATCGATTTATAATTAAGTTATTACCCATACAAGGTTATCGGAAAAACTTTACCACAATACGCACCTTGTGCTGCGGACTTTAATATTTCGTTCACAAATATCAAATTTCCTTCCGCTCCTTCTCCACCATATCTTTTTAATGTTGGAAATTTGTTGGCCAAAAAATTGTCGAATGCCTGTTGCAAGCATGAGCTTTCGAATAATTTCAATCAAAATGTATTAAATTTCGACGTTACCAAGCGGAATTTCACAGCTGTTTTCGATAGTCATTCGACATTAGCCGAAGTCATAGAAAAGGTGCATAATGCGACGAACACTGCCAGATACACACCTGAGTCTGCGCTAAAAGTTTTGCGATATCCTTTTTCGCCTGGACGGGCACATTCTGTTTATGAATTCGTTCAAAATTCTCCGCAAACCAAATTCGCTCTTCAAGTGTCTATGAAAAAACAGAACCTTTCAGTAAAAAGGACACCATTATAAAGTGGCAAATGAAAATACAGTGTTAAAATTTACTGAAATCCAACTCTGCAGTTTACCTGCACATGTTGAAATTCGGCAGATATCGTCGAACAGTAAACATTCTGCAATGCGGCAACCAATTCGCCCACAGATGAAAACTCGGACAAACCGAGAAACCCGCCGACGGAAATTTCGTCCTTAAATCCAGAGAATCCGTACATCGCAGGATGCAGTTCAGGCACCTCCCTGAGAAAAATATTTAGATGGTAATTCTTGTGCATGATTTTCTTGCTTGAGATGTTGTACAAGTGAGCGATTCGCGTGTTATGTACAACTCGAGAAATTTTAACAATTAAACGAGTACGGCAGATAACTAGTTATATTGTCATCCTCATTTTCTGTCAATGCAAACTGCCATTTAGGTGCGAAACCATAATAAAACGCTGAAATGGTGCTGAATTAGTGTCTCACAAATACAAAGCAAACGTTCAACTATAATTAGGTTTGTGTGTGTGTTAATACGTATTTATACTATAAATTATGGCTGCAGTATGCAATACGCATAGAAGTATACTGTATACCTGACAGGCTGCCAAAGACCAAGGGGATCCACGGATGCCAGTTTATGCCCATGTTCCCGGTATGCATTAATCAGCTGGGCTACGCCATCCGAGAACTTCTGTGTCTCTACAATCATTCACACATGGACGAAAGCGTAATGCATTTTCAGCCCAGCTACTTACGTATATGCCCGCATATCATTTACGTTTCTAATTCGCAGAGGTGGAAAGCACTAAGTACAATAGCTTGTAGTGCACACTGCACATTAATTTGATTTTGGTTAAGAATCTATTTAGTTTAGTTCACACGAATTTAGCATACAGAAGAAGTTATCACAACATACCTGGAAGAGGAGATTTTCGTTGGAGAACATTTTGCAAATCTTCGTTCACAGAGGCAGCTCTTCGAGAATATTCCCGCGCTACGGAATTTGCAGACGCAGCATTTTGCAGCCACCGCGATAGCAACGGTTTTCGGCAGTATCTTAATAAGGCACGCATTGTGCAAAAAATAGTCCCTTCACTCTGTTAAATGGTGCTCATGCGGGAAAACGCCGGAACCAAGATTTAGCGTTTTGTCTGAACTCCAACCTCCTTCCAGGTATGGTAGTCTCTCCCCTATCCTTTCCGCAGCTGCAATGGTATTCTTCTTTACTACGGTCTTGTAAAACTCTTGTTCCCTAATCTGCAATCAGCTGACTGACTGTGGAGAAGTTGTCAAGCTGCCCACCCCAGAGTGCCGGCTACATGTTCACATAGTAGTTTGACTTCGTAAGTACTTAAACCACAAAATCAAAATTGGAAAGATCAACGCTTGATCCTTTATAATGCTGCTGTAATTTCGTAAATTATTTAAAGTAATTAATCACATGGATTACAGGTTTCGAAATAAATTCCGCACAAGAGAAAATTTACTAATCCTAGAAGCACGACAAGCAAGATTGGTGAAGCTTATAAAAGGCAGAACCCCCACGTGTACATTAATTTTGTACATCCCACTGATCCCACTAATCGCAGCACCGGAATCGCAGCACATAAGGTCACCGTTGTCTCCTAATATTAAACACCTAAAGTAAATTAAAACTCCTGTGTTTCAACTGGAGAAGGTGGTATCGCCAAAGTTCTACAATTTACATACCGTAGCGATTCGGGAAGAGTAAGTAATTGAATGCATGCTATGCATTGGCAAAACCTACAAACTGAACTTTGTGGAAGATTTAATCACTAAAATATTGCCAAAACCTAATTTAACTTTGTGGAAGTTTTAATAACGAAAATATAGATATTCATAGACTGCAAATACGGTAAAATTTTCAGTTTGTCAATAAAGCCATCAGCACACAATACTGTAAGTAGGTTGCGCATAGCATTAATATGCCGTCAGTTTATTTTTCAAGAGATACTTTTGTGAAACTGTAAAACTTATGTTTGAAACGTGTCTGTACTGACTTGCAGAATTCCAGTACTGAAAAAAAGTTTAATACTAATATGTAGTGGTAGTTTTAACTTTTAAGCTTTGTTTTAGTGCACATCTGTATTGTTCACCGCGGAAACATAAGTCGAAGGTAGAGACTTATGCCGTTATGCGCAACACGTTTGCTTACGATTAGTCATTTCAACTTTCGAATGACAACAACAACCGGCACGCACTGCAGCTATCCAAAATTGTTAGCCTATCTGCACTTCCTTAGTGTTAGACAAAGATGTTTACACGCATTATGAATTACTGTATACAGGTTCTTTGGAAAATGCACGTGTGCGGTATCAAAAACACTCACAAACATACACAGGCTTGCTGTGAAGTACCGTGTTGTTTCTACTGACAAGTGAGCCAGCAGTACATACAGTACTTACCTGTTCTGAATCGTTGCGCTATTACTTCCTACGATGCCCAAGGCAAAAGCAAGATCTACTGCTTTTAGCTTTACATGAATAAGCTGCAGCATTCGCCCATACAAAACGGAAATTTTGGGAGCACTTCGAGAACAGGCCTAGATTTACAGGTACATAATAATGTATCACGTTTTGCCCCGATTAGCCTAAATTGCTTAGTAGTAGTGTGATCAGTGCTCTCGTCCGGTCCGCGCAGTTTTGTTTGTGTTAACAAGTAACAACTATGGATTCCGGCGTCCACTCGCCATCATGTCCAGGATTTTTAGATTTGCCATGGGAGCTTATGGAGCATATTATCCTGCAGAATTCGTTGTCGTTCCGCGATATGGTATCCACGATACGTGTATTAGCACCGAATGATCAAACGGTGAAGTGCTTTGTCGCGTCGGCAAATTATTCAGAAACGCTGTGGGAGAAGAAATTCAGGCGCTTATATCCTGATCTGTACCGCATTTTTGTGCAGTATCCGACCAATAAATTCTGCCGAAAAATTGACTGGTACTCGCTGCTGCAGACACGTTATGAAATTGGTAAAGAAATCGGTCCAGTACTGCGTGCCATGCGAACTGACGCCATGTATTCTTATCTGGAAACGGCTGGCCATCAGCAGGACAGGCTGATTACTCATTGGCTGGATTCTGACCCAGGCGATATACGCTATCCCCGCAGCGAGCGGGAAACCAGATCGCCCAATGCCGGTGTACTCAACACTGCACTGGATTACAACTTCCACAAGGTCAGTTCAGTGCCGGAGGATGTGGATCAGTGCAAAATATGTACGGAGTGTCATTATGGACCGGCTGCCGTAGTTACTTCCTTTGTGATGCAAATGTCCGGAGCTTTAAACACTGATAATTCTGAGACGTTTAGACTTCAGAAATGCGGTCAAGTGCAGCATCGTATGACGGAGCTTCTTCTTCGGTCCGGCAAAATTACGAATCCATATTGGTTGGGTGAAAATGGCGATCATATCGTGACTAGTACTGTTGCTGCGGGTTGGCTAATTTTGGATGCTTGCCGAGAAAATATCGAAAATCTCACGATATGTAAGTCATAACATTGACGACAAGTCTTGATTGTTTATAACTTCAATAAGTTTATAATATATTATTAAGTTTAGCTTTGAAGCAACTTCGCGAAGTTGACTCAGAGAATTAATTCTCTGTAAGTGTGTTATGCATACAGATTACTAACATTACTTTAATTAAGTTTTGATACGTCTAATTTACTGACCGGTTTTAAAGGCAAAGCATAAAATACCTTGATTCAGAATTTACTAATGCATTTCGTTGCACACTTGCACACCTATTTTGTTTCAGCCGAAAAAAAGACAAACTTGGCGCACACTGGGACAATAAATCACGGCGTGCAACTTATGCGGATGTGCCAGACTAAGGTGTCAACTATGGAAATTTGCTCGGGATTTCTCTCCGTGTTATCTCAAATTGCAAGCGACGACTTGCACGCATTTGGTGGAACGTGCGATGAATTTTTTGTTTGCTTGAATTTTTTACAAGCCTGCTATCCGTTATGTTCGGATGTAGTCGGTAAATTTTATTCGAACGTGTGGAAAGCCGCATCACGGGTCCGAAAGCTTATGGCTCAACGGAAACATTACCCAGTTCAAGGCATGGATTTTATCCAACTTGTGATATCGTGGATAAGTCAGGCTGTGCAGGAAATGGGAACGGATCTCCTGCCCGATGAACTCGCAATAGCAAGTGGTGCAATTTGCAACTTTCCTTACACTGCCGTTGTGGAAACCTGTCCGTCGATTTTGACCTTTACGTTTTTAGCCAAATGTTTCCTTGCCCGCGATAACATTGCTGTAACGCTAAGGAAATTATGGCTGAATATTGCAGCTACGAATCCAGAAGGCAGCCAGGATACATATCGGAATAAAATTTACATTGTGCTGCCTTGTTTTACTGTTGAAGGACGCGATCATTTGTGTTTGCCTTACCGGCAAAATGGACGTTTTCCCGAAATCTTCTGCGATTATGCTGTCTTGGCGGCTGCTCTGCATAAAAATTTGTTTGATGGAATATACGAATCATTCGGAACGGTTCGGGAGTTAAGAATAGCATCGCTTGCAAGTACAGGCCTCGTTGATCATCTACATGACTATTTAACTAGCGACTTCCATCAGCCGGACACTTGCATTGCCCGCGCTGTAGCAAAAAGATCAGAGTCGTATGGAGGAATTTTTGTGAAGGATCAGCGTGCACTATTCGGCGAAATAAGTCCATCTAATTTCGGATTTTTCGCTGATTATTGCAGAATGCAAGCTACAACTGATACGAACGCTCACAGTGAGCGGCCTGTGCGAAATTCCCCGGCGACGTACGAATCTGAATGCACGTTGCCTGTTGGCACCGTAGTCAGCATGAAATATCGAAGTTTTATACTGGATATCGAGGACGACAGCGTGGATCACTTAGCCGTAATAGTTAATTGGAAATCATCAAGAAAAGCTGGCGTTTCTGATGAAGGAGGCGCTCAACGTATCCGTTACTGCCTGTTGTGCCTCGACTCTCCTCATGAAAATGACCCGTATGTTCCGCCCGCCTGCGCAAAACTTGCCGCGAAGATGACCGTAGTTGACAATATTCCAATCCAAGTCCAGGCGCATTTGCACACAAACATTGTTCTCTGGGCATTCTTTAATAGTTTTGATGGAATGTTTCTTGTTCCCCAACCTGCTTTAAAAGAAATGTATCCGGACGATTATAAAAAACAAGATGTTATTCGAGCCTTAGCCGGGCATACGGCTCGCGACCGTGTCATGTAATGCGCATAATGTTGCTTTTATGTTAAATGGGATGCCTGCGATGCCGCATTATAGTTGTAAATAGTTAAGAGAAATAATAGTGCGAGTTGACCTCTCATTTATGCTAACTATATTAATCTACATATGTCATTATAAAACGAATCTAATTACGCACACAATTCAACATCTGAAGATCGAAATGACTCTATACACTTTTGGAAAAAGAAAAGGGGAAGGCTCCGCACACTACCATGGTGGTGATGAAAGGTGGTGTGCGGCGTTTTGTGAGGTAAAACGTGGTGCCCGGAGCATTCTCCAAAAGAAAATGCACAATTTCATTTTATCATATAGATGTGCTCAGTTACACAAAATGATGCTATCTTCAATATTACATAATATGTATATAGATATATTATACTTATGTTCAGTTCATGTGTGCGGTGTGGAATAATTTCCCTATTTGCATAGTAGTGTACTGTGCATGTAAAATTTAAAACAGCCAGAGATAATTCAAGTGCAGCCAATGCAATGAATTAATTATTATTCTGCCATTTCGTCGAAAACATTGTCAACATTCACACAATGTGTAGGTAAAACACAATTAACATAAGTTTAACTTTTCAGCCAATTTTTAACACAGAACTAGGGGCAAATTGCTAGATCACAGCATGTAGAAGCCAAAAAAACGAACTCACAAAATATGTGCAAACTGCAGACGCTCTTACAAAATAAATATGTGCAAACTGCAGACGCTCTTTAGTTACAACAAAGTTCGACCCATCTCGGGACAGTTTTCAATCAAAACTGGCAAACGAAATGTACAGCTTGTGTTTTTTCAACAGTAATCGGATTCACGCCACAATTCTACCAGGGTATCACCAATTTCCGTTCAAGGAATAAGCGCGTAGCTATCTTGGTGGAACGTCGGATTTTTTATGGGATTCCATAAAATCCGTTACTTTGGCCCAGATTTCGCTGGGATGATCCAGCCTTGGCACCTAAAACGATTCAGATGAACTTTACCTGTAGCGGTGACTCTATACACTTCAACATTTTGAAATATTTGCATTGTATGAACAGTCATGCACAACATAGGTACCTCGTATACTATTTCAGTAAAAAATTATGCACGCAACGAGGTATGCAATAATTAATTCTTTGTTATTTCTCTACAACCGGAAACGAAAATTAAGGTACTGTAATGAAATACACCAGAATTAATACTTTCGGTTAGAAGTACGGTACGCAGCCGCCTAGCCGCCAGAACAGATAGCCGGTAGCGTGCACAGTTTATTTAAGTAACGTTAAAATTCTGTTGATTAATTTTCAGCACACTGGCATAAATCGCATACAGTAATAATATACAAACATTTTGGAAAAAACGCCATCTGTTTTTATCCAAATTTGCGAAGCGAGATTATTGTTTAATTATTGTCTTTCTGTGGAAGCCATATACCAATATCTATCAAAGGCAACTGCTTAAAAAATTTTAACAATAGTTAGATTCAAGTGGTCACGACTCACCTCATAATTCTGCGATACGTAGATACCAGCATACAGGCCCAAAGAAAACATTATCTACAAAAGGATGCGAATTTATGCGAAATATCTATACTATCGCGTTCTCAAGTGAATGGCATTCCTCAGCAGTACTGTGCGGAGTTTCTACAAACTGTAACAAACATTAGATTTCTCAATCAGCTGTCGTCCAAAGAAACATACAGTAGTTTACTAGTTAGGCTACATTCTACAAGTTAACAAGTACAGTGAAGTACTGTTAAAACCTAAGTATAGTAATCTGTGACAGGAGACTTACCAGCCCGCGAAACATCGTTAACTTTGGATTCGATCCAAGAATCTGCAGGATGGCGAACCCAGACGACAACGTATAATTAACTCCGACAGGATGTACTGTTACTGTCTGTGCACTGTACAACAAGATACGACCAAGAAAACCCACGAAAAGGCTGAGCCGAGTTTCAGATTGTTGAAGGATTTATGTGCATATGATCGTATTCCCGCAAACAACGCCAAAATATTTATTAAAAACAGCAGTAAAACCGACTCCAGCTACATATCCGGGAAACAAGAAGCGTCGAATCAAATTTTGCGCGAGATCTCATTTTTTAGACTTTTCTAAAAACTCAAAGGGGACAAGCATAAATCTCTTTCAGACTCCCAAGTAGTAGTCAAGAAATGAATCTGATGAAATCCTATTGAATAAGATGTAAGCTGCCGCCCTCTTTGGGGGGGTTGCAGTTGTCTTTGTCAACCACGGATTTGAAACCAAACTTCCCTGTGGACTGCGGACTGCGGAGTGTGGAGACTGGACGCAAAATTTTCCATTCTCTTGTTTTACTTGTTTTCTAATTTTTCCGGTTGATTGCGAAATTTTCTGAATATATATGTGTAGCGCAGTCACACTGCTAAAATACGATTGGAAGGGGATTTTTAACCTTTAACGATTAGCGTAAAATTTAGGAATAATGATGGATAATCCCGATGATCGCCAAATGCCGTCAGCATCAAAGGAATCAGCTCCCTGCGCGAAAGAACGTACAACCCGCGAATACGGACTCTATCGGTCGAAGATGTCTGTTTTATCTGACAACTGTGATCAGGAAAAGCGATCGAAAGCTCAGAAAGCGGTAGGGTTTGAATTTTGCGCGCAAGTTATTTTCGGTATTGCCAAGTCTGTATCAAGAAGATGCGCGTTGATCGTCAGGTAATACCTCCTTGCGATGTTTGTGGAAAATTGCTCAAAACCCAGGAATCCATGCGAAGACACTATCGTCGTCATACTGGCGAAAAACCTTATCCATGCACTGTGGAAATGTGCAAGAAAGCTTTTCGCACGAAAAGCGATCTTCTGCGACACCTGCGAATGCATACGGGCGAAAAGAGATTTAAATGCCAAGTTGCACAGTGTGGAAAATCCTTTACCACCTCCGCAACTTTGAAAGTCCATGAAAAAGTTGTCCATCTTAGTAAGAGAACTTGCTTTGTGTGTGGGCATACTTCTGGTGTGATTGTTTATTGGCGTGATATCGTTATTGAACTATTGTTTGCAGATGAAAAACGGTACAAGTGCGCAACATGTTCCAAAGAATTCGGATATTTAACAAATTTTAATAATCATCTCCGGACGCACAGCGGTAAGTAGTAAAAAGTCACTGGCCAATTGTTTAAATGAGAATGCGTAAATTTAATAGTGGAAATAATGCCTTCATATTTAAGGCTTGAAAAAAGCATTTTGAAATTACTGACATTTCCAAATTGCATCTGGAATCATTTGCCTAATAATGATACAAATTTTCATTTGAATTATGTAATATACTGTTCCTTCATGTCGTCTTTGAGAATCTGTCAGTACTGGGTCAAAATTATTCTGTCATTATAATTGATTATATTGCATTGTTTCGTTATTTGTTTGAAATTTGGTGCTTATAATTTTCTGTTTTTTGATAGGCGAAAAACTCTACTGCTGCTCTCACCCCGGTTGTGAAAGCAAATTTGCTGAATACTCAACTGCGCTCAAGCATGTGATTAACATCCACAGTGATCCCGCGTCGTTTCGGTAAAGCACAATGAGGATCGAACACGGTTTTAATAATTGCTTTGAGTCGTTTGTTTGTAGATGCAATGAGTGCAACAGGTTTTACCGATCACGAAATGGGCTTTCGTACCATGTCCGGACATTTCACGCACAACGGAAGCCAGACAACAACGACAGCGAGACAAGGGGTACGAATAGGGGTGCAAGGAAGTGGTTCGAACATTCAATTAACAAAAATTGGCTTGTTACAGAACAAGTGCGAGATTTAATCTTGGAGGAATTTCCCAGCCTGTTCCACATAAATGGCGGGCTTTGTGCGGAAGATGAACAGGAGGCTGCCTTGTTGCTTGGATTTCGTCGGCGTAAGTTAGTGGTATAATATACGAACTTTTTATATCACATTTTTCGCACTCCTTTTAGGAACTGATGCATCGGATGCTGATAAGTGTGAGGGCGGAAGTCGTGATATATCGCATCCCAGCGTAAGCGCTATATTTTGCTATCTGCTATGATGAGTGCTATCCCGTGTCCGTTGTGAGCCTGTGCTTTTTTTTCTTGGTTTGAAGTTAATTTTCGCAGGCTGGACACCACCACTCGTTATCCGATCGTTGGAATTCCGATGGGCATTTTCCTTACAGAGATGCTTCATTTGTTGACGGATTTCCTGAATTACTAGTACCGGAATCCGACATGTGATTCATGCCATTGAAGTTCACAAGGCCCAAAACAGGAAATTTGTGCGTAAAGGAGAGGCATGCAGTGTGCACCTGTTGTCGGTTGCGGTTATGGATTTGGGAGGACTATGTGATCCGTTATAATTATTTGTAGTGCCTGATCGACTGTGAAGAACACATTTTCTTGGAGTTTCTTCATGAACTAGAAATTATTTGCACTCAGTTGTATAGCGTTTACTCGGGTTCACTGATTCAAGTCAAGTTTATGAGGAATTTTTGAATGAATGAGGTACGAAGTATTTTTGACTTAAATATCGGCAACTACGGCAAATTAAAAAAAAACGTCGCAAATCGCAGCATATAAGTCAAGAAAAGTTGCGCCACTCAACTTGAATGTAACCGTATGCTAATCGAAAGCCGTATAGGCTGCAAATCCTGCAACCGAAAATTTTTGTAGACAAGAAGTGAAATCCAGCATCCGAAAGTTTTAGTAGACAACAATTGTTTTGATTTCTGACCAAATCAGTGGAAAAATAACAGAACATGCTTTGGACACGATTCCTAAGGGGTACAACATAAACCTTCGCAAGGAGCGAAAAGATCGAATGTCCCGGTAATTGCAATATACGGCATAAAAGGCCACAGCAAAGAAGTGTCCTAGTAGCTTCCAAGGACTTGGGTTGAGACTAGATCCAAAAATCGTTTTCAGTAATCGCAAGAATGAAAAACTGCGTCCACTGCGCATATGAAAATATGACTGTTAAGTTGAATCAAAGTATGACTCACACTGATAATAATCCAACAGGACCGGCGACACATTCCCCGCCAAGTTTGAAGTATTCGAAGCAGGCTTTCCTCAAACTGTGTAGGTATCCTGGAGCAAATTATCAAAAAAGAAGCTCTGAATAATCACTGCTATTCAGAAAAAATATAACCGACCATAAATTGTTTATCAGATCACCTACTATCGCTAGCTGAAAACAGTGCGTACAACGCTTGCGCTAGTACGTTGACGACAAAGGCGTGATTGTTCTTCCGCTGCCGGTGAAAGAGAGTCTGAGCTTTACGAACGGCGTAGACATCGGCGCAGTCCGCTACATTCCGCAGAGCGTTCCGCCACAGGATCACATCGTGCAGTCCAACGGACATCCCGCCTCCTGTCAGCGGATGTCGCATGTTATACGCATCGCCTAGAATAATCGCACCGAGACGATAATGCGGTCGCGGCGGGAGAAATGATGAAGGCATGCTGCGAATGCGAGTACCGCTTGATACAGCATCCAGAAACGGCTGCCGAATGTGGTCTGCAATGCGAATATGTTTCGGCTTGCCCTTAATGTTTTGCATGTTCAGCTAAGCAAAATTACTGTTCGAATAATCGCGACAACACGTTTTGGATTGTTACGCGTAAAATCATCCATTTTTTTGGTTTGTGAACAGGTTATTAACTCTCGTGACGCACTGACCAGGCAACTGCGGTGCGATTTCCGATACCATAAAGTCCGGCATATTTTTGGGTAGTTTGCCTTGAACGTCGACCAGCACTCTGGTGTGTTGTTCAGATATGCAGTAGATTAGAACCGGTGATGGATTACCGAGAACCAGTTCAGCGTGTAAAGGCAAGTACTGGGGACATTTCTCCATCAGCAGCCCCACAAAATGTGAGGACACCTGGACATTTTCGCGTACCAGCTTCTGCCGAAATCGAGAAAAATGTCCATCGCACACGATGGTCAGTGGAGCAGTTAAACGGGATGTCTGCTCAGAATCGCGCAGTTTGTATTCGACTCCAGTAATGCGATCAGAATCCTCGGATTCCAACAGGTTAACGACATTCGCTTCGATCATTCGAATTCTAAGAATTTACCGTTATGTAATTAGCTGGATAAACCGCTTTATACAGAGTAGTTATACTCTGTAGGGACAATTTGCTTTAGAGCATACTGAGATACCTAGGCTCGTCCTGAGCTAATCCGCGCAGATTTTGGACAAACCGCCCGTGATGAAATGACCTTCCTTGTTGCTTCTGGCTGCCAAATGTCGGATAGGGTATCTCCACGTGGGCTCCGGTTTCCAGATCGTGCACCACATATCCGTTTACTATTTGCGCGTCAATGTTTTCTACACAATCTGTCGAGAGAATAAGAGAAGTGAACGACTCGTGAATAAGATATTGCATATTTTTTTTGTTCATATAATTGTTTCTTTAAGAAAACCACGCAAAACGTTGTTAAAAAAAGCAGTTTGTTCCACATGCACAAGTTGCTGTATTATTGACCTACTAGTAAGTACTGTACTTAATGTATTTTAGTCCTAATTAATTAATACTTTATAGGTACGAGTATATTCAGTGTTGTGTATTTATGCATCTGCCTACGTTCTGGTCAGCAGTTATTTCAGGCATTTCCACTTACTGGACAATCCCAACTGATGCAAAGCGCGCACTCCGCCAGGTTGTAAAAGTTCACCAACGATTCTGTCCGGCTCATTTAAATCCCGTTCGATAACCGTTACAAACCGGCCGTCGCGAGCCAACGCAGTCGCAACCGCAGATCCAACAACTCCCGACCCAATAACGATAACTTCCGGTTGTTCAAGTGAATAAACATTATTGTGACGTCCTTTTCCTGTTACAAATGATTCCCGCTAAAAAAAACGAAAGCTCATGGTATATAGTGCATCCGTCTATTGGGAAGCGACTGCCAGCAGATTGCGCAGATATTAATTTTAACATGTTATGCATAATTGACTACTTTCCACTATAATTTTAGAAATCGTTTTGAACCAGCTGCATCGCTCTTCAGCAGCAGTTAACGTTGTGCGGATGTACGTTACCTTTGGTGTTTGGCACAAATTTCAGTAAAGTTTTCGTACCAGCTGCATTAAGAGTTATATTTATCGCATACCGTTGGTTTTTTGCCCCTGCGTGCGCATGCAACACCGATATTCCACGCCAAAATTATTACCGGTGCTGTTAAACCACATATTCCGATCAAGTTGGCGGTATCCATGAGCTTTGACTATTTTTGCAGACGGTATACCGCTAAAAGTTTTAAAATTTGCTGATGAGGACAAGATTCTGGCCTCAGGGTAAGCCTATTGTGATCATTCTATAATCAGACTAACGTCTAACAAGTTCTCTGGATCACTCCAGGCTACGTCGGAAGTTCTGACTTGATCTGTTGAAGATGATACAAACCAGTAACTTTGTTAATTTTGTAATGTAACTGACCCGCAAGGTCACGCCCTCCTGGTATGCGATTGCGCCTAACAAACCACCAGATCTTGCAAAACCAAACGAAACTTGGCTGAAATAGGCAAGCGATTTTATCAGCTGTAAATTCGTGCACATTCTGCGCGAATGCAAAGTCTAGCCAGATTTCCGGACTCGTGAGGGCAAAGTCGGAACATCAGACGATTAACAAAACTGACCAGTTACTAAATTAGTGGAACAAGACAAAACAATGAGGCCACCAAAATAACCCGAAAGCAAAATTTATTACTCTGCAGAGTTGCCAAACAGCTAAAAATAAACTAGGGAAGTGCACCGCTTTAGACTAGCACTATCAGACCGAAGCGAAGCCGGAAACTGAGTTCTGTACAAAAAATACTTCATCGTTTGTTTGGTAGTCACAATCACACCTGCAGAATCATCCTGTCTTGTTCTCCTTGTTGACCTCCCTGTTGACCCTACCGCCTTTCGTTTGAATACCTTTATTGTCTTTTTAAAAAGGAATTCAAGAATCGGCATAGTCGGTAATGCCAGTAAACGTGACCTTTACGTTTTCCTATAAATTATTAATAATTCTTAATCCGTGAACTACTGTTATCAATGAATAAAATCTATATTACAACTACAAAAAAAGCTTTAGCTGCAATATCGAGATCGGAAAAACCAAAACCTAATAAAAAAGATTAGATTCAGCATCTTCAGAAACTGTCACGTGCATTTTCTTACAAAAATCTTTTAAATCGTCCCTCCGATGCCGATTCCGGCAAAACTGGCTTCGCTAAAGCTTTCTTGAGAATAACAGCAGTGCCAGTTGCTTAAAACATTTATTAAAGTATTAAGTAGTACTAATAAAGTACTATATAAATTTGTAATTATTTTATTTGCAAACGGGTTGAATTTAAACAATCGGCTTGCTCTAAATCAACAATGTCAAACGCCTAATAAGAAAAATTTGATTTCGAAGTTCGTTTGAATTTCAGTTAAACCAAGGTTTCGAAGGGATGGCTTGCATCGCTATCAAAACTGAAAACACCTGCTACCGGATTCACGAGAATTAAATGTTCGAAGTATCAGATATTTTGCTTCTTCGATCGCCAAACACGGTCATTAGAATGTCGCACTTCTTTACAGTAGAAAAAAACAAAAACAATTTTTAGCACGGAGTTCATTGAAGTTCCAGTTTTTGTTTCTTGGACATCCTTCGAAAGTTCGAAACCACCCATTGTTTAAAAATAAGCCCGAAAAAATCAAACCTTTCTTATCTATTGCTCTTTCGAATAAACATGCCAATCAGGCGCTGGATAGACCCACAGCGCCTTAGCAATGCCAGAGGGCCATTTTGTTCAGCAACCGGGAAGAATTATAGCATCTATGTACTGGGTGGCTGAACAAAATGGCCTTCTCGTTCATCATGGTGTGCTGGATCCTGCCAAAGCCTGATTAACGTCATATTAGTTTCATTGGAAAGAGCAAATTTTGCAGCATACAAAAGGAAAGTCATATGGACGTTAAAGAAAAGTTTGACGGTGTTATAAATTGTTTTTAAAAATAGGGTAGGGTCGAAACCTGGCCCGGAAGCAAAAACCCGAGTAAACCTAATTCTAACTAAAAATTGCTATGATTGAACTAAATAATTTACTGTACGTCAAATTGCTACTTCGGATAGAGGGGTTGTTTCTGGTTTTTTTGCTGTAAAGAGCTGCGATATCATGGTCACCCGCTCCCCTACCGGGCTCTGTGCACGAACAGAAGTGGTAACTCGGTCACTCGTTTAAACGGGCTTTCTGCGCCGGACAGCAGTGGTAGCTCGGTCACCCGCTCACCTACCGGGTTCTTTGCACTCGTTTACCGAGCGGGCTTTGTGCACGAGATAGTAGTGGTAGCTCGGTCACCTCGGCTTCGCCTCTGCGTTTCTTGTGGTCTACGGGTGGTCGATTCGCGGAGGCGAAGCCGAGGCTGTTTCTGTTTTAATCGCTTTTATTCGTACCTGTTGGCTTTGTCAACTGGACTACAGTGGTGGACTCGTAGTTCGGTCACTCATGTGCACTGTACAGTAATGACAGCTCGGTCACTCGGTTCTGTGCACGGACCGTAGTGGTAACTAGGTCACGTACGCGCTCCCTAACGGGCTTTGTACGCTGGACAGTAGTGACAACTCGGTCACTCGTTCCCTAACGGGCTTTGTACACTGGACAGTAGCGACAGCTCGGTCACCCGCTCACCTCCCGGGCTAGCTCTGTGCACGTACGGACAGTAGTGGTAACTCGGTCACTCGTTTACCTGACGGGCTTTCTGCGCCGGACTGCACTGGTAGCTCGGTCACCCGCTCACCCACCGGGCTTTGTGCATCGGACAGTAATGGAAGCTCGGTCAACTGCTCACATAGCTGTCCATAGTGGTAATTCGGTCACTCACTGGCTTATCGGGCTATTTTAACTAGAATATAGTGGGCTATTTTAACTAGAATATTTTAACCAGAATATAGTCACCCGCTGAACTAACGGGTTTGCGCAGTGAACAGTTGCGGTAGTTCGGTCTATCACTGATTGAACAGACGATCGTAGTAGAGATAGTGTAGCGATAGCTGCTCGGCCGGCACTTATTTAGAAATTGTTCTCGATGACAACGTTAGTTATGTAGTCGTTCTTTGTCGTAATAACGGTCTGCTAATAAATTCATTCTGATATTTTAATTAGTGGAAAATACTTTGATTTTTTAACTGTATTTTAGTTGGTTTACGTGGTAACACTGCCTCGTTAAAAACACCACGACGATAATTATTATTGTAATAATTTGGGCGTATTCATTTGGTGAAGGTAGTGTAACAGACAATGGCGAGGAGATCACGAGTGTGTCTTTATTGACAAATAAAGGCTGACAATGCTGCGTAATAGCAGTAAACAAGAACAAAGGCGCTGATGGCCAAAAGTAGCAAGTGTGTGCTAACAGGGTTCCTGAGCGTCTGCCAAGGCGTTGAAGAATGCTGGCGGCAACCACGTGCTGTGTGCCATCAGCGGTGTGATGATGCGCAGACTGGACTCTATCCAACGCGAGCGTACGAACGCTGAGTAGTACTGCGAGAGAGGAACGAGAGAGAAGTACAGCTCAGTGTGTGCGCTGCGTATATCCGCTTCAGCGGATGAGTCAGTGCAGCAGCAGCACACGTACGTACAGCAAGAGAGGCGATAGCGGCATGCAATGGGTGCAAGTACGTCCTGTGTGGACCGTACGCACCAGGCGCAGGCTGCCGCCGCTGACATGCCTCTGGGCGGGAATCCGAGCTCCTGCGAAGGATGCTCCGACTCGGAACCGCACAACTCTCCGGTCGGACCCATTGTGTGGTCGCCGGTACGCGTCCTCTGGCAGCGGGAGCCCGGTGTCTGGTCGACCGTCCCATCTTCACTTCCAAACCCGTGAGAGGAAGCCACTCACGGCTGAGGAATCCGGAAGTCGCTCGGGCGTTTCGTTGGACCGGTGATGCGTCTGTTGGCTGGCTTCTTGCTTCTGTTGGCAATGTAAAAGAAATGTAATGAAAGTTTATGCGCGAAAGAAAGTATGAAATAAAGTTTAATCACAATTTCAGTGAGCAAAAGGGGTTACGAAACAGATCTGTCAAAGAGATCGGACTAGAAAAATACAATTCCGTTTGTTAGGAAAATGCTAAAAAATTGCAAAAATCTGTCCTGGGGTCCTATTCCGACTAGGATGACGTCCACGGGGCAATTGAGTCTCCACGGGGTCTCCTGTCCACTTTCATCCGGTAAGTTGGGTCCGGGGCATCGGTTCCCGGGTTACCCGTCGTAACCGGTTAAATTCACCGAGGTCGGATAAGCACGGTTAAACACTTACTTCCGACTCGTATCCGTCCGTTCGGGATAGAGAGGCACTGTTGCAGATGCAAATGCCGAGGCATCCTCTCTGAATGGGGAATAGGACCGAGGTCGGTTTGACCAAGGTCGGCCTACCGGTAAGTCGACCGGCGGCGAGGGTAATTCGGCTATGTTCCGAATTCGGAAAGTTCAGGTCCGAAAAAGCTGTATGTAAATCATGTGGCCTGTGTGGTCGTCATGTACAGCAATTCCGTTCAAATGTGGTCGGTTAAAACCGTTCAATCTGCTACCACGAGCCTGGTTTGGAGTAATCCGAGTCGAACTGGCTCGAAGGTCCGGTCGGAAATCATGGGTTACTTCATTGGAAGTGTCTAGTCGACTTCCATCCGGTATGTTCCGTGGTTATCCGACCTGTAGTCAAGGTCGGTTGTCCTATCCGTCGGTGGCCGACTCGGGTTAACCTGCAATAACATGCCCATGTGGGGCCAAACAAGTTCCGTCAAGTCGAATTCGTCCACCGCAGACAGTTACTCGTCGTCTTTCGTCACGTTGACTGGGTTAACCGACCATTTATTGGTCGGTTAATAGATCCGACTTCCGACTTGTGGTCGGTTGTCCAAGGTCGACTTCGGAAGGTCGGATGAACTGTGTGTTCATCCGTCCCAAAACTGAATTCTTCCGTTAGGAGGTCAGTATCTGACTTCTAGTTGTATTTGCCGACTTGTTGTCGCGCATTTCCGACCTCCGTTTGGTCACTTCCGACCTCCGATTTGAGGTCGGTTATCCATATCAGTATTCTACGGTCGGCTATGTCCGACTTCCCCAGGTCGGATGAACTGTGTGTTCATCCGTCCCAAAGCGGAAATCTTCCGTTAAGAAGTCGGTGTTCGACTTCCACATGCCTTTACCGACTTGTTGTCTCATCCTTCCGATCTCTGTTCGGTCACTTCCGACCTCCGACTTCAGGTCGGTTATCCATATCAGGTCGGCTATATGTCTGACCTCCCGAGGTCGGATGAACTGTATTTCCATCCGTCCAAAAGCTGAATTCTTCCGCTAGGAAGGTCGATATCCGACTTCTAATCGTTTTTCCGACTTGTTGTCGTATACTTCCGACCTGCGTTTGGTCACTTCCGA